AACAGCAACAAAAAAAAAAAAAAAAGCAACAAGCAAACAGCAAAAGAAAAAACAAAAAACGCTGATTCCAGCCATCATCTTTCCCGCCAAGGTCTCATGTCTTTTGGCATTTGATCTACTTCAAGTTGGCGACACCAGACTGGTCGACTACGCCTTGGCATTGGAACTTGGGTTTTCCCAGTCCCTCTGCCCTCAGTCAATCCAGGAGAAAAAATAAGGCAACAGACAAAAAAAAAAGTACTCGTGCTATCTCCTGGATACCAGTCTGGCGGCGAAAGAACCTGATTCTGTGAAAAAAAAAAAAAAAAAAAAAAAAAACTCAGAAACACTCAGAAAAAACAATCAAAAACAAAACCTGGAGACGAGACGAGGAGAGTAGATAGATACTGACAGTGATCAATGTTTCCAGATGTCTTTCCCTGCTAAGGCCTGTTGTCTTTTGACTCTTGGTCTATGCCTCCACCCCCGTCAGACTGGTCTACTGTCCTTTCGATCTGCATTGGCTCTGGATTTCCAGTCCTCTGCCCCAGTCATCCAGAAGAAAAAATAAGGCAAAAGCACAATGCAAATGCACCAGAAAAAAACAAGAAAAAAACAAGAAAACAAGCTTCTGCCATCTTCTGAGGACCAGTCTGACGTGGAAAGACACTGTGAAAGTAGCATTGGACTTTCCAAGTCCCCTGCTACAAGGCCCACAGAAGAAAAAATAAGGCACAAACCAAAGAAAAAACAAGAACAATTGTGCTATCTTCTGTGGACCTCATGGGTCCTGTTCTCTGAACGGGCTCATCCATTCTTTTCATGGCCAATCTCCTCTGCGAGGAAATGGCCTATGATGTCCTTGGCCATGCTTTTTAGCCTCATTGGCATCATGTTGTTCGCTTGTTTTGTTTTGGCCATTTTCCTTGATGGAATTTGGCTTGAGATCGACTTGGAAACTCAACTTGCATGTCTTGAGGTCTTGATTGTTGCCTACTTGGCTTTTTTGTATGAATCTTCGTGTTGCTTCTTTGTTCTGTTCGATCACTGTCATTTATTTTGTGGGTTGTTTTGTGTTTGTTTCCATGTTGAGTTCTCCAAGCGTTCTCTTGTTAGTTTAGCCTCATCAATTCATTATTATCATTCCATCTTCGGGTATATTGTAGACTGTACTCCGTAGACTATAGATTGTAGACTGTAGATTGTAGACTGTAGATTGTAGACTGTAGATCATATATTTCATAGATTATAGGTACTATAGATTGTATTGAATTCCCTGCTTTTTTACACCATAGTACTAAAGTATGGGTTGAGCCACATAGTTGCTCAGCGGGAATTCTTTACGACTACCTAAGTAGTGTTCATATCTGACGCTGCTGGTATTTGGCAATGAACTCCTTCTTCGTCATATCCCCACTGTCCACGAGCGCTTTGCTCTCTTATATCTCCCCCAAGGCTTCTTCATACATATCCATCTCTCTAACCTTCTGCGCCGCGAATTCCTCAAGCTCTTTTGGGTTGTCGAATTCCACCCCACGCTTTGCCCACTCAGTAGCCCCCATATGTTCACGCAGCTGCGTAAAAGGAAAGCTTTGTTCGTCATTAAAGCCAGACGAGAGAAGCATGTGCAACCACATAGCCCCGGAGGCTTGTGACCACTTAACGAGACTAGAGAGCTCTCTCTCTTCGTGCCCTTGCATCTTTGACTCTTCCTCCTCCAATATACGTATATAAATCTCCAAGTATCTGAAATACCGGGACCCAATCTTAGGCAGCTCCTCGCCAACGCAATCCCACGTACTGTTGACAGGCCTATCTTGGAGAAGCCACCACGGTGCCGAGCCAAACAGCTGGGCGGGTCCAATATATGACCACTCGAGGTCCACTAATCCAACGATAGTGAGATCTTCTGTGCCACGGACAATCACATTTGCCAAGCCGAGGTCGTCGCATATTAGTTTAAACTTGCAGCGGTCATACTTTGCGTTGACGAATTCAGGTATCAGACTCTCCAGGACTTTGAATGCGACATATTTGTTTTGAGCATCGTAAAACCCAATGAGTTTGGTTGATGAACGAGCTGCTTCCAATCCTGTCCAATGACATATCGAAAATACTCGGTTGTCGTAGCAAACCCTTTGGCTCGGTCACCTAGATATTATTTGTTTAGTGAGGGCACTACACGAGAGCAATAGAGACAAGAAGGAAAAAAGCAGGGTAATAAATCGTACCGAAAGTATCGACTCCTCCGTCTTGTAGGATAGTTCGTGCCTTGAATGTTAACGGCCGCGGTGGTGTAGGGCTTGGATATTCAGTCTGTGGCGATGGCAGGCTGCCGATTTGGTCGAAATCCAGTTTGAAAAGTTGAAGCAGAAAATTCGCCAACTGCCTGTAGATAACCTCAATATCACTATCGCTGATATCTTCTCTTATGACTCTGCTGGGTTCGGCGTTAGGGTCCTGGAGAAGGCTACTAAGGCTCACACCGTTGATAAAGTCCATCATAATAAAAGGACCTAGACCAAGTGTGTTACTGGCAGCAGGTCCCCAAGCCCGGACTGTTGGGGTGGGAATGGTAGTCGTGCTGCGGATGAGATTTAGGGCCGACACCTCCATAGCAACCTTCTCGTCTGTGTAGTCTTCACAAACCATCCCACAACGAGGGAAACGGACCATCCAGGCTGTGCTGTCACTAAAGACCATCTTCATACCGGCGTTAAATGCGCCATGGTGAAAGGTACCATCAAGTACACAGGGAAGTTTATTTGGATGAAAAGTCGACACCCACTGGCAAAGACGGCCTGTTATGTGGGCTTCATTCACTTTGTCAACCCAAAGCTGGTCCTGCGCTACGTGGATGAGATTGAGAATCGCGTTGGTGTCCATAATGTTAAGGGGTGCTGTTCAACAGATTGCATGTAGATTGTAGTAATTGCAGTATGAATCAGATCATGAACTTCAGTAGTGTACTTAAGTATACAACGTAGTATAGAGTAAATTAAAGAAACGAGGACGTTAAATGCCAAGCCGTTTTAAGGCTGACGACAGTCACGTGCAGAGCGCCGTGACGATGCCCCCTCTTATCAACACAGCAGCATCATCCTCACGCGCAGGCCTACTCCTCGGCCAGTGTTTTGGCTTGTACGATGCTCCTGAGACTCGATCGCGAACTATACTCGGGCTTTCTTTCATACTCCTAGCCCGAATCCGCCGCAATCAGCTTCCCAGCTCTAGCTTCGATACTCCCTACATCATCGGTTATCAGCTCCAGGAACACTCCCCCCGAACTTCCCCAAATACACGTCGACACCATGATACCGTGGTCATCTTTCGTTCAGAAGGCCCAGAGCCTGATTGACCCAGCCAACTTCAACATCCCCACTCTGTCCGCGTCCGACGATAATCCCTCCAAAGCATCGCTGTTCCGCCAGCAATTCCGCCTCCCTGATTCTCAGAACCCTCTCCAGGAGATCACCGCGGACCTCGTTCTCCCCCTCCCCAATGCACCAGGAAGTCAAGCCGACGGGTCCCGCAAGGCTGATCGCGCGGGGAACACATACACCGGACGTCTCCATTTAAGTGAACGTTTCATCTGTTTCTCGACCCAGCCAACCAGTTTCCTTCCCTCTGCCACGACGAGTGCTTCAACCACTTGGACCGGTCAGACGCACGGAACCGGCCCCTCAGGCAATGGCTTCACACTTCCGCTATCGAGCATCCGGCGCGTCGAGCGTCTCCACAGCGCGAGCCATGTATTTTCATTGGCCCTCACAACATGGAATGGTCTATTGCACAAGCAGCAAGAGCCCAATTTGGCTCCCCAGCGCCTCATTTTGCAGCTTGTCGGTAGCAGACAGGCTTGCGAGCGATTTTGCGACACTCTCAAGAAAGGCCTGCGGGAAGGCATGAAGGAAGTCGAAAACTTGCGCACGGTCGTTACAAATTTGTACTCGGAATATTTGCTTTCAGGCGCCAAAGGCAAGGGATTGGAAGGGGTTGAGGCTGACGGACGTCAACCCCCGGATGCAGGTCTGGGCCTTATCTTCCGCTACCCCGGAGATGCGCGTAAACTTCGCGATCGCAGCAAGATGAGATTGTGGGGTGAATACTTCAGAGGTAAATCCCTTTTTTTCCCTCGGAGGTTTTAGAGGACTGTTTGCTAATTTCTTCTAGAAAACGGCCGCAATGCCACACTGGTTCGTCAGCCAACCTTCCACAAGCTGATTAGAGTTGGTCTACCCAATCGACTGCGAGGAGAAATTTGGGAACTTAGCTCTGGATCTCTATTCCTTCGTCTAAGAGCCCCTCAGCTGTATGAACAAACTTTGGCGAAATTCGAGGGACAAGAATCTCTAGCCATTGATGAGATTGAAAAGGACTTGAATCGCAGTCTACCGGAATACCCAGGATTCCAAAGCGAGGAGGGAATTGGGCGTCTACGACGAGTTCTCACGGCTTACAGTTGGATTGACCCGGAGATCGGGTACTGTCAGGCTATGAATATTGTGGTTGCCGCATTGTTAATGTATGCATGCCCGAAAAGACCCTGCATCTGCATAAATACTAACTCTACCAGATATATGTCGGAGGCCCAGGCCTTCTCTATCCTCTCTGTATTATGTGATCGCCTCCTGCCTGGCTACTATTCGACGACAATGTACGGCACCCTGCTCGACCAGAAAGTGTTCGAGTCGTTGGTCGAGAAAACGATGCCCGTTCTCTGGGATCACCTCACCAAATCAGATGTCCAGCTTTCTGTGGTGTCGTTGCCGTGGTTCCTTTCCCTCTATATCAACTCCATGCCACTGGTGTTTGCATTCCGTGTGCTGGATGTTTTCTTCCTGGAAGGTCCTAAGGTGCTTTTCCAGGTTGGCCTTGCTATTCTTCGAGTCAACGGTGAAGAACTTTTGGAGACACAAGATGACGGATCTTTCATCTCCGTTTTGAAATCATATTTCTCAACATTGGACGAATCCGCCCACCCCAGATCCGAAAACCCAAAGCTGCGAGCTATCACCAGATTCCAAGAGTTGATGGTTGTTGCCTTCAAGGAATTCTCGGGTATCACCCATAGCACCATCACAGAAACGCGCGAAAAGCACAAGGGTGCTGTCTTGGAGAACATTGAGACTTTCGCAAAGCGTACTTCTATCCGCAACCTTGGCCCTGAAAGCAAGCGTCTGAGCGTGGATGATCTCGGAACCATTTATGACCGATTCTACGAAACCCTATACCAATGGCAACAGCACCAGAGAGTCCTCGAAGAAGAGAAAAGACTTCGAGAGAAGAAAAAATCTCAACGACTTTCTATTCTCGCTCCACCTGCAGACAGGCAAGTTGGCCGCGTGGGTCTTGGACCAAGCCCTACGCACATGGATTACGACGCGTTCAGGGAGTTCTTAGCTGCCACTTCCAAATGGGCAGTTGCGGATTCACCTGGGCCATCCCGGAAGGGATCAGCTGGTCAATCGGCCCTGTGGGCAAACCGTCGTCAACCAGCTGACCATGAGTTCATGCAACGCCTCTATCGCAAGTGGTCCAAGAATCCCGAAGAAGGGCTCAATCTCCAATGCGTGGTGAATGGACTAGCCCGTCTCAAGGGCTCGCCCGATATCATGAACAACATTAACTATTTCTTTGATCTATATGATGATTCTGGAAATGGGCAGGTGGACCGTGAAGGGATTCTCAAAATTTCAGAGGCTCTTTTGTTCCTTTCCAGACGAGGATTCGAGGGCACAATCACAGCCACTCCGTCAGTGGAAAACTTGAACACTCCTGCTGATCGTGATAATGGCGAGAACTCACTTACCACGGATGAGAAGTTCCTAGGCAGTGTCAGTGCATTCATTCGTCGGTGCTTCGAATATGCCGACCCCAGCCACCCGGAGAACCTAAAGGCCAACCCACCAGATGCAACGGAAGAAGCAACCGCACAGCTAGATGCATTCGCCATCGGCGACGACGACGAAGAAGAAGATCTCATTGACATTGAAGATTCCAAACCCAAGGAGTCAACAACACCCCAACCCGAATCAGACACCCAAGACCACAACCCTTCGACATCCGAATCTGCAAACCCAGCCTTGGACCCCAACAACCCCCTCCACATCACCCTCCCCACCTTCCGAATGGTCGTCCTAGCAGACGAACTCCTCGAACAATTCTTCGAATCCTATTTCCCACAATCCTTCCACCTATCAGACCACCCACACCCAGCAGCCCTAGCCGCCTCCTCAACCATGTCCTCAAACCTCACCACCTTTTCAAACATAGGCAGCATCCGCTCCAGCTCAACCGCCTCAGCCCCAGTAGCAGGCGCTTCAGGAGGCATAGTCCCACCAGGCAAAGGCCTCCGCGGTGTCCTCGACAACATCGTCACAGACGGAATCCGCATGGCAGCAGAAGTCAAGAAGCGAATGGACGAGGCCCAACGTGATCTGGAACGTAACGCCCTCGGTAACCGCGATGACGAAGACGACGAAGAAGACGAAGACGAGTACCGTCGTGAATCAAACGTCATGGCAGGTGGTATCTCCAGCTGGGGCGCTGGCGCCTACAGTGCCGATACTGAGCGCAGGAGTGTTGTCCGTGATGCGGATCGGGATCTGCTTGAAGGCGCTGAGGTCCTTGGTGGTGGCAAGGAAGAAAGAACTTCACTACTGGATGGCAAGGATGATACTCCTCGGAAGCCTTCTGGTTCACAGTCTCGTGATGGAGATGTCATCTCTAAAGTCGTGGAGTTTGAATCATGATTACTGAGATGCTTCGTCTGTCATATACGGTTTTATCATCTTTGTTTTAACATGTTCCTTGTGCATCATGCACTTTTTGTATTACAAACGGTAGGATGTCTCATTTGATTGTTGTGCATAAATGTTTGAATACAGCTTCTAGAAGCTAGAGAACCGCGTTCATCGAACTCTGCCAATTTACAATTTACAATTTATCCTCATGTTCCGTTGAAATGATATGAAACGTAGAAAACTCGTATATTGGCATATTCAGACTAAGTAAAATCGTAAAACAGGCCATCGAACATGAAACTGACAGACTCGCTGAATCTTCAATTTCCAATGCAATGTTTTTATGTACAGCATCGTAATCGAGCAGGACTAGCCTGCATGAGCCATCACCATTAGCAAACTTCAGTAGAAGTATAGAATGTTGGACATGATGGAACAGAAGAGGGAAAAAAGGGTATAAAACAAGCAAGCGTGAGATTGCATGGCAAATTCATGAATATCTCAAAAAGAAAGGGGCTAAAAAGGGTGCCAAAAGACAAGATCAAGCTTAATTTGGTCGGAGACAGATTTTAATCCTTCTGTCCCTCATTCTCGACCAATTCCAAAACAAGCTGACTGCGCTCATATTCTGGGTGCTGCATGCAGATCTTGACTGTGTTGCCTGTTGGGGAGAATCCATTCCCAGCACCAGAGAAGCCACTGACGAGGCCAGAGCCACCGGTATTAGCTTGGGCATTGCCATGCAGTGAGCCAGGCATTTTACTCCCGTCATCAATGCAAACGACATTATGGCCTGGGATGACCTGGCGCAGACGGCCGTTCATGGCATTGCGGACTTCGACAAAGTCGTCATTGAAGAGAATTAGGAATTTGCCATATAAACAGGCTGTGTGTGCACTGCCGACGAACTCCATGACGACGCTGCGAGAGACGTCGCCGTGCTTGTTGACGTAGACTGCACACTGCTGGTACGCGACTAGGAATTCGCCTTCGGAAATGCGGAACATTCCCAGGGGTTTTAGGCCCGTGATGCGGTTGGCGATGCTTTGGAGGGTGTCTTGGGCGTCTGATTCGTTTGCGCTGAAGTCTGGGACGGACCAGGAGTGTTTCTTGTCGAGGGTGAGGACTTCGATACCTTTCTGGGTTGAGATTGCTAGTGAGGAGTGGAACATGTTAATGCGGTAAGTTTCTGCTGGGATGTAGAAGTCATCGTATTCACGGAAGAATTCTGTTTGGGAGCGGCGGAAGAGTCGGGTTTTGTTGGATGATGACTTTTGGAGAACTGGCTCGAGGACCTGTATTTGTGAGACTTTTGTTGGATCAAAATTGTAGAACGAATTACCTTGAATGTGGATGAAAGACCGTCGCGCTTCTTGTACAGAACCAGATACCTGTCCTTCAGGCGTCCAGCAGCGAAGAAGCCAACTTCACGGTTTCCAGATAGTTTCTGAGGAGCACGTCTGGCCGAGTCTTGGGAGGATTGAGATGTTCCATTGGCAGGGCAGACAACGTCAAGGTGATAGGCAATCAAGGACCGATCAGCAATCAGCAGAAGAAGATTGAAATCCTCAAACACTGCAAGCTGGGTAACTCGCATGATGGGGATAGCTCTGTACCATCCCCGGGGATTGCTAAGCTCGGACATGTACACTCCGTACTCTGTTCCAATGGCACACATCATACGGCCGGCAGGCTGCTGGAACACAGTGGCGCAGTTGACTCCAGTTCGGCAAACCGGGGGAGGTCGAGGGCCAGAGTCCTCGTATCGCTTCTCAACTTCTGTGATTGCACGATGCAGGGGCGTGCCCTTGATAGTGACACTCTTGGAACCAGGTGTGTGATCAGAGTATGCAAATGCAGTATCTGCGAGAACGCGAAGTCGGAAGGGCTCTGCGTTTTGTGAGAACAGAGCGGCTGCATGTTTTGTCTTGGCTTCAATGATCTTCTGACACCACTCCATGCGGTTTTGAGCTGAGAAGGCGTAGAGTGTGTATGTTCCTGTCTTGCCCAGATGTTTGATCCTGAAGGGGTACAGGATCTTGTCATCTCGTGAGTTGTCAATGGTCGCATTTCCAGCCGATGCACCCGAGCCGGTATGGGTTAGAGGGCTGACAGCACCGGCCTGCGAGGGGGTGACAGTTGAGACACCTCTAACTGAGGACTTGACCACAGGGTCATCATCAGTACTTTCCAACCCGAGCAGATCCATCGGAATGGGCAATTTCGACACATCGTATCTCTCATATTTGACGGCCCGGTCACGCATAGTAAACGTCTTGGCAAGCACGAGGTAATGGTCAAACAAAATTGCATGCGTTTCGACAAGGAATCGGGTTCGTGTTCCAGGGCGTTGCAGCTCGCCGCGATGGATAATTTGTCGACCCAGATGCTCTAGGTTGAGCTCAACCTCCTTTTTCATATCGGGTCTCAATTGCAGCTTAGCCGCCAATTCCATCAAGTCAGCCTTCTTGTTCATCTCTCCAACTTTGTTGTCACACTCCAAGGCCACAACCTTGATCTCTTCAATAGCTTGAGCCACATTGGTCTTTTCCTCGGAATCTTTGACCATATTCTTATGCACAGTCGCCAACAGAAGAGTGTACCGTTGAATTCTGGTGATCGGGGCCTTGAGGAAAGTGTCCCAACTTAGTCGACTCGACATCTTATGCTCCCGAGCCTGGTTCAAGAATTGCTTGAAATGCGGGTTGCGTTCAGCCTCTTTCCGCACAAGATAGTTGGCGGTAGGGAACGTTGCGGCGTAATCAATGTACACATTCTTCGCTTTCCGAATCCATTCTCTGAAGATGTCACTGAATCCAGTGATGAATGGACCCTGCTCCTTTTGGCGGTACTTGAGCTGCGCCAATAGGAAGTCTTCGTTGACCTTCTTCACGGCATCGACTTTGCCGAAGACGTCAGCCAGGAATTTGGGCAGGCGTTTCGCGGGGATGATTGAAGGGTTCATTGCAGCCAATTGGTCGCGATAAAGCTCTCTAAGGACATCCAGCTGCCCAATGTAGGAGTCTTCGGTAGTGACAATCTCGTGCAAGTTGTTTTGCCGATCGATCTCCTTCTTCGGGTGAGATTCCCACAGCTCTTTGGGCACTTTGTAGAAAGTCACCCAGTCCTCGATTTTCTTTTGCGGGGCCATCATCTGCGCCTTGAGATTGACTTTCTTCAAAGTCCGCATACAATGATGAGAGTAGCATCGGCCGAAACTGTCGGTATCTTCAATGTGCATCTCCTGTAGATGGAGCTTCGCAGAATAGCACCCAGTTCCAGTGATCTGGAACAAAACACCGGACAGTGTTCCGGGGCCAAATTTGACCCACTCTTCTTCCTTGACCAGCGCCCCTTCTTCAAGCATACCGCTAACCACACGAGCTGCCAGAGTTTCTGCATCAGCGATATTCATAGTCGGGACTTTGTGAGTGAACAAAGCAACTATGGCATCTGCAATAGCTTGCTCCCGAAGATCTGTTTCATCCTCACTCAAGTCCCGGATCCAGGACAGAAGAGAGCTCAACGCCCACGGCTCGCTGCATTTCTTGAATTGTTCGGAAGACAGCTTCGCAGGATGGAACTTCTTGCGCCGGCTAGCCGGGATACTTGGAAGATCCAAGGTGACGGCCGCTGCCGCCGCTGGATCTATATGAGGAAGATCCTTCTGTCTGAGTTTCATAAGAAGCTCCTGTTGCTGCTGCCTGTATCTGAGACGGTCCGCGTCGGTCTTCGACCTGATAGGCGCATCAGCACGAGGCCCAATAGGGGTCGACAAAGATGACGACCGTGGGACTTGGGAGGGGCTCAGCAAAACATCCCCGTAGGGATCAGCATTAGCCTGCAAGGAGGGGCTGTGATACTGTGAATAGGGGTCTTGCTCATCCTCATTGTGAGTGTATGTGCCCGCAGGCATCAAGTGAGATACCAAATCAACATTTCCGGCCGGGTCAACGGGTGCTGGTGGCAGCGGGCGCATTCCTGGGTGGAAGAAAAGGTCTTCGTGTGCGGCTCGATGTGGGCTCTCGTCGTCAGATTGATCTCCCGAATGAGGCTGGCCATATGGCGCTTCTCCTTCATCTCCATAGTCAAAGCTCATCCGTCGAGCGTAGGCGTCTGGTGCTGCAAGTCCACCCGTGCCACCGGCATCAACTCGGGCATCAGGTGGCAAATGATGAAGTCGGTTCGCATATTCGTATGCGATAGCCGGGTGCTCGTATTCGTCGTAATAATCCCCACGTTCATCAGCAGACACATTGGAGCTTCTGAATGAACCTGATGTAGGTGCAAGTCTACTACCCGCCGTATTATCCACGTAATCGTCATGGCCGTAGGCTGGTTCATCTCCATAGTGAAGATTCGCTTGATATCCTCCTTCATACAACGCCAGATCATGGCCAATGAAATCGCCATCGGCATGGGGATCAGGGCTCGGCGAGTGGCCTCTGGGCGAAATGTTGGACCCGCGAGAGCTGAGTACTGATGCATTGGTCTCACTTCGCATGCGTCCTTCACTGCGTTGCCGTTGGATCTCCTGTTCGCGGGCATCCCGGGCTTCTTCCTCCTGCAGCATAGCCAGCCCGAAGGCAATTTCAGCATCCGTGTCATCGCCGTGAGCGCCGTAATTCACATAGTGCCCTGTGCCTGTCTCCATGCTTCCATTGGTATGCGTGTGCTGCTCATCGGGCGAAAAGCGCAGGCGCGAGCTAGCGCGAGAGGCTCTGGAACTGTGGCGCCGGGCGAAATTCTCCGTGTCTAGAGCCGTGGCCTCATCTTGCCTCATGACATCTTCGTATGCCATAGGAGCATCTACCGGTAAATTATGTCCGTTTGTCGCCATTTCTTCGGCCGGTGGACCAGGCAAAGGTCGCGATTGAGGGTGTCGGGTCAGAGTGTCTGTTCGCCTCGGTGGCATGATAGGTAATTCCGACTGTACTGGAGGACTTGGCAGGGATCGCCCTGGTCCAGAGTGAGAAATACTTGGTTGCCGGGCGTACAGACCGTTGGTCTGGGTCTGGTGAACCGGTGGTGTTGGAGGCTGTTCTTCGTAGGAGCTACTGGAGACACCTGAGTTGTATTGAGGAGAAGGCAAATCATATGCAGCTCCTTGCGAATTGTTATAATACGGACGTGATGAAGGCGGAGGCATGTGGATAGCGCTGGGGGAATTCGACGGGATATAGGAGGGTGACGGGTTTGGTGACATGGGTTGGTACCCGGCCGGGCGCACCCCATACGGGTGATCAGCACCCCGCGGGGGTGGAAGAGGTGGTTGGGAGAAGCCATATGATTGCGGGGTGGGTGGTGTCTGGCCATAATGCGAGTTGGCGCTCTGCCTTCGAGCTAGAGCCGGCGAGCTCATGCTCGTCACGGTTGTCGATTGGTAAGCTGCAGGATTGTACGGTTGGTGGCCGGAGGTCGGGGCTGCGTATGTAGCCTGGCTGGAGCCATTGTGGGAGGGATTATATGCTAGGATCGGCTGTGACTGCGTGTGTGGGAGACCGTATTGCTGCGGGTTATAGGCGGAGTGCGTCGTTGTCCCTCCAGAATACTGCTGGTACGAGACGGTGGAGGCGTGGGAGGTCGCTCGAGTCGGCGACATGCGCGACATTGCGTCTGCGTGCGAATATCTCGAATCTCGTTCTTCTTCGAACCCTCCATGCGCAACGTTATAATCCGCTGATCCAGTGCTCCCATATCCGCCACCCTGTGCCGAATACTGTGCTGAGTACTGCGCGTTTCCTCCGGTCGCTCTCAGATTCTGAGCTTGGGCAGGGTTGAAGAATCCCGAATCATCCCCAGCATTGTAACTTGGCATTCGGCGAGGTAAATGCTGATCCGGCGCAGCTGTATTTTGGACCGAATAAGCCTCATAGCGGCCAGCAGATGGTTGGCCAGACGCCTGGGGGTTCGCGTGTTGGGCATAGTATGCCTGACCGTTTGGATACTGTGCCATGATTGCAGAGTTCCAGTGTGCCGTAGACTTCGATGCGCCCGAGATTGCGCAGAGAGTGTGTGTCAAGAGCGTCAGAGCCCAATTCGAGGAGGGAGGAGGTCAGAAGCGATTCGGAATGAGGGGTGCGGGCGGGTGACACGCTCTAGAGCCGGAGAGTGCCTCTTCGTGAGAGACCCTAAGGCATTCCCGTTGAACAAAGCGCCAAAAGGGGGGAAGCCGAATGGAGTGGTAAAACGAAGGAGTCGATGAAGTTGGGAATCAGCTACACCCACGCTAGTCGAGGTACCAGGGACTTGTTTCCCGCCCATTCCCCACCGCCAAGGCAAGGTATCGTTACTTTGTATCTAAAGAGTGCCAAATACTCTTACATCGGATCTTGTTTTATTGATTTGTTTCGTCTTTTCTCTGCCAACTCAGCTCATTTGTGTATTTTGCAGATATTAGGCATCCCAGCTGAAGTCGAGTCCAATACGAGGCTAAGACCGATTACCCGATTCGTAATGAGGCTGAGCGCCCCGCCACACTCTCTTCTTTACAGGATGTTCCCTTAATTGCATAGAGTGAATATCAAACGGTAGGACTATATAGGACTTAATATACATTCTCTAGCTATTTAATCCTTTCGATTTCTTATCAACCATATATGTTTCATTGTAGATCTAGCACAGAGAAGAAGTTGAAGATATTAAAGAAAATGGAAAGAAAAGAAAAGAGACAAGATGGGAGGGAGTATAGGGAAAGAATCAAAAGAAATAAGAATAGAGGGCGTAGAAGAAAGATAATGAGTTTGAAGTAGAGAATAGAAAAGGTTACAGAAAAAAGACAGGAGAGACAGGAGATAGAAGAAGTATAAAAAGAGAAGGCAAGGTAGAGGTAGAGAGAATGGTAGAGAAAGGTAGAGAAAGACATTTAACTATCCCGGTATTAAGGTAAAGCTCGGTCTTAAAGGATGGCTCTGTGTAGGGCTATCCCCGTCTATAGTTGATTCCTAAGTAGATTTCTGCTAGATATCACATTCTCATGCAATCTTTCATTGACACAAGAAATAAATCAAGCTTTATGCATATGGAATAAGAACCCCCAAAGCAGTCAATCTAAACCTCACATGCGAGCAAGAAGCTCTTCTCGCCATCCCCAAGCAAGAGCAAAAGCCGCCCCAGGACCAACCGTAACCGTAGCCCCCAAGACAGCACAAGTAGACTTCCACCATGAAACCTGGGCGCCCGATTGTTTCAACTCGCGGAATCGAAGACCCAACCAAACAAACCCAGATGCCATAGAGAGGATCTGATCATATTGAAGGAAACGTGCGATACCCTGAGAGAATGATCCAACAGCATCCGTATGTCCGTGCAGACCAGGCAAGAAAATACTAGCCAAGGATGTACCTGCGGGTGCCAAAAATCGGGCATAGAGGAAACTCAGGCCTGAAATCGCGGCAAAGGTAGTATACGTGCAACGGATGGCGAACATGTTCTTTCGGCGTTGTTCTTTTGATTCCTTGGGGGCAGCAGGGGGTTGGGGTTTGGCCATAATACGGAAAGGAAGTTGGAGGAGGGGTACAACCACTGGGAACAATTGCCATGCAGCATTCCATGATCGACGCGATTCGAGCGTGGAGGCGAAGAAGTTGGCGAATGTGGGAAGGTAATAACCGGCTAAAGTGGCAGGCAGGAGAGATGCCAGGGCAGTCATCTTCATGCTTTTATTGTCGGAGTGAAGCATGCTCGAGAGAGGCGAGCGGATATACTCAATGGCATAGTACAATGGGGCAAATTTGCCGATACCCTTTAGTTGAAATGCGGTTCCTGCGAGGATAGGTCTAAGGATCCAGGAATTAGCCTCATCACCAGTGCAAGGTTACATGGGGGTATACAGCGTCTTTTCACTTACAGCAATACCTCAAATCCAGAAGAGCCCTTGCGATAGCTTTCCAATAGCCAGATCCCGTAGACAGGCCCGAGATCAGCCATGAAAGAAAACATTTGCGCATAAGATCGTGGGTCGGATCCACTAATAGAAGGCAGGAAGCAGGTAATGGGACCACTGAGGATCTTGTCGAGAAGAGAGACGTGGTATATAGGCCTGGTCAAACTGACAGTCTCCCCATTGCTGGCTGTCCAGGCACCTTGTCTAAAGATAGATCCCAGCAAGGGAATTGTCTTTTCAATCACACTACCCATAGTGATATTTGCTGCAACATAGCAACCAAGAAGAGGCGTAGCCCAAAGAGCACGCTGGATGTATGAAGTGCCATCGCTAGCATCTGACTGAAGATGGAGGGGCATGGAGCATTGTGAGGCTCTAGGCGGGAGCGGAATGGAGTCGAGCTTTTCGGCTCCCATCATCGATCTAGACGCTTTGTCAATGAGGTATTGCTTCATATAGGGAAGGAGATGTTGTGTGATGATTTTGTCTTTAAGGGTTGCACCGGCTTCAAGTCGAGTGAGACCATTAGCCGAAATTGAGACTGTTTTAGTCCGAGGTTGGCGTGATTCTTGCCATTTCGCCAGGCAATTCTTGATATCCGATACTTCGATCGGTGACCCTTGAGTTAAAGTGGTAAGATAATTTGCCAGTGAAGCGGCGCTTTCGATCGCGCTGTTGCCTCCTTGGCCCATGTTAGGAGTCATCTTAGTTGGCATAATGTCAGTACAGTGCAAGAGTTTGCTTGTGATGGAATCTTACCTTGTGGATAGAATCGCCGATGCAAACAAATCGATAATTGGACCAGTGAGTATAGAAGGCCTCTTCGAGTGCCAAAAAGTTTTTGCTCACTTCATTCTGATAGACAGCAGAAAGGGGCACAGTATCAGTGATAGGGATGTGAAGATATTTCTCCATGTGCTTCTCCATGTCTTCATTGTTGAATCTTGGAATCTCCGAGGCAGTGTAGGTCTTGTCCATCTTGGTGAAAAGGAACCAGAACACTCGGCCTTCTTTTCCTACTATAGTCAAAGTAGAATAGCCTTCTGCGAATGTGCGGTGACTCTGCCCGGGATCTAAACCTGGCGTTGCTGTGGAAATTCCGAATACACATGCATACTCGGACGACACCACTGTTTAGCAGTTAGGGCTGTGCAAGAACGGATAATTCTAACAAGAACACAACGTACGCGCACGTTCTTTCTTGGCCTGTTCAGGAACAACTGAGTCCATGTGACGCCACATTTCCTGTCGAATCGTACTTCTCACACCATCGGCTCCCACGACGATGTCACCCTCGAACACGGACTGGTCCTTACAGTGAACCTGCACTTTGTCGGAGAGATGCTCCACCCTTGTCACCCTCTTGTTCGCCAGAATCTGACCTTGTCTGGCATCCAGGTTTCTGGAGAGAATCTCCAATAAAATCTGGCGGTCGAGAAACGAGATAGCATATCCATGTCTATCCAAATGTCAGCAAGTTACACCAACAAGGACTTTTAATATCGCACCTCTCGTGCAGGATCTGAGGAGCCTTGGTTGAACTAATGAGTTTCCCAGCACCCGACCAGGAAAAAGCCTCTTGCATGGGCTCAGTTGCATCGAGAATCTCATCGAACAAGCCAAGTTGATCGAGGATCCGAGCCCCATTAGGAAGAATTCCTATCGAAGCACCCACCTGGGGTGCAATATCGCGGTTTGATTCCAAAACCACAAAATCGATGTTGCTTTTCAGCAATGAATGTGCCAGAGTTAGACCGGCAACCGATCCGCCAACTATGATCACACGCAATCGCTTCTGGTCACTCGACATGACGGCGGTCAAGATACAAAACACAGCAGACTTTGACTGGAAGGCGTATACACAGTTCGACTTCAGGAGTTGGCACAAGACTTGACTTTATATTACACGTGTTTCAGGTGCTGTCTTCCTAGTTGCGATTCGGCTCCGTTGAGATGCCGGTGCAATTATGCACATCTGTCAGAGTAGTGGATTCTATCCGTCTCTGTGCCACGTACGAATCATATTTTTTCCTGTCCTGGGGGCCAGCTGTCTCTCTAAAGTGTTACTGTTCTTTACGTCTGCACATAATACGCCTAATGATCCGGCTCCACTTGGATTATGCATATCACCCGTCTTCGCGCATTCCATTGGTTAATACTGCGGCTTTAGAGAATGAGACCCACCGGGTAGATAAAAAAACGAGAAATCCGAGAAATCCGAGAAACCTGAAGATCGGCAATGCATTCAAGTTTGTTCAATTTGTGCAGTGTGGGATGATTCTGTGTCTTGTCTGCTTTGACGTGCAGTGGAGCATCCAGAATTGGACGCCTGTCGCCTAGATCTTCTACGGTTGTCTATTGGTGATGTCGTCCTCAGACCAACAGATTGGAAGAATCCTGGGCGATCGAAAACGAAGAAACCAAAAGCCACGAGTGTTGCAATCGTGTACCGCATGTCGCAAGAGAAAGTAAGATTCTTCCCGAGTTCGAATTTTGAGTAAGGGCAATGTTGATCTATATAGGGTCAAGTGTGACCGGAAATTACCATGTGATAACTGTTCACAAGCAAGACCTACATTGTTTTGTCATTACACCCCTGAACGCCAGGCTAGATCTTTTGGGCATGAAACGCATATCAACAAAAATAACAGCCATGCAGAGTGGAACGGCTATGATATTGCCGATTCTACCACGAAGAAAGCAAAACCAACAGGGCTTCTGCTATCAGGGCCTACTGGGACAAGATACATGACTTCTGGGCATTGGCAAGCGATCATGAATGCCGTATGTCTTTAATTGACTCAGTTGACTGGGCTAGACGCCCTTCAAGCATCGGTCACCAAAAGTGCTAACTCAGGGAACAGACAAGGCAGCTCAAACAAGGAAACAATCATACATTTGATGAACAGAGCCAAGCAGATGCCGAAAAGACCTCTCATGGACCGTATCTACTACAAGGCATCGCCATGAAAATGAATATTGTTGATCTCCTTGCGGCATTACCGGATCGCTCGACTACCGAAAAGCTTGTCTCAGACTATTTTGACTCTCAAGAGCCCTCATTAAGTATAGAGCCATCCTCAGTCGTCAGAAAACAGGAAGCTCATGCATTATCCCAGTCTTCATCCATGGCCCTACTTTCAGAAACGAGGTAAAAAGACCCAACTCAATCAACTTGTTCAACTTACAAATGAAAACAGTGTGACGAGTTTTGGCAGGCTCCAACCAAAGTATCTCCAGCATGGCTAGCAATCCTATACGGCATTATTTCATGTGCACAGTGGATTGACCACATCATCAACGTGGACTCACCAGTCACCAAACCTGACGGATTCAAACCATTTGACCTATTCGACCTATATCGGAAGCAATGCGCGCTCTGTCTCGCCAACTCAAACTACACCCACCCAGGAAAATACAAAGTCGAAGCTCTTGGCTTATACCTAGGTCTGGAATACCTTCACAGCAACAACCTGAAAACAAGCGTCTCGGTCCTTCTAGCAATTGCCATTCGACTCGCCACTCTAATGGGCTACCACCGTGATGCAAAACCCTACTCGCAGGTCACTGTCTTCGACGCCGAGATGCGTCGCCGGGTATGGTTATTCCTTCAAGTAACCGACTCCGTCGTTGCATGGCAAACTGGTGTCCCACGTATAATCTCCCAGAAAATAGGTGATACAGCCTTTCCCACCAATCTTCTCGATGATGATTTCGGTCCAACAGATACAAAACTACCACCTCCACGCCCAAACACCCATTTGACAAGCGGTGTCATCTACCTCATCGCCAGAGAACATATCATGTCAGCCAGCAGTGATATCACAGATAAAATGTCCATGAAAACATTATCACACGAAGAAACAACCCATCTCAACCAACAGCTCGAGCAAGCAAGGGATAAAGTCCCACCCTTCTTGAGAATAACCAACCCCAACACAAATCAAGATCTCAATCTCCATCGCTATACACTTGAAATCACATTCCAACGAACAAGATGTATCCTACACAGACAGTACCTTGTCACACACCGAAATGAACAAAAATACAAACCTCTCCACCAGATCTGCGTCGATTCAGCCCGGCAAATCCTCCACCACCAATCAAACCTTTTCCAAGGAATTGTTCATCAGGCTCGACTTTATTCTCGAACTTGTTTCAGTGCATCATTGTCCATAAGTGATTGTCTCACTGCTGCTATGGTCATTTGTTTCGAGATCATATGTCTATCCCGGGAACATCCCGCGGATAGTAGTCGTGCTGATCTTATTCGACTTTTGCAGAATTCATGCGAAACTTGGAGATGTTTTCCCAAGGCCTCGTTTGAGACTTCCAAGGCGGCTGAGACTATTGCTTCCATGCTTGCTTTGGTGCATTTGGATGATAGCCATGGTGCTGTTGAATTTCCGGTGTCGGTTCAAAGGGGTGGGGCTGAGTTGCGCTCTCCTGTCTCGATGACTGGAGATACGGGGACAGGGGCATTTTTGAATGTGTTGAATGGGGATTCTACACTTGAGATGTTTGATTGGGTAAGACCTGGTTGTGTTTTGAAATGGCATTTGAAAAGTAAGATTTGAGGCTAATGTTTCTTTATAGGGCCTTTGGGATCGCGAGATGATGGAAATGAACTGCATCATTGCGAATCACGTACCATTTTGAGTCTGTTGGCTTTTTTCCAGTCCGAAAAATAATGAATTATGACTATTTAATCTATGGATAAAAAGACGCCGACTCAAACCACTCCAAGGAAAGCTGGCTATTAAACAATTGCCACATCATCTCATCATCCCGGTAACTTCCATCGGGGGTCTGCAATTGCTGCGGATAAGAGCCAAGTGGATCCATAAGAGGCTCCAGATATTGTTGTTGGTCAGGCATAGCATGCTGGTCTCGTCGCATCGTCATTGCAGGGTACAAAGAAGCCAATTTGGCTTGAGGGCCCATGCGTTCTTTGGCTTGGATTAATGGTATGCAGAGGTTCTGGAGGGTGTCGAGTAGTTTGAGAAGCTTGGCGATGTAAGGACTGGCTGTGAATTGGGAGAGACTGTGTGTGATATCTTGAATCAGGTTGTAGTCGTCCATGTCCAGCTCGCCGATTATGTTGCAGAATAGAACGAAAAATGGACTCAGGGGGTATAAAAGGACAGTCCTGGAAATAGGTGAGTGAGAATTTGCACTGATTTGATGTAGAGTAACTGACCATGTCAGGAATGTTGGGTATGGATCAATGAAGCCAGGCGTGTCTGCTATGTTTTGTTGTAGGTGATGCAGAGCTTTGAGGGATTTGCGGGAGTAAGATAGACACTCTCTGTGTGTCATGGGAGAGAAGACGTATTTCAAGCGAGATCGCAGAATGTCGACTAAGATGGAATAGTAGCAGAAATCACCAGCAATCCAATCAGATGCAATGAGATCGGGCGCTGCGGCTCGAGACTTGAATAGCAGTCAGCTAAATGGGGTCCAAGTATGAAGCCGGGTCTTGACTTACAGAATCCAGTCTCGAGCGTATGATCTCCATCCTTTCCTGGAGTCTGGAGTGCCTTTCGATTATATGACGAGTATCACCGGCCTTCCCACAGTCCAAAAGCTCGCCTTGGATTTGAGCCAGATCCAACAAAATGCGTAATAAAGGAATATGCGGTAGAGATTGATCATCTGTAATGAGGTTTGTTGGAGGGATTCGAGGCTCAGGTAGTGATAGAGGCCGGTAGAGGAGTGTGCTCAGCGTTCGATCCAGATAGAAGCACCAATACACAACGCTACGGATCTCCTCGTCCAAATCCGAGTTGCCGTGTGGATTGCGAATCTCATGGTAATCTAAAGCGACAATGAGACGGGCAGCGTATGAATTCAGAATCCAGGCTTGGCTCATATTTCCAAGATACTGCATGAAGAGTGCCTGCACGGTTGTCAGCAAGAAGTCCACACGTTTGACAGTCGCAGATGCACGCATACCGCAGAAATTAGGGATTGAATAAACGGCAGAGTCGGGGCATTCAAGAAGTTCAGACTATTCAAAGCTCGAAATGCGCATGCCTCGTATAATTTCTTCGACCTGAGAAATTGCTCGTTCATGCGCGGGTCCTTGTAGGCTCTTGGCTTTTGATACAGATGGAAGATGGCTTTCACGTAAACACAAATGCAGTACTGGTAGAAAACCTGTCCATGATCGTTATCACGGTCACTCAAGATAGTTGATGCCATCTTCTCGAGTGTTTTGTTTGAGATGTGATCGGGCCATTGTATACAGTATGAACGCCCAGCTGCAGCTGTAGGTTCTAATTTCATTTAGCCCATTACTTCCAGTCAATATTGAATTTCTTGACAACTTACCTGGAAGAAGCATGTAGAGCAATTCTGGAGAAGGAGTGATAGACCCTATGCCATCTTGTAAATCTTCACTCGAGACGTCTAAAGATGGTGAACTTTTATCCGATGCACCTCTCCCTTGAGCCATCACGTCCACGAATTGCAGCGCAGACTTGAGAATCGACTGGCGCTCACGGTCCATTCGCTCGTTTCCAACCAGCTCACCTTGAATCACTGCGCGCGCTTGTTCGGCATGGTGCGTTGTTGATCCAATATCACAAACAGTGTGGGGCGACTGAGGGGAGGTTTTCGGACCGGAGATCTGATCCAGTCTCCTTTTTTTCGAAGTACTTTCTCGAGAGGATGAGGCATTTGAAGGACTTGAGTTTTCATAGCCCCTAACGATGTTAACGAGAGCATCATTCGTTACCGGAGAATGATCATACTCTGAGACTGTCCTTTCCAAATTCAAGACCCGTTCGCCCAGCGCGGATATCCTATCGAATTTCGTCAGAAAATACCAACAGCATTGAAATAGTCAACACATACATCGACGTCGCCTGAGGCCGACATCGCGGAACTCTGGTCCTCCGACACTCAGCGCCTGCATCGGCACAATTCGCACAGTTTAACTGCCTATCACAGCGCACCTGTTCCAAATGAGCATTAGGAATGTATTTTCGATCAATTTCAATACCTTTCTCGAGTGGCAGAGATCACACTTCACAATTAGCTAACTAAATACAATGTAAAATGTAAATGAGGTCACTTACAGCTCGTAGCGCGTCGTCACTCATTTGTATCACAGGCTAAGATATTTGCAGGATAGTCCACCCCCATCAGATCGGATCTTAGTCCGTCAACACAAAAAGAAAGAAGAAAGAAAAGGGAAAGCCTCTTGTAGATCGCTCGGTTCTTGCGGAGGCTGCGGCGTCTGTGATGTCAAGCGCCGACAGCCGCTCACTAAGCGGCTTCTGCACGCTCCATTTGCCGTTTTAGGTCGGGGCCGACTGAATGGGGTCTCAACGGTCCGAAATATTCGAATTTGATGCTTCGTGAGTTGATTATAAAGTAGATTTCTCTAGAAATTGTGTGGAAGTATTGGAATTTCTTGTAGACCAATTCGCGATGCCGTTCTCCAAAATCTCGAAAATTCTCTCTCTCTTCCCGGCAGGGGGAGTACTTGCTGCAGGGTCATTCTTCTACACTACACGACAAATCGAGGCAATTGAACTCTCCCCGGAAGATCCAATCTTCAAATCCAAATATCACCAAGAACACAATCCAAACAACAATCCCACCGTCCACGACTTGCATATCCGACGAGTCCCAATCTCCCAGATAGACCCAACACTACTCCAAAACCCAGACCAACTCCTCGAACGATTTAGCGGAGGAGTCTGGGCTGGCTCGGGTAAGTCATGGCGTCCTCGTATTCCTCAAGGCTAACCAGGTGGACGCATAGCATTTGCACTACAACGCAGTCTCGGATCAAATAGACAGCCACCACAACTATGGGAACCAGCCGACCTCCTCAAATCGAAATACCAGCCGGGGACAATAATTACCGATGAATTTCTCGTGTTGAGCAAGTCGAAAGATGCGATTCTTATCCGCGGTGGAGATAAGGTGTCAAAAGCCGAGCTCCGGCCGATGGACGGGTTGATTGAATTGAGGGTGCAGGTGAAGGATGAACTGGTGGAGTTTGGGTTTAAATCTTTGTTCTTTCAGGGTCTTGGTAGGTCTGATCGACTTCCTATGCCTGGGTTTGTGGTTTGGCTTCATGAACAGTATGCGAAGGCTTTGTTGGAGTCGGGGGTGAGACATGTATTATGTGAGTGAGGGTATAGCATCCTGTGTTTTGAATAAATAGAGTGTACGATATGAATGTATGTAATTTTAAGATGAAGACCTGAAATTGCAGTTTAAATGTGGAAAACATCCCTGATATTGAAAGCTAGGTAGCAAGAATAGTATTCAACGATGGAAAAACCAAATCAAATAGCAATGGGGTATAAAGCAATAGAAAAATCATCCAAGCTCAACGCACAGCAAGGCAAAATAATAAGCTTGAAACAGGTAAATCATAATGCAACACCCAGTGGCGCGATAACCATATTACCGTCGAGATTCCGAGGCTCGTGTAATCCATGTAAGTTTCTGAAAATATTGAAGCAGAAATCAGTCGCGGGAAAGGATAGTAATGGCTCTGCTTTTCATGATCCAGCCTGAAGACTTTGTTGCGTCCCCTTCCTACAATGAAGGTTCCAGGAGTCCTGTTCGGGTAGTGAAAACAGCTCGATGAAGCTTGCTTGGCAGAGAGTCCTCATTTTCCATCATAGATTTGGTCAGGCGTGAGCGAGAATTCTCCCTTTTGGATCTCTTTCGCATTGACGTGATCGGGCTTCACAAATCTGGCAGTCAAAGCGAAGCGTAATTTGTTCTCGGGGGTCACAGAGTGCTATTCCAGTCAACTTTGATTGACACCTATCAATGGACAGGGAAGGAACTAACCTCGTAGTACTTCTGCAAGTTCTCGCCGTGCATGACAACCAGATCGCCGTGGTTAAGCTCCATCTTAATTGCGGTGGTAGCCTCCCTACCCTTGTGATCTTTGAGAAGAGCCCGCCGAGAAAGGTCGTAGCTTTCGCGCTTAATCACACCGGCCTCGAGATCGTGTTTGAGCTTGCGCCGCTCACCTTCGGAGCTGCAGTCTTTCAAAACGGGGTCATCCTGCAGAAGGGTTCCGGTAGCGCCGCCGACCCTTCGGGTATTCCCGTTGAAATACTTGTACTTCATGCGAATGGACATGGTGGCTTTCGCTCCGAGAGAGAAAGTGGCAATTGTGGGGCCTAGTGAGGACTCCCCATCATCGTGGAACTGGAAATGTTAGCTTCAGGTAACACCGGTACCGATGTGCTGCGACTTACGCCGATCTTCATTTTCTCGAAATATCCGAGAGTGAGCAGTTCGTTTGGAGGTAGGTAGGAACCACCAGATGACATTACCGCCTTTTCAGTCGCCCAGGACAAGCGACCCAATACCTGGAGAATGGTCTCGGGGGCTTCGTCAAAGCCTTTCGAATCAACGGATACCACGTACTTATATGGCATTCCAAAGTTGACCGCGAAGTGAGAAGTCAGTGTACCAGCAACGAGACTGGATTTAAGTCGGAATCGTTTGAGCCCCAGATCCTCACTTTGAAGTCTGACGAAGAGATCATCAGGTCCGTTCTTGCGGCTGTTCACTTCTTGGTTGGATACAAAGTGAGTGATTGAGCCAACACCCTCGAGCTGGTAGGTCAACTTCTTGTATGGGAAGAAAGAGACGTCATCGATTTCCGGGATAATGAACTTCGGATCAGACGGGATTGCACGCTTGATCTGATTCACCTTGAAATCTCCAAGAACGTCACACAGTGAAAGGGGTGTCATCTTCATGAAATGTTCGAACGGACAGTGCTCTCCGTCGAGAACCGAGTCATCATCGCATTTCCAACCGTGCCAGAATGTCCGTCGGATGCATTTCTTACACTTGGGACATACTATGCCTTTCCAGGCAATACGCGATGTGCTAACTGGTGCGCTTTCGTTCAGAGTAGACAAAAGATCGGGAACGAGGCTGTAAGACGGCTGAACTGTTGGGTCCGGAGGACTGCGGCAGTTCAAAAAGTCAGGATGATAGGTGAGTTCAGCTGGAGGTGAAGCATTTTCCATTTTCCAGAAACCAGGGCAGTCCGGATCAAGGCACATCCATCCTTCCTCGAAGATGCGTAGGCTTTCGCTGGAGCAGCTCTCGCATTTGATGCATTCCGGCTTGGCTTCGAAGTCCCGCTCTTCAATGGGTAAAGGAAGAGGGGAATCCTTTGCACCCCACCAACTCTTGTTTGCGAGGTTCAACTTCTCGAAGCGGACTTTGGCGCTATACTTCTCTCCGACCTTTTCGAACCACACATTGGTCACTCGGAACCAGTCCATAACATTGTACCGATGTGGAACGTCTCGGTTAAGAAGCTTGTTGTTTTGTCCTATTGTTATTGTCAGTCCTCCGCACCAAGCCGTGTTTCGCAGTTGCTTACCAAGGACGAGACCAACAGCCAGTTTCGAATTTTGGCTACCGAGGACACTCTTCACCAGGGTATTTCCAGCATCTTGATCCTTCTTAAGGATCAGATTGCCCTCAGAGTCCTTGGTGCAGCATCCACCACTAGGCAAATCAGAATTTGGACCTGGATGTCTGGAATCAGACAACTGGGTGGTACTAACATCCGAGTAATGAGTACCTCTTCATCCAGATAAGAACGCTCCCCACCATCAGCATCGATAAGAAACCCATAGCAAAAGCCTTCGTTGTGGTACATTGCACCTTGAGTGCAGTGGAACCAGGGAATTGCATCACAAAGTTGTTGCCGACCCTGTCGAGTTAGTATATTGTGAGATCAATTCCAGCGGAACATTCATACCTCTGCCCAGGCTGGGGGGTTGTCATAAACCTCCACCGGCCCACTGAAGGGCACCAGTTGCAGCTTACCAGCCGACACTAAACAACATTAGACCAAAATGAATGTTCCAGGCATTGGGTAGTGCTTTCTGTACCTTTGAGGGTTGATTGTGCTTTCTTTGTCTTGCTGACGCGTCCCGCTCCCACAGGGCTTTCTTTTGTCTGGCTGCGGGTGACTGCAGGGCGTGGTGACATCTTTCATCGAGCGCATAACCGAGTGGGCAAGCCCTAGAGCTAATCCCATAATCAGTAAGTCATTGGCTCATGAAAATGATTCCAATGTAGTGCAGATGCTGCAGATGCTGGAGTGCCGCTGGCAGCCCAGAGGCCCAAGTGACACACCCTTTTGAACAAAGCCAATAGGGGTTTTTCTTGGGCCTGTTAATTTGTCTGATATCACATTTACCTGTAGGAGTGATCTGAGAAGCAATCACGACGCGTTTCGGGTGTGAAACTGAAACTGGGGGTGTTTCGGGTGATGGTTCGGGTGATGGTACGGTGATGAGGGACTCCATGGGGGGTTTTGCCAGGGCGGCGGGATTACCCCGCATTTTGAATCCTTGCCAACCCCCATGAAGTCCAACAGATTCTGTAGAAGATATGATATACTACTTGAGAATTAAGACTTCAGGAGTAGAATCTGTCATTTGGTATAGATCTATCTTGCAAGAGCATATATGACAGTGCCCCCAGACTAGTACTTCGTAGTGAACAAGAACCAAGTCAACGATGAGATCCAGCGCTATATTCCAATGAAAATTAGTATAGACCTCTCCAATTGATGAAGTCCCGAATGTGAAGATATCCGCACTAGTGAACTACTAGTGCTATATGAGTACGAGGCTGTATGCTGACAGGGCAGGGATCTGCATGCCAAGGCCACTTTAAATTTCGATGAGCAATTGGCTCCATTTGATTAGCCTCCGATCCGAGTTCGAGTTCGCCTCTGCATAGAGATTGGAGAAGAGTACAGGGTATGGTGTGTTACAGAGCAAATCGAGGAAGAGGATGTACTGAAGTACAAACTGTATGTCAATTAGACTCAATTAGACTTGCATACCTAGGTACACACGAGCAACTGGCGAAAATATCCTCCTTACTCCGTACATACTCGTACATACTCGTACATAGAATTCTATACTCCACCATATGTAGTTATATTATAGACGTTGAAGTCATAACTCAATATTCAGTCATGGCGCAGTGTCGCGGAGTCACGTCGGTATCCTCACCTCGGATATCCACATCGGCCGAGGCAACTCTTCCCCGCGGTATAAGCTCCGCCGCTCCAACAACAATATGCCGACTCGGATGATTCGCGAAGGGCCGGAAATCCAATTTCGGTTCGAGCCGAGAATACCAGTACTTATAGTCATTAGTTAGGTGTGAAAGCGCGAACAGAGAGAAGTTCGCAAGGTTTGCCGAGATCCCCGCACGTCTCCACGTATCATTTTAAACTCCTCACCCGCTCTTTTTTTTCCCCCTGGACATCTTCTTTTCTTTCTTCTTCAGAGTCTGTGATTTTCAAAAGGTAGGCTACATAACAGAATACCATACATTACTGGGACAGCAGCTAATCGCATCCTACCAGCCGATATACCCTCTTCCCCTGTACATACGTGACATTCGGAGCAACCCCGTGACGTCGAGACTCTCCAAAATGGTCTTCCTCCCTGCCAAGTCTGCCGGCCAATTGCCGCAGATCCCAGACAACATCCCCATCAGCGAGTTCATGCTGAATGAGAAGTACGGACGATTGGCACACGACAGCTCCCGCGACCCATACACATGCGGGTTCACGGGCAAGTCATACTCCTCGCGCGAGGTAGTAAGCCGCGTGGACAGAATTGCCCGCGGTCTCTCCAAGGAGCTCGGGTGGGCGCCAAACCAAGGCTCAGAATGGGATAAGACACTGGCGGTTTTCACGCTGAACACTGTAAGTGCAAATGAAATCGCACATCGAATGCAAGCTGACTCTCTTCAGATTGACTCGCTCCCCTTATTCTGGGCTGTTCATAGACTGGGCGGTGTTCTGTCTCCTGCCAATGCATCTTATTCGGCTGCCGAGTTGACACATCAGATTCTCGATTCCAAGGCAAAGGCCTTGGTGACTTGTTTGCCTCTCTTGTCTATTTCCTTGGAAGCTGCTGCCAAGGCTGGACTTCCCAAGAGCAGAATCTACCTGCTTGATGTGCCTGAGCAAATTCTTGGAGGCGCGAAGGCTCCAGCTGAATACAAGACCGTTGACCAGATCCACGATGCTGGAAAGTCTCTTCCGGCTCTTGAGGAGCTGCGCTGGAGCGCAGGCGAAGGTGCCCGCCGAACTGCGTTTTTGTGTTACTCAAGTGGAACTTCGGGCTTGCCGGTGAGTGCCATCCCATGTTGCGAGTGTCATCCCATGTTGCACGAGGATACGTACTGATAATTGGACAGAAAGGAGTCATGATCTCTCACCGCAATGTCATTGCCAATACACTCCAGATCAAGGCGTTTGAACATGGTTACCGAACGGCTTCGGGCACGAGACCCCCCACAACTGATGTCTCCCTGGGTCTTCTTCCCCAAAGTCACATCTATGCTCTGGTGGTCATCTGTCATTCTGGGGCATACCGCGGTGATCAAACGATTGTTCTCCCTAAATTTGAGTTGCAGTCGTACCTCAAGTCCATCGCGCACTTCAAGATCACTTCCCTATTCTTGGTAAGCATTTTCACAGCCTCAGACACGAGACATCGCTAACGGATCAGGTGCCTCCCATCATTATCCACATGCTGAGCAGCCAAAAAGTGTGTTCGCAGTTCGACCTCAGCTCCGTGCGCACATTGTTCACTGGAGCCGCTCCCCTGGGAGTGGAGACAGCCACCGATTTCCAGAAGATCTACCCCAACGTTCTGATCAGACAAGGATACGGTATGTACCTCGCCATCAAGCTCGAATCACAAACTAACACCCCCAGGCCTCACGGAAACATGCACAGTCGTCAGCTCAACACATCCCGAAGACATCTTCCTCGGCTCATCCGGAGCCCTTGTCCCCGGCTTCGAAGCCCGAATCATGACCCCCGAGAACGAAGAGATCACCAAATACGACACACCAGGCGAATTGGTCGTGCGCGGACCCAGCGTCGTCCTGGGCTACCTGAACAACGACAAAGCCACGAAAGAAACCTTCGAAGACGGATGGATGCGAACAGGCGACGAGGCCGTGATTCGCCTCAGCCCCAAGGGCATCGAGCATGTCTTCATCGTGGACCGGATAAAGGAGTTGATCAAGGTCAAGGTATGTGACGTCACTGCGTTATTCTCAATGTCCGCACTAACACCTCCCAGGGTCTCCAAGTTGCGCCTGCTGAGCTGGAGGCTCATCTTCTGGCTCATCCTGCTGTTTCGGATGTTGCGGTTATTGCTATTCCGGATGATCGGGCTGGAGAGGTTCCCAAGGCAATTGTTGTCAAGGCTCCTGGTGCGCCTGGGGATGAGGAATTGACCAAAATTCTGATTAAGCATGTTGAGGATCATAAGGCGAGACATAAGTTCTTGAAGGGGGGTATTCGGTTTGTGGATGCCATTCCTAAGAGTCCTAGTGGGAAGATTCTTCGTCGGTTGATTCGGGATCAGGAGAAGGAGGCGCGTCGGAAGGCTGGTGCTAAGATCTAGATTGGTGTGTACATTTATTTCCAGGGTTTGAAATCAAGTCTCAATAGACTGCATATAAGTGTTTTCATGAAAGATTCTCGGATCTTATTCCATGGCTCCAGGTTTCATGGTACTTAAGTAAGGGAATGTGGCAAGGTTATGTATGCTTTACCACTTGAGCAACACTAGAATGGAAGAATTGGGTACTTCTAAAGTTATTTATGTACTAACTAGTAATTTGGAAGTGATAAATCAAAATCAAAACACCAGATGAGATGGAAAATGTTTAGACTAAACCCCCTAGGCTCTAAACCAAAGAAAAAAATAAAAGTACTTTGTACTTAAACACCCAGCAGATGTTGAAACTGGGAGGTTCTAAGTTACGGAAATATATTCGGCACAATTGGACCCAAAAACAACCTTGGAATGCAGGTACTTAAGTAAGGAGATAAGAAGATAAGAGCACTAGAGATGTGAAAACAACCTTGGAACTCTGTCCAGGGCTCCTCAGGTTGCCGCGAGTTCTACAAATTCAATGTTCCGAGTTGGCTGCTATCGCCAGTGAACATAAACCACTCTTCCTTTTTTACCCTGGGTTTTGTATGCAACACACCTTTTGTCGCAACATATTTTGTCACAACTTGGTCGTCGCAATATAGTCGTCACAGCATGGTCAACGAATCACCACATCATATCCATGGATTTCTCCAAACATACCTTGGTATTCATTTAGCCTTCATACATCCCTATCAGAGGCGGTCAGAAAGTCGGTCAGCCTGAGGGCACATTTTGCCAGAAGTTGGATTTCTAAGCGGGGTCAAATAAAAAAAAAGATCATACCTTGTCCAATTTCTGCCGTGTCCATTCCATACCGTAAAAATGTCTTCAAATGAACACCACGAGAGCCAGGATGAGTATCTCCAGGCTGACGATGCTGAAGAGGTCTTCGATCGTGATGAGGACCAGGACATGGATGTGGATGGAGAATATGACGACCAGAACATGACCATTGAGGATGAGATCACCTTCCAGAATGACTCCGCGGCACACTTCGATTCTCACACAGACTCTGTGTTCTGTGTCGCTCAGCACCCCATTCATAACCAGATTGTCATCACTGGCTCGGGTGATGACTCCGCGTACATCTTTGACTCGACTCCTGCAGCCCGTCCCGTCCTCCCCTCGAGCTTTGAAACCACCCCCCAGCCACGGGAGCGGGAAGCTCTGACTCCTCTGGCCAAGCTCGACGGCCACACCGACACTGTCAACGCAGTCACCTTCACCGAGCCGGCTGGAGAATATGCTGTCACGGCTGGTCTGGATGGCAAGCTGCGCGCTTACCGAGACACCACACCCCAGAAGACTGGACTTGCGTGGGAATTCTTCGGCGAGGCACAGGAAGTGGAGGAAATCAACTGGATGGCAGTCTGCCCCTACCAGAAGGGTAGTGAGGAGAAGAAGAACGTCATCGCAATCGGTGCAAACGACGGCAGTGCCTGGGTCTTCCGCATTGACCACACCGACCCAGCCAATCCTATCTCCATCATCCAGACCTTCTTCTCGCATACCGAATCATGCACTGCTGGAGCCTGGACGCCCGATGGAAACCTGCTCGCTACCGTCTCCGAGGATGGAAGCTTCTTCGTGTATGACGTCTTCGGTGCCGCTGCCGCCGCCGGGATTGAGTACTCCCCAGGCACCAATGCCGTTCTTGGTCTGAATGCCGAGGACCAGCGTTTCGCCGTCATTGGCGGTCTTTACACCATCGCAATCTCCCCCAGTGGAGGTATTGCCGCAGTCGGTGGTGCGGAGGGCAACATCCGTGTTGTTGGTCTTCCTCGTATTACCGCTTCTGGTCCCTCAGCCAAGGGCAAGGGTGCCGCTCCCAAGTCTGCAGGTGCCACTGCTGCAGGCACAATCATGGCCTCCCTGCAGACGCAGACCGACAACGTCGAGTCTCTGTCATTCTCCCAGGCTCCGTTCACTCTTCTGGCTGCCAGTTCCGTCGATGGCTCAATTGTGATGTATGATGCTGCTCACCGTTTCGCGGTCCGCAGACACATCCAGGAAGCTCATGACGGTGCCCCTGTTGTCAAGGTTGAGTTCCTTCCTAGTAACCGTCAAGCTGGTGCTGGTGTCTCTGGACCTCTTGCCTCTGCTTCTGCTGCTCAGAATAACCGCTCTTGGATGCTTACCTCTGTTGGTCTGGACGGTGTGGTTCGCCGTTGGGATGCTCGTGGTGGCACCACCGCTGCTGCCCAGGGATTGATGCAGGAGTGGAAGGGTCACATGGGTCTGACTGAGAATGACGAGGGTGAGCAATCTGGAGGTATCATGGGCTTTGTGCAGAACTTTGACGGAAAGCGTATCGTGACGGCGGGTGATGATGGTATCTCATTGGTGTTTGAGGAGTAAGGTGTCGGGGAGAGAGAAAATAAGAAAGAAGTAGAGAGTGCCCGCGTTAGAGTGGGGCTTCATGTCGATAATGAATTATGTGTGTATAGATGTTCAAAGTCAAATACTTTTGTTGTGGTTACTTTCAAATCACTTCATCGATTCACTTGGTGCCACTTGGTTGGAAACACAAGTACCCGAGGACAAGGTAATGCATCTCATTGCAACTATGATTAGATTCAAGGAGCTACCACTACAATGAAGAATGTTTACTTGTCATTCACTCGAACAGTAAAGAGATATCTCGTTGTGGTAGTGGAACAAAAGCTATGTACATTCGACAAATCAAACCCAAAGCGCCATCTGGAAGGCACACTCCTCATAGACCACGAGAAGCTGCATCTCCGCCTGGATGCAACGGAAACACCTGGTATCGACTGATCAGGTGCTTTCATCCAAAACCCGACTGCGGTTCTCGCGGAGGCGAGTCGACTCTTGGTCGCCTGGGGTATACGTCCTCCACTCGATAATCCAGTCGGCGGCATTCTCAATTGGTCTTGGAAGACCACCTTAGTGGTGTCCATCGCCGTGGTGAGCATCACCGTGGTGGTCGTCCTTCAAGAAGAAGTGCTCGTATGTGCAGTAGCCGGCGAAAGCGACAGTCGCGATACCGAAGCCGGGGAAGAGACCCTTGAAGCGGTTGAAGCGGCTGAAGGGGCCATAGTAGCGCCAGGCCTCACTGGAAATGGTTAGAATCTGTTGTTCCCGAATTGAATATTCGATCTGTCGACGTACTTGCGAGCCCATGGGTCCCGCTTAGCCCAGCTGGAAGATGGGGAGGCCGCGGCCTTGAATTGGGCGATATCGAAGCCGGTGGGGTTGCGGGCGGGCATTGTGAGGGAAGTCCTTGTAGAATTGACAAGAGTGAGAAAGAGAATGAAGAGATATCAAGGGCAATAAGTTGAGGTCCCTCCGCAATCGTCTTGACTTGGAGAGGAGCCGAAGATGAGGAAAAGAGGTGTGCTTGGCAATCGACCCGCGCTAACCGCATACGGTAGCCCTTTAGCTCTCCCGCCTTGGACTTCGAGGGACGAAACTGTCACTTCATCAATGCGCATCGAGACACAATGCCACCTCCCGTCGGCAGATATGGACCATCTGGTCTAGGTGCCCCCTACAACATACAACAATCTCACATTCAATCCCATCCTCACGCACAGTCTGCAAACACACTCCCGCCCCCTTCGCTTGGTCATCCCGGCTTCGCGGGCAACCCAAATACCAACATCAACCCTTTCACACTCTCCGGCGCGGGGATTGCAAATGGTATGTCAGTAGCTGGCTTCCCAGGAGCCGGTGCTGATGGTGGTGGCACTGGTCTGGCCAGTCATGCGGCTCAGATGGGTTTCGCGCGCGGTGCGCAAATGCAACAGGCACAACTACACCAAGGTCATGACGGTCGCTTAGCACTCGAAGCTAAAGGAGGTACCGTGAAGTCGAGGATCAGAGATGTCTGGAAACACAACTTGGCCCATGAGATGGCCGTATTGCGTCAGTTGGTCGACAAGTACCCATACATCAGCATGGTGAGGATCACCCCTCCAGGGTTTTCGTGTGAAATCGAGCCTTTCGATGTGATTTTTGGATCAAATGACGGCTAACGTGAAGCTAGGATACCGAGTTCCCTGGAATTGTCGCACGACCGATCGGATCATTCTCCAACAAAGCAGATTACCACTACCAAACCTTACGGTGTAATGTGGATCTACTCAAGATGATCCAACTAGGAATTACTCTGTTCAACGACGAAGGAGAGGTTCCCCCAGCCTCAGGTGGAGATGGAAATGGGCAAGCATACGGCGTGCCCGCTCCTTGTACATGGCAATTCAACTTCCGATTTTCGCTGGAGGGTGACATGTACGCCCAAGAGTCAACGGCCATGCTGGCCAAATCCGGAATCGATTTCGCCAACCATGAAAAGAACGGAATTGATCCCTTTGAGTTCGGTGCTCTCTTGATCAGCTCTGGGTTGGTGTTGCTCGACGACGTCCACTGGGTTTCGTTCCACTCTGGATACGACTTTGGTTATCTGATGAAGATCATGCTTTGCTCTCAACTTCCCGAGAACGAAGAAGAGTTCCATAAGCTTCTCACAATCTTCTTCCCCTCACTCTACGATATCAAATATCTCATGAAGCACGCGGGCCGCAACCAAGCCGTCAACGGATCACCCCTCACCCCTGCAGCAGCACAGATCCTGACCAATTTGGGACAAAAGTCCGGCTTGCAAGATATTGCCGATGAACTTGGCGTCAAGCGTCTTGGAATCGCCCACCAGGCTGGCTCGGACTCCCTCGTCACCGGTGAGATCTACTGGAAGACCCGACAACTCATCTTCGGCGGCGTCATCGATGACAGCAAATACTCCGGTCAAATCTGGGGTCTCAACGGACAAATGCCTGCAATGGCCTACAACATGGCCCAACAAACGCCAAACCTCAACGGTGCCACCATCTACCCCGGCACCCCAAGCACTCCCAACACTGGGTCCCACGGAGCTGGCGCTCACACTCCTCAGCACCACGGATCAGGCTACCAAGCCGTGACCCCGGGGGCCTATCAAATGGGCCGCGCATAGGCCCAAGCCCTTGATTTCGGGGTTGATATGATATGATGTATGTACATAGGCACGAGAATATCGTGTTCTTTTCCTTCGAACTTCGGCATTGTCTTCGCGCTGGACTGAGCATGGCACGTCCCTGTGTTTCGGGTCCTGCGTCTGGACGACGGTGTTGGGCAGGAAGGTGCCTGGCGTTTGACATGGTTGGTTTTGAATCCATTTCCGAGGCGTTGACAGGCTCTATCATGGGCATTGTGCCTTTCGTTCTTGTCATCTAGGTCGTTTTTCTTTCATTTATGCTGTAGCTAGATCGACCTGTATCCTATTCAAAGGAAATCTGGTTTCTTCTCATTACTTGACTGCTTTATAGTTGTGAGCATCTCCCCAGCCTTTAGACCTGCAAGTGTACGAGTAAAACACCTGGAGAGAAGATCGACATGAAGTGCAGACCGCCCAAAGCCATTTGTGTCTTCCATATCGCATTCTCTGACCCCGCGATGTGACCAACGTGAATGATATTCATCGACAAGATCCCCGGCCATATGCAGGCAAGCATCCAATTGCCACATTGGGACTAGCACATACACCCTAATCCCAATCAGGTCATTGGATCCGGCCTCCGCAAACCGCCGTTTATCTAATCGGAGCGAAGTATATCCAAGCTGGAGGACAAGTTTGCTGGTTAAATACCCAGCTGGCCCAGATGAAAAGCTCTCAATATCAGACATCTGGACTATCTTTCAATTTCTTCGGGATAGACCAAACTTGACAATGGTTCTCGACCGACTACAACAATTGACCCACCAGGTCAGCGCAACTGCACCACCACCTCATCCATTGGATCCTCTGTCTACATCCGAGATTGACAATGCTGTGAGCATTATCAGAAAGGAGCATGCATCCCTCAACTTCAATGCTGTTACTCTGTACGAGCCTCGCAAGGCCCAGATGATGGCCTGGGTGGCAGACCCTGAACATGCCCCTCGTCCTGCCCGGGCTGCTGATGTGGTGGCCATTTCTTCGGATGGAAAGGTCTACGATGGCGTCGTGGACTTGGAACAGAAGAAGATCATCAAATGGGAGCACACGCCTAATGTGCAGCCTCTGATTACCATGGAGGACTTGCAGGAGGTCGAGCATGTCGTGCGCAAAGACCCCAAGGTCATTGAGCAATGTGGGATTATTGGAATTCCCAAAGAAGACATGCACAAGGTGTACTGTGATCGTGAGTGGATATCTAATTCTCTAGATGAATGAGACTAACTGATCTCTAGCATGGACCATTGGATACGATGAGCGCTTTGGAACCGGTGTTCGCCTCCAGCAAGCTCTTATGTACTACCGTCCTCACCCAGATGACTCTCAATACACCTACCCTCTGGACTTCTGCCCTATCTTCAACGCTGAGACCAAGCAGATCATCCACATTGATGTCCCACCTGTGAGAAGACAAGTGAACAAAGCCTCGCCAAACAACTACCACCCTGCTGCAATTGAGCAAGAAGGTGGTTTCCGCACAGACATCAAGCCCATCCACATTACCCAGCCCGAAGGAGTCTCTTTTGAAGTCAAGGGTAGAACAATCGAGTGGCAAAACTGGAGCGTTCACGTGGGCTTCAACTACAAGGAAGGAATCGTTCTTAACAACATCACATTCAATGACAAAGGCAATGTCCGACCAGTATTCTGGCGTCTGTCTCTGGCAGAGATGGTTGTACCATACGGAAACCCCGAACACCCGCATCAGCGCAAACACGCCTTCGACTTGGGTGAATATGGCGGCGGATACATGACCAACAGTCTGGCACTTGGATGTGACTGCAAGGGTGCAATCCACTACATGGATGCAGCATTTGTCAACCGAGCCGGTGCAAGCACTATAATCAAGAATGCCATCTGCATCCACGAAGAAGATGCCGGGATCCTGTTCAAGCACACTGATTTCAGAGACGAGTCTACAGTCGTTACCCGTGGACGCAAGCTCATCATCTCACACATCTTCACAGCTGCAAACTACGAGTACTGTGTATACTGGATCTTCCACCAGGATGGCACAGTGCAGCTCGAGATCAAATTGACCGGTATCTTAAACACATACTCCCTGAACCCAGGCGAAGATACCAAGGGCTGGGGAACAGAAGTCTACCCGGGCGTCAACGCGCACAACCACCAACATCTGTTCTGTCTCCGTGTTGATCCTAACATAGACGGACCAAACAATACAGTCTTCCAAGTCGATGCTGTCCAGGGTCCTGGTGAAGTCGGCAGTCCCGAAAACAAATACGGTAATGCCTTCTACGCCAAAAAGACCAAGTTCTCCACCCCCCTGGAGGCAATGTCCGACTACGACGGATCTACCAGCCGAACCTGGGAAATGGCAAACACCAACAAACTCAACCCCTACAGCAAGAAACCAGTCTGCTACAAGCTCGTCAGCAGAGAAGTCCCTCCCCTCCTCCCCAAGGCAGGCGGATTAGTCTGGAACCGAGCAGGATTCGCACGCCACGCTGTGCACGTTACAAAGTGTAAGTACTTCCCAGCTGACAACCACACTCTCCTAACTAATAAACACAGTCAACGACGACCAAATTCACCCCGCTGGCCGCCACGTCCCACAAACATCCGGCGAGCCCTCAGCAGGTCTCCCGGCATGGATTGAGGCTGCCGGTCCTAACAGTTCAATCGACAATACAGATGTTGTCCTCTGGCACACATTTGGTCTGACTCACTTCCCTGCACCGGAAGATTATCCAATCATGCCCGCTGAGCCAATGACGCTCCTCCTCCGTCCTCGCAACTTCTTCGACCGAAACCCTGTTCTCGATGTCCCGCCTAGCTTTGCTCGTACACCCACGCAAGTGGCGGCTGCAGCTGGATCGTGTGGCTGTAAGAAGAGCGATGGGTCTAGTGTTTTGGTATGAGCTATTCTTGAAGGGACTGTGGTTTAGGGCTTTGTTTATATAGCATATATGGTGTTGGTCATTCAAACTGTTCTCGAAATCAATGATCATATATCGTAAGTTTATGCATCGTGAAGCATTAACACGTTTCCTGGTCCTTGATAGTCGGTAAATTGATTGGATTTGGTTGTTTGGTAAGAAAGGAAGTCTACTTAAGTACTAGACCAAACCAACAGCTCCCACGTACTTAGCAGCATACTTCCCATTATAATATTGAAGTACCAGTGAACATTTTGGCACCTCATGTCAATCCCAGGTCTCAACTCGAACCTTGAAGGTGAAACCAAACCTGACTCTGCAAGAGAAATGCATTCAACCGCATATAAGAAGATGCAAACTATAAGTAAACCCAAACACCAACGCCCAGATATTTAAAAGAAACTCAAGAGAGGGAATCATACAAAAACCAACTCAGAACTTTAGAAAAGAGACCAATCTCAAGCCTTCAAAGCCCGCAACAAAGCCCTCTCAACCTCCTCCAACAACCCAAACAACTCCTTCCCCCCCTCACTTTCCTTCCCCTCCAAATCCAACCCCTTATGCAAAAACTTCCTACTCTCCTCATACCTCCCCATCTCCGCCAAACTCTTCGCAATCCTCCACCAAGCCTTAACATTCCCCACCGGCTTCGAATCAACACTAGCCTTCGCATCAACCAGCCCCTCCGGCCAAGCCTGCTGTGCCATAAACGCCTGAGCCCGATTCCCATACAACCCCGCCAACTCCTCCCTCGCCACACCAACAGGCTCCCACCCCGGCCGCGCAAGCCCCATCTCAATAGCGTATGTGTACAGCTTGATGGCCTCGTCGTAGTTGGATTTGCGGTATGCAGTGTTTGCGCTATCGCGCAGCTTGCTGATTTGCGCACTGCGCTTGGGGTTCAGTGGCAATGGGGCTGGGGGGATGTTGGGGGGGTCGAGGGAGATTAGGGAGCGGTGCAGGGTGTTTAGCTCTTCTAGTTCGTTTTCTAGGAGGGCTTTTTGGCTGGCGCTTGTGCTGCTTTGCAGGGAGAGGGCCTTGGAGGCTGGATCCATGTGGATCGGGTATTGGTTATAGATGTCGATTTCGCTGGCCATTTTGATGGTTGTCTTGTGACTGCGTGGGTTAGTATGGGGTTATCTGGATGGAGGTCTCAGTCCAGTGGATTCTGAGGAGTTTGAGAGTTTGTTTCTTACATGGATACTTGGTGTATTATTTGAAGTGTCAATTGGAGGACTTGAAGTATTGGGAAGTAAGGCAAGCTGTCCAGAAGATAGGAGCGGTGGCAGAAAACAATCTTATCCATAGTACAGCCCTAGTTTGTACAGCTCTGAGTATACTACTTAAGTATTCATTAATTATCATTTATTCATGAATAGTGTGGTGGTTTAACTTGGGGCCATGGAAAATTGCTAGAAGTTTCATCTTGGCCTTGGTATTTTGGGATAAATAGAGGGCATACTCAAGTAGAACTGATAGACCCAAGCCTCGGCAATTTATGTTTCTCCAAATGAACTATAGATCATGCTAATACCACACTTGACACCATATTTTGTCCATATCAAATGATGCACACTGTTCTCCTTTCTGCCAAATCATCAAAAAACTGAAAGGCAGGGACAGTCATGTCTTCCAGGATATCATCTTCGAACCAGGTCCCACCAACTCGCGTATAGAAGCCATCAGACGATGGACGGAGAACCATCCATGACCGCGCCTGTGAACTTCCATCCTCTTTCGAACGATTGTAGACACCAACTTGAAAACAGACCACACACTGGCCCTCGAAAAGACGCTCTTCTGCCTGCATACTTTCCCATTCGACAGTCCCCTCACTGTACTGGAGTATATCGACAGCGATTTTCCTCCGCTGATTGTCGATGTCCACAGTAACAGCCAATGGACTGTTCTCTTTCAGCCATACCCGTCTTTCGAAATGAATTTTGGCATCTACCGCAAGACCCGACAAGACTAAAGCTCTCGAGGCGGCTGCAGGTGACCTAGAGCAATCCGGCAACCCAAGAACCTCACAAGTGCTAACAATGCTAGTCTCTGGGAAAAAAGGAAAAGGGTCATAGTAAGAATTACTCATAACAGACGCCCAAGACCATGTAGGTAAATCCAGACGCCGACTATTCTTCTGAGCAACCCAATACAACTGAAGCGGCACATTCTCCGCCCACACCCCATAGTGATAAGAGCCCATATACAGACGACTGAATTTCTTCGCCGTAGACTCAAGCGCAACGAGACGATCGCTGTATTTCGTGAACTTCCGCGTGGAATAGTTAGAGACGAGATCTTGCCACTCCCGTAAGGGGTGGTTTATTGTCAACTCCGCTCGACCACTAGAGAGACTCTCAAGACGATCATCGACGCCTCTTTTCTTCGTGCGCACCGCTGCAATTCCCCTGGCTGTCTTCGATGCACACTCGCACTGAACACTTTCCAGACATTCCCAGGCAAGCTCTTCCGGTCCCAGATGTAAGACCCGTCTGGACAGGATGTGCTCTTGAAACGTCCATCCTCGAGATACAATTGGGAACCGGGTTCTTATTTCTTCTGCAAGGGATAGGGAAGATGGCGATCTTCCCTCAAAGTGCACATGGTGCGTGAGTTCACATATCTTCCGTGCGTATATGTCCATAGAACCAAGAGTGCTGAGTTGATGCCGCAGTTTATACTGCGGGCTCCGCTGACTATGAAAGAGCCCTGCTTGGCTGCTATCGGACGCACTTGCACTCAGCGTCAGCAGTGCGTTTTCATATATCTCTCCCATTTTCGGGGCTTCCTCTGCCCAATCGGCTGGGTCGTCTTGGATAATGCACAGCGCGTCGATCCAGATATACTGTATCCCAAGCTCGAGTGTTAATAGCATGGCATCTCGGAGCGTGTGTGGTATTACATCCCATGGAATCCCATTCATGTGGACCTCCAGTCTCTCTGATATTGTCACAAAAGGCTGATTAGTACCCCAGCAATAGCTCAGCGCAATATAATCTGCCTGCTGCCCAGGCTGTGAGATGTAAAGCTGCGGATCAGAGTGGGATGATAGGCGAATGACTCGCTTTGGAAGGACCGAATTCATGCTTCTGCATGATCCATGAGTCGCTAAGCATTCGTCTAGCCATACTCGTGCGCTCTGCGCAGCTAATCGGCTGTCCATCGTAGGGGCCACAAGGCGTCTTTTCGGAAAAAGAGCCATATCCGATGATGTGTATGGTGAGTCTGCTTTTCATTTAATTCCTTGTTCATTGAGAGACTACTACCTTCTCATACATTCAATCGGACATACCTTGAATGGTAAACAGCTCAATCTTACTTTCCAACTGGCTGACTGTCACCCCATAGCCTATATGGGCTGATATTTGAATATTTCGCGTGTGCTTCACTTGTCCCATGGCCATGTTGATCCCCTCTAGTATGACAGCACATATCTCACAGTTGTCAGAGGAAAGGAGTAAATCTTGCACTCCGCAAAATGTTTCATACTTCGTCTCAGTGCCGTACATCATTCCGTTGGCTGCTTGTTCTGGCGAGAACTTCAAGTCCTTGCATACACTGCAGTCCGGGGAGGACTTGGATGACACACCAATCTCCATCACTGGTAAGGGTCTTTGCACGAGAATTGCTGGTACAAGTCAATGTGGTTTATTAGATGGCGGGGGTAGAAACATGTCAAATTAATGCCTGAGGCACATGACATTGGGCTCTACGAACTACCAAAGTTCAGTAGACATTTGAAAGGAATAATCACTCTTACATACAGGTACCTAAGGTATTTTTGATCCTACATTCAAGCCAAACGGACATACAGTCGTAAACCCAGGACCCGTAGGTCCCAAGAAACATGGAGAAGCCCCGAAGCGCCCAACACCGCTCCATGGATCAATCCACGCCAAAATGAGAACATGAAAACGCGAGCCAGAAAAAAACAAGAAAATGCCAATCAAAATGCATCTCTAGCTAGGCCGTCTGCCATATCCACCCGCAACAGACGACCCTCCAAATCCAGAAGGCGCAGTGTACTCCGACGGAGTGTATTCCACGTTCGCGAACTGATCTTCCGGACCGGTGTTGTAGTGTTGGCCATGAGCGCCCCCGTAGCCGGTGTTGTTGTAGTCGTGAAGAACGCCACCGGGCGCAGGTGCAGTGGGGTCGTAGGACCCTTGCATCGCGGACCGGCCGTGCGCATTGCCCATGTCGTCTATTTCGGACTGCTGGAGGAGGGCGTAATCTTCGTCTTGATCGCCGCGTGAGGATGCGCCCATGCCGCCGCGGCCGGAGCGGAAGTCGTCTTCGTCTTCTTCGAAGTCGTGGGCTGGGTTCGAGGAGAAGGCGGCTTTGCTTTGCGCGGCGAAGGTGGGGTCTGAGACAGCATCTGGGAGGGTTCCTGTGCGGCGGAAGTGGGCGACATTGCGGAAGGACATGAATGTTGTTACTGCGAAGAGGATGCTGGAAAGATGGTCAGTCTGTGTTTTGGGTGAGGGTGGGATTGTCGTACAAGATGAATACACCGATGATGGTGGTGGCCTCGCTGAGCTTGCACTTGGTTGCGCCTCCATAGCGCCAATTATCGCAACCGGTTTTGGTGTCGGAATCTGTGGCTCGCTTGGTGGTCTTGGAGTCTGAATCAGATTTGGAGTCGGAGTCGGATGTTTCGGCGCCCAGTGATTTACCCTGGGCTACGTAGGAGGCCAGACAGATCCAGGCGCTGGCCCAGAGGATTGTGTAGAGAGCATCAACACTTGCGAAGGCGTAGACGTTGCCGAAGCGACGGGCTCGGGGCCACATGGGTACTGCGACCAGGTACACTAAGCCCGGGATACTCAACCAGCACTGTTGTTCGGGTCAGCACGGCTCTCCGCGGATTGAAACACGAATCACTCACCAGTCCCCAGTACCATCCTGTTCGGCCATCAATGCCACCCTTTTTCGTCCAGATAGCAATGGTCAAAGCCCATGCGATGAAGATGATGAAGGCTTGTACAAAGTGTATGATATTTTTTGTCCGGCCTAGGCCGCCTGAGGGCCGTGGCATTTGGAACCCCATGTTGCTGTGAGGGTATTCACCACCCTAGATATGTCGCCCAGAGGGGTAAGTAGTAGGGTGTAGTGCTGACTTATGAAGTCATCCGAGAGGAAGTCAGATCTGGTCAATGGGCTTGCGATGCGGGTGTTTTGGTTTGCTTGTTTTGGTTGGGAAAGAGGGTAAACACTGTGCAACAGGTACAAGAAATGCAAAATCGTAAGTAATATGAAGAGAGTCAATCTCAGTCAGGATGTCACTGCCTATTATTTCTCCGTTACGTCGCTGTCTGTTTAGGCTGTGCCTGACCTGATTGGGAAATGGGCGGTCGCCGCTTTATTAGGGCGCCCCGGGCCATGCGCCCTGAGTATTTCTCAGCACGGAGTAGTCATCAACCACGTGATCTCCACTCATTCCATGCTTAGTAATATCCAAGCGCCCAGACTATACATAATACGAGTATAGAAGTAAACAGATGGAATATAGTCATCTTACGGACTATGATCAATTGAACAGAATATGAGGAAAGACTGACACACTATGATCTGATGTTCAAGTACCTCTTGTTTGTCTTACTTCTCGGTATAATTTCCAAATGATCAACATTCAACATTCGACTCATGATTGAACAGGATAAAATCTGGACTATCTAGCACATTATAGAGCCCTAGAGAGACTACCTAGGTATCAAAACGCCAAAGGACCACAGGAATACATCTATAGAGATAGTTCCAAAAAGATCTAAAACATACATAGATGGAGACGTACTTAAGGAAATGTACTCAGCGACTAAGAGTTTATCATGTAGGCAACTACGAAGGCGTAATATTGCAAAAACTTCGTCGATATCGCGCAACCCAGTACAATAAGGTATTTAATGAGATAAATATTCAAATAGGACATTGTTCGTATACAAACATTTAAACGTTGAGCCAAGGTTCCAAGGGGATCTCAGAATAGCAAACCGGTTCTTTAGACGTGGAGAGTTTAATCTCTAAAGGCATAAAATATGGCCCCCGAAGCTCGGTTTGTCGTTACTAGCACAGGCACTTTCGACTTTACGCCCGCCTTCGAGGACACCATTCTCGGTATCATCCCTTCGGTCTTATTTGTGACTGTGGCCCTACAGCGTCTCTGGCTCGCGAGACAGCCCCGCAAGGTCGTCAAAGGCCATCGGCCAATGGTGAAAGTGGCACGTAACAGCCTTTGCCCTAGAAAGCATAGGTGGTTCTGGGTTGTCTCTGCAAGAAAAACAACTGCTGACTGATTCAATGACTGTAGGGACTGATAGGTTTATACACGGCTCTACAGCTTGCAATTCTGGTTTACTGGGCTTTGAATACAGGGAAATTGCTCTCCTCCCATTTGCGGACATCGACTGCCGTCGTCGCCTTCCTTGATGGACTTTTACTCTTGTTCCTGTCCCATGCCGAGCACACGCGCTCGGTACGACCCTCGACCATTATCAGTGTGTATATACTCTTCACTTTGTTGTTTGACTGTGTCGTTGCCAGAACCCTATGGCTTGCCGGCTATAACTTCACCATTGCGGGCCTTCTCACCTCAACCATCGCAATCAAACTCTTTGTCTTGACCTCAGAAGTCTGGGAAAAGAGACCTATACTCTTGTCCCAATACCAAAACCTCTCTCCAGAAGCGACTAGTGGTATCTTAGCCAGGAGCATCTTCTGGTGGCTGAATTCTTTGATGCGAACTGGATTCGCTCGCTCCCTCACCAACCATGATTTGTTCCCAATTCACGACAGCCTAGCGGCACGCAGACTACTTCACAAAGCCCGAGAATCGTTACATCAACAAACCAGTCCAATCGCCATGCCTTGGCTTTCTCCACTTTGTGGGCCACCAAGTACATCTTTCTGGCTGCTGTGACACCCCGGCTTGCATTGGCAACTTTCAAATACACATTGCCCTTTCTTATCACACGGACGACTTCTTGGACCGCCGATCCATCTCAGTCAGATGCAGTTGGATGGGGACTGACAGGGGCATGGCTGTTGGTCTTCCTTGGGCAAGCAATTTCAAATGGCTTCTATTACCAGATGACATATCGATTCGTCACTGCGATTCGTGGCAGTCTTTGCAGTGTGATTTTTACCAAGACATTGGATCTCAGAAGCACGGCTCTCGAGGAATCTGTGGCTGTATCGCTGATGTCCACGGACACGGATAGTATCTGCCAAAGCGCTGCAACTTTACACGAGCTTTGGGCATCACCAATCGAATCAGCTACCGCCATCTTTCTGCTGTACAGACAACTTGGCCTTGCTGCACTGGCGCCGGTTTTTGTAGCGATTATCGCTACTGCTGGTATGTTGCAGCTTGCCCAATTCATTGGGACGGCAAAGAAGAGATGGATGAGGGGAATCCAGACGCGGGTCGATGTGACAGCTTCCGTTCTTGCATCTATGAAGGTGAGCATCCAAAGACACCTGATGATACTTGTACCTGATGAAAGGATACAAATTCGACTACTATCATAGGAAATCAAAATGCTTGGTTTATCAGAGACTGTGGCGAACATGATCCAGAACCTCCGCATAGCAGAGCTAGACTTGTCCAAGCACTATCGCAGACTAATTTCTGTACAAGTTTTCATTGGTGAGTAATTGAGCCCGAAGACTTTGTTATGTTGTATTTTGACAGTGCCGTCGTAACGCTCTTGCTGACCATTTGATCGAGTAGCAATGAACACGGCAACAATCGCCCCGTTGGCGACTTTTGCAACTTTTGTGATTATTTCCAAAAGTACTGGTCAGCCTTTGAACACAGAGTCTGCTTATACCTCGCTCTCACTAATATATCTCCTGGTGGACCCCATGGTTGTCGTGTTTCGTACGATCCCATTCGTCAGTGCTGCCCTCGCCTGCTTTTCTCGCATTCAAAGCTATTTGGTATCAGAAGCTTGTACCGACTTTAGACTGCCATTTAGCGAGCAGGATTGTCATTCAGTTCAAGACATTGAGAACGAGAATTTGCTAATGGCAATCTCAGCAGCCAGCTTTGGTTGGACTTCTGGAAAGCCGAGCATCCTCAACAACATCACGGTCAACATTCGCAGGTCTTGCTTCACCTTCGTTATCGGCCCCGTGGGCTCAGGAAAGAGCACCCTTCTGCGAGCTATTCTGGGAGAAGTACCAATACGAGCGGGTTTTATTTACGTTGACCCCGGAAACATTGCATTTGTTGGCCAGGAGCCCTGGATCCAGAACCTGACAATACGTCAGAACATCCTAGGCAGTACCAGCTATGATGCAGAATGGTATAATAAAGTTGTCTACGCCTGCGGATTGGAACATGATATTGGCGAGCTTCCCAACGGAGATACTACAAAAGCAGGAAGTGCAGGCTTTTCCTTGAGCGGCGGCCAAAAGCAGCGGCTGGCTTTAGCCCGGGCTGTCTACTCCAGGGAAAAGACCATCCTCTTGGACGATGTCTTTGCAGGGCAGGATGTAGGGACTGAAGGGCACGTCTTTCAGCATCTCTTCGCTGAGGAGGGCCTCTTCCGACAGATGAAAGTGACTGTGATCTGTGTCACCAATGCCATTCATAGACTCGCCTATGCTGACCATGTAGTCGCTATGGACATGAGCGGTCATGTTGTGCACCAAGGCTCATTCTTCCAGCTTCAGCCCGATACGGATTATCTGCAAGGGCTATCGGTCGAACAGAACGGAGGGATTGACGCGCGGGATGCAGCCAAAGCATTGAAACAGAACCGGCCCGAGGCTGTTCAGGGCCGATCTGAACAGGATGCCAATCAGACTAGCGACGACTCTGAATCACCCGGGCGAGTCCTCGGCGAGCTTTCCACATATGCGTATTACTTTGGGTCTGTTCCCATATGGTACACCATACTGTTTGCTGCCCTCACCATTCTATACGCAGGAGGATTTCGAATGACGGCACTTGTACTGAGCTTTTGGACGGAGAATGCTCAAACATCCAGCCAAGTCGCCAATGAATACTACCTCGGACTCTTTGCAATGCTGACCGGTCTCGCCGTCTTGGGCATTACAGGAGCAGCCTATTTCTTCCTGGTCGTCATGGTGGCTTTGAGCTCTGAGGCTCTTCATGCTCGACTTCTACGTTCCGCCATCAATGCGTCATTGGCCTTCTTCTCGCGCACCGACGTCGGAGTCACCACTAATCGATTCAGCCAGGATATGTCGGTGATCGACACTGAACTGCCTTTTGCTCTAGTGGATTTCTGCGTCAATTTTGCCCTCATCATAATGTCAGTTATACTCATGTGCGTCTTTTCTGGATATTTCGCAGCCACACTTGTGCCCTTTGTCGCTTTCTGTTGGTCTAAGTACATACATTCCGTTATTGAAAACCTTAATGTAATACTCATATCATATGAGGCAACAGTACTGCAGAAGTTCTACGTGCGGACAACGCGGCAGATCCGACTGTTCGATCTAGAAGCCAAATCTACCCTCTTCACGCAGTTCCTCGATCTCCAGGGACTATCGACTGTACGGGCATTCGCGTGGGGTCCACGCTTCACCGACCAGTACCTTGACCATCTCGACGCCTCACAAAAACCCTTCTACCTGCTCTTCTGCATTCAGCGCTGGCTAGGCCTCGTCCTAGACCTGATGACCGCTATCCTCGTAACCATCATGATGGTCCTAGTCGTGAAGCTCCGGGCACAACTATCACCCCAGTACGTAGCCCTGGCATTCGTGCAGATAATGACATTCGGTCAATCGCTAGCCCACGTCATTCAAGACTGGACACAGCTAGAGACATCCCTGGGTGCCGTCGCACGTATCAAGACCTTCTGCACAGATACAGAGTCAGAAAACAAACCCAGTGAAACTGGTATCGTGCCCACAAACTGGCCGACACACGGCCACATCACCATCAAAGACCTGGTAGCATTGTACGATGCACAAAATGACGAGCCTGTTCTCCGTGGCATCACCCTCGATATACCAGCCGGTACAAAGGTCGGTATCTGCGGCCGCAGCGGAAGCGGCAAAAGCTCACTTCTGGGCTGTATCCTACGTCTCCTAGAAATTACCACAGACTCGCGCATCATCATCGACGGAGTCGATATCACCACCCTGCCACGGCAAACTTTACGCTCTGCAATCGCCGTAGTGCCACAGCATCCTTTCTTCCTGAAACACACAAGTATCCGAGCCAATCTTCTCCAAAATGAACAATACCAACAACACGATAACAAAATCCACCATATCCTCCACCGCCTCAAGCTAACCGACCTAGTAAATAGACTAGGAGGCCTGGACAGTCCACTAGAAGCAGATCAACTCTCCCAAGGCCAGCGCCAGCTCTTATGCATTGCCCGGGCCATACTATCCCGCAAGCGGATCATTCTCATAGACGAAGCGAGCAGTCATGTAGATGAGAGGTCCGAGGCACTTATTGGGGATGTTATGCGTGCCGAATTCGCGGGTTGCACTGTGATTACTGTTGCGCATCGTCTTGGTGCTATTGTGGATTGTGAGCGGGTTGCTGTTCTGGGTGGTGGAAGGGTTTTGGAGTGGGATTGTCCTCAGGCTCTTTTGGGAAGGGATAGTGAGTTCAAGAGGCTTTGGGATCTCGGTTAGATTGGATGCTTCTGGGTTTGGTTCAAGGCTAGGATCTGTGTCTAGTGGTGTTGCATAGCTGCTGTTGGAATTATTGAACTAGTGCCACACTAGCCTGGAGGCTTTCAAGCCAATTTCATGCATACATTTCAAGGTTACTAAGAATGAGGATGCCATTCTACACTTTCGATACATACTAGTAACTATAGTATAGATCCAGCCCTAATCTCTGGCTTCGCTCTCGAGTCCACGTGATAAACGCTTACATCAGCCCGTGCTCAGCTGTACACAAAGCGGCAAGGGCCATCGCCCAAAAAGGACAAGTTCTCGTGTCGCCGATCGCCCAGGCAACAAACCTATTTTAGGAACTTTCTTGGCTCTCGGCTGGTATAGTTACGTATACCTGTGGGCTGTGCGGCAAAGTTTCAAATGCCTCTGCGCCTTTCATCAAAGCCGATCTTAGGCTCGATTCAAGGATCCGAATACGCCTTGAATTAGAAGTGTTTCTGATCTTGGCATAAGTTTCATCATGTTCATATCTTCATATCATTCAATATCCCTTCAACCCAGCCTCCCGTGTCTGCTTGACCATCATCCATACCTCGCGCAGCGGTCGATAAATATGTACCTCCCACCACCAGGGAAGGGGATCAAGAGGGGTGAATAGTGGATCTTTCCAGAATAACAAGCGGGCCAGTTCGGATCCCGCGACTTCAACCAGGGTAAGTACGAAATGCAAGAGGGAGAAATGCAAAAACGCAGCGGGGAGAATGGCGGCTCGCGGAAACTTCTTAGGTGTTGAGCTGAGTGATGCGGTGATGGAGCGTGAATCGACGGGGTTGGATGGGAATACAGAGAGGTAGCCTGCGATTGGACATGGAATGTCATGGAGCAGGGATTCGATTACTTTCGCGCCCGATGAACATCCAGCGATGTAAATGCTGTGTCGGACTGAGTGCGCGTCGAATTCCTCGTCGATCATCAATCGCACTGTTAAATGGCCTGTTGATCGGGTGCCGCATTTAGTCGCAAGACTCTGCATCAGTGTCTGGATAGCAGCGCTAAGTGCCTGGTCTAAACGCGAAGATCCCCAACCGGCATCAGACAGTCGGACTTTGATGGCTTGGACTTGCCCGCGAACAATCAGAAGATCGGCAAATACTTCCCCGAGCCTGAATTGCTGCTGCAGAATCCATGGTCTCTCCTGTGTGATTTGGATTTCACTAAGACACGTATAAGTCTTGCTGATAGTGCGTCTTGGCAAAAGCAGAGCCCGATCATTGGCAGTTGGCGTTGCGCGCGAAATCCGATACGACTTGGATGGGGAGCGGTGCAAGATCTTATGCACCGAGTCCCGGGATTGAACCCTGTGATACTCCAGGACAGGAAGACCTCTCTCTGTGACGAATTTGGTGAATGATTCCCCTGCGAAACAAATCGCCAGATTCTCGTCGAAGGTAATGCATTTACAGCCTGTGCGACTTTCGACCATTTGTCGGGCTGTGGCGTCTTCAATGGATGTTGCCTTGGGCGAGCATGGGATCCATATATCCACTTTCTCGCGATTGATGACATCCAGTATGCGGGAGATGTAGTGGTCTTTTGGGATGCGGTAGAATGCAACTAGTGCTTTGGACATGCTTCCCCCCGAGCGAATGGGTAAGTCTAGATCTGTGACATCTGCGCCGATGACGCGATGGCCTTCTGCTGCCCAGGCTCGGGCGAGCTTCAGGCCGTGCGGGGTGCCGATGCCTGTGATGAGGATGGTTTTGGGGTAGAAGCGCACATTGCGTTTTTGGCGCAGTCGGAGGTAGGGAAAGTAGGGGAAATAGGCCAGTAATGCGGTGAAGAAGAGGATGGTGTTGTCCAAGAAGATGAGCGAGAAAGACAGCGCTATCCGTAGTACATGCCAACAGGCATGTGACCATGGGAGTGTGGGTTTTGCGGCCATGGCCTTGAGAATGGACTGAAATATTAAGACATGCGATGTGAAGAAAAGAGGAAAATATTGAGGCCTAAGAATGTGAGGTGGCTGGTCAATGAGGGGGGGCTTGGCCTGCAGGTTTAGTGTGCAACACGTTACAGATCTCTTATAGATCTGAGCTTATTCAGATCTGAGGTTTACTTGTTTACTTTAGTATAGTATTCAAATGCGTGAATATACTTACAGTTAGGTATTCTGTATTGCTGGTATCCTTATTCCCGAGAAGTATGAATGCCCTCGGTACTAATTGCCTGAAATACTACCTCCGAGGTCTCCGACAATGGAGATACTGAATTTGTATACTCCGTATGGTGTGCTGAGGGGTATTCCAAGGATCGAGGTCATAATACTCCCTTGGGTAGATAACGCCGAGGGTAAGTATAAAGCCGAGTGAACAGGCGAATGAGCCCTGGCGGCCTTCACCACCCAGCTACTTAAGCTGCAAGCACGACCCGGTCTTGTTCTTTCTCGAACCCAACCACATCAGAAGTACTCGACAAAGACTCATATCCATTCACCATGTCTGCAGAAGATCGTTCGGTATGGAACTGACCAACCCATCTGCCAGTTATCCATCTAACAACTATACAGCGCGAAGCAGGCCGAGAGCTCAAGCTCCTACACTTCGTCTATGGCCAACCAAACCTCGACGAGATCCGCGGCCACCCGCAACGAGTCCTAGATCTCATCCACGAGTTCGAGAAAGATTACCACTTCATGAACGTCGGCGAAGCCAAAGGCAAGATCGTCACAGATTTGATCGACGAGCTCAAACCCAAGACCATGATCGAGCTCGGCTGCTACGTAGGCTACTCCGCCATTCTCTTCGGAGACGCCGTGCGCCGCAACGGTGGTGACCGATACCTCAGTCTGGAGCTGAACCCCGAATTCGCAGCCATAGCCAATATGCTCGTTGAATTAGCAGGCTTACGGGATTTCGTCCGCATCCTCGTCGGCCGGAGCGATGTCTCCCTTCATCGACTCATCACGTCCGGTACCGTGAACAAGGTGGAGCTCCTTTTCCTGGATCATTACAAACCCGCATACACGACGGATCTCAAGCTTTGTGAGCATTTCGGGGTTATTGGGCCTGGCACGGTCCTGGCGGCGGATAACGTCCTTTATCCCGGGAATCCACCATATTTGGAATATGTGCGTAGTTCGGTGGCTCGCAAACGCGATATTGCGCAGGCTGGACCTTCCCGGGGGTATGACACCACTGGAATCTTGGAGCGTGCGGTAGATTCATATGTGGGGAGGGACGATGAACCCGCTTTTCACTTTGTCGGGAACCCGAATTTGGTGTATGAGAGTCGGCTATGTCAGCCTGCGGGACTGAAGGTACGTTCGGGATTCTTTTCCCGGTATTTGCTGACCACCCATTTGTAGGACGCTGTGGAAGTGACCAGGTGTGTGGAGGAAGTGGCGGCTTCAGCCGACCATTGAGCAATGTACAGTGTAGTACAGAAAGTACTTTACAAGCAACAGAATGAAGAAAAGTCCAGGCACACAGTCCTCCGGGTAAATGAATTGTATTGCCACCCCACTTGGACGGTTCCGGAGGCGGTTCCGGACATCTTCTCGCCAGGACCTTCCTCTGCCCCACCAACCTCATCTTCCGGGGTTATATAAGATGTGATTTGCCCTCGTATAGTCTGCACTTCAATTGCATACTCTATCATGGCTTCTACTACTTACAACGTCGGTGTTGTTGGCTACGGCTTCAGCGCTAAGATCTTCCATATTCCCTTCGTGAAGGAAGTCCCCGAGCTCAAGCTCTACGCCGTCGTCCAGCGCACTCCCAAGGCCGACGATGACGCTGAGAAGGATCACCCCGGCGTGAAGTCCTTCCGCACCACAGAGGAGATGGTCCAGGATCCCGCCATTGACGTCGTGATCATCACCACTGCCCCGGATTCCCACTTCGCCCTCTCCAAGCTGGCCCTGGAGGCTGGCAAGCACGGTATGCACTCCAACATCCCCAGTCAATGCTTTACTAACCTTCTCCAGTCGTCTGCGAGAAGCCCTTCACCCCCACCACCCAAGAAGCCGATGAGCTCGTCGCCATCGCAAAGAAGAACAACAAGCAGCTCGCCGTCTTCCAGAGTATGTAACTCATCCCCTCCATATCCATATGTCCAAACTAATGAACCATAGACCGCCGCTTCGACGCCGACTTCGTCACCCTCTCCAAACTGATCAAGAATGGCTCCCTAGGCCGCATCTCCGAGTTCGAATCTCACTTCGACCGCCACCGTCCCGAGGAGCCTGCCCCCGACGCCCACGCCTGGAAGAACAAGGTCATCCCCGGCGGCTCAGCCATCTACGACCTAGGCGCTCACCTCCTCGACCAAGCCGTGCACCTCCTCGGCCTCCCTGCCCGTGTAACAGGCTTCATCGGCTCCGCCCGCGCAACCAACACCTCTTCCTACGAAGACGCCTTCACTGTGCTCCTGCACTACGCCAACGGCACCATGGTCACCGCCAAGGCAACAGTCGTCAGCCCCGAGGATGAGCAGCTGCGCTTCTGGGTGCGCGGTGAAAAGGGTAGCTTCAAGAAGTTCCACCTTGATATTCAGGAGGATCAGCTTAAGGCTGGTATCATGCCCCAGGATAAGGGTTATGGTCGGGAGCCTAGTGAGCGCTATGGTTCTTTGACTACAATCCAGGATGGTAAGCCTGTTAAGGAGGTTGTTCCTACTGTCGAGCCTCCTACTTACACTGAGTACTACCGCAAGTTGGTGCGGGCTCTTGGTGGTGAGGGTGAGCTTCCTGCTAGTGGTGCGGAGGCTCGGGAGGTTATTCGATTGATTGAGTTGGCTCGTGAGAGCTCGCGCACTGGTCGGACTTTGGATGTTTAGAGTGTGATATATCTAATGATTGAGATGAACATGATGTATTAAGAGTCAATATACTTGCACATACTCGCTATACTGCATTAGTCGGCTGTCTCCAAGGTACCATGGATCCATGACGCCATTTCCATGTTCTGCCAAGCCACTAGGCCTAACTGGGCAATTTCTGTTACCAAATGCAAACCGACCGTCGACCACTGAGAAACCGCGAACAACCAGCCCTGCTGCAAATCAAAGGAAAAGACCGTGCCGTAGACCCGCGGAGAAGCTCACATCTTGCGTGTACAACCGCCCAAATGAGTGATCGACGTATAGCAGTCAACTCGAATGTTCCTGGACAGGGCTGAGAGTTCTTCTGAACACACACCGATGGCCCTCGGCTGAACGAAATGGTTCTATCCCAGCCCTCGACCTGGCACATCGATATCGACTACTACCTCGACCGCATCATCCCCACACCACGATGGCATCTCGTTCCAAAACCCATTGCCCACATGCTCGGGCATAGAGACAGCCCGCCCAAGCCGCTTGGAAATGTCCTCATCGCATGCTGGTCACTAGTAGGGGCATTTTGCGGCGTTGCACTCGTAGCCTCTGTATCCAAACGGGTTCCCTCATTCGAAGAGCGAGATGCACCTGCCATCGTTGGCAGTTTTGTAAGTTGTTTCCGTGCATGTGGATGCTCGAAAGCTAACTAGAGCAGGGAGCGGCAGCAGTGATATTATTCTGCGCAATCGATTCACCATTTGCGCAGCCGCGCAATGCACTCTTCAGCCAGATGATTGCGTGTGGAATCGGAGTGGGGATAGCCAAACTATTCGCTTTGAATCCTGCCGCTGAGAAATGGACAGAGCTGGGTGGTGCATTGGCTTGTGCGCTCACGACGGCAGTCATGTTATTGACGAATACGGTGCACCCGCCGGCGGGGGCGACTGCGTTATTGGCTGTGACGAATGCGCAAACGGCGGCGCTGGGCTGGTTCCTTTTCCCGATTATGTTGCTGGGGGTTGTGCTAATGCTGGTTGCGGCGGTGGTGGTTAATAATGTGCAGCGGAGGTATCCGCTGTATTGGTGGACTGCGACTCCGTTGGCTGTTTCTCGGGGCGATTTGGAGAAGAAGGGGAGTACCCCCAGCCATTATGAAGATAGTTTGGATGTGCCGAGGCGGCTGGTTATTGAGAGGGGGGATGTGTTGGTTCCTGATGGGGTGTTTCTCTCTGCTGAGGAGAGGGAGGTTTTGGAGAAGATCTGTGAGAGGATCTGAGGTCACACATGTCTTGTATATAGTGACATGATTTATGCCAAGGCTTCTGATGGGTTCAGGCTCGTTGGAAACTTCCGCAGGAGTGGTCGTGTCTTGCCCAGGTGATAATGAATTGAGCTGGTACCGACTCGTTAGGCAATTTTCATGGTTGTTTTGAAAGCCCGTAATGATGCCTGAGTGGTACTAACCAACCTCGGAACTGTACTCCTGTAGACAACTGTATCGTCTAGATGGTTAATAGGTTAATAGTCCCCGCGCCTCCATGAATGCTCTGAGGTCAGTATCTGAACTGTTCGAAAACTTGCCATCTCGCGGGCTTATCTCTAGTGATAAGGGATGTTTCGATGCACCGATCAGCCATGGGTACTTCATTGTGAGGGACATGCTGGTACTGCTGATCTAGGAATGGCAAGGTCAAAGAGGATTTCTAGAGTCAAACGTGAAAGAGCGAGGTCAACAGCCCTGGAGATAATGGGAGGATTCCATAGGCCTAGGGCTGGGCTGTTATCTCTGAAACATGATTGGTAGATAAAATACCACGCTGTATATGTATTGAAAGGTTAAGATTACACAGTACATTCGATCTTGTATACAGCGTAAGCCTCTGTGACTGATCTTTTTCCAGTCAAATCCCTCGGACAATCGGCATAGTTCATTCTCTATCCTTCTCACCAAGGTATACAGATCCAAAAATACATATACTCGACCTTCAAAATCTTCAAACCCTTACGGTGGCGATATTTGACCCTGAGTCAGCAAGCAAACAGTGCAAACATGACATGGACAGGTGCGGTGACGTCTGTCCCAATCAGCGTTCTTCTAACAAACCCACCGCGTTTGAATTTTTTTTTTAACATCTTTGCTCTTTAAATATCAGTTCATTGTTTGGATTCAATCTCAACTCGAACAAAAGACCAAAAAAGTCCAACAGACACAATTTCTGCTGTGACGTCGACGTATCGATAAGGGCACAACACTCCACTGCGCGCCCCTCCATTTTTCCGCCCCGCCAGGCGATCCACTCAGCCTTTTTGCATTTCTCTTCAATCTCTGTCCACTGTTCAGACCTTTTTTTCCCTTTCCCCTCCTTCACCACTCCCTTTTTTTTTTCTTATTTCTAGTTTTTTTATACCCTCACATCGCAACCATGGTTTCCGCCTCGAAGGCTGCCCGCATGGCCAAGCGTGCCGAGGAGAAGAACGGCAAGAAGGAGAAGAAGGTCGAACTCGATGCCCACGGAAAGCCCATCGTCGAGGATGCCCCTGCCACCAAGGATCAGGGTGCTGTCGACAAGCTCACTGCTCAGATGGATAAGCACGGTCTTTCCGATCGTGTCACTACCGGTGTGCTGTCCTCGCTCCCTGCCTCTCGCGACGTTAAGATCACATCCACCTCCCTCGTGTTCCACGGAAAGGTCCTCGTCACCGACTCCACCCTCGAGTTGACCTTCGGTCGCCGCTACGGTCTCCTCGGTGAGAACGGTTGCGGAAAGTCCACCATTCTCAAGTCCATTGCTGCCCGTGAATTCCCCGTTCCCGAGCACGTCGACATCTACCTTCTCAACGAGGGTGCTCCTCCCACTGACTTAGGTGCCCTTGACTGGGTTGTCCGTGAGGCTGAGCGCCAGTTGGAGAACATGGAGAAGAAGGCTGAGGAGGTTCTCGAGGAGGAGGGCCCTGACTCCCCTATCCTCGAAGACTTGTATGACGTACGTGTTTGATTTTTTTTTTCTCGTCCTTTTCTTCATTCTGCATCTTGTGTTCTGCATTGGAAGCAAAACGCTAACTATTTGACAGCGTATGGACAAGATGGATCCCTCCACTTTCCACGTTCGTGCCTCTCTCATTCTGACCGGTCTCGGTTTCAACAAGACCACCATCAACAAGATGACCAAGGATATGTCCGGTGGATGGCGTATGCGTGTGGCCCTTGCCAAGGCCCTCTTCGTCAAGCCCTCTTTGCTCTTGCTCGATGACCCCACTGCTCACTTGGATCTCGAGGCTTGCGTGTGGCTTGAGGAGTACCTCAAGAAGTGGGACCGTACCCTGATCCTGGTCTCTCACTCCATGGATTTCCTCAACGGTGTCTGTACCAACATGCTGGACATGCGTGGCCAGAAGCTCCTCTACTACGGTGGTAACTACGACTCTTACCACAAGACCCGCAGCGAGCAGGAAACCAACCAGATGAAGGCCTACACCAAGCAGCAAGAAGAAATCCAGCACATCAAGAAGTTCATTGCTTCCGCTGGTACTTATGCCAACTTGGTGCGTCAGGCCAAGTCCCGCCAGAAGATTCTGGACAAGATGGAGGCCGATGGCTTCATCCAGCCCGTCCTTGCCGACCGTGTCTTCACCTTCCGTTTCGCCGATGTCGAGAAGCTTCCTCCCCCCGTCCTGTCCTTCGACGACGTCTCCTTCTCCTACTCCGGTGAATGGGCCGATACCCTGTACGAGCACCTTGACCTCGGTGTGGACATGGACTCCCGTACCGCCCTTGTCGGCCCCAACGGTGTCGGCAAGTCTACCCTGCTCAAACTCATGACCGGCAAGCTGAGCCCCATCGGTGGTCGTGTCTCCCGTCACACTCACTTGAAGCTCGGTGTCTACTCTCAGCACTCCGCTGAGCAGCTTGACCTGACCAAGTCTTCTCTCGAGTTCGTCCGTGACCGCTTCCCCGAGAAGTCCCAGGACTACCAGTACTGGCGCCAGCAGCTCGGCCGCTACGGTCTCTCTGGTGAGGGCCAGACCGCCCTCATGGGTACCCTGTCCGAGGGTCAGAAGTCCCGTATCGTCTTCGCTCTGCTCGCCATCGAGTCCCCCAACATGATTCTGCTGGACGAGCCTACCAACGGTCTCGATATCCCCACCATTGACTCTCTGGCCGATGCCATCAACGCCTACTCCGGTGGTGTTGTTGTCGTGTCTCACGATTTCCGTCTCCTCGACAAGATCGCCAAGGACATCATGGTGTGCGAGGACAAGACCATCCGCCGCTGGGACGGCTCTATCGGAGATTACAAGAACCACCTCCGTAACAAGATGGTGTCTGCCGGCGCTGTCTAAGTTCTTTTTTCTTTGCACACTATTTTCTTGTTCCTTTTTTACATGACGACGAAATGCTAGACGAGAACTGAAGGAATACAAATGCCCATCGAGGCACTAAAAGTTTGGTTCCCGAATGGGACGTTCCAAAAAAGTTCCTTGGGTTGGGATGGGGTTCATTTTTCCATTTTTTTAGATCGTTTTGTCTTTGTCGATGGCCTTCGGCTTGGACTTCTGCGTGTTGCTGTCATCATTCCCCTCGATCAGAGTTGACTCGATCAGTCTGCTCTTTGCTTTGTTTTTATCATCCTAAATAGAGTATTTAGTTCTCGCGATGAATATATGGGATGCCACTACGCTACTGAAACATCTGTACACCTTTGAAATTCGAGAAACAAGGACAACTTGAACAATCCCATTCATTCACCTCTTTGTTCTCGGATATAAAAAGCCATCAACCAATGCACCTTTGTCCAGCCTCGACACTATAACTAACCCTCCCACCCCCCAACTCACGCCCAACTCTGGAAGTATATCCAACCAACCTCAAACCCAACTAACAAACCAAATCCCACTTGTCATCCAAATACTTAACTACTTAGCAAAATGCTCCGAGACGCCATGACGGGCCACCGCGCCATCCCAGAAGCCTACCCAGACTACTACAACCAAATCTGCCACGCCTTCAAGCGCAAACTCCAATGCCAGATCTGGACATTGCAAAGCCCCTCTTCCAGCCCAGATCGCAAGTCCATCGAAGAACGTCTCGAGGAACTGGAAGAAGAGATTGCGCAGATCGGATACTTGGCGCAGACTGGTGAGTTGTTGCCGAGGGATAGTTCGGCTGTTGTTAGGGCGTTTGGGGCTAGATCGGTGCTGGAAATTAGTAGGTTTATTAGACAGGATTTGGAGTGGATTAGGGGCTTGTTGAGGTATGGTGAGGTTGATGTCCTTGTGGGGCATTTGGAGAGGGTTATGAAGACGTTGCCTTTTTAGGGCTTTGATTATCTACGGGATGTTCATTGTATAAGTACCTAGGTTCCTAGGTAGATATCTATGGATGGGTGTAGGGGTGTTTGTTTTGTTGAAGTTGAATGTAGGGAATACAAGGTTGTTTCCTTTCAATCGACTTGATATTGGCTTTTGCTTCAATTTTAGAGGCGTGGATTGATCCTGGACTGTTCATTATAGAACATCCATGGATATCACGTATCTTGTAGCTACTTAAGTATTATCCGGCTATTTAGGCTGTGCGCTGTGCATGTACTGAGCGCACTAGACTGGAATTTGTTCACGGCGTGGACAGACAGTCCAAGGTTGTTCATTTTAGCGTTCCAAGGCATTTCAATGAGGTAGAAGAATATCAAAGAGGTCAAATGTATCGACTAGACTATCACGGTTTGGTTCGCTGTACTAGATCAGGACCGAAGACATCATTGCCCTGTCGGGCCATTTGCTCCTGCTCTAGTTTCCGCTTCTTAGCCAGACGCTCTGATTCACTCTCCGAAGTGACGGCACCAGAGTCAGGTTGAGAAACAGGCACTTGAGCAGACTCCCGCTTGAGATTCACTTTCTCGGGGTTCTGGCAATGATACAATTTCTTGGCAATGCGCTTGAGATTCTTCATCTGCACAGGGTCGGAGGAAAGGGGTGTGTATGATTGGAGCAAAGCAGAACATTCAGTCAAGACGCGGTGCAATTTCGAGCGAATCTCGTAGAGAGGATTCAAAAGGCCATTTTCGTCGGTTTCGGGTGTGGGAATGGTGGCCGTGACAGGTCCGCCTAGTTTGACATCAAGGAGGAACTCGGCTAGTGGTCGGTCTGCTACTAGGAATGCTGATAGCCAGATCTGAGAGGGTGTGTACAGGAAGTAAGCGTCTGTCATCTGTGCGGCGGTTTTCAGCAGGTCGCGTGTCTTGCCATGGGCTACGGCAATTCGATCTGACATCGACTTTGATGGAGTGGGCGGAGGTGCAATGGATAGCAGGCCTTGTTGGAGATCTTCTGCCGTCTCGTGTGGCAAATGAGGAGCTGGTTGACCCTGGCCATCCGCAATTGCTTGAAGTTCCATGACGCCGCCTTCAAGTCCACGGAACGGATGTCGGATGTCGAAGGTGAAGCGGAGGCCTTGCATGAGTAGGAATTCTGGCGCAATGACATCTTCCGGTGATGTCTCGCCGGGAATACCATCTGCGAATTGCCGGAGAGACATGTAATAGTTTTCGGTTTTGGTTGCGACAAAGAGCGCGCACGCCATGATCGACTTCGGGTGGTAGGTCATAGGAGAATTAGTTATGTAAAAGCGTCGAAGGTATTGAATCGCGGTTGCCTGTGTGCGCAGGGCGCAGAATCGTCAGCCCAGAGCTTTCTTTTTGAATTGCGTTATATACTGGGAATTATATCCCTACAACTCGATGTTGGTGTTCACGTACTCGGGCCATCGTGGGCATCGGTGGTCTGTATGTTTCGCCCAGCTCTAGTGTCTTCTCGCAGTAATATCGTACGAGTACCAGTTCTTCTTCTGGTGTGAGACATTCGATCTCTTTTTCGTCTTTGTTTTTGCCATCCATATCACTGCCGGGCTGTGGTGTTCCAGCGGCGGAGGAGGTGGCCGACTGTTGCTCGCGGGATCGGCGCAAGGCAGCGCGCACGCGCTCGGAGGCCACAGCATTTGTTGTAGCTCGTAGAGACTGTAATGAAGATTCGGTGTAGGACCATAGTCGGTACTGGGACGAAGCGCGGTAGATGTCGTCTTCAATCATCGTGGCGGTGTTTGTTAAGAGTGCAAGGCACAGAGCCTTTGTCGGGTGTAACAACGAATGCCTTAGGGATCGATGGTGAGGTATAGCTCCCGAGGTCTTTATATATGAGGGTTTTGTTCGCTTAGTGTAGTAGCATAAAGGATCAAAGGTTGACTTGGTTGAAAGTGAGGAAGTTGAAGCTCCAGTTCTTATCGATAAGCCAATTCCACACCTAAGAGGGTTGGTTCTAAGGTTGTATATACTCAATACTTCGTATAAAATGCTGCAATAAAGCCTCCTTGATTGAGAATTCGAAACTGGAAAAGGTATTTGTATGCACATCCCACGCAATGCAATCCATCCATCCTCCATATATATACCCATCTATCTCGTTTCGCGCAAATATGCTTGGCAAGTACTTAAGTACATGGTTTTATACATCACTCACCAAGCAATCGGGCAGTAATATCACCCATCCTTCCTTCATCCAGCCGATAATCTGTTCCGCCCATCCGGTCGGCACCGACAAACCGGAAAGCAGCTACAACGCGTTCAACATCGAATCCCATGCTGCAGAAACGGTCAATCAAGTCCTTGTTGTACCCGTCGTAGCTAGTGTATGTTAGCGACCATGAACAGTGCTGTGGTGGAAGAAGAAACTCACTTTGCCAGGCTGTCTTCAACAATCTGGACATCATCGGCGCTATATCCACTGGCATGATCATCGCTCATGGGAGCACCAGCATAGATGACAGCCCATTCACGTGCGACTCGCTCAAATTCCTTGGGGGTTCTAAGGAGCATATTGGCTACTTCGGCGTCTTGGGGATCCTTGGGCTCAGGTGTGCTGAGCAAAGACTGCAATGAAAGTAGAGCTGACTTGATTGTCAAAACTGGCGACCAAGCACTCGAAAGTGTGTCAAGGCAAATTGCACCCTAAATTGGTCAACAATCAACTCGACTAGCAGGCTATATATATCAAGTAGAGCTTACCGTTTGACTGCTGACATTCGGATGCCATACTTTGGTTTCAAACTTCATGGTAGGTGGACGGAAAGGGTAATCAGTGGGGATCTTGATGTCGATACTGTAGGTACCACCTTCATAGGGAGTACCAGGAGGCCCAGGAAAAGAGCCTCTCAGATGTGTCACGTCATCGTTGTTGTAAAAAGGCTCGGCTTTGATCTGCGAATGCACGTCGGCGTGGATGTCGGCAATTTCTTTGCCAATACGACGAGTGCGGTTGCTAGCCATGATGATTCGAGGCTTGCACACAGGAAATAGTCTTGATTGAGGCTTATCTGTGGAGAATGGAATAGTAGATCTATTCCTCTCTTGTCAAGTCTGCACAAGAGCGTTCGTCCTAGAAGGACACGGATTTGCAAGGGCTGAAATGTGGACTTGGACTGAGGGCAATTGATTTTGTTAGACATATTTTCATATTCAGAGTCAAGATATTAGGAACAAGACCCAAATGACTCTATCCAAATGAAGAGTAACCCAAGCTAGACATTTTTCTTACCTGTGGAGGGGGGAACTATGAGGGCAACCAGGGTGGACGAGCCAGTATTCAACTTTTGTATTTGTTTGAAAGATCTCGAATAGATCGCACCGAGTTCCAGTGGCAATATCAAGTTGTCCTCTTCAATTTCGTGGTATGACCGTAGTATAACACACTTTGCTTTCCAAATCCTCACGAGATTCGAGGTGAAGGCGCCAAGGTATCCATGACGCAGTGGTGGCCTGAGGCGACAGTATCACGTGATGGAACAACAGCTTCCAGCTCCAACGCATCCGACCCCAGGCGATACCACTACATTGCATTTGAACAATCCATCCTTTTCCACCCGTGTCGACCATCTTTTCCCGTTCTTGAAAGCTCGGGAACTATCTAACTCGGATCTGCACTTGAAGCCTAGTATTTTCATTGTCTCCCTCTGGGTGGCTGACAAACATGGTGAGTGCCTCAACTTTCGTCCCTTGGACCATCTCCAATCCGCAGTACTGACGGTCAATGTAGGGTCAACAGCAGTCTAATATGGGCGGTGGCCCTGGTGGTGATGGACGTGATGATAAGGACAAGAAGGTATGTCTTGATCGTGCTCCTGCTACGCGGCCAGCACTGACTTTCAGCAGAAGGACAAGCCTAGATACGAGCCTCCTCCTCCCCCTACCACCCGCATCGGAAAGAAGAAGCGCAAGGCTGCCGGCCCTAGCACTGCTTCCAAGCTCCCGGATATCTACCCTACATCACGATGCAAGCTACGATACCTTCGCATGCAGCGGGTGCACGATCACCTGCTGTTGGAGGAGGAATACGTCGAGAACATGGAGCGCATGCGTCAGGCCAAGGCCCAGGCTACCCAAGATCCTGCCAGCCGGACAGGCGACCTGGATGTGATGGATCGCAACGCCGACGAGCGAAGTCGAGTCGATGACATGCGCGGCAGCCCCATGGGCGTTGGAAACCTGGAAGAGTTGATCGATGATGACCATGCCATTGTGTCCAGTGCCACCGGGCCTGAGTACTATGTCTCAATCATGTCTTTCGTTGATAAAGATCTCCTTGAGCCCGGTGCCAGTATCCTCCTGCATCACAAATCAGTATCAGTTGTCGGCGTATTGACTGAGGAATCGGACCCCCTTGTCTCCGTGATGAAATTGGACAAGGCACCGACTGAATCATATGCCGATATTGGTGGTCTGGAGCAGCAAATCCAGGAAGTACGAGAATCCGTGGAGCTTCCTTTGCTCCACCCTGAGCTCTACGAGGAGATGGGTATCAAGCCTCCCAAGGGTGTCATTCTTTACGGTGCCCCCGGTACCGGAAAGACACTGCTTGCCAAGGCGGTCGCCAACCAAACCAGTGCCACTTTCCTGCGCATTGTTGGCAGTGAACTGATCCAGAAGTACCTTGGTGACGGTCCCCGTCTGGTCCGTCAGATCTTCTCCGTCGCCGCTGATCATGCCCCATCTATTGTTTTCATTGACGAGATTGATGCCATTGGTACGAAGCGTTACGAATCACAATCAGGTGGTGAGCGAGAAATTCAGCGAACCATGCTGGAGCTTCTCAACCAGCTGGATGGATTCGACGACCGTGGTGATGTCAAGGTCATCATGGCCACTAACAAGATCGAGACTTTGGATCCGGCTTTGATCCGGCCTGGTCGTATCGATCGTAAGATTCTCTTCGAGAACCCAGACCGTAAGTGATCTGCTACAATTTTCGACTCAAGATTTTGTACTAACAACATGCCAGAAAACACCAAGAAGAAGATTTTCACCCTGCATACCTCGAAGATGTCTCTTGGCGACGACGTGGATCTGGAGGAGTTCATTAACCAAAAGGATGATCTCTCTGGTGCTGATATTCGCGCTATTTGTACCGAGGCTGGTCTTATGGCCCTCAGAGAGCGCCGTATGCGGGTCCAGATGGATGACTTCCGGGCTGCTCGTGAGCGTATCATGAAGACCAAGCAGGACGGAGGCCCTGTCGAGGGTCTATACCTGTAAGCGCTGGGAATTGCCCAATGGTGGCGACGCCCCGGTCTGCTTGCGGTGACCTTATAGATATGTTCTTTTGTATTGTAATAAATGAGTGCCGAGTTATCCTAAGCACTCTTTGCCCAGCCACCCGTGTCATTCTTTGTATAACTGTAGCGAGCACAGGACGTAGACTGAGCAAAATTATGCCTCAATTCCCAGGCACCAATGCTTATCGGAGAGGTTGCAAACGTGTCAAACAAGCTCACTATCAGGGCGCATCTCCGGGCTTGTCGCAAACTTCCATCACAATTCACCATGGACGACTTTGACGAAGAAGCATTTAACAAGTTCTTTCCATCAAGCTTTGGCAAGCAGGCCAAAACGATCGATGTTGAAACTCAGATCGACCGCTCTAAGCGTGTCGAGGTCTCGGCACCGAAGACAGAAGAAAAAGAACTAAGCACATCCGCAGCTGCTGCGCAACCAGAAGCGGGCGACGATGAGAAAAAGGACAGTGACTCCGACAGTGATGATGACTCTGATTCGGATGATGACGAGGACGAGTTTCCCGTATCGCACGAGCTTGTTCTCAAAAGTCATGAGCGTGCTGTAACCACTATGACCGTGGACCCCTCGGGCGCACGACTAATTACAGGTTCCAGTGACTGCAATTTGAAATTGCATGACTTTGCTTCTATGACACCTTCCACGCTTCGCTCCTTCAAGACTGTTGATCCCTCGGCGAGGCAAACCTCCGCATCCCAGGATACCCATCCCGTCAACTTCGTCGCGTTCAACCCAATTGCGCCGAGTTACGTTCTAGTTGTGCCTGCTTCGTCCCAACCTCGGATTTTGAGCCGTGATGGTGAAACACTCACGGAATTCGCCAAGGGTGATCCGTATTTGCGTGATCTACACCTTACCAAAGGACACATCTCTGAGGTTACATGTGGCGCCTGGAGTCCTTCGGATGAGAACCTATGCGCAACTGGTGGTTCCGATGGCACGATTCGCATCTGGGATGCTAACGTCGGACGCAAACAGAAGGAGGTGATTGTTCACAAGTCGCGAGCGGCTGGGTCTGCGGGTCGGACGAAAATCACTGCCATCGCATGGGGCTCGCCCAAACAGGGAGGAGCCGATATCCTGGTCGGCGCGGGTCTGGATGGCAGTCTGGCGATGTGGAGCGGTAATGGACCGTACACAAGGCCGAGTGGAGAAATTCGCGACGCTCATGCTAAGGACACCTGGACCAGCGGACTGGATATTAGTTCCGACGGAAGGCTTGTCGTTAGCAGAGGTGGTGATGACACCATTAAGTTGTGGGATACTAGAAAATTCAAGACACCCATCACGACTGTCACGCATCCCTCAACTTCTTCCCGCTATCCAACATCCAACATCCAATTCTCTCCCTCGTCCGCCAATGTGATCACAGGTTCTGTAACTGGTCATTTGCATATCCTCAATCCTGCAACATTGAGACCAGAGCTCGTCACCCCAGTGACGCCCGGCTCACCATTGATCACTGTTTTATGGCATGAAAAGCTCAATCAAATTTTGACTGGCTCGGCCAATGCCGAAACTCATGTCCTCTACAACCCGACCATGTCCACCAAGGGTGCAGCGACAGTCATGTCCAAGGCCCCCAAGGCTCGCCATGTGGATGAGATTGCCCTCCCCAACCTCGGCGAGGGCTTGTCTGGCGACTCGATCGTTGTCGGCTCCAACGGAGTCCCCCACTACAGTTCTGCTACCTGGTCTGCTCGTCACCCCACAGTTGGTTTGACAGCATCTGGCCGCTCTCGCGATCCACGACGCCCTCACCAGCCAATGGTGACACCTTTCTCGAAGACTAATCCAGATGAAAAGCACATTCGCGAGAGCATGCCTCTCAGCTCCAGTCTACACGAGGATCCCCGTGAGGCACTATTGAAGTATGCGGAGCAGGCGGAGAAGAACCCCATATACACCAGCGCATACCGAGAGACTCAGCCAACTGCCATCTACGCGGAGCTGAGTGATGAGGAGGAGAAAGGGCCTGAGAAGAAGAAAGCCAGGCGTTGATCGAACATATCTCATGTGAATGTATAATAGTGGCCAGTCCCAAAAATTCCAACTTGATGTGTGTGCAATGTGTGTTCATCGGACAGGAGATGTTTTTCAAATTGAATAAACGTCAACAGATAACTATGCCGTTGCCTGGCGTTCGAGACAAGACATTTGCTCCTTGATTCCTGGAGTGTCCCCTCTTTCCATGACGTCCCTAGGCGACGATCCCTCACTGCAGCCAATGAAAATAAGAGACCCAACTGCAAGAGCTCTGACCTTGCGCAAAGCTGTAGATGCGGTGACGAAGAAGTTTGGAGCGTTTGGGTGCTGACATATCAACTCCGCGCCTCCGGGCATTGCCGCCCAAACACTTCCCACCTTCGCAACTCACTTCCGCGGTCATTTCGGTTGCACCTCGGTATTTTCAGATCAGAATGATGCTTGACATTTAAGATCAAATGCTTGACATTCAACTTGCGGGCTCGTTTTAATCGGCCGAAACAGCCGGAGAGCTGGGGTGTATAGGGGCTTACAGAGCTTTGGCGCATCAACATTTGGAGACTCGCGCAACATAATGGATTCTCCGCAATCAAAGCTGGCAGCTAGCTTGTTGCCCTATCTGTTCGCCACGGCCGCCTCCCCGTCCAACGCAGCGTCTTCGATCCACCAACTCTTTGCCGTTCCCTCAAACTCGACGATTCACACCCCCGATGGAAATAATGAGGACGATATGCACCAGTGGTCATCCCTGATCGGTATCATCACCGCGTTATGTGGCAACGTTCTGATTTCCTTGGCTCTCAACATTCAACGCTACGCGCACATCCGGATCGCAAGAGAGTTCGAGCAGGATAAGAGCCGGGTCGCGGAGAACGGAAATAACCCCGCGGAGTCCCTGCGGAGAGGAAGATCCCCAGGACAATACCAAGATTCGGAGGACGAGTTCGAGCCTTATCGGGATGACGACCACGAAGGACGAAACAGTACCTCGAGCTCGCGCGGAAGCGCTTATAGCTTCGAGGGCAAGGATGGGACAGATGGGCGCAAGTCATATCTCAAATCCCCGTATTGGTGGGTCGGAATCATACTCATGGTAGTGGGCGAGATGGGCAATTTTATGGCCTATGGCTTTGCCCCTGCGTCTATTGTCTCACCATTGGGCGTTGTTGCTTTAATCTCGAATTGCATTATCGCCCCATGTCTGCTCAAGGAACAGTTTCGCAAGCGTGATCTCTGGGGTGTACTTGTCTCTGTGGCGGGTGCTGTCATCGTGGTTCTCAGTGCTAAGTCGTCTGAAGAGCAAATCGGGCCTCATGAGATTTGGGTCATGATCACTCGCTGGGAGTTTGAGCTTTATCTCGGTTTGACGATTTCATTGATTGTCGGTCTCATGTGGGCGAGTCATCAGTATGGCTCGCGATCAATTCTGATTGATGTTGGACTTGTGGCTTTGTTTGGTGAGTGCATTGTTTCCTAAGCTTCATTCCAATCTTGTTACTAACCATCGTATACAGGCGGATATACGGCGCTTTCAACGAAGGGTGTTTCATCTCTCTTGTCTGGCACGCTTTGGCATGTGATCACCTTCCCGGTGACATACCTCCTTGTCTTTGTCCTCGTCTTCAGTGCTTTGATGCAGATTCGTTACATCAATCGTGCGTTGCAACGGTTTGATTCGACCCAGGTGATCCCGACGCAGTTTGTACTCTTTACACTAGCTGTGATTATTGGAAGTGCGGTCCTCTACCGCGACTTTGAATCAATAACCGCTGAGCGCGCCACCAAATTCATTGGCGGGTGTCTCTTGACATTCTCCGGAGTATACTTCATTACAAGTGGCAGAGTTCGCGCCGATGATGAATCTTCATTCTCTTCGGACGACGAAGAAGGATCAATTGGGCTGTTGAATGGTGAAAGATACCGTGATAGGATTGATTTATCTCCACCCGGCCCTCAAATTCCCAAAGCTTCACATGTTTCCCCAGAAGGCCATTATGATACAGCTCGGTCTCCACCGGGATCTCTATTGAGCCAAGGCATCGAGGGAGTGGATGATGATCAGTCGACCCCCAGAAATGTTCTTTCCGTCGCTCCATCTTCCCCCCGTGAATCTCTGACTGCCGGGTCCCATGCATCTGGCCCGTCCTTTGACTTCACCTCCCCCTTACGGCCCCCTTCTCGGATGTCGAACCCGTGGGCAGACATTCATCCGCAGGATGGCCCGCCTCAACCCGATGATCTGGTCTTCCGCCCTTCAACCCCAACAGAACACAGTGATACCACCCAGTCGACGGTTCTTCTGCGTTTCCCTCCTCCACCTGGCATTGAGCAAACACCAGGATCTAATGGCGACGCCGGATTTGTGCGACGTGCGTCGACCCCGACTTTGTTAACCCAAGCCAACCAAAATGGACAATCCGACGCTGTCCTCGAAACACCATCACGACGGGCACTTCGCAACTCAATCTCACATCGTTTCTCCCCGGGCCCTCTCCTCCCCACATTATCCGGAGGTTTCACCGCCGTAATTGCCGACTCAATCCGACGCGGCGACGGCAGTCCTCTCAAAGACCGCTCAAGGCGGAGATTAGGACGTCGACGACAAGTTGATGGTGCTTTCACTGACCAACCCACCCTCGATGGAAATGACCCCGAAGCACCACTTTCCCTCGCAGCTGCGCGTCTCCAATCCGCCACCGATTCATCCGAAGTCCACGCCGAAGCCGGCCGCTCAACACCAGGTCTAGCAACCGAAATCTACACCTCGCCAACTAGCAAAGCTAACGAGGACGGCACCCGACTCCGCAGCTTCAGTGACTCTTGGAGTGGCGGCCTCGCATGGTTGGGCGGTGCTCTCAGAAAACCACAGAACCAATCCCAGAGTGCTGCTGTTACTGGAACGCCAACGCCCGAGAATGAGATACCTCCCGGTCCAAGTGACTCTCCACTCGGCCCTTCTGATACTGCGCCTGATGCTCGATAAGTGCCACGCCATATCTTGGGCACACTGATTCATGCAAGTGGCTGGGTCACTCGCATTGCACTACTTTGTTTGTTTCTTTTTACCTCTCGGTACGATATATTCTTGTAATTGGCATTGCATTCGCTGGTACAGGGGCATTTAATGTATTTTTCTACTTGTTGTACTGCATTGTATACAAATGTTAAGTAACTTGCATTAAGTCAATTCTGAATTCTGTGGCTGTACCTAAACCCGAAAGGGGACTTTTTTGAAGTTTGTCTCCGGTTTTGTTTAACATCCACTAAAGTAGCATACTATTTCTCTCTCTTGCTCTTTGTCTCTCTTCTTCGCCTTCTCTCTTGCTCGCCTTACGTTTCGGACCACAATAGTGGTGCGTGTGTCCCTTGTCCCCCCCCCCCCCCCACACTCAATTCGGGCAACGTCAATCCTATGACGGTCCATCGACAGTCAAGAGCTCCGGGGAGCTTAGGGCCATGTCCACGGTGTCATTGGGTGAACTTTTGAAAGGAGCCACTGGACTAGAAGGTCGAGTCCTGACGCCTGAACCGCCGGGCCCGGAGTCCTGTCAGGTTTGGGGTCCCCTTCCGAGTAAAAGTTGTTAGGCTTCTTTGCGTTTCCGCAACCCGAATGTTTCATTGTCATAACCCAGACCATGCAATCGGACAGTTTGACGCTCTTAGAATCTTTAACTCGCATTGACGGATCATGAACGAGTTCTCGTATCAAGGCCCTTGTCGCTTATCATTCTGGGGGCTCGATGAATGGAGTTGATGGGGATGGGCGGATGAGGGGAAGATATCAGGGTAGGAGTTTGCCGGAGGTCATCTTCCATCGGAGATGGGGCCGTTGCGAGATACTTACTCTTGTTCGCTTTGTATTTATACATCAGCAAGGCAAGAGTAGTTGCGGAGTGATAGTGGAGTTGTGAGGGAGGAAAACCTTAGAAGCTTCAGGACATGAGGATCCAATTCGACGAAGAGAATGAAGATGAAGAAGACTGTGGAGATCTGTGGAGAGAGCTGTTCTTATAGTACAGAGTATGCAAAATATGCAAAAGCGCAAACGCAAAGCAAACATGCTGATGGTAGCAAATAGCAAACCATCACAGGAGTGTTCATGCAGTAAACAAATGGTTGAGTGAGAACGAGCACGAACGAGGGAGTATGAGGACAGAAAGATGTAGAGGGAGAGCAAAGGTATAAAGCATTCCTATGTAGTATGATACTTAAGTAGTTGCAAAGATTTCGCGATTCCGTATGTCATACGTGAAAAAGAGTCTATCCATGGTAATGATATATGCTGCATAGTATCATGGATCCAGACATCCGCAAATGTTTGTTTATGCTTTTCTCGTACTTTAACTCCTGGTTTAACTCCTGGTTACTTCCCAGGTTTCGATATCTTAAGTAGGGTATGGTCTACGGGAGTGAAAGGAATATAAGAAGCAGAATTCGATTGACTCAAAGTAAATACATGCGCGAGGAAATCAACATTCCAACTTTAGAAGTTAGGATGCAGGATATAGCTAAATATAGCCTCATGAGCAGGCTCTCACGTCTCGATGACATCAAGTCGTTTAGCACATGTGGGTGGCACGGAAAGTACCTTGCTGGGCAGAGATACCCAGGTGTCCTCGCCAGGTACCACCACCGTGACGCATGGTCATGCACAGAGCAGTGTAGCCACCGAGACCATCCCAGGCGTCATCGAGAGCAGTGACCATGGTCTTGATCTCAGCGGTGGTGTCACAGTTGCGTCCAGAGGCGTAGTAGTAGTAAGTGTAGCTCACACCTTCATTGTCGACATGGGTACCCTCAACACCGGCGCAGCTGTTAGCCTTGCTCTGCTTGTACATGGCGGAGGCAATCTCGGCAATAACGGCCTGAGACTGGTTGGGGTCGCTGAAGAAGACGTCGCCCTTCTGGAGGTTGGACTCGCTGACAGAGATGGAGGTGCGCTTCACAAGTCCTGATGCATCTCTCTTGGGGGTGCTTCCGGTGATGAGAGCCGGGGCAGGCGCAGCCTTGATCTGGAGAAACTCATCGCGCTTGGCACCTGCATGGTGGCCGTCGCAGACGGTCTGGGGGTCCTTGCCGGAGCCCTTGACGACCAGACCGATCACACCGTGCCAGGTGCCGCGGTGGTCAAGGTCAAGACAGACTGCACTGGAACCGTCGGCATGCAGCTCATCAAATGCATCGGAAAGCTTGTTGGTGACAGTCTTTGCACGCTGGGTGCTGTCACAGTTGCTGCCGGTGGTGTACGAGTACGCGTAGTATTGATACTCGACTCCGTCGTCGTCGGTGACATCGGTGACTTGGGACTTTCCACAGATCTTCTCGGCATCCGGGGCGTTGCGGTACCAGTTGGTGAAAAGAGCAGCGAATCCAGTCAACATGATACCAAGGCTTGCACCGGCTCCGATGGTGGCAGCATTGTCAGCGCCCCATTGGTGGACGATGGTGTAACGATCGGATGTCCGCGCGACAAGGCCATTCTCTTCAGTTGTCTTGCTCTCGTTCACAGTCGGCTTGAGGTCAACAGCCATCGCAGAGGCAACAGTCTGAACTGAAAGCAGAGAGACCAGGAAGGCTCCAAAGTTATCCGAGACGCCCTTCAACATGATTGCGATATTGACACTTCCGTGTTCAAAGGATGAAAGTTATCTATTCCTTATTAGCAAGACCCTTCCAAAGAGCAACAATAGACTGCATACTGGTAAGAATATGAATGGGAATCCCAAATGAACAGGAATGGAAGAAAATCAGGTAGATGATTGACTTCTCGAGTGCCTCTGGATAATCTTCAGAAGACTCGAAGACCAATGCCCTTTTATATGTTCAAAATGCGATGGTGCAAGGCAAATCTGACATATTCTTAGCCCTGACGAGCTATCCAGGATGCAACTTGGGGTCCAAATTCGGCATCTGTGAAGGACCCTCATCGTGTGGTTGTCGCAGTGGCTGGATCTATAGAGACCCAATTGAGTACCAGTTCCCGAAACCGAGCTGGCAATTCTCCTCTCAATCCTGTTCACTGGCAGAATTGGGCCCCAGAAGCCAAGCATTGTAGATTGCTACTTGGGGGCTATGATCTACGGCCCCCACAATTCAGGACTTACTTGTAGACAAAGATCGACAGAGTTATCTGTAACAGTCCCCGAAACCAAGCTGGTGTTCCTTAGCACCTTGCTGCACTAGTAGAATTTACTTCGGATTGTCCGAGAGCCGAGCATTGTAAATTACAATTTGGGGGCTGTTGTTTGATATCTCCACATTCGAGGCTTGGAGAGGATTGAGCTTAGAATAGCGATAACGCAAGCCAAGGACCAACAGCTAGCAATTGCATCGATGGTTATTTTAGAAACATCCGTGCAAATGTGCATGGCTTTTTGGTGTGTTCAACGGTCGTACATGTCTTTGACTCAACAATTTTGTGTAGATGTGTGATATCGATCATATTTTCCCGATCTGGTTAGGCATTTTCCAATTACCTGTAGAGATCAAGTTTATGTCTCATGTTTGCAACATTATCGATTTGTGCAATGTATACAGAGTACGAGTACCTACGAGTAGGTTCGATCCCGAATATCCGGCCGAAGAAGGGTCCCCAAATCGCCCCTCCGCGGTGGGCCGAAGCCGAAACTCATTACTAGATACGGCTTCAATATAGTACTTTAAAGGTTGGGGGCGAGAAATGAGCAACCTTGGAACGCAAGGGGTTTGTTCCTGGGTTCTTGACACCAAACTAAAATTGAGCTCAATATTAAATCGCCGAATTCTCGAGCGAATACTCAGATTGAATTGCTCATAGGGCTATTCCGAGCTGCAGAGTGCCATGCTATGCAACATCCAATGCTCAGTGGAAGTACCTCGGCAAAATCAGAGGCTCTGAAGACCCACTTTATGAAACCTGAAGCGTTGAAGAGTCCCCGAAAGGTGGATGCAAGGCACAGTGGAGCCCGAGTCTGCAGAATTTGGGGGCCAATTGCTGCGGAGTACAGTCGATAGCCATGGTCTTTTTTACACTGTATACATTTACAAAATCTACTCTATCCTATGTGGTTTGAATTAGATAGTTAAACCCAGTTGTGTCGACTATCAGCAAAAGCTCTCTGGGGTGTATCCATAGATGAAACATCCTTGAGTTATCCCGGGGTCCTTCTAAAGTTGGACTCTTACTCGTACTAGGAGGGATTTCTGCACTAAATGATTACATAGAATAGACTACGAGTATAGAAAATATGATATCTCACAGTTCATTCATATTCCATTCGCTGTTCCTATCACGCCCCACCCAATCAGCCCACAAGGCTTCCTTGACTCTGCCACGCCGAGGACTCTAAATGAGTTAGTACACTGCTAAAAGCCACATACGTCGATCTTGAAACCCATGTGCGCGCAGTCAGTCCCACAAATAGCTTTTGGGCTTCTTCAGCCCCCACGTAACATTTACAGGTATACTCAAGCCATTGGGGCTAAAAGGCGTTGGTGTACCGTCATCGTGCGGTGCTTGGTGTCGCTTGTTTGGGGGCCAAGAATCATCTTTCATTCTCCGAGTATGGCAGATATCCCCCAAAGATGAAGAAATGGAGTGCACGTCTACTCTACAAATCTTTGTCTTGCTTCCAAGACTGAAGAGGACGGCATTGTTCGGAAGTACTAGTAGGCTCTCCACACGTCGAATGTTTGCATTACGGGCTTTATCATTGGAGCTCTGGGGTTCCACTTGAGCAGAACGTAACTTGATTGTTGAGATATCCTTTTCAAACTCCAGTTTTCTTTCAGTTTTTAATTGCCTGTGTCTTTACAGGTCTACCGCTTCGCACTAGCCCTGGAGTACTGATTCTCAAACGCGCCATGTGCAAGACACGGCACTTCGGTACAGCTTGGATTCTTCACACTGAGATAAAAGAAAGCCAGGAAGGAGTAAATGGAGACACATCTCTGGGCTACATAAGTATCTCTAAAGTTGGCCGCCCGGGCGTGACTTTGGTGCAATGGGCACTAGATCCAGCCTTTGCTATTTCCTCGTGATGATTCACTCCTGGGGAAAGCCTCAGTTTCTAAGTTTGCAATTGATATCCATAGATCACTTGAATCTCGATGTCGAACTCGAAGCTACTCGCCTGGCCTGCAATGGATGCTATAATTACTTCTAAAGTTTAGAAGCATTTCAACATTGAACCCTTGGAAGGCTATGGCAAACTCTGCCCAGGTGGCGATTCAAAGTTGTGAAATCCAGCCTTGGGCTTCTAAAGTTCTGGAGGCTCTTTAGAATAACTTAGTATATCTAGTCCACATGAGCATATATATAACAACTAGAGCTTTCTAAGGTCAACATGGCTCCAGCAAGCCGTCACAGTTACTTCAGTATTTATGATGCCTTGCTAGTTTTAAATCAGATCCCAAGGTTGACTAGGCGAATCATAGAATGCAGGCCTGCTGATAGAAATATATCTTCCCCCAGAGAAAGAAGTAACTAAGGTGATGCTCAACTTTAGTGACAAACTGTAGGCTGTTACCTGATTTATGGCCAGTTGATTCCTTGCCACACTAGGTAGGATTTGGCGGTTGATATATAATAAGTCTTCGACGTGAATGACACAAGGCCTTGAAGAATGACAAGACCCGCAAAAGTGCCTGAGCAACCTACTCTACTCCGTATCTTCTGATCACAAAGTTGATGCATAGTATTTGGAGGTTATACAAAAGATAAAAAAGAACCACTGGAATAGACATTGTAGATGAGTAAAAGCAGATGAAACAAATAGAAGTTGGCTTGACCCTCAAAAAAGATCCATAAGACTGTCTGACTTCCAGCGCGTACTTCCGTGCCTACGGAAGACCAGCCCTGAAAAGGCGACTGAGTCCCAACTGACTGATTTCTCTTCCCTCTTCCACAAATTCTTAAAACCCCTTTCAAATAACCATTCAGCATCGAAACTGGCTCTGTGCTGAATCATCTCAGAGCTTCAACTTTAGAACGTATTGCAGTCACGATCTGAAAAGCAAAAACCAAACGCATGACTTGCTTTCGTCTGCCTTACCAAAAGCCAAGGAAAGACCCCCAGTTACATGCCAGGTGTCCCGAGGCTGTTGCTTCTCTTATCTTGACCTCGTCTTTAACGAAATTGCTCGCTCTCACATCTCGACTGTACGGGGTCCATCTGGTCGGACTTCAGGACTCAGGAGAGATCGCCCCAGGGAATTTGATGACTCACTACTGTTCTTCCCCTTTGGCGACACTATCACTGATTTATACAGAGATTCTGAAGTTTTAGAACGACATTTTTATCAAAGATTCATGACACGATATGTCTGAAGACAGTCTACTTTCAAGGTTGTATTCTGCTACTTCAGCTGCGAGAAACATCGTCATCAGCGGACCAACGGTGGCAGTCTAAAAGCGACTGTTATGAAGATCAGCTCAGACACTCGATGATAATCAATGCCCAGTTGCCGACGGGGCGAGGCAAGTGATATGCGGAGCGCCGATTCAAAGAGAATCTCCAGTCTTTGGTCTCCCTTTCCCCTCTGTTTGGTTTGATTATTCCCATCTCAACTTTTCTGTTATTAACCGGCATAATGCATTCTCTCGCCAAATTTCAAAGAAGCTATTCTTCAGTCCGCAAATTCCGCTTGCATGATCTTTATCCCACCGGACGACCCGGCAAGCCCTAATAGGTGGGAAAAAGCAGACCAGCAAACACAGCAAGGCGCAGCCAACTACCCCATAAAACCCTGGCTATTCAAGTCACTTTAGCCGGCAAACATGTCTCTGTACCCCTCCTCGATCTAATACCAGTGTGGAGGCGGGGGCATCTCTCCGTCTCACGATAGTGCTAGCTCGGCTTTAACGGCGCCAAGCAGTGCGCTACTGCACCCCCTTGTACGAATCCGATCTATTTAGTACAAAAAACGGCTTCAATTCCGATGTTTTGTGCGCAACCAGAGCTCTCGGCAATATAATTCATCTAGCTTCAATTAATGGGGTTTTTGCTCATGCCACGCGACGTGTGATTCTGCTTGGCTTTGCCAAGTAAGGGACTCAGATGGTTATATGCAACAGTATTCCCCGGGAAATGTGCTTTCTTTTCCCCACTCAGGGCTCGATATAGCTTCTATCCTGGTTCAGAGCGGATTCTTTGGTCGACATGGTGGCCAATATGCTTTCTCATGGATTGTTGCTCGTGCAGCTCTTTGCGGCTCTGGCTTTGGGCAAACCGTCTACTCCTCTCTACAAAGATGCTAATGCCCCGGTGGAGAAGAGAGTGAAGGATTTGCTGGGCCGGATGACAATTGAGGATAAGACGGGTCAATTGATTCAAGGTGCTTTCATCAATGGGCTTACTGCCTGTCTTGAGGACCCTGTACTGATTTATGTGTTTGTGTAGGCGATGTCACAAATTGGATGAATTCGACAACAGGCGCCTTCAACTATACCGGTCTGGTGGCGAACATGGAAATGAAGGCAGGAATGTTCTATGGTATGAGAGTCCTGAGACTTTGGAATAATCCTCGAGCTTGAACAACTTTCTGACGCCTCTCAGTTGGATATCCGGTTGCATGGGATTGGATTGCCGACAATATCAAAAGGGGTCAGGATTATTTACTCCAGAACACAACATTGGGAATTCCTGCTATCGTGCAGACCGAAGGTAAGCATTTTAAAGACATTATAACGTGGACTGCGCTGATGACTTGATTGATAGGTATTCACGGATTTTTGATTGGAAATGCCACCATCTTCAATTCGCCTATTGCATATGGATGTTCTTTCAACCTCGATGTGAGTTGATCGTACTAACTAGTAATTTGGGCTCATTATTCTAACATAATTGTACAGCTCATTGAAAAAATGGCAGAGATCATCGCACAAGAAGCCAAGGCTCTCGGCGTCAACCAACTCTTTGCTCCTGTCGTCGATCTCGCCCGTGAGCCTCGATTCGGTCGTGTTAGTTATATTTTCCTACTTAAGTACTTTATGACAATTGGATATCCTAACAAAGTTCCTAGGTCGAAGAAACCTACACCGAGGACCCCTACCTCGCTGGTGAAATCGGCTACCACTACGTCAAAGGAGTGCAAAGCAAGAATGTTTCATCTATGGTCAAACATTTCGCCGGATTCAGTGTCCCAGAGCAGGGAATTAATACCGGTCCAGTTCACGGTGGTGAGCGAGAGCTTCGCACGACGTACGTATCTCATTCCAGAAGATGTGTGTCCAACTAACCATTGAAAAAAGATGGCTTCCTCCATTCAAGCGCGCTATCATTGATGCAGGTGCTTGGTCTATCATGGCAGCATACAACTCGTAAGTACAATTGATCTAGGTGTTTCCAGGATCTAATTTTGTCCAGATATGATGGCATCCCCGCCGTTTCCGACTATCACACCCTCACTGAGATTCTGAGGGAAGAATGGGGATACGAGTACTTCGTCATGACCGATGCAGGTGGAAGTGACCGAATTTGCAGTTATTTCAAACTTTGTGAAAGTGACCCGATTGATATGGAGTCTGTGACTACCCAGATTCTGCCCGCAGGAACTGATGTCGAGATGGGAGGCGGTTCATTGTATGTTGGACAAGCTGCCTGTTTGGATGAAACATTCTGACAGTATATAGCAACTTCCAGAAGATCCCTGAGCTCGTCGAGTCTGGCAAGCTTGATATCTCGGTTGTTGACACTGCTGTCTCCCGGTTGCTCCGGGCTAAGTTCGAAATGGGTCTCTTTGAGAATCCATACCCTGCTGCGCCGGAGAATCAATGGAAGAAGCTAATTCACAGCGACAAAGCTGTGAAGCTTGCGAGAGAGTTGGATAAGGAGTCTATTGTCTTGTTGGAGAATCACAATGAGACTCTGCCTCTCAAGAAGTCGGGAAACATTGCAGTCATCGGCCCGATGGCTCATGGTTATATGAACGTAAGCCAGCCAATCTGTTTCTATCTCCATTCCCTGAGTTCCAATCTCTAACAAAATCCAGTACGGCGACTATGTCGTGTACAAAAGCCAGTATAGAGGCGTTACACCCCTCGACGGCATCAAAGCAGCAGTGGGCGACAAAGCACAAGTCCACTACGCGCAGGGATGTGAACGGTGGAGCAACGACCAGTCAGGCTTCGAGGCCGCAATCGAAGCAGCGAAAAAATCAGACGTCGCCGTGGTTGTTGTTGGGACCTGGTCTCGAGACCAAGGCGAACTTTGGCAAGGCCTGAATGCAACGTGAGAAATCCCAAGCAAGACCAAGTCGATTGATACTGACCTGAGCAAGAACGGGCGAACACGTCGATGTGAACGATCTATCTCTCGTCGGCGCCCAGGGCCCCCTCATCAAAGCTATTGCAGACACTGGCGTCCCGACAGTTGTTGTTTTCTCCAGCGGCAAACCCATCACAGAGACCTGGGTTTCGAACTCGACTGCAGCGCTGGTTCAACAATTCTATCCATCTGAGCAAGGTGGTAACGCTCTCGCTGACGTTCTCTTCGGCGACTATAACCCCTCTGGCAAGCTTTCTGTCAGTTTCCCCCGGTATGTAGGCGACTTGCCTATTTTCTACGACTACCTGACCTCTGGACGCTTGATCGGTGACTCGGGCAAGAAGCTGGACAATGGGACTCTGGTCTTTGGACACCAGTATGTTCTGGGAGACCCGACTCCATGGTATCCCTTTGGATATGGTAAGAGTTACTCGACATTCAAATACGGCGCTGTGAAGGTGGACAAGAAGACTATTTCTGCTTCCGATAAAACAGTCACAGTCACCGTCGATGTGACCAATACTCATAAGACCCGCGATGGAACAGAGGTCGTGCAGGTCTACATTCAAGACGATATTGCTTCGGTCGTTGTGCCTAATCGCCAGCTGAAGGGCTTTAATAAGGTGGTTATCCCTGCTGGGAAGACGAAGACTGTGAGCATTCCAGTGAAGGTTGAAGAGCTGGGGGTTTGGAATACCAGGATGAAGTATGTTGTTGAGCCGGGCAAATTCACTGTTCTTGTTGGAAGCAGCTCGGAGGACATTCGTGGAAACTCGACTTTTACAGTCAGGTAGAATTGGGCATGGCAATGCTCGATAGGGGTTAGTCTAGCCAGATAAATGATTAAAATGAACATAGCATAAGCAAATCTGCTGTTGGAGAGAAAACCGCAAAAGTGATGGAAAGTCGTAAGCTTCAATGTTGACTGTGGGATACAATATTAACATAGAGATGAGTTGCTCAAACTAGGCGCCATAGCCACCCTGCCACCCACAGCCAAAACGTGACTATGCCGGGCCCTCGCGAGCTCAAGATGCCGGTTGGGCCAAAGAAGGGCTTGGTGGAACTGGAGAGCTAGGAGTCCCTGGCTGTGCACTGGCCCCAGGTTGATTGTTTTGGCTATCACGACCTTCTGCTCGTCGAGTTTTGGCTCCCTCCTTCAATTTCTCCCAACGGTCACGGTAACGCCCGAGAATGTTCTTGAGCTTTTCGTTTTCATGAGAAGCACTATCAAGTTTCTGCTCACTTCGTCGGATCTGATCCTCGAGCTCTTTGATTCGAGCATCATGATCAACCACTGGCGCAGTCATCGTAGCCACCGGAGACGTATTAGTCGAGACACCTTGTAAGTACTCCGGAATTGGAGGCCCAGAGTTCTGATGGTGCATCATTCGAATCGACTGTTGCAGGGCCATGGATGAAGATTGGGCATTCACCTCCCACATGTGAAGCCGCGTCGAGAGATTATCCGTCAAACTTCGCAACGCTTCGTTCTCCATTTGCATTTCCTCGAATGTTTTTGGATTCTGGATTGTGGTAAGCTTATCAGAAGGAGCGCGGCGACCAGCCCATATGCGCGAGCCACTCGCACTGTGGCGCATTTCAGGCGAAGAGGGTGTCTCCCTCGCATCCACAAAGTCCTCATCACCTTCCTCAAGACTGTTTCTACGGGCTTGCTTCTCAGCCCGGGAGAGAATGCCAGCATAGGACATGGTCCCGCCGGTGGTTGGAACTACATAGAATGACTCTGCCGGGTTTCCAGGACCTGTCCCCGGGCCGTTCTGAACAGACCGCAAGGCCGCCCGGGAGAAAAGTTTGGTCACATCCGGCTCCCCTGCGGTCATCGATCGCTCGAGGGTAGCGTGGTCGCGGTCGACCTTCACTTCTGCTGACGATTTGCGGTTCTGTTCACGTGGGTCGATCATTCCTACTTGGATTCCCGCGAACGCGAGAGGTCCCGATACTTTAGAAACAAGACCTCCAAAGGCTGAATAAAACCGGTTGAATGCATCATCTGAAGCCGCGCTGTCTTTGGCTGCTGCGGACTCCGCTGCAGTCGGCGCCACTTGTCGACTTGTGACTTCGGGGGAAGCAGGCGTAGGGGGAGACCATGGTTGTCTGGCGGTGGACACGCGGCTCTGACGATTTCTCTTTTGGGCATCGCTCATCCTGCTATCGCCACTCTTCGCCTTCGGATGCTCAGTCATCTTTGCAGCAGCATGGTGTGACGAGATTGTGGGCGACACCGGAGACCCACGGCGAGGGTGGGCAGCTGGAATTCCTCTCGCGGAAGCCAGGTTGCTGGCGATTGAGGTGGTGTCCCGACCCGACACGCGAGTATTTCCTGTCAATCGTGGTGGCTGGTGAGCATCTTGAATCGATGCTGTGTTCTTCGTGCTTCCGACATCGCCTGCCGTTGATTGGATCGCAAGGTTTGCAGATGACGTTTCACTGGGGATGGGTGCTGGGTGTTCATGCTGGAATCTGAGTATCTCCGCTAGCTTCTTGTGGTGTGTCTCGAGTAGGCGTAACGTCCGTAGGGCCTAAGGTGCGGAGCCTACGTCAGCACACCGCGGTGGAACATCTGAAGTCTGATCGTCTCGGCTCACCTCTTGGTCAGAGCTCTGCTGGGCGGCCGTTGCAAACTCACCGGCTGCTAGGTCGTGTTCCTCGCTAGCTGCCACTGGGTTGGCCTTTCGAGTTTCTAGAACGGCGTTCCGCGCATGGGTGTGGGCCTAGTGACGCGGTCAGATCCTCTCGATGGTGGAAGAGAACCGACTTACCAGTGACAACGGCGCTCCCTCCATGGCGAAATGAGGAATAGACTGGAATGGAAGAGGCAGTACTTAAGTAGACATAGGGTGGGGGAAGATAGTCAGAGGGAAAGAGGGGAGTAAGAAGTACAGAGCAGGAAGGTCAGAGTACAGGTGAAATACCCTTCTACTTGGTATTTCCAAACATACTTAATTACTCCTTTATTATTTATCTGATATGTACTCCAGTATATAAATTTCAATCTTAATTTCAAAATCAACATACATATACATCTTATAAAAATAGAAATTGCAAGTAAAGCAGATCGACAGTTTCCTGACTAAGGGAACAGGGGCTGTTCTGGACCGTCTACGGAGTAACTCCATACTTGACCTTGACTAGACGTTGTTACATTGCTCTTGTTTCTTATTTCCCCCCTTCACACATGTCTCTAGTTTGAGATTCATGGGGGAGCTTGTCTTGGACCTTCCAGCCTTTCCAGCCATCCCAATACCCGATCCCTCGACATTCTTCCAACCATGGCCGAATCCTCTTCCTCAAGCCTGAAAGAAAACAGGTCACGGCGCTCCTGGACAATTTCAGCTGAATCAAGCGCCATGGAGAGCAACGGTCGATCATCCCCCGAGTCTACCGAACGACCGAAAACCCAGGGAGGAGAAGTAGATTCCAGGGCTGGTCCCAGTGGATTCTCCAAGCTCCTGGAGGCGCGTCGGAGGCGCAAGAAGAACAAGAAGAACCAGAAAAGTGACGAACCTCCCGTGCCAAGCGTGGTCCTGGACCAAGGCCTTCAAGAAAGCAGATCCAACGAGTCGCGGGATGGAATCTCGGCAGCCACGTCGTCCGGCGCGGGGAGCTCTGGGCAACCGGAGGGTGAGGTCATAAACTTATTAACGGATGATTCGGAGCCCGACAGGTAAATCGATATTGCGCTGGAGACTATCTTTTAAGCTGACATCTTCACGAAATAGAACCCCACCGCTTACGTCGCATAACTCCCATACCGGATTCTATACCACCTCCTCACCATTGATCAAAACGACCTCGGTCGACGCCCAGATGGGGGAAACGCACGCTGATACCGAGTCAGCAGCCAGCGGTCCGAGTTACACTGGATCCGAGTCGAACCCGAGTGAACGGAAATCTAGGCGTCCAACTCAATCGAGCTTGGCATTGGATGTACCCGAGGATTCATCGAGCAGGAAACGCAGTGCGTCCCCTGGACGACGCTTCAAGGACGCATTTACCTCCGAGAAAAAGGCCCCAAGTGAGGACACGGAGACAGCATCCACCAAGTCCGGGTCGAACAAGAGCCGCAGTCTGTTCGGAGGCAACCGACGGAGTAGTCTATCCTCCAAGCGAGCTCAGGCCGCTACTGAGGAAGCCCCCCCTCTGCCAGCACCGATCCGTACCGATCTGATGGATAATAAACCTCGTTCGCTCGAAGCGAGCCCCATGCCGAACACCCCACCCCATACCGCCATTCCTGCTCCAGCAACCACCGTCACACCTCCTACCCCCACAGAGTTCAACGCGTTGAACCCCCAATTTGTCTCCAACGATGTGACCGACTCACCGGAGTCTTTGCAATCGAGAAATTCCATATCTGACGGAGTGGCCGGAGTGACCACCGTCAGCCCCTCAGGGAACATGATCTCCCACCGGCGGGTACGGTCGGCCTCTGCAGCTCACGGTCCCAGCAAGCTGTCAAATTCCGTTTCGGCATTAACGCCCCTGGAGGAAAAGGGCAGTGGAACGAAAAACTCGAATTCTAACCAACAAAATGGCTTCTTCTCGTCGGTATTCTCTGTGGCCCAAAACGCGGCCTCCTCCTTAAGCAACAGCCTCAATGCTCAGCAAAAGAACCGCCCCACATCTCAACCCATTGCTGCCGAGGCTGATAAATCCGCTTCTGACTCCGCCGAAGACATCGAACAATCATCGGAACAAGGCAGTAAGAGCGAAGAGGGCAGGCGATCTGCAGTGGAAACTCTAGGAGCCGGTGATTTGAATTTCAGTCATTTGGACATGGACGTACGGCCCGGGGAGTCAATCACCACTGCCGATGGCGTCGTCATCACCAAGCCAGGAAGCCCAATCGACAAGCGCAGAAATACGAATGTCTCTCGCCGAGACCAGGAAGCTGCTCAGCTTGAAGACAAGCGCGCTGCGCGCGCTGTGCAGGCAGCATATGAAAGGCCCGACAAGTCAGCGAGACCCTCAGAACTATCTCTAATTGGCGCTCCTGCGGATGACGTTTTGGAGATTCAATCTACTACTTCTCTTCCCAAAGATGGCCCAATTCTGGGCGATCAAACCCCGCCAACTGGGAGTGTCATTGATGGCGACCTGAGTGGAGGCATTAATCGTAGTGGCAGCGTGCGTAGCAGACTTGCACGGCGTCACCGAGGCTCTTCTGGGGCCACAAACTCAACCATCGGCGCGATTGGCATCAATGCCATTGGCCTCGGTGCTCCTGGCGTCAACGCCAGCGCCCCTCGACTGACTGGTTTCGCTGTCGCAAGCAAAAAGCGCAACAGAGACTTCCACCAGCTTTTCCGGAGTGTGCCCGAGGATGATTATCTTATTGAAGATTACAGCTGTGCTCTGCAACGTGAGATCATTCTTGCTGGCCGGATTTACATCTCAGAGGGACATGTCTGTTTCTCAAGTAACATTCTCGGATGGGTTACAACTCTTGTCATCAGCTTCGATGAAGTTGTTGCCGTTGAAAAGGAAAACACTGCTATGGTGTTCCCCAACGCCATTGCCATCCAAACTCTCCATGCTCGTCATACCTTCCGAAGTCTGCTAAGTCGTGAGTCTACTTACGACCTCATGGTCAACATTTGGAAAATCAATCACCCCACCATCAAAAGTTCGGTCAATGGTACCCGCGTCGCCGAAGGAACGGGTGATAAGACGGAGAAGCTGGGCGATGGAGAGGAGGAGAGCGAATCAGAGAGCGACCCATCTGATGAAGATGAGATCTACGATGAAGACGAGGAAGAGGACCATGCCGATAGCCTCTTCGAGGGCCACGCTAGCGCCAATGCGAGCTCAACATCCTTGCCAGTGCGAGCAGGCTTAAGTCGCAAGGCATCGAGTCTCTCTGCAAACGCAGCAACACCCGCCGCCGGTACAAATGGCAACAGCGAGAAGAAGACCGGCGAAAAGGGTGCCTCTAAAGATGCACCCCCTGACTTCCCTGGTCCTGTCACTCATGCTCCGACTGAATACGTGGACCCCAATGGTCAATACGAAAAGGTTATCAAGGATGAGGTCATTTCAGCGCCCCTTGGAAAGGTCTATTCCCTTGTCTTTGGACCAGCCTCCAGCGATTTCATGACAAAATTCCTGGTCGACAACCAAAAGTCTGGCGAGCTACAGTTCGAGGGAACAGCCAAGGGTCTGACAACGGAAAGCCCGACGAGAAACTACTCGTATATCAAACCTCTCTACGGCTCAATTGGTCCCAAGCAGACTAAATGTATCAGTACCGAGCACTTGGACTTCTTGGACCTCGAAAAGGCCGTTTTGGTCACACTGAGCACGCAAACACCAGATGTACCCAGTGGAAACGTGTTTTCCTGTAAGACAAAGTATCTTTTCACCTGGGCTCCTAACAACCAAACCCGATTCCTCATGACATGTACCATTGAGTGGACAGGAAAGAGTTGGTTGAAGGGCCCAATTGAGAAAGGTGCGATTGACGGACAAGGGACATTCGGTAACGAGCTCGTCAAAGCCCTCCAGGCAGGCGTCGTTCCTCGTGGGCGTGCCACCGGCGGCAAGGGCAAAGGTCGACGCAAGAAGGGTGATCCCGCAGGACGGGAATCTACCGCTGCAGCGTCATTGAAGGTGGCCACTGACTCCAACACTGGGAAGGGGGAATCATGGGGCTTATTCGAACCTGTTCGCCCTATCCTGGAACCCTTTACCAGCATCCTCAGCCCGCTGTGGAGTGGAAACGTCGCGGTCGTCCTGATTCTCATCCTCCTATACATGGCTTTCTTCCGATCCCCATCCTCTTCATCTCTTGCCCACCAAGGTGGCTGTGCCGGCCACGGTCTACCACAGAGACTGGCCGCATACGAGGAAATGTGGCGACGCGAAGAAACAGAGCTATGGAACTGGCTCGAGGATCGCGTCGGCATGGACGGAATGGTTTTCCCAAATGCCTATCGCGCCCCAGAACCCCACCCCAGCCGAAGATCATCAGGCAGCGCAACCAACGAGCGTGAACTTGCTTCTCGACTCCGTGACGAAAAAGTCTCAGATCGCGAAATGGACCATGCAATCCGTACCACTCGTCAACGCCTCGATGTCCTCGAAGAGATGATGAGCAAACGCAAGGTCCAGTGGGATGATGACCCCAAATCCGAACTATAAGCTAGAACCCCCCAAAATTCCTGCTTTTATCCGACAGTAGCAGGAATGCCCACAAAATTCTTTTCTCACTTCACATATCTTTGCACAAAATTTCGGGTCCAGAAAAGCAGTGCTTTTGTCCCATTGACATTCCTTCCCTCACACTCTCTTGTCTGTTTTCAATACAGCTAGCTTTCTTTGCATGTATATCAGCGCCAACTATCTTGTCCACGCCGATGCTGTCGGTCTTGATCTTTCATTGTTTGTTTTTATTTTACTGGATCTGAGCGTCTTGCTTATTTGAAAGGATGGTTCTGCATCCTGTGAAACACTACGGAGTTGTGCCTTGGTCCACTAGTTTCAAAGTAAATATTCGTTAGTATCAAGTGATTCGTGACTTCTCAAGTTCAGCCAGGGGTGTAATCCGTAAGAGACTGCTCGCTCGTTGTATGTTACTTCGGAAGTTCTTTCGTCGCTATTTCATTGCCCAATGGCTGATTCTCTGAATGTCCAAGTTGACAGCCAGGGCGACATCGTTGATTGATGGTTCTTCGGTTTGCTCCTGAAGCCTCCAGGGCCTGCTGTATCTCTTATAATAGCACATCTGCATGAGCAAGAGCGAAGAACCACATCTTTCAGAAACTAGTAATTCACGTCTGATGCTAGACTTAAACCTGAGGCATGACTTCAAGAGGGCATGGTCCTACCACGCATCTCGTTTTGTTGATTGACATCGTCGACGAGGTCTATAGAAATGCATATGTTGGTCTCTCCTCACATTCAAGAGACTGCACTGATAAATGCAGCTACCGATATACGGAGCAAATCGTTCAAAACACACTTGATCCCTGAATCAGTGTTGTAACGAACTTTTTTTTGTGACTGAATGATGTTAATAATATCAATAAATCAGGGGAGCTGAAGATATTGTCTACTTTGAATGCATCTGTGACAGCATGGTGGTAATAATATTTGAGTATCAATAGACCAGGGTGTACTTAAGTAAAGATATTGCCAGTTTTCCCCTTGCGCCAGGATGGTGGTAATAATAGAAACCTCCGCGACAGCATGGTGATGATAATAAAAACCCTCTGTGACAGCACGGTGGTAATAATGGAAACCCTCTGCGACAGCATGATGATGATGATAGAAAGCCTCTGTGACAGCATGGTGATAATGATAGAACTCCTCGGCGCCAGCATGGTGGTAATAATACTCAAGTATCAATAGACCAGGGAATGAAGATATTGCCAGTTTGCCCCCTTGCGACAGGATGGTAAAAATATCAATAAGAATGGGCATCTGGGGACGTTGCTTGGTGTGAAGCCCTAGCGAGGCTGCCTTCCCTCGCCCCTCCTCCACGCGCGATATGAGATCTCTTGTCTGGTCGCAGAGCTGCTGCCTTGGCCTCCATCGCCTCCACCACGACCAGTATCAAATCCCCCACCAGTACCAGCTGCAAGGGCTTCGCGGGATTCTCTGATCAGGAGACGGCAGTAGTAGTTGAATAGAGGGTAATCAACTTCTTTGGCCATGGCATCCACCTCAGATCGAATAAAGGGGACCCGGATGCATTCGGCTTCAAGCTCATTCAACAGCCGAGCCAGTGCCAGACCGCAGGAACCTTCTTCTCCTTCCATCTTGAGCCGGTTGTATTGGTTTTGGTATGCCAATATGAAATCCTGGGCCTTGGTGTAGTCGGCCCGCTTCAGGTTGTTCCACTTCGCCAGTTCGCGCTCGATGTACAGACGGTGGTTGCCCAAGTTGACGGATTTGATGGTGTTGTAAACATCGTCCGCATAGGTCAGGTAGGGGGTGTGCGACTTGACCAGCTGCTGGATTGGTTCTTCCAGTTGGTTGAGAAGCCACCTAGCAATGACTGGACCCCAGAAGCGCCATTTACTGTACTGGGAGTCGGTAGGCTCAGGTCTTGCCAGATCAGAGTCAATCAAACCCTCCAATTTGAGAGGGCGAAGGACGCTCATAACCTCAGACTGCCAGACAGTAGTGCTGGACTGTGAGTTGAGCTTGTTGATGTTCAGAATGGTTGAATTGACCTCATTGGGCAAATGGCTGGCTTGATTCACAAAGTCAAAGGCATCCTGCTCAAGGAATTCATCAAACTGTATCATCTCGGAATCCATGATGGCGGCTTTCGATTGTAGGATTGGGATAATGATTGGGTAGTCTGGATGTTCCTGTCTGTTTCATCGTAAAAACGGTTGTTAGTATCCTGAGTGTTATCAAGTAAGACTCTTTACTAACCCAGAATTAGGAAGTAGGCACTGAAAGCAGCACCAGTTATTCGATAAAGGATGGGATAAATGAGTTCGGATGATGAAGACCGAAAGAGTAGGGGCAGTGAAGGTAAGGATCAAAGCTGGCTTTGGCGGGGCGTTTGAACGAGGCAAGCACAATCGTGAGCGTAAGTGCTGGTGATCAAGGATGCTTATGTCGTCAAACAATCCCTCTCAAGTCTTGAGCTAAGAGCAGTGATCTTGCTCTGATCAGCTGATACCTCTAGACGTTTACATCAAACTGCTTCTCGCTTAGTCGTAGTCATAGCTTTAGCCTCACACTCCGGAACATGCTATGGACATAGGCAGGGAAAGACTATTCACTACACATCTATTTACAACGGTTTGAATCATGAAGCAAGTGGATCAATTGATATCACAGCGGGACATAGGCAGTTTTCAAGAGGTGATTCAGGTGAATGCGTTGAGGCATTGTATCAATCAAGCTTAGATTATGGGCCACCATGTCAAAATAGCCCATGAAAACACATTACTTTAGTGTCAGGTGAAAGAAGAGAAGAGAGAGAGAACAAGTACCTAGGTAAAGAAGAAGGTGACTCAAGCTTTTTAGGGTAGTGGGATTCACGTGAATCACGGAACCTAATTGTGCCTTAAAACAGATGGGCATTAGATGATGAGAATGGCTCTGCCCAGCTGGAGATGTTACTGGAACTGTTAATCTATGCTCCATTGAACTAGAGCCCCGGAGGAAAGTATTTGCTTCCAGTATGTACCATGTCTTTGAATGATATATGTTAAATAGAGATGAATATTGACAAGAATTCAGACTGCTGTGCTCTCATCCTCAGAGTCTCCTTTCCTGGACAGGGTGGCTGTTTTGTTCTTGGAGACAGAGGTTCTCCACGCCATGATTCCCGAGTTAAAGACCTCATCAATCTGCTCAAGGGTCAATTGAGCAGTTTCAGGTACCAGTAAGAACACCAAGATAGTCACCACCACCGTGACGCCTGCATAGAAGTACCCGACACTGGCCCCCATGTCTCCATGATTTGGACTGAGCATGTATGGCGTCCAGAAGGTTGCCCCAAACGAGAAAATCCCATATAGGACCGTTGTGTTAGCCTGTCCAAAAGTCCGAAGAGAGACGCTGTGCATTTCCACAGAGGTAAGCCCCGCACTTGGAGCAATGGTTGCCCCAAAGACGAAAGCCCACATGCACAAAACGACGATCATCGCTATTCGCGCACCAGTGTATGATCCGACGATGGTGTTCACAGATGAAAGGATCAACATGCACATAGCCATGATAGCGTAGCCGGATAGAGTCGCCGGTCTTCTGCCGCCGTACTCAACAATAAATGGACCAAGGAATGATCCTGCAAGAATGCATAGACCAATGATGACATTGATGAGATATGGATCACTCATGCCAACCCCTTTCAGGAATAGAGCAGTATATGGCACCACAAACTGAATACCAGTAATGGCCAGTCCGATCATGACCAGTGCGGATGTCATCGTGCGACGAATGTGTTTCTTGCGATAGATGTCGAAAACAGAGACTGTTTTCTTGCCAGCTCGCTCACTCGCAAGGTGAGATCGGATATCTTCGATCTGGGCCGAAACAACAGACGAGTGAGGATCTTGGCAGTATAACACACCAAATGACTGTCTAGCCTCTTCTTCTCGGCCATGACCCATGAACCAGCGAGGAGATTCAGGGAGCATCAAGATGCCAGCTCCAAGGATGAGCCCCAGTGGAATCTGGCACAGAATCGGCGTTTTCCATTGCCAGTTATTGGCTGCTTCAAGACGTGCAGACCCAGCACAGACTGCCGAAGAAGCAACATTCCCCATGGCAAGGCCAACATTGTACAGCCCCAACGATAGGCCACGTTTGCTGGGCACAATGCATTCAGATCCATAGGTCACACCGGATGCCAACAAATGGCCAATTCCTACGGCACTGATGCACCGACACACCATGTAGTAGAGGAAGCTACCACTGGTACCGAGCATCCCAGCAGCACCGATGATCGCCAGCATGCATCCGACCTGAATTGAGCCTCTCCGTCCACAGTATTGACCAGTCAAGCCTGCGAGCCCGCCACCGAGGGCTATAAACAGGTAATTCAAGCTGATCAAAGACTCTTGCAGTGGCGTAAGTGTGCAATGCTCGATATTGGCGTACGTTTCCGGGTCAATCACTTGTTCACAGCTTCCAAAGGTTCGCTTGTACGAAGGCATGATGAGGACGGTCCCGGAATACCCATTGTCGAAATTGGCTATCCACGCTGCAAAAGAGACCCACAACGAGAGCCGCAGCATCGATGCGGTTGTACTGGGGGCATCTTGTTTCGACGGTTGTTTCCTGGACCCAGGTCGAAGCTCTCGCAAGCTGGATTCAGGCTTCGTTTCGGATCTCGGATCAGAGCCCATCGTATTCGATTGAAGGGATGTAAGGAAGTGCTGGTTTTCTTCAGGCAGTACATGGTCAGTCAACAGATCGACCGATATGAGGGGTATATATGCTGCTTGATGGGATTCTCGGATGGGAGCCGATACCTTTGATCCTGCATTCTTGGACTGCGCAACACGTACGTGTAAGTTATCATGAAGAATGCCATAGAAAGGCAGGCCAATTAGGAGCGTGCGTTCCTGGTGTGGCGTCAGTAAGGGGTATTGATTGGCACCAGAATTTGTTTCACGTCAGGTTATCTGGTTTTCACATGGAAATGAATTCATCTGCGTCAAGAATGGTCAGTGAAGTGATCATATGGCTGTTCCTGCCGAATTGTGAGACGTACAAGATGCTTCCACATCTCATCATCTTCCGTTGCGTATCACCCAGCTCAAAGAGTGACCGGCCAAAACCAAGCGTTAGCACGTTCATTTCGAGCCTCATAAGCCCTACAGTACGCAAAGGTACCTCTGAGCTAGTGGGCACATGGGAATACGTGGATGGTGGGTCTGTTAAGCTTTCAAGTCCACGATTGGGTTGGGCCCGGTTCCACATAGTTAAGCATAATGTTTCTGCAGAGAATCCGAGACACGCTATGACCATTGACCATTGATTCGTCATCCCAGCGACGAATAGACAGTCAATGGACTGTGAACAAACAGTAAATAGCTTCGACTAAGTACGAGTCCAGTTCCTGACACAGGTCTACAAGCAGCCCATACTACGTACTCTATTGAGCTCTCCGTGGCATACTTGAATGGCTTATCCCCCTGACGCGTCAATCCTTGGCTGTAATCAAGATAATCTGGTATGTGAGCTCAATTGAGGTCCACTTTTTCTCCCAGCTCAAGGTCGAGTCTATAGTCCACGGTCGGCCTCAAGAGCTTGGCATGGGTTTTAGTCAACCATTATGCGAGTAACAAAAGTAGGATTCATAGATACCCCTGGAAAATAGCCCCAGCATAATAGGATCAACTGAAAGTGCATGGTCGTGTATAGATGTTTGAAGGTTTGTACTCTTGTGCAGGTCATTGTCTGCCCTTTATAGTAAGAACGGATCTATATTAATCCGATACAGCACATTGCACTTGTCTTATGAGAGTTGAGGCTCTCTTCTTTCTTCCCACACCTTCAGTGATCTTCATATCGTGGAGTAAGTCATTACAGTCATTGCATGTCGTGATTGAGGTCCAAAAAGTTGACATATGAAGCAGATCACGTGCCCTAGCGACCCACATCCCGAGAAATCAACATGGATGAGGATCGTCCCGCAACTCCCGCCCGACAGGGTTTCGATCTGGGTCTTTTCTGCGCGACCGTACTATTCTTCATTTGTAAGTAAGACACTGCGGTCCAGTCTCGCTCGATGCTTGGGGCCCCAGAAACAGCAGGCAGATCCCCGAGCTGACTCTTACCAGGTGTCCGCATCACCGTGAGGACCTTGATCTTAGCGTATCGCCGCACAGTTTACCCATCGAACGAACGCATCATGCCTAACGCAAATGTCCTGGAGATCGACAAGTAAGCATCTATCAGCAATGTGAGAAATGACATCAATTCCTAACAAAATCAAACAGCCAAGTCATCTTCAAAGCCCTCGTCTCCACCGGTCTCGTCGTTGTCGACTTTTTTGCGACCTGGTGTGGACCCTGCAAGGCTGTCGCTCCCACTCTCGGCAAGTTCAGTGAACAATTCCTGAATGTTCGTTTTATTTCGGTGGATGTGGATAAGCTGCAGAGTGCTGCGGTTGAACACGGCGTTAACGCTATGCCCACCTTCATACTGTTCAAGGATGGCAAGGAGGTTGGACGAGTTGTCGGTGGCGATATGAAGAAGCTGGAAGCTGAGATCCAGAAGATTTCGGCCTAGTCTACTTCGGCATGCCCTGCAGACGCCTGTCAACGCACTTATCGGCGGATTATTGCATCGCTACACACATTCTACCTCAGATATGAGCACGCGGTTTCGCCATGATGATACATTATGAATTATGAACTCTGAATATCAATCAATTCAATCTCAATTGTCCAATCCAACCTTGCAATGGTTCCTTGCCATGGAGTATATGGAATAGCTGCCGGCTGTGTTTACCGATCAGACTCGTCAGATCGAGTACGTCGCGTGGGCGTGCGCGGGCGTTCGAGTGCAGCGGACTATACTCCGGATTGTGCATTGACATGCGAGCTGCACGAGGCATGGCAGTCCCTGATTGGTACCCGTCCAAAGGGCATGCAAGGGAGGACCCGTGGCCGTCTGTGCTACTCCCTGGTCAGTATGCAATAGCAGTGATTTGTGATATGAGAGAATTGTCCGCCATGGACGGGTCAATTGATCTTTTATGGTGAGAGTGAGATGAAACTGTGCGATGAAACACATCACTACTCCTACTCTGAAACTCAGATTATGGGGGTCTGCAAGTGCTAGTTTTCGAGATTTGGTTCCCGAAGATTTGCCGAGGCTAACCATTTCCATGCTGGCTCAACGGCTTGGAAGACCCAATTTGCCACTTTTGTCTGCTGAGTGGATCACAGAAGCGAAGACAAACAGCGGGTTATTTCCCATTTCGAACTAAGGCCAACTAGGCTTCGAAGTGGTGCCTAAAGCAACCACAGATTCTATGCAGGCGACTATACAAGGTACCGGCTGTGGTAAGTACGATCTTTCCAGGGTCGGCCATGGATTCCCGTTGCATACTTAAGTATTTACCAAATGTTTCATGGGCTGTGAATTCTACAACTAACCCTACACGAGATGTCAGCCAACTACGGGGTACCCCGTGCCGATTGCCGATTGAAAAATATAACAAAGGCTCTATGTCCTTGCCAGCAGCATACCCCTGTTTTGACAAGGACTTCAACAATTGAAAACAGCGGACTTAACGGGGTTATATGCTTCATGGTCAATCCTTGTCGAAAAGAACCGAGTTGGACTCCATAAGGCGGGCCGAGAGCCCTAAGTCATTGGCTCTCCACACCTCCAGATTGATAACCCCAACTCCCGTGCACTGCATTAACCCTGCTCTAGAACGATCATTGCGAGAATTTTCAATCAGATCTGCAGAGTCATCACGAGTCATGTTGACGCTTTAACTCCTTTCGGAGTCCGCCTTCTTGGCAAAGGATCCAATTAGGTCTTTCCACCGCGGAATAGCCCGTCCCTCGCCCATCCCCCACCTTTGTCTGGTCGGGGAGTTTTTTTTTAGTCTTTACTTTGCTTTTTGGTATGGCGCTGATCCTAGCAAGTCTGCATGTGCATCTGCAGCGGAATTATCGGTGTTCCGACTGTATACTCCGTAGCACGTTGATACGTAAAAGGCAATTAGCGGACTTTAACTATGTGACTATGTGGAGCCGAGTGGACACTAACTTGATGTGTTCACACTTCACCAGACTTAAGCCAAGGATCCTCTTGGCTAATCTTTTTTTTTTCTTTGGCGGTTTCCATCTTCTTTCTGAACCTCATTTAAGGGGCTTGCAAGAGAGGAAGATTCATTACTGAGCTTTTTACAATTGCCTCGCAAGTGATAGCTTGTACATCACTCGCGGGAGTATAAAACCGGAGAGTATCGTACCCGATCACCGATCTCGGACCCCATCCGCACCAGCATTCGAGATTCCGATTGAGAACGCCAATTTTTCAACTATGGGAAACCAGGAAGAAAAGCTGACCACGGCGGAATCTAGCTCCAGGTCTGTGGACACGCTAGATTCTTTGAGCTATGGAAAGCAGCTCGAGGAGGTTCGCATCTCCAATACGCAGCATGGCACCTCAGTACAAACTGGCGTGGATGTCACGGCGGCAGAGAAGGACTTTTCGGAATTGAACCGACAGTTTTCGAGTATCTCACACCAAGCCCATAGGCTGTCCACCCAGGCGTCTCGAGTATCAAAGAATGGAGCCACCACACACGACATTGAGAAGGCAGAGGGATCTACTCAGTCAGATGACTCATGGGATCTGGAGACCTCGCTTCGTGGTGATCGCGTTGCTGCCGAGGAAGCTGGAATTAAAGACAAACATATCGGTAAGTTGGCCCCTCATATCCTGACGGACAGACTTCTGAAGTGCTTTACCAGGTGTAATTTGGAGCGATCTCTCCGTTCGAGGAATGGGAGGCGTCAAAACCTTTATCAAAACTTTCCCAGATGCGATCATCGATTTCCTCAACGTCCCCGGAACAATAATGGATATGTTTGGATGGGGCAAGAAGGGCCAGGAATTCAATATCTTGGAAGGTTTCCGGGGCCTTACACGCCCCGGTGAGATGGTATTAGTCCTTGGACGTCCAGGATCGGGCTGTACAAGTTTCCTCAAAGTCATTGCAAACCAACGCTTTGGATACACTGGCGTGGATGGCGAGGTGCTCTACGGACCATTTCAATCGGATACATTTTCAAAGCGATTCCGCGGTGAAGCCGTATACAACCAAGAAGACGATGTGCATCAGCCTACCCTAACTGTGAAACAAACTCTTGGATTTGCCCTCGACACAAAAACCCCCCGCAAGCGACCACTCGGGGTTTCGAAATCCGAATTCAAGGAGAAAGTTACGGACTTACTTCTGAAAATGTTCAATATTGAGCACACTGCCAATACTGTGATTGGTAACCAGTTTATTCGGGGTGTCTCTGGAGGTAAGCAGGTCCGACAACTATACTGATTCTACAAAGCTGACAGAATAGGTGAACGACGCCGCGTTTCAATCGCTGAAATGATGATCACCTCTGCAACGGTTCTGGCTTGGGATAACAGCACGCGTGGTCTAGACGCCTCCACTGCTCTCGATTTTGCCAAGTCGCTACGCATCTTGACGAACATCTACAAAACAACCACCTTCGTCTCTCTCTATCAGGCGTCCGAGAACATCTACAAACAATTTGACAAAGTTCTAGTCATTGATCAAGGTCGTCAAGTCTTTTTCGGTCCTACTGCCGAAGCACGAGGTTATTTCGAGGGCCTGGGATACCGTGAAAAGCCTCGCCAGACCACTCCCGACTATCTGACTGGTTGCACCGATCCTTTCGAGAGAGAATTCAAAGATGGGATGAGCGCGGAAAATGTCCCATCCACACCACAGGCACTGGTCGAAGCCTTCGATAAATCCACTTTCAGCGAGAGATTGGATCAGGAAATGAAGGCGTATCGAGCCCAGATTCAGGAGGAGAAGCAGATCCACGATGACTTTGAGCTGGCTAATAAGGAAGCGAAGCGAAAGTTCACTTCTGAATCTTCTGTATACTCTATCCCCTTCCACTTACAGATCTGGGCTTTGATGCAACGCCAGTTCCTCCTCAAATGGCAAGACAAGTTTGCTTTGACGGTCTCTTGGGTTACCTCCGTTGGTATTGCCATCATTCTCGGTACTGTGTGGCTCCATCAGCCCAAGACTAGTGCTGGTGCATTCACTCGTGGAGGTCTTCTTTTCATTAGTCTGCTGTTCAATGGATTCCAGGCATTCTCTGAACTCGCATCTACCATGCTGGGACGCTCAGTTGTCAACAAACACCGGTCCTTTACGTTCTACAGACCGAGTGCGCTTTTCATTGCACAGATCATCATCGACACTGCCTTTGCGATTGCACGAATTCTGGTATTTAGTATCATCGTGTATTTCATGTGCGGACTGGTTCTCGATGCCGGAGCATTCTTCATTTTCGTCCTCATCATTCTCGAGGGATATGTGACTATGACGGTGTTTTTCCGAACCGTCGGATGTCTTTGCCCTGATTTCGATTATGCCATCAAATTTGCCTCGGTCATTATCACGTTCTTCGTTTTGACTTCTGGATACCTGATTCAGTGGTCCGGCGCTCAGGTTTGGCTGCGATGGATCTTTTACATCAACCCCTTTGGTCTTGGATTTGCATCCCTGATGGTCAATGAGTTCAGACATCTTACTTTGACATGCACGAAAGACTCGCTTGTGCCAACAGGCGACGGCTACGGAGACATCGCAAACCAGGCATGTACATTGGCAGGTGGTGAGCCTGGCTCTGCAATCATCCCGGGTTCCAACTACCTTGCGCATACATTCAACTACTACAATAGTGATCTCTGGAGAAACTTTGGAATCATGATTGCTCTGATTGTTGGCTTCCTCGCCTCGAACCTTTATTTCGGAGAAACACTTCAGTTTGGAGCCGGGGGCAAAACCATCACCTTTTTCCAGAAGGAGAATGAAGAGCGCAAAAAATTGAATGAAGCTTTAATGGAAAAGAAAGTACGCAGACAGACAAAGACTCTTGATACCGAAGAAGGATCGAAACTGGAAATCACTTCCAAGTCTGTCTTTACATGGGAGGATGTTTCCTACGAAGTTCCAGTTCCATCTGGTACTCGACGTCTCTTGAACTCGGTCTATGGCTACGTTCAACCCGGCAAACTGACCGCATTGATGGGTGCATCTGGTGCAGGCAAGACGACATTGCTGGATGTCCTGGCTGCGAGAAAGAACATTGGTGTTGTGACTGGAGATATTCTGGTAGATGGAAAGCCGCCGGGCACTTCCTTCCAACGAGGAACATCCTATGCTGAACAACTTGATGTCCATGAAGATATGCAGACCGTACGAGAGGCTCTGCGCTTTTCGGCAGATCTTCGTCAGCCCATCGACACACCTCAGTTGGAAAAGTACGCTTATGTGGAGGAAATCCTTACTCTGCTGGAACTAGAGAACCTCGCCGATGCAATCATTGGCACCCCTGAAACGGGTCTCTCGGTCGAAGAGAGAAAGCGTGTCACTATTGGAGTTGAACTTGCGGCAAAGCCTGAGCTTCTCCTCTTCTTAGATGAACCGACCTCTGGTCTGGATAGTCAATCTGCCTGGAATATCGTCCGTTTCCTGCGGAAATTGGCAGCTTCAGGCCAGGCTATCCTTTGCACGATCCATCAACCGAACTCTGCCCTCTTTGAAAACTTCGATCGTCTACTTCTCCTTCAACGAGGTGGTGAATGTATCTACTGTGGTGACATTGGATCCGACTCTGAGATCTTGCTCGATTACTTCCGTCGCAATGGTGCTGACTGTCCCCCGGATGCCAATCCTGCTGAATGGATGCTTGATGCCATTGGCGCTGGTCAAACACGTCGGATCGGAGACCGTGACTGGGGTGATATCTGGCGTACATCTCCTGAACTGGAACAGGTCAAGGAAGAAATCATTCAGATCAAAGCAAGCCGAGCCCAGGCGGTTCGAGACAACACCGATGAAGACAAAGTGGAGAGAGAATATGCCTCGCCTCTGTGGCATCAAATCAAGGTTGTTGGCCGTCGGACTAACCTATCCTTCTGGCGCTCGAGAAACTATGGCTTCACCAGACTCTACACCCACATTGTCATTGCTATTATCACAGGTCTTGTTTTCCTGAACCTAGACGACTCACGCTCTTCACTGCAGTACCGCATTTTCGTCATTTTCAACGTCACTGTCCTCCCAGCTATCATCCTTCAAATGGTCCAGCCGCGCTACGACATGGCTCGTCTCATTTTCTACCGCGAATCAGCCTCAAAGACATACAGCCAATTTGCTTTCTCCCTGTCAATGGTCATTGCCGAGATGCCATACAGTATCCTGTGCGCAGTCTGCTTCTTCCTCCCACTCTACTACATTCCAGGTTTCCAGAGCGAATCCAGCCGAGCTGGCTACCAATTCTTGATCATCCTTATCACAGAGATCTTCTCGGTCACGCTGGGTCAAATGATCTCAGCATTGACGCCCAACAGCTTCATCGCTTCTCAACTCAACCCCCCAATCGTGATCATCTTCTCACTTTTCTGTGGTGTTGCCATTCCCAAGCCACAAATGCCAGGCTTCTGGCGCGCATGGCTATACCAGCTCGACCCGTTCACCCGCTTAATCGGTGGCATGGTCGTGACAGAGCTCGAGGGCCGGGATGTCGTTTGCAACGAGTCTGAATTGAACCTGTTCAACGCTCCCTCCAATCTCACCTGCGGTGAATACATGAAGCCGTTCTTTGAGAGCGGTGGTAATGGATACATCGTCGATGATGGAGCACAGGCTTGTAAGTACTGTGCTTATAAGGTCGGAGAACAATTCTATGCCGCCTTCAGCATGTCCTTCGATCACAGGTGGCGTGACTTGGGTATCTTTGCTGCTTTTATTGGATCTAACTTGATCCTCTTGTTCTTGGCAGTAAGTCATGCATTGCGACCCTATTACGCCCGAATCCGTGAAACTGATCAGTCTCTAGTCGCGATACCTGAACTTCAACCGACGTTAAATCACCATGGCGTATTTTATCTCAATCAAAAGCATATCGTTGCCTGTTCAAAGTTCCTTTACGATTTCAATTGTCTGATTTGGGATGGACTCAAATGGTAGTTAATTCAGCACGATATTTAATGGAATTCACATTACGCTGCTTCCACTGCTGCCACTGACCATATAAGCAGTCGCTTTCCAAGCAACGACAGGAAAGTGGCTTGGACTCTCTGTCGCCTCGGTATAGTTAATAATTATGTATTTTTCGGCTATTCAAATCCATATAGGTCGCATTCTACTTAAGTATGACCCTGGCCTCAGCGGCATGCTCCCCGAGCCCTCGGACTTCTGCCGACAGCACAGCAGAAATGAGCATTTAAAGACAATGAAACCTTAGCAAACACTCCAAGGCTTGTATTAAAGACGGTCCAAGTCCGAGTACACCGTCAGCCAAGCACTTCCCCATGTTTAACCAGTAGATCAGCGGGTAATACGACCTGTGGAGAAACTATGTTGGGGCTTCCCCGCAGATTTGCCCTTGTTCGACTCCTTTTCTCCAGCTTTAAGCTTCCAGTCTCGCGGGGAAATGGGTAAACTTAGATCTTTGGCTGCGAAGGGGCTTTGCTTTGTTATACAATTTAGTTCTCTATATATCTCTCCAATTCTATTTCCACTTATTTCTCTTCTGGTTTTGTTTCTGACTACCCTCAACTTCAATATGGATCCTCCAGCCACAAGGTCGGACTCAAAGACTGATATAGATGCCCCTACCATTAGCCATGAGAGTAACCACGAGCATGTGGATTTCAAGACTGCCAAAAATGCGGATGGCGACACGGCCATGGCGCTATTCGACGACCCGGATGAGCTGCACGAAGAAGTTGATCCAGTCGAAGCAAGGAAGTTACTGTGGAAGATCGATTTCATGATTCTTCCCTATCTCGCCGTTTGCTATGCTTTCTTCTACATCGACAAGGTGGGAATTCCACTCTTGGTTATTGAGGATGTAGTTCCAAGAGCTAATGATTCCATTTTCTCGAAACAGACAACACTGAGCTACGCTGCTATATTTGGTATTCGCGAAGACCTCAATCTGCACGGAACACAGTATAGCTGGCTAAGCAGCATTTTCTACTTTGGATTCTTGATATGGGCATTTCCGACCAATTTTCTCATGCAACGTCTTCCAATTGGTAAGGATTCTCCTTTCGCTGTCATTGGATGAGAAATTGATCCAGCTTCTAGGCAAATACTTGGGTGCCAACATCTTCATGTGGTATGTATAGTCAATCCAATCACAGTCCTTGAACAATCTATGGAGAAGATCGACTAACATTTGTCTACAGGGGTGTCTTTCTCATGATCCAAGCTGCCTGCAACAGTTTCCAGACTCTCGCCGTCCTCCGTGCCCTGGGTGGTGCAGCTGAAGCCTGTGCCGACCCTGCTTTCATGCTCATTACGAGCATGTGGTATACGCGCCGCGAGCAGCCCGTCCGCTTGGGATTGTGGTATACAGCGAATGGTCTAGGTATTGCATTGGGTGGTCTTTTGGGTTATGGAATCGGCCAGATTCGTGGTGCGCTTCCATCTTGGAAGTACGAGTTCATTGTGATGTAAGTTTCTTCGAATTGAGCTACTCTCGGCATTCGATCGAATACTGAATCCTTCTAGTGGTGCCCTGTGTGCGGTTTGGGGTATTGTCATGTTCACTTTCCTTCCTGATTCTCCTGTCACGGCAAAGGGACTGAGCAAGAGAGAGCGCCGAATGGCTGTTGAGCGTTTGCGAGAGAATCAAACCGGCGTGGAGAACAAGAACCTAAAGCCTTATCAAATCCTTGAGGCTTTCATGGATTATAAGCTTTACATGTTCTTTCTCCTGGGTATTGTTTGTATGTGTCTGAGAGAATCTACTGCTTTCCCTTCGACTTACCTTTCTACAGGCAATGTTCCTAATGGTGGTATCTCGAACTTTGGAACTATCATCATCAAAGGATTTGGATATTCAACATTGATTACCACTCTCATGCAGGTAAGGAGTAATACAGGTTGGAAGTGTGAGCTTGCTAAGGCGAAGGACCGTGACTAGATTCCCTACGGCTTCATCATCGCCCTTTCGATCTTATCGTGTGTCTACTTGAACGACCGATTCGAAAATCGCCGTTGCGTCTTTATCTTGATCTACCTGATTCCCAACATTGCCGGTGCCTTTGGTCTCCGCTTTGTCCCGATCCAACATAGTGTAGGTCGGTTGATCTGCTACTACTTGACAGGACCGTACAATGCCGCATTTGTACTTGTGTTGAGTATGCAGATCGCAAACACAGCCGGTAAGTGCCATACTACAAATCGAATATTATGCTAACATTGGGCCAGGGCATACCAAAAAGGTAGTCACCAATGCGGTGCTGTTCTTAGGATACTGTACTGGAAATATTGCCGGACCGTTCTTCTACAAGTCCGACCAATCGTGAGTTCAGTCAATAGTACTAGATCCAGAAAATAACTAACTCGGACAAATTAATAGTCCAACATATGAGCTGGGCATTTGGTCTATGATCGTTTCGCATCTGATTGAGGTCGTGCTAATCAGTGCTCTTGGGCTTTTACTACGATGGGAGAATAAGAAGCGGGATCGCATTCAATCCCAGATGGAGGGAGGCCTTGAAGGGAGAGATCTGGATTCCACTGCATTTTTGGACTTGACAGACCGGGAAAACTTGAAGTATGTCTCCTTTCTCTTTGCTTTGCCGTGAATCGATTGGTGCTTTTGGAAGAGAGCTGACAGTAGTTCCATCAGCTTCCGCTATATTTACTAAGAGCTCAGGCGTCCGCCCTTGGGATGATCGACTATAGCTTTGGCATAATTGTTAGTCTAGATTCTAGGTATAACCTTGGAGTACAATCCATACAACTTTATCTTCTAATTTTTTTCGTATACCTAGAGCTGATCTCTCTAAGCTGATCTCCATACTAGTGAGTATACCTACAACTACTATGCTACTTACGTATTTCCCGAGAGAGATGGATGAATGAAGGTTTAGAATGATTATGGGTCTATTCTCTTCCCAAGAACGTTCTTAGTTATGAGTTGATCTATTTTTAATTGGAGAGTGAACAGTGCAGGAGAGTACACAACTTCAATCACACGATGTCTCGACTTTGGTAGGACCAACGCGGATTTCAATACGAGGTCCTGTCCTACGATCTATAGGAGTATCAAATCCATATGGGCGTGACTCACCTTGCAGTTGGACAAGCGATCACGGAGGGAAGTGGCTTTGTGACATGGCCAGATGTCACGGGATAACTCAGTCGCACGAAGTGATACGCAACTTTCTGTGTAGGGCCTCATCTTCTGCATCAGATCTCCCTTTTTCTGTCTCCGAGTATGAAAGGGTAATATCCCCGACGCCATACTTCCTTCCCTAGAGCCACTGATAAGGTACTCGGACAAAGATATTCGATCTTCAAGCATGGCTGACAAGTTCTCAGAGATCATGGATACACCAAACGGAGAGGTGTTTCGTCGGGCCTATGCACATGATGATACTGGTCTTGAGAATGAGGCTGAGTCTATACTTATGGTGAGTGAGGGACTCATGACATTGAATGCGTATTGACCTCCCTTAGGACGGACGGCAACTGTTCCTGTAGAAGGATTACTATTTCAGCAATCACATGGATTCGGAAACTGCACCGGCAGTCTTGATATACGCAGACCAGGGGAAAGGATTTCTCGATTCGCGAGATGCAAATGGAAATATCGACACATTGGAAGTAGGGCCGGATACTGGGAATGGGCAGCGGATCCTGATTTTGGATGAAGGGCGTGATATCTTCGTTCAGCAGGATGTGCAGATGAGGCGATTCTTGGAGGTTTGGAAGGATAGGCCGCAGGGTTCATTGCATAGTTGAGAAAATGATGAGCCAGAGCAGTTTGCCGGGTGGTAACCACTGTTCAATAATCTCGGGATCGGGCAGGTCAGGAAAAATGAGAGAGATGGTGAGATATTATGCAATGCTATGCATACCAAGATGAGATTGACATGAACAATTGAATGCCGATTACAAGATCTCTCTTTTGACTCTGAGGGGTCTTCATTGACTTTTTAGTGCTTCTCATATGCGATATCCTGTACTATGCGCTTGTCGGGATGTCGATTCAATAGTCTCAAGCTACCACCCAGTGTGAATCAGGGAGCCCAAAGCCCAAAGGGCTAAGCAGTAAAGTTGCAGAAAGTGCAAAATAGGATGCTAGACAAAAGCTCCAAGGTGTATTTAGTGTTGCAGGATATAAACACAGATCAGGTACAAAATGATAGATAGTAATACAGCCACACGTATGCAGACGGGTGTCACGCCAGACGCCCTCTAATTCAATCAACGTCGTCGGTTACCACCGCCCAAGAAAGCCTTCTTCTGGCGCACATAGTTGGCCACAATGTTCTCCACGCTGCGGCGATCGTGCTTGCGATCTCTCATGAAGTACAATCTCGCCCTTCTGCGCTTCTTCTCGGAACGCTGGACAATCTCCACGCTGTTCACGTTGGGACTGAAGACCTTGACGGACATTTCGACGGCGACACGGGTGAGTTCGTTTCGCAGAAGGAATGAAGTTTCAATTCCGCGCAGCTTGATGCTCAGAACGACTCCATTGAAAGGATCGCCATTCTTGAAGGTCACTCGGACAATATCTCCGGGCTTGACACTGCGCGGGTTGCGTCGGTAGTCGAACATGGCTTTGCGCTCACCCTTGGGGTCGAGGACTGCTAGTTGGGACTCGGTCACGGCTCCGATGGGATCTTTGCATGTTTTGCGGGCGGAGGGAGGAGCAGGGTAGATTTTGAGGGGCTCGCGGTCTATCAGACATCGGTGGTCAGTAATTGCAGGGTGAATAATTTGAATAAGAGATACTCACCAGGATCAGGACGGAAGCGAAGAGGGATCTGGGAGAGGAATTGGGGAGGCATGTCCTTGGGAAGAGGCACCTTTTCGGGCCTCTTGGAATAGGCCGTCGAGATGAATCGACGGTTGATCATGGGGACAGGCTCATAGGCCCTCACCAGGGACCGTAAGCAGCCCAACGGGCGCATTGCTGGTAGAGCCATGATTGATGTGGAGGTTCAAGTAGCAGATGTCGGAGAGTCGAGTTTTGGCTGACCGGCAGAATTTCCGCCAAGACTTCCCATTCCTCCAGACAACGCGATTATTTTTTCCCCGTCTTTCCTGGCTTTGATTCCATTGAACTTCTTGGAAGACAGAGAATATACGGGTTTCTCATCGGTCTTTGCTAAACGTGTTCTTCCCCGTTATATATTAATATCCCATCCACCACAATGGCTCAAACCGCGATGAGCAGGCTCTTCCTGCAGAGCAGCTCGGTGCGCCAATCTATCCTGAGACCCGCGCAGGTCCGCAACTTTGGTTCCAACGCAGGTATGTATGGGCCTCTATCGTTGCGTGTCAATTTCTGACGGAAGACCGCCTCAGTCATCCCGACCTTCACCTCAACACCCTCCACCGAGCTCAATGAGGCTCTCCAACGCTTCCGCGAGGAGGTCTTCATTCCCTGCGGTCTTCCAGTGCGCCAGCAAAAGAGCGTGTTCAAGCCCAGACACGCTAAGAAATTGGAGACCGAGCCCATCGTTGTGAAGATCAGTGAAACCGAAGATTACACCCTCACCCCTAAGAAGCGCCACGAATTGCCCACGAAGAAGGAGGCCATGGATGTTCTGCACATCATGGTCACTGCCGGTGACTTCTCCAACCTTATCGGCTACGTGAGCGGACTGAAGATGTCCGGCTACGTTATCAGCAACAACCGATGGGAGTACATCATCCGCAAAGCTAGCATGGCAGGCAAGCTGAACATCATCTACGAGTGCGCCAGACAGGGCCACCGCACTGGCCTGTCCCTCGCCGACCAGAACGTCGCCCGCATTCTTTTCTTCGAGCTCCACCAAACCGCCACCCGCGCCAAGTTCCAGGGCAAGGAAACCTCCGAGGCTCTCAGCCTGGCGCAGGACTTCGCTGCCCTGATGCAAGGGAAGTTCCACTCCAACAAGGACATCGAGCTGGACCCTAAGCACCAACCTTTCGTTATCGCAACACTCCTCGAGCTTGCCACCGCCAAGGCCATGGCTAAGGCCGGCCCTGTCGCAAAGGACCAGGAGCAGCCCCCCATCGTCCAGAAGACCGCCCTTATCACTGACTACGCCCAGAAGCTCGATGCAAGCTGGTCCCGTATCAAGATCACCGGTCCTCCCGGTCGTGCCGAGCTGGTCAACCGAGTTCGGGAGAACCTGATCGTGCTCAATGCCATGCGCATGAGCTTGAAGTGGCCCAAGGCCTCGGAGGAGACCCAGGCTTTCCAGGCTCGCGTGCAAGAAATGGAGCCCATCCTGGTTGACCAGCTGAGGAATGTCAGGAACGGTCAGCTTACCGATGACTTGGTTGCGCAGAAGTTGTTGAAGACCGCTGATGAACTTAAGGCTGAGGCCAAGGCCAAGAAGGCTGCGGCTAAGGCGTAAACCTGCATGGATTTGTTTCTCGGAGTCTTGACTGAGCCTTTATGGCATGTACATTACAATATTCTTGCTTAGATATTTTGGAGCTGGCCGTGGTGTGTCAGAAAATGGTCATTTTATTTCCTACCATGTCTGAATTCCCGAGGTCGCTAGATGATGGTTACGTGTGTGGTCAGGTTTGCCCATAAATGATCAGAGGTAAGGAGGTCGCAGTTTTTCGTCATGACTGTATGTCGCAATGTGCATTTTGACAAGCTATCCAGCCTATGAACACAGCTCTAAGGTGTTCTCCTTGCTGATGCGAACTCGGCCAGGAAGAGTGGTAGAACCACCGACAACAGCGGGACCTGAAACGGTGAGCTAGAAAGGCAAATGTTAGTCAGGAATCAAAAAGGTTATCATGCGGGGGTAAAATACCTGTCCTTCTTCTGCGCCGTCGGGAGAGCCTTCGGGGACGTTGATCAATGTGTACTGAGTGCTGCTCAGTGGAGCGCCGAAGTGGCTGGGGCCAGTGAGGGTTCTGTAATCGAAAGCATTTGTCTGTGTAATTGCACCAGCGACGCCAGGACCAGTCAAAGCATACACCACACGAGCTCCAGTGAAGATCCTCAGTTCGGTCAATTGCTCGGAAGTAAGGCGAGCAGACGGGTCGCCGTCAATACGATGAGAGATACACAACAAACGCAGGTCATCGAGGGAAAGCTCGGCGGTAGGGCCAATGCGCGCCAGCTGGCTGAAGAAGTTGCGTGTCGGCATATTTCCTGCATCCAGAGTTCGTGCTTGAATCCACCGTCCAAGAGATGAGATGAAACCGGTGTGTGGGCGCATGATTTGGTCGTGGTATTCGGACATGGTCTGCGATGAGGCAACAATGACAGTAGGGGATACTCCAGCTGTAGCCAGCGCGAAGTCTACCTTCTCTCCAGCAACGGAGTTGAGGGCAATGGACGAGTTAGAAAACAATGCTGCCATGGTCGTGCAAAGAGGGTATGATCGTGAGAGAGAGTCGATTGAGAGAACAATGTCGGACGGGACAAAACGTTGGGTGCGAGGAAGCGTGGAAATGATCGCACCAATAGCAGACGCAAAGTTCTGTGAAATAATTAGTATTTGCGGTGGAGATGAGGTTTGGTCAATCTTACCTCCGGCTTGAAGTCGATGAATTGACCGGACAGAGACGAAGATGGCCAGACAGTGTTGACAGCAGGGGTCTCTGTCTTTGGGTCATATTCAGGGACATCATATCCAGCGAGATCCTTGAACTCTTCAACCAGCTCATGCCAGACAGCAACCTTCAAGGTACTCTCAACGTTATCGGGAACTCCATTCCAGTCCATGTGTCGGTTGCCATACTTGGCGACCCAGAGAACGAGCGAGAGCTGCTTGTTGTCATTGCCAACAACTGAAAGGTCCAGAGATCCAGCTTCAGCGATAAGTACCTCTGCTCCAGCCTGCTTCAAATGCGCTGACAGGGATTCTGCTGGAAGGTTGTGAGGAATGAGAACGGTCTTGTATCCGTAGAAAGCACCCGCTAGATATTCACAGTCAGCTCTCGAACGTTCTCAGGCAGCCTTTCGAGTACTTACCAAAGATGGCAGCCAGCAGCTCGATAGAGTCGGTGAGGCATACCGCCACTGTCTTGACGCCGGCGTTTTGGAGATGGTGACCAATGACGTTGATTTCTTGTGTGACTTGGCCCAACGAGTGTTCGATGGCTTTCCTACCCAGAACAGTGTAGATCTTGCCCTGCTTGCCAGAGATTGTACCATCCTCGTTCAAGGCGCCACGGACAGCCGTCCTCCAGATATCCCTCAGATCTCCACGTCGGCCTCCGGTCCATTTCGGGGCACCCGGGTCTTTCACATTCAATCCAAATCGAAGCGGTAGACCGTGTGGGGTTTCCAAGCATCTGTAGGTAGCTGATTCACCCTCCTGGCGAATCGGGGCTGGGGTTGCTTGACGAGCCAGCAGAAATGGGTGGACATCTGGATCTTGAGACGAGGCAACCGAGTATATGGCGAAGGCGAGAACGGCCCCAGCAAAGACAGTGGTGTAGATGTTCCAGTCAGCCAGGACATCCGCCACCAGATTATCCAGCTTTGCCACTATGGTAGAGTCGGCCATTTTGAAGAAAGCTGAACTGAAGATGAAGAAGTGTCAACAATCAGCTTCACTATGACGTTGAGGGGTAGGCTGATAAGATCAGCTGATTGGCTGGTAGTCCGCGGAGTCACGTGCCCCAATACACGAAGATCAGCGCCCCTGCCTTTGCTCCCCTCGAGCTTCAGAGGGAAAGCTGCTGGAACTGCACTCCAGGGCTATGCGAACAATTTACTAACTTACTAACTTCAACAGTACACAGCTCCTCTCAGGTAAGTTGACAGATCTTTTACAGCCCAGTAAGTCGAGTCCCCCAAACCCATGAAGCAAGATCTGATTTCGCATTCTAGTCTGGTTAACAGTGCTTTTCACCCTTGACTGGCTGTACTACACCAATTGGAGAATCAACCACAATTATGTCCCTCCCTTCGACCCCCAAAGCCACTCCTCCTCCGGCACCCGCCTTCGAGGGTCCTCAGACCCCTGGCAAGTGGAGACATCCCCAGCTGGATGAGATTGTCAAACGCCAGAATGCGGCAACATTCGACGAAAAGAACGTGAAGAAGCTCGTCTGGAATGGGTCGGCTTTGATCATGACTTGGATTTTTGGAAATGCCCTCAAGTCATAGTAAGTGCGCCCGGCACTTCTGGCGCGCAGTCGCGTACTAACCGGCATCTTTTAGCTCACGCGCAATCTTCGGCCACAATCACGTCTATCATGAGGTCTCTCTGTTCCTTTTCCAGATCTTCTTCCTCCTCAATATCGGCACAGCGCTATACCCGCTCTTCCGCGCCAAGGACGACCTCTCTGACATCCCTCTAACCCCAACACAACGATTCCTTTTGGGCCTGGATCCCGCTGCGACCCAGCCCGCCACACCGGGAACAACCTTTGTTACTCCGCCCCGATACCGTCTCTCCACCTCACGCAAAGCAAGCCCTGCCAGCCGACAGGGCTCCCCCATGTCTACTTCTGCGAACGCCAGCTTGTCGGAACGCCGCTCTTCCATCGGTACACCCTTTTCACCTGTCTCGAGTCCCTTGCTGTACAAAGCAGTATCCAACGGAGGGAATGGAAACCGGGAATCGGTTCAACGCCAGAGCTTTGGGTCCCAGAGTTTTGGGTCGACCTTCGGATCGACCCTGGGATCGCCCTCGCCTCTTTCCCGCAGCAACTCATTCGGAGAATCAACTTTGAGTATGGGCAGCCTTGGACCAGGCACACCGTCGCCTCTTGCAGGCAAACGTCCAGGCCTGGGTGTGAAGAACAAGTGGTTATATGAAAGGAGCCGCCGGTTGTCGGCCAGCGGAGGAGCTATGTAAATATATGTTTGGACAATGCAGTATGGTCAAAGGTCAATTTGAACAGGCGCAGGGGTTATGGTCATGGTTATGGTGTCATAGCGATTCATCTTCAGTGTGTTACACTTATACCAATTCAAAGCTTTATCAGTTTCATCCAATGTGCCCTTGGGCCTATACATGATTGCTGCAGGATGTTGAGATGGGTGTATCGTGTAGAGAAACTAAAATGTAATCAAAGAACAGATATATGCCATAACTAATGCTAAGCTGGAAACATCTTAAAAGGCCAAGAGAGTATCAACGGGGAAGTCGGTAGACAACAATTTCCCCGTGTTCAGGCCAAGATCCCGCACCCGAATAACTCCAAACACACAGCATTGTCTCAACACTTTCCCAAGGTTGTGAACACCTTGAAGCTCACAGTGGCGTGATTAGCTCTTAATATCAGCCATGGGGGCTTCGGAGTCTAAGCTTGTCTTCAAGCAGGGCATCTTCCGCCTCTCGGAACAGGAGATCCCCGCAGATGACCCCTACTGGACCAGAGTACGTGGACTAAATGGCGATGCCAGCTGGAGGATATTCCTCAGGTGAACTACAAGCTAACTCTGGCCTCAGTTTTGGGAGCTCCCTGAATCCACCGAGGATGTGTTCAGCCTGTTTACCCCGGCTGACATCCGACGAACTCGCGATCAAGCACTACCCAATTTCCAAACGCTCTTACTCGCAGTAACCTCACGACTGACGGTATTGAAAAACCACCCTTCGTTCCCCGATCCGGACCTTGCCCCCGAACGCGATGTCCTCAACTGTATCCGCATCCTTACCCGCCTACTCCCCTATGTATACGAAGCGGAGCATCTGGAGGGATGGGAGGAGAACTTCTTTTGGGCGCGTCGACGGAGGCTGGCCCGACGGGCTCAGATCTCCGGGGAGGTCCTTTTTGACGAAGCGCAACCCGAAGACCAGGAAGAAGGGACATCGCCGCGCCCTGACAACTATGAGGATGTCAAGCCCTTGGCTGAGGAGTTGATAGACACGTTGATAGACCTGCTCTTCTTCGTTGATTTCACCATTCCTCGACTTCCGACTGCGAAAAGCAAGGTTTCATATTCGATCTGGCAAAGTGGTGTTGGTTGCAACACGGCCATGGGAAGCAGCAAGGCATACGAGAGCAACCGATGCGAGATCTTACGGCTGATGCTCACGTTGACTGGAAAGGCTATGTATCTGCCATCAAGTGAGTGTCCCTCTGCCATATCGCAGATCTCTATGCCATATACTGACTCAGGTAGACACATTGCCCGTTCAGGGTGTCCAGGCAATCACCTACATCACGACGTGCCAAGATAAGCAGGCTGTCTTGACTGTTCTCTGCTCTCTGCTCAACACAGTATGTATTGTCTGATTGCGCACTCGAGGTATGTACTTACGCAGCAACAGGCAATGAAATACAACCCAGCGTCGTGGAGAGTTCCATATGATCATGTTGTGTGGAAGGATCCAAAGCAAATATTGGTCATTTATTGCGTGCAACTTCTCCTTGTCCTTTTGATGTACCCCATACCCGAGGATGGACGTGGAACACCGCCGAAGAATTATTATCGACATTACTTTGGCAGGTTGCATAGACCTCAGGACTTCCAATTCCTCGTGGATGGCATGACACGGATCTTGAATCAGCCGGTAATGTTTCCTTTCTCTCAAACCCTAGCATACCAGTGCTGACTTCTTGGAATAGATGCAAGCCACGAACTCCTATCTTCCCGGGAGCCAGAAATCAGCAAAATGGGCTCCTGAGATGCTGATGCTTTTCTGGGAGACCCTGCAATGCAACAAACGATTCCGCTCTTTCATCATAGACTCCAACCGCTCTCATGACTTCCTTGTACTTTGTGTATTTTATGCGACAGAGTATAAATCGGATGCCTCCAAACAAGGCATTGTCCGGATGTGCATCTTCATCCTTCAAACGATGAGCGCGGAACCCAATTTCAGCAAGAGTTTGAACAACCCATTCGAGGCCCAGGATACCTTACCACAGTCAATCCGTTTGCTTAAGTTCCGGGGGTCATATGCTGACTATTTGATCATGGTTTGTTTTCACATCTACCTCGAGGCCGAGCATCAAATACTGACCAGAGCAGTCTATCCACACTTTGATTACAACCAGCAAAGGAAACCTGGATACTGTGTATCCTGCCCTTCTGGTTATCCTGAGTAATATTGCTCCCTACCTCGAACAAATATCCCCGAGCGCTTGTTCAAAGGTCATTCAACTATTTTCATCTATGTCTGCGCCCAGCTTCCTGTTGGCAAATGAGACAAACCACACCTTGCTCGCCTCATTGCTTGACTTTATCAATCTTGTCGTTGAGCACAAGTTCATCGGTAAGTCTGTTTCCTAACACTCTTAAAGATTCAATCTGACGTTGTATAGAAAACCCATACTTCGTTTACGCTTTGTTAAAGTACAGGCAACGCTTCGAAGCTGTGCGGGCTTTCACCCTCGAGAGTGGCCAACAAGAAATTGAGCGCCAGAACGAAAAGAAGAAAGCTGGAAGTTCTTCCGACTCATCCAACAGTCCGAGACTTTCACACTCAGAAGAGGATCTGCACACGACGTCAGAAGCCCGATCACCGTTAGATCGGATCCCCGAGGAGAACAGCCCATTCGCAATTGGCGATGATGATTCCGATGAAGAGCGAGATATTGATGGAACACAAACACCATCTCAATCATCACCATCAGCTCAGACTTCGCGGAGACCATCCATCGCATCTACCGTCGACGAGAACGGTGTGCCGATGGCCCGTGGCATGTCTGAAAAGGCCCGTGGAAAGAAACCGGCTGGCCATCCTCCTTTCTCCCGGCAGAACAGCATGACCAGTCAAACCAGCGTGACAGCCTTTTTCTCTCCATCTGCGAGTGGCTTCACGCCGACAGTGTCCTGGGTAAGTTTTGGCACGTCATTCCCACGTCGAATTAGTATTAATGAAATCTCCAGCTCGAATCATGGTTACCTGAGCTTCCTCTGCACTCCATTATAACTATCATCTCTGCCATCGCACCTCACATCCCCGATACCGCCCTCCAAAGCACCACTAGCCCCGAAGCCCGCACCCTCATCCACAACCTCCCCTCCTTCGCCGACGAACCCGAAGTGAAAAGCATTATCTCTGAGCCAACACCCGTCCGCGTCCAGTCCTTCGAATGGTCTGCCCTCTCCATGGGCTGGTACGAATCCCTCCTCTGGGGCTTCATTTTCTCCAGCGAGATGGTAGTTGGATCCGCTGCCAGCGCAACGCCAGGCACCGTCGGTGTCTGGAACGGGACAGCCATTAAGCTCTTCCGAGTACAGGAGGCGGCTGCCCTGGGACCGACATTGCTTGCACCGAAGGGTGCCGTTGATGCAGTCGGTAGCAATCTGGTCCAGCGCATTGGAAATCTCAGTTTAAGAGGGCGGGATTCCATTTCGCAGGAGACTGGTGCTTCGCCGAGTGTTAGGGAGGTTTAGGGTCATGATTGACGTACATAGCATTCTTTTCTATGACCCTTTTTTTTTCTCTCTCCTTCGCTGCTGTCTAGTTTCTGCAGCAGATGTTTATTTGTTTTTTTAGTGCCCTCTAGCCGTTTATCTAAATACCAGACAATCTTTATTCCAAATTTATGTAAAACAGTGAAATTCTGAACATGTACTCTGTACTCTTTACACCCTCTAGAGCTACTCAGTCGTCAATTCGAGATCAGTGGCCACTGCCTTGAACACGTGCACCCAAGACCCGTTCCGAATTCCAATGCTAAACTTCTCTCTTTTTCCACCCCAATTGAATCAAAATCATCTAAGTATAATCATGCATTTCTTGCATTTTATGCTCGGGGTGGCTGCCCTCGGTCCAGCCCCAGCCTTCGGGGACATCACCTCCAGTCTGCAGAGCATCCTCCGGAACACCCACGGCAGCAAAGACTATGGGTATCCAACAGATTTAACCAGGGATTTGCTCCCGGTGAGTCTTCCTATATCAATTCATCCTCGATGAATAGTTAAAACCCCCGTGCAAGCATGGTTAACCCTGAAAATGCAATGCGTAGATCCCTGTTCATTCACACAAGTATGGTCGGAACAACCCCTTGATAACTGATCACTGATGTCAAGACAGCGATTATTGGCGAGATGAGCCTTTTTATACCGGTTGGTGAAATTGTAATTGCTCTTCATCACTTCCCTAATGCTGAATTTCCAGGCCTGTCGCATGGCTGCACATCTACTGAAGCAGATGTCTGGCTATACAACGGCACTCTATATGTGTGTTGAACCTATCATTTGCGTCTCGGTTCCAGGCCGCATGCTAAATTTGCTCAGGTCGGACATGATCAATCGGCTCTCACGACTTCGAGGACCCTTGAATCATTGTATATCAATCCAATTCTGGATGTTCTGGAGCGACAGAACCCAGAAAGCCCATTCCTGTCAAAGCCAACAAAGAAGTAAGCCTTGGAACAAAGCATGACAAATATTCATTAACTGATGAATTATCCAGCGGTGTCTGGGACACCGACACGGAACAAACGCTGTATTTCTTCATCGACGTGAAAACCTCAGGAGTCGAAACCTTCAAGGCAGTCATTGCCGCCCTACAACCACTTCGGGAGAAGGGCTATCTCACCACCCTGAAAGATGGCACCATCACCAACGGACCCATCACCATCATCGGCACAGGAGAAACACCCCTGGACTTAGTAGCGCCCGTCCAAGACCGTGACTACTTTTTCGACGCACCACTAGCCGAACTCACCGATGCCCGCTACGCCAACATAACAGGCCTCGTTTCACCAGTTGCATCAACCGATTTCCAAAAAGCCGTTGGCAAAATAACAAGAGATACAGACCCTATTCTCGGGGATGATCAACTGAAGGCTCTGCGCGAGCAGATCGCCATAGCAAATGAGCGTGGCATCGGGGCTAGATATTGGAATACCCCGTACTTCCCGATTCGAGTCCGAAACTTAGTCTGGAGGACTTTGCTGAGGGAAGGTGTTATTTTACTTAATGCTGATGATCTGGATGCTGTCACTGGGTTTTTCTAGATATGTTGTACTTAAGTACAATTCAGCTTATACTGGACTTCGTGTGATGATAAACGTGTTTCACTCTGCTAAAAGGTACCTTGCGTCAATGTTCCCAAATCTGATCTGAATCCTCCGTCCCTTTCACACTGATAAGATCATGTTTCTGGTATTGTATCTGGAGGTGGATCTTGAGTTCATCTTTGGATATCATTATCCGCTGCGTAGACAGCCACGACACTTATGGGAGGAGATCCTGCCATCGACGTGTCGGATACTCTTGCTGGAGCAGCGTTCATCTTCGGTTCGCATGTGCTGGGGGCATTTGATGAATTCACCGCCGCTGGAGTGGCCGCACAAGTACCTGATCTGCACCTGGGTGCAGTGGTCGATTGTCTTGGGATCTGGCACTGCGGGGAGTTAGTTCATGGATGTGGAATTCAAGTAAATGATCATTGATCTTCATTGCAGGCTTACATGGGAGGTCTTCCGGGAGATGAGCTGGGACTTTGGATGCCATGGTGGGATTCCGGCTCCGAGGGAGCTGATAGATCTGTCATACTTTGTTAGTGGCTGTTGTATTGAGTATTTTCTGTAGGCTAGAACTTACTTTGATTTGAGCAATAGTCACTTCTTGTGGTAGCTGTCTGATGTGAAGTGATGTGGTGAAGACTCGAGAGTAGGAATATCTCAGATGCACCTGCCACATCGGACACTCCTGCCATTTCCCTGTCCAAGGCTCAGTTGTTCTCTTGGGTTACTTGAGTAGAAGAGAGATGTTAGAGGATAGAGGATAGAGGATAGAGGTAAGAGGTTACTTTACACTCTGCAAGGATTAGTCTTTCGTACTTTGGACTATAACACTTGGATGTTGACTTCTAGAGTTGTATTGCTATATCATTTCCAGGCCTAATTATAATGATTAAATGCCAATTCATATAGCTTTCCAGGGTTAGACATATACTTAAGTACAACGTCTCAGACTGCTCAGGTGAAATACTTCAGTACAGATGCAGTCTAGATCTTTAGGCCTCCGGGGCTCTCAACCACAAAGGCTGGGGGTTCTTTGTGTTAGGCATATATAAATTCTATAAATTCCATCCCACTGCTCCTCTCCTCAGAAGACACTCACTCTTGCTCAAGTGCAAGTCTGGCATCTACTTCAGTATTACTATCACCGTGCATAGTTCCCATCACGTGACCTCTAATTTTCCTCGTCCGCAGGAGGTGCTCCTCTCTTTACCTTTTCCACGACTCTCATTGGGTGAACGAGAAATGGAGGATCTGGCAGATCTCTTGGCTAAGGTACTCCCCACGGGGGTTGAGATTACCCTTCGTCATGTCTCTTCAACACCCACTCCCTCCGATGCCCTCTTCGCTGCCGCACCGGGTCAACCTTCAGAGCCAACCTTCTGTGAAACTCACTTCCTTTCAGCCTCCATTGATTGCAACGATGAAGAGACTATCATTTTCGGTATGGAAGTGATGGTCTACAACACGGCCCACTTGACCACCATCTTTATTTCCAAGGCCGACTCAACCGGACTTCTGCATCTACTCAAGGTACCACGCAGGGTCTCAATCCTGAGATTGGTCTCCAACACCTTCCTCTCATTCCTGGCCCGGTCTCGACAACGGCCCGGCGTGCGTCTGGTGATTTCACTCTTTGCCCGCGCTCAGGACCAGTACTTGTTCCCAGGCAGCATTGAAAATCCAGAGAAACACGTTCTAGATGACAGGGGCCTGATTAAATGGTGGTGCCGTGCCGTGGATCCCATTCTCCGGGAACATGAGCCTGAATCTGCGGCCCAGGAGACCAAGGCCGTCGATCAAACCGTCGAAGCAACCAAGGCTTCAGCTACTGCCTACTTGATCGTTCCAAGTTGTGATCGCTTTGAGACTCGCAATTTCTTCCCTCCCACAGCCAAAACAGACCCACAGGATCGCCCACGATGGCTAAACAGCTATCCGCTAAAACAATTATATCACGATCCCTCGGCTCCTCCACGGTGCCTGGTGCCGCGGTTCCCGGATGATCCCAAGACCCGCTTCCTTATTGATCTGGATGATGAGCTGCCGGAAGGAAACCCAGATCTACCGGAGGCTGGACGCTGGCGCAGCGTCAAGTCCCTGGATCAATTCTGGGAAATGATGTCCTTCCGCCAAGAGTGCTCTGCCGGTCGTTTAGTTGGGTTCTTGTGGTTGGTCATCAACCCTCCTGGTTTGATGAACTCGACATCAATGGAAAGTCAAACGCGCGTTTCCTCAGACCACAGCCACCCTCACGAGCCAATCTCGGTTGCCACGGAAGAAGACATCAAGACCTCTGACCCGCCAAAGGAGCAGGATACATCGGCACAGGCAGCAACAAATACCATCGTGCCGCCAGCATCCGAGCTTCCCCTGAACGAAGAGCCAATCAATCCCTTTGACTGGCCCGAAGTCGGACGCGGCGATGTCGTTCTCGGTGAAGCAGACTATAAAAAGATGATGGACACTGTGCTGGACAACTTTTACGACGAGACAGAGATCGGCGCTAGCACAAAAGCCTACATTGACCATGTCGCGGCTCTTGCAGACCAACTTACATGGGGCAAGAAGGTTGTCGGTGTCAATGCCGACACTGACACTCCCCAAGCTACCAGCACAGGTACAAACAACATCCTCGATCTCGGGCTGATCCGCAAACGAAAGAAGTCACTGGGCGAGACCAAGGTGGATCAAGAGCCTGGTCTAGACACTCCCCCAGCTTCGGCTCCCGTTGAGACGGGCCCGGTCAATGTCCTCAACGCTAGCTTGGTTCGGAAGAAGAAGAAAACATAAAACTGGCGTATTTTGGCTTACAAGGGGGGGTCTCGGTATTGGAGTTTGGGGATGATCTGTTCTTTTTCTTTTCTTTTAATCTCGACATCCGAATGTACACGGATACGAATAAAATTTACTGCATTTGGACTGGTCGGAGCCTTGGAGCTGCCATACAGCAAGCTTCTGCGAGTTGACATGAATAGTAAGCTACTGTATTCCAGGTATACCTATATCCTGACTAAATTTAAACAGAATATACTTAAGTAGAAACAGAAACCGAGATAGAAAGAAGAAATAGAAACAAAATCAAGACATAAGCCTGCCAAGACCGAAGTATACTTGCGGGTCACCGCCAAACACCCGCTGCATTCCGACTTTCTCTTCATGTTTCGACTTACACTGTTCCCATGCTGAACCATATGCCCCTCTCCGGGTGTGATGGCGTACCTGTCATAGCAGGCTGGATCGCATTGATCTGGTACACCTTCATCCAGGGAGTTTGCGCCTTGGGCTATTTCCAGATGTACGGCCCCTCCAGCGCAACAACAATTGAAGCTTACCTCCCCCAGATGGAAATACTTCCTCATCCAACCCTCAAAGCCCCAAGTGACGGCCAATACACCACACGTCACCGCCATTCGACCCGTTAAAGGCCTCGAACCACACCTCTACGACTGTCTCTCCGCAACATTCACGCAAGATTACCCGCGCGACAAACTCACCATCTGCCTCTGTGTCTCGACACGCAATGACTCAGCCTACCCGACCCTCCGAAAACTGGTCGCTGATTTCCCGCACATCGACGCGCGCGTCCTCATCGAAGAAGAGGACCCCCTCTTACAAGATGAATCTGGATACAGTCTCGGTCCGAACCCGAAGATCCGGAATATGAGCCGGGCATACCGTGAGGCAAAGGGTGATATTGTCTGGATCATCGATTGCAATGTCTGGGTTGGGAAGGGCGTTTGTGCTCGCATGGTGGATAGGTTATGTGGGACTGGCGCAACACCAGGGAAAAAGTACAAATTCGTGCATCACTTGCCTGTGGCGGTGGATGTGACGGGAGAGAATAATCTCCAGGAAGAGCGGGCGCTACTGGACACCAGTGCGCAGATATCAAATGACGATGCGGTACCTGTGCGTCCGGAGGATGGGCCTGCGGCTATGATCTCGGCAGGAGGAGGTCGTCTGGAAGAGCTGTTCTTGTCTTCTGCCCATGCGAAGATGTATACCGCCATCAATACTGTTCTGGTTGCGCCCTGCATTGTGGGCAAATCCAATATGTTCCGGCGGTCACATCTGGACTACCTGACCAGTTCGCCTGAGGGCGCGACTCGGCATCCGGGGATTGATTTCTTCTCTGATAATATCTGCGAAGACCATCTGATTGGTGATCTACTTTGGAAAAAGCAGGTACGAGAAGAAAAAGAGCTCCAAGAGCACTGGGGGAAACATGCCATGGTTTTCGGTGATTTGGCTATCCAGCCTGTCGCCAACATGAGTGTGCCGGCATACATTGCCCGCCGGGTTCGGTGGCTGCGCGTCCGTAAATTCACTGTCTTACTTGCCACCCTTGTCGAGCCAGGCACTGAATCCCTTCTTTGTACGATTTACGGTGCGTTCGGCATCACTACTGCATTGGCACCGCATCTGGAAAAGAAGGGTATTCAATTTGCTTCGCAGATTGGATCATGGACCGCTTTCTTCACGCTCTTTGCTTTTGGCATGTTCTTTTGGATCCTGGTCGACTGGACCTTGTATGTCAAGCTGCATTCCGCGAGATGCATCGAAGTAGATAAGGATACCCCGTCCTTCGCGCGTCCCCAGCAGTACCGATCCCAAACCACACGACGCCCATTCAGACAGTGGTTTGCCGCGTGGCTGGGTCGCGAGCTGCTCGCTCTGCCAATCTGGGTTATGGCCGTGTACGGCGGTGTGACAGTCGTCTGGCGAGACCGACGATTCAAAGTTGGCTTTGATGCCAAAGTCCGGGAAATCGACCCTGCCACCGCACCCGTGGGAGGTCCCGTAGCAGGCAAAGTCCGCAGTGATTGATGTGTAGATGTGAACAACGAAATCCAATGTATACTAAGCATTCGAGCCACAGGCCAATGCAAAAAACTGTAAAAGATATCAAATGCATTACTATTGACAACAAAAAAAAACATCTATGCGTCTCAAACTTTTCAACCCTAAGCAGATGCCTCACCCTCTGTAGCCCCCTTCTCCAAACTCGAGCCAACATCCGAGTTCAAAAGCCACTCAACAACCTGTCTGCCTGCAGACATCTCTCCAGCATCCGTCTTCTCCCCTTCACCCTCCTCACCAATAGTCATTTCAATCTCCTGAGGCTGATTCTGGTTCTCATCTTCTCCATTCCCATTATCCTCAACAGCAGCCCAAGCAGTCCTCTCAGCAAGGAAAACAGCATCATGGCCAGCATCATTCTTAACACCAAGATCAGCCCCAGCACCAACAAGAGCCTTCACACACTCCAGGTGCGTATTCAGCGCAGCCCAGTGCAAAGGCGTGTTACCCGAGTAATTGCGATGGTTAACAAAAGCCTCCCGCTGAGCCTGTTCAGCAGAAGCAAGTTTTTGAAGAAGAACAGTAAGGATTTCTACACACGTCAGTATATTTGTATATCCGGAAACCGAAATAGGGACGATAGTGGTGCACATCCACTCTTTTGTCACATACCGGCATTTCCATTTGCAGCCGGGAAGTGCAGCACACATGAGCCGGAGCCACCTTCGCTTTCATCGGCGAGGTCAATTGCAGAGGCGACGATCAGAGACTCGTTGCAGGCGTGTTGGGTTGCCAGGGCGGCGATGTCGGCGTTCAGGGATTCCAGATCGCCTGCTCGGGCATCGTAGATTAGATCGTCGATTGAGTCGGCGGATAGTGCAATTGGCACTGAGGGCTTTGATGTGGACATGATGTATGTTTTTTTCTTTTGGTGGGGTTGGATTTGATATCCCACTTTATTTGCCTGCGGGGTGTTAGCGATGGTCATTTGGATCTGAACGACAGAGGCGATGGAATCGTTTGTATGATCCTGGGATATCCAGATATAGCTTAGTTGAATATTCCATGCAATACATGCAATACGACGAAGTACTCCGTACACTCGAGGTATATCTGATCTTGTGATAAGAGGTCTGGAATGAGATCTCCGTTGGGATTCAGACCTCGGGAGTATTCCGCCATAAGACTCCAGCAGGGGATTTCAGAGACAGCATTCTTACCTTTGCTTTTTGCTTCTTGGTTTTATTTCAAGTGGTGATGGTCTCCGGAGGATGAAGCGGTTCGCCGCAAAAAAAAAGTGGCAGGTCATGTGATGATAGTGTTATCAGTAAATTTATCTGCGCAGTGCAGTCTACAAGGACGGGGTTGAAATGAAAACTCATTTTCGAGTCGATTCCTGTTGGTACATGGCACTGATAGTACAAATGCCTAATGCCAGAAGCAAAGTCCAGCAAACAAGGACAGCCTCTATCCAGGCAAGATGCAAGATAGAACAAAGCACAGAAAAGAAAAGCTCAAACGCCTCAAAGCCCACGACCAGGGGGATGGTATCACAAAGCTGGGAAAAACAGAAAATCAAATGCAAAGGGCAACGTGTGTTGTCCCAGTATGCCACCCAGTAGGCGCCTAGTCACGCAACCAGGCACGGCGCTTCTCCTCCTTCTTTTCGCGGCGCTTTTCCTTGAACTGCTTTACCTCAGCCTTGGTCGGCTTCCGGGAGCTGCGCTCAGCCCGCAAGCTGCGACCGTCATGACTGTTGGCGGCGGCATCCACATCGAAGAAAGCATTCATCTGTCGGCGAGACTTGTTTTCATCATTGTGGTTCTCGGGGTTGATGTCCGCAGCTTGCCATCTGCCAGTGAAGCGATTGAAAGCTCCAGTAGCGGCATAAGTTTCAGTGGGGTTGACAGCTCCGGCCTGAGTCTGCTCGGACTGTTCTTCGTATTGGCGCGCGTAGTCGGCGGTGGGGTCATAATTGCCATGGATTGAGGGGTTGTAGCCGCCGATGACGGGCTCCTTCTTGGGAGAGGACTCGGGCTGGGGCTCAGTGCCTGGAGCGGCGGGGATAGGTGCGTTAGGTGTGGCGGGGACACGAGGGTTCTCCCACTGCGAGATTCCGGTGAAGTTATTGAAGAAGTAGTACGCTTGGTAGTTCTCCTCCCACACAATTATCCATCCATCGTCTTCAGGCTCAGTGGTAGGCGGGGCTTCTGCGGGAAGAGGGGGAGGGAGCTCGTCGGGCAAAGGTGGCGCGGAGGATCCATCATCCGTGGCTTCGACCGATTCAGAGGTCTTGACGGGGGATTCGGACTCATCAGACGAATGAAGAGCGCCCTCGGACTCGCCAGTCGATCCAGCCTTGTCCTCGGCGTTTTTCTTCATGCCGTCAATGTTGTGCTTCTCGCGAGCTTCGTCACTCTTGTTCAGTGCTGGACCGGGTGCGGGCTCGGCCAAAGCGGGCTCGGGCGGGGCCACGGTCGGAGGATCGGGTGAATCAGGCATCCTATTTCGAAGCAGAATGTCTGAGGGAGAGTCTTAAGAGAATGGAGGATGGTGGGAGGGAGAGGCGCAAGGCATGGTCGCGCCATGGTGTCGAGAAATAGATGCGCGATGTGGTTTCTACCGCCTGCCCCTTTGCGTTAGCGCTGGTTTTAGCGCGAGTGTTAGCGCGAAAATGAGAATGAGTGAAAGAGGATGGAGAAAGTCACGTGGAGAGGAGAAAGTCACGTGGAATAAATCAAACCGTTTTGTGTCACTGAAAGCCTCACGTGATCTTCTTCACCGCCTTTTGTGTAACGCAAACATATTATGTAATCTAGTGTTCACCGCCCGGCAGGCTCATTTTCTGCCGAGCCTATACTCAGCGCTCCACACACTCTTGACCATGTTCATCACCTACAGCGATGTCTCAACAGAGATGTCTCAAGATGTTTATCTGCTTTAGGATTCCGAAGAGGGACAAGATGAAGGTGAAGCTGGCTGACAATGTTTCCAATTCTCCCAACAAAGCACATAGTTATCAGTGAAAGTATTTTCCCAAACAAGGGGACTGGAATTCATAAAGTCCCCTCGGGCCCAGCCGAACCACTAGCCTCTTACCAGGATCCCGGGCTCTCTTGATGATTGAGGTCTCCAAACTGCTTAAATTCTACAGGATTCCAGATATCTTGCAGTCGCTGGCTCCAAATCTAAAAGTATTGGAGCCAAATGCCCTCCCCTCAGGGAAGCTCTGTTTGTATGGGCACAAGTTTCCCCTCTCACATTCCCTACTGGTGCGGAAGATGGTCTGATGAGATTGGACCAAATGCCACGCTAACCTGGATACAAATCAATTCGGCTAATGCTTCCGAGCCTGATCGGTCTTTAATTGATGGCCTTGGAATATCCACATTCTTAAATTCCTCGCATTCGCTCTCCGTCGGCACGACAGGCCTGGTCTATCCACGATAGCAATAGTACTCATTTCTCTGCATTCTCTACCCTTTGGTGTGGGTAAACATGGACAGAGGGTAATCTTATGGGAGAAGGCTTGTTAAAAGGCCAAGACCCCGAAGCTTTGGATCTGTATCCGCCAAACCATTCAGTCGACAACCATCGCCATTTGCTTTCTCGTCACTCTTTTGACCGACTATCTTTATACTCTATTTTAATCCATTCATTCGCTATTTGTTAGTATCAACTAAACTGTCACTCGTTCTCGCAATTATCAAGCTCAATTGCAAGTGGTAATATTCCACCATGAAGGGAATATCTTTGCTTTCCTTATTCGGTGTTGCACTAGCTCACCCAACCGGGCTGGTGAGTCCATCTTACTTTTAAATACAAGGATGACAGCCTGTTCTAATTATCCATATTGCAGTGGTGGGGCACCGACGTCTGCTACACCAGCCCAGAGAAGGCTGATAACCAGTGCACCCCTGCCCAACAGGTTGGGTTCGACTGGTCCCAGCTTGGAAATGGCGACAACTGGAGTTACGATGGCTTCAACTTCGTTGGCTTCACTGCCAAAGATGGCTGCCGTGATTCCGAAGATGTAAGTGGAATTAACGCACACCTCTATTGAACTGAGCCCTAATCGATATTCAGGGAACATGCATCGGGGGTACTCTGAGCCGTGACGATGGCTATAGTCTCGAGGTCAATACTGCCGACACTCCATTCTCTATTCGGACTTTCCATCTGTCCACTTCTCGGGAGACCAACGTTCTCATCACGTATGAGATGCCCGAGGGCCGCCCTTGTCACCAAGTGGCTTTCAGTACTCGTCAAGGAATCGATGTGCACAATGATCAGTGTGGTGGTGCAACTGCTGTCAAGTTCCAGCTTCCAGAGGAAAATAAGTTTGGTGATTGTACATTGAACATCCATGCTATCAACTTCGATTGCTCGTCCGGCGAGAAGCACACAGGCCACCCTTCCAGCAGTCTGCCTCCATCTGATCCGGAGCCTACCTTGAGTCTGCCTACTCAGATTCTGTCAACACACAGCGAGCCTACTCACAGCGAGCCCACCCACAGTATGCCTACTCACAGTATGCCTACTCATAGTCAGGCTACGCACAGTGAGCCTACGCACAGTGAGCCTACTCAGAGCGTGCCTACACTTCCCGTTTCCGTGCCGGAGCACCATCATACATCAGTGTGGGAAGTGCCTACGCCCTCTACTTTGGTGCCTGAACACCATCTCACAACTGCTGTGGTACCACACTCATCGGTTCCCAGCCTCACCAAGCCGATGACTACAGTGTGGGAAACTGCCGAAGTTACTATCACCAAATGTGGACACACAGTCACTGACTGTCCAGCCCACTCCACTGTGGTTATTACATCCACTTACTCGTCGTCAACCACTGTCTGTCCTTCTTCATCGACGGAGCCCGTTTCTGATATCTCCCTGCCTACAATCCTTCCTCCAAGTTCTATTCCAACCATCACCAGCACCGTCATCGGTGAAATCAGTGTCCCTCACACCCCTGCGCCAGTTCCATGCCCTGAACTAGTGCCCAAGTGCATGAACACCTGGCTTTCAATCCCCAAGTGCGAATCCAACAGTGACGCAGCCTGCTTCTGTCCTTCCTCCGAGTTCACCAGCAAGGTCCAGTCCTGCATTCACGCCTGGGGAACCTCAAAGCACGAAGTCGACTCTGCCCTATCCTACTTCGCCGGCATTTGCGCACCCTACGTTCCCCAGAACCCTACTATCATTGACATGGTGCCTCCCCCCAGCCCCCCTCAACATCACACCACAGTCTCAGCGCCCCAGGCCGAGGAAACCCCCTGTACAACCATCACATGGTCGTCGCAAACTGTCACCGTCCCGCAGGTGGGCTTCAACACGGTTACGGGTAGCTCCACAACCTCCGTGGGTCTGGTCGTCGGCACTCCCGCAAGTGCCATCGTTACCGCTCCCTCGGGTACCGGTCACCATCACCACTCTGGAGCTTCGGCGACCACTACTCCCTGCTCTACTCGGACTTCCACTCTCCTGACTATCGTCACGGGTGGTCCCACTGTGTCAAAGCCTGTCCCTGCCCCCTCTGAAAGCGTTGTTCACGCTAACTCTGGTGTGAAGTCATACGTTGGCTATCTCCACGTCTTTGGCCTTGCTGCTTTGACTTTGGCTTTGATTTAAGTGCCATTTGTTTCTTATATACTTCTTGATGTATTATTATCCTCGGGGGCTTCTTGTCCTTATTATAGCTTAAAGCCTTATCATCAAAGCAACACATGTGCTTGGGAGAAATCGGAGCTTTTTTGTCCTGTCTACAGGTTTTCCCGGTATGGGATTAGCATCTCTGACGTTCGGTTCCTAAAGTTGAATGTCAATTTCTCTCTATAGCTTCGTTGGTAACCTTGGAATTATATCCTAGTAGAGCAGAGACCGTCCAAATTTCCACATTTACTTGGTTAAAATTCAGCTCGCCAGGTCAGTAGTACTTGCCGACTGGATAAGTACGAATACAGCCTGCGCTCGATCGGAAATGAGGCGGTGAGCACCTGTAAACAGTACCAACTTCGTTTGCGGATGGACATCTACTTTTATCGAGAAACTTTAGAAGTTCCAAAACTGGTTCATTCTGCTACGCGAGCTCCAACTTTGGACACCTTGGACGCCTTAACGGGAAACGTGCCAGGGGAGCCTCAGGGCGCATACTTAAGTACTTGAGTAAATACTGAAGTAGTATCCCTCACCAGATTTTCCGTAATTAAATACTCCGTAGTTAGGTGTTTCCGGGGGGTGAATTATTTACCTAAGTGTAGATATTTTTGGGGTGCGACTTTAGAAACAGGCCAGCATCAGTTGGACTTCCCTTTTGGGTGTGTTTGTCTTTAAGCCAAGCCCGGGTAGAACTTTAGAACTTTAGAAAAGGAAATCCGGGGCTACTCAAGTATAAGGTATAAATGTAATGTTAAAAATAATTGGACTCGATAAAAGGGGGTAAAATGACAGATGGTTCAATTATGGCTTTCTAAAGTTGTGATTTTGTTGGGACGCAAGTGTTCAACTTTAGAATGGTGGAAATATATTTCGGTGTGGATGTTTTCTGCATTATCATCCAAGTAGAACTTTAGAATCCACGACTTCAGGAACACCGTGACTAAATACTCACTCTGAAATACAGGTACTATCTTTGCAATTCAACTAGCATAAATTGCTACTAAAGATACTATTACGAGGTTTAACGTGAAAACTTTAGAAGTACTCAGGTAGATGCAGTAGGTAGCGCTGCGCACACCAATTTCATACTTAAGTAGAACCTTGGAATAAACTAAGTACTTAGAAGCAGCAGCACCTATCCAAATATGATGAGAGTATATCTCTTGTACTTAAGTATGATTCTAGAGTTAAATAGGTCTACTTGAGTATTCATTTGACTAAACTACCTGTTAACATTAAGATATGATGACTTTCAAGTTGGCTGCATGACATGCCCAATTCGCGAAAAGTCAGATCTCAACTTGAGAACCTACCTTGAAAGTACGTCAGATAATTATCTTGGAACCACCAAGGTATGGTTTCATCCCCATGCACAGGCAACGCGGTCGGACTAATGCTGTACAACTAGATCAAGTGACGATCTAAAGAATCTCACCCAAATCACCTGCCGGGACGAAATTGTGATTTACCAAGAATTAACAGAATATCCTCATTCCATGGTTCCAAGTTCTTTTGACCATGAATGAGTTTGGGAGTAATGGGACAGTTCCTGTAGATTGAGTATGGGCCATCGAAGGGGCCAGGAATTGCTTGGCTACGTTGTAGGGAATTGGAGGAGCCAGGGCAGAAGTAGGAACTACAGGGCCCAGATTACGGTGTAAAGACTCTGCGAACGGGTCTACAGGTGCAATGTGCGAGTATTCGCAGCACTCTGTAGTTCGGGCTCTGTTCCCAGTCGCCAGGGGCAATTCGATTATTTTTCGTTTGGTGCAAATTCACAACCATAGCCATCTACACACAAGCTCACCGTGTTGATTACGTCTATGGCTACCGTTACGATGCCTAATTCCTCGCGGTGAAAAGCAAAACAATGAAGGGCGTGACTTTTCCCCCCTACGTACGGGCTCGGCTAGTGGCCGGGGTATAGAGGCCCTTGCAGATGATTTCGGGGTTAGAGATGATCCACTATTAACGACTCTCAACAACCCCTTACTAACACCGGATGTTAGTCGTTGTGGCATGCCTTCAAAACCGATGTTAGATGAGGAGGGGAGACAACACCAAGGGGAGAAGAGCCCCTGTGTGGCTGGGAAATTAGGGCCAGAGGAGACCCACTTGGGGACGAGCTTAAGCTTACGCTTGTTTTCTTGTTTTCTGGTGATGAATGCTCGGAATACAACGTAGAGCTTCTATGTTTAGATGTATGGTAGGGTCTGTAGAGTCATGGACGCTGTTAGCAATGGATCAACACACGTAGAAATGCATCAAAGGTGGACACGAGGGCCCGGGCCATCGAAGCAGGTGAGCCAGGGCGGAGGAATGCCAGGGCAACTCGCGTGAAGCTAGAGTGAGAGAAGCAGATCCATACCAGGAGCCTCCGCAAGGATCACTGGTTGGTCCACAAGCCCTACAGAGTGGAGCGATCAGCCTCCCCGTTTCCTCCCAGCTGGCATTCCAGATACGGTGAGACCACTTGCCAGGAACAATCTTGCCCTGGATTGTATGGAGGCAGGTAGGGTCACAGACCGCCAGGACAAATGTATAAAGAGGAGGTCCTTTACCGTCGTTGTATTCCTTTCTCATCCTCATCAAACACTCTCTTTCAAGCCTTCCTTCTCCAGTCTTCTTCAAACTTCACTCCGAGTCTTCTCTCGTTCAAATCCAAATCCACACAATGCAGTTCACTCTCTCCGCTGTTGTCCTCGGCCTTGCCGCCACTGTCGCTGCCCTTCCTCCCTCCGCCGGTGCCGGTAACGGCGTCGCCAACAAGGGAAACACCAACGTCAAGTTCCCCGTCCCTGACAACGTCACTGTCAAGCAGGCTCAGGCCAAATGTGGTGACCAGGCTCAGCTCTCTTGCTGCAACAAGGCCACCTACGCTGGCGACACCACCGATGTCAACTCTGGCATCCTTGGCGGCACCCTCAGCAACCTGATCGGCTCCGGCTCCGGTGCTGACGGTCTCGGTCTCTTCGACCAGTGCTCCAAGCTCGATCTCCAGATCCCCATCATCGGTATCCCCATCCAGGACATCGTCAACCAGAAGTGCAAGCAGAACATTGCCTGCTGCCAGAACTCTCCTTCCAGCGCCGTGAGTATCCTATCTTCCTACATATATCAACACAAGTCTAACCGATTACTAGAACTCCGACCTCGTCGGCCTTGGCCTCCCCTGTGTCGCCCTCGGCTCCATCATCTAAGTGCTTTCGCATGCTCTCTCGCACCATGCCAGAAGCTCTGGTCATCATTCTGGCCTCCGTGGGCTCACGCCTGCGGGGCTGGACATGAGCGATGATGTGAACTGTTTCCGATACCGGGATCGATTGATTGGTTTTGGCATCACTTTGTTTTGAGTAGTTAGAATCCTGTCCATCATTATTTCCTGTATCTTAACTGTGCTGTGTGGCACCTCGGAGAAAGAAGACTGATGTTATCGTTTTGCCTACCTTATTTGCTTCCAGTGTGCATTGGACCTGGTCCCTTGGCATCTATAGCTTCTAATAAATAGACTTGTCTACAAAACCTCTTCCCTACCAATTTTGTAGCGTCCATTATGAATGACAATCCAAGACACCTCTTCGATTGGTCTTCCTTTCTTCGTTCTAGCCCTAAACATCATCTACCTTCAAAATGATCTTTCCAAAAAATAGCCCATGTAATAGATTCCACGTATCGACCGGTCATACTAAGAGACCTATCTCTAAATAAAATACGTGTGCAACTTTCCTGAACCTACTCAAAATCCATAAGTATGATAATTATTGATTTCCACCTAAATAACAATCTACCTCGACCATATGCACAAGACCACAGCTGTACAAGCAATAATTCCCGAAAACAGAAATCAAGTCAATGCATCCTAAACCCCCGAAGTTTCGATTTCTTCTGATCTTGCAAATGCACCTCCAACAACTTTTCACTCTTCATCTCAACCAGCGCTTCATCATCCCCAGAATCTAACCAAGCAGGCGACGAAGAACTAGTTTTAAGTGAAAGCGACGAGCGCGGAATATTCAGCCCACAATGTCTCTTCAACAACGCCTTCATAGATCGTTTCTTCTTATCCACTGTACCAGAATTGTAATCTGATTTCTCTCCATTTTCGACACGGTGCCTGTCATTCTGTTCTAGATGTGGCTCTGCTTCGAATCGCGATTGACACATGTCCAGCTTGAACATTGGATATTCCCGAGATAGTGCACCTGGTGATATTGGTGTTCTGTCGAAGAGTGTGCGTGTGTTCATGTTCGTATTGGTTTGGAGCTGGAGTTTGTTTGAATCTGAGTCGTGGAAGGAATGGCGGATGATTGTGATTGTTGATTCGACGCTTGGGCGTGCCAGGGAGGCTGTCTCGGTGGGTTTGATGAGGTCATTTGCGTCTTCGTCTTGGTCTTTGGAGCTGGAGATTGAGAGTCTTTTTGAGAGACGGTTATTGCGCATGCGGTGCGCCATGTTGGATACGATGCCCATTTTGATTGAGTCTGGACTTTGGACCAGGGAGGTGTAGAAAAAGAGATTGGAATCAAGATTCAAATTCAATAGAGTGTACGAGTAAATCGGTGGCTGGCTTCAGATAATTACGATAACTATATTCCGCATTCGAATGAGGTATGTCAATTGTGCAAAAGGGTATTTCTCTTTTAACTAAGCTATGATGACTTGATATTGGCGGTGAATTTACCTACATCGAAGTACGAGTATACCTCCAGGTGTGTCGTAAGGGTCACACTGAGACCCAATGGGAAGTCGTGGACAAGATGCAAAAGTGGCTGTTGCACGGGGTACGCAGTGCATATCATTTCAAGTCCCGGTGAGACAAGCCCAATTGTTGCTTGTGTGGAAATGAGGTCCTGGACTTGTATGCAAGGATCTGCATCCCTTTGAAGCCCAGTGTTGAGCGAGTACGAGTGTTTGGATTTCTCTTGGTTTGTAAGGCTTTGAGAATCAATTCAGAGCTCCATTCCGAATTTGATGGAGGCCGGAATCTGAAGATCGGCGTGCTTGGTCGATCTTTCTCACGGACCTTATTGAGGAATGTGGTCTGGCCCCTTCGAGACAGTCTTGGGGAGTGGACTCTTTGGCCTGCTGCATGAGATATCATCGAGTGTATGTATCTGAGCAAGCTCTGTTGTATGTCAAACTATAATGTATTCGTCATCTATTGAATCTTATCAAATCACAAAAACATCTGATGTCCGGAACTACGTATATTCTGAAACCACTTAAAGCTTGCTGGCAGGGGCATCGGTGTAAAGAGACTTGGTGCGACCCATGGCCTCCACAGCCTCCTTCTCAATACGAGAGAGCAAATCAGCACAGGTTGGAATATCATGAATCAATCCAATGACTTGTCCAGCAGTCCACACCTGTAAAAGATATGATTAGTAACCATTCCCGTAACCTTGGAAGGGGTCAACTTACGCCGAAATCAGGATCGCCGTTGATGAAGACCTGACGACCCCGCTGGCCGCTAACATAAGGACCAATCTCGCTGAACTCGCCAGTCTTGCTCTCCCTCTCAACCTTCAGAGCATCTTGAGTGACCTTGTTGCCAAACAAGCGGGTAGTGTTCTTCCAGCGGCGCAGCACCAAAGCTGTATCCGTCTCCTGGGCCTTGACGATAGTCTCTTTGATGTTGTGGTGGATGGGAGCCTCAACTGTGCTCATGAACCGAGTACCCATGTTGATACCCTCGGCGCCAAGCGCCAGGGCCGCAGCGAGACCTTGTCCATCCGCGAATCCACCAGAGGCAATGAACGGCACACCAAGCTCCTGACGGGCGCGGCTCAGCAGGATGAAGTTGGTGATATCGTGCTCACCGACATGACCAGCACACTCGAAGCCATCGATGGAGAGGAAGTCGACGCCCAGCTTAACGGCAGACTTGGCATGACGGATCGTCGTGCACTTGTGCAAAATAATAATCCCGGCCTTCTTCAGCTGTGTGATCACGGGGCCTGGGTTGTTTCCGGCTGTCTCGACGATCTTGATGCCCTCGTCGATGATCACCTGGGCGTAGGCGGCGTAGTCAGGTGGGACCAGGGCGGGCAGGAGGGTCAGGTTCACTCCGAAGGGGTATTTGGTCATGGTGCGACATCTCCGGATTTCTTTGCGGAGGTCTTCGGGGGTCGGTTGGGTGAGGGCTGTGAGCTGAAGGGTGTTAGACCTGGGTGTAGATCAGGGTTTGGAGTCCTACCAGTCCCAGTCCACCGGCATTACTGACGGCCGAGGCCAGCTCGGCGTATCCCACCCATTGCATGCCACCCTGGACGACGGGGACTGTATGATCTGTTAGCTACCTGGGTATAGTTTGAGGGCATGGTGTATTGCGCACCCCGAATCCCCAGCTTTCGCGTCAAAGCTGTGTTGAAAGGCATCTTGTGAGTGAATAGTAGATTATACTGAGCAGACGTCTTAGCAATGTATGGATTTTGGCCACTGAGCTGTAACTCACCAGTATGCTATTCAGAAGAGTAAAGGAGGAAGTGCAGGGTATCAACTGATATGCCGCGGACTTGTGGGGAAAGGGCCGAGATGCCGAGGCACGGTTAGATTCGACCGATGCTACCCTTAGTTATGAATAATCCGTTTATTCTTTATTCAATAGACTCTGTACTAAGTACTTTGTGATCGGTATTAACAATTAGTGAGATGTAATGATCGCAAAGACTAAGTGTGATGAAGGATCATGTGCCCTAAGTTGATGTTGATCGCATGTGACACCGACCAATTGTTGACGTTGGCAGTTAGGTGCCCAGCATCTGATCAAATGCGAACTCGGAACATCTATAGATATACGGAGTAGGGAGTAGGGAGTATGTAGTGCATCAAAATGTGTAGAAATTGTGATAAATGTGATTTGCTATGTGCATGTAACCCTGAATATGAAACTCATCCCCCTCATTGATAGAGTGAAACGAGCGATTAACGACGGGAGTCTCTCTAAGAGCCTCAAGATCCTTCGGCGTCCACGACAGAAAGCCGCAGTCAGTGAAGGACAGCTAAGCACGACGACATCATCCCAAGAAGGTAAACGACGTGAGCGGAGACTCTTGGAGAGAAGAAAGAAAGGAGATGTTCGGCCGCGGGAGAAGTGGGAAAAAGCATTAGGCGAGCAGGTCACATGACACTAGCGCTGGGAAGAATAATACTCCGGCTGCTAATAGACAGGCTCTGATTGGTCGACGGCACGGCCATCGGGTGTCGAAGATGACTAAGGGTACCCGAGGTCGTCCGTGAACCCGGTCATTCGCGAAGAACTTGGGATTTCCAGGTTATCCTGAACAGACACTCTCAACTCCAGCACAATGAACTCCCAAAAGATTGCCCAGCAGTCGCTGCGACGGCGTATGTGCTGCAAGTCTCGTGATCGTCGAAATTGTCTGCTAACAGTGCCCCGGATTCAGTCGCCGTCCAGCAGCCGTTCGCCATGCGCTCCACCATGATGCGCTCCCCCGTTGCGATTCTCGGCCAGAACATCCAGAAGAGGTCAGTGTCTTGAGAAAGATGACTCGCTCGCAATTGCTTGATTCCAGGGGAAGAACCCCCGCGAAAACCGACGTCATCCAACAGCTACCGAACCGAAGCCGTATTAACGAAAGAATCCCGATATAGACAAGTGACTTCATCTCCCAACACCGAGGACCCCAAGCAGATCCTGGTTCAGCAGCGTCTCCGTCGCCCTGTCGCTCCCCACTTGTCCATCTACAAGCCCCAGATCACCTGGATCGGTAGTTCCCTGCACCGTATCACCGGCTGCGCTCTCTCCGGCACCCTCTACCTCTGGGCCACTGCCTACCTTGCATCCCCCGCCCTCGGATGGCACCTCGAGTCCGCCACCATGGTTGCTTCCTTCGGTGCTCTCCCTCTCGCGGCCAAGATTCTCTTCAAGTCCACCCTTGCCCTTCCTTTCACCTACCACTCCATCAACGGTATCCGTCACTTGGTCTGGGATACTGGCCGTGCCCTGACCAACCCTGCCATCATTAAGACTGGCTGGGCTGTCGTTGGTCTCAGCGTTGCTAGCGCTGTCGGTCTTGCTTTGATTTAAATGTTTCCATACCTCATACCTCCAAGTTTCTTTATGTGTTATTAAAGTGATTTTTTTTCCTTCCAAATATACATGAATCAGGTCGATTGGCGCAAGCTTCAAAAGGCGTCGGTTCTTTCATTCTGTTTGAAAGCTTTCTTGATTAGGCATGGATAAGCTCGGATTGAACACCCGTGAACGGTTCTACAATAGTCTGAACTTCGGATTATATCTACTAGGCTTACCTTCTCAACTCTGTACAGAGTGCAATATCCGGGAATTGTGTCTAGTTCAGACAGGTGCGGTACTTGAGAAAATGGTTCCATTGCATCGTCAAACTGGCATAATACCAAGCTGGTGAGTACCAAAGTGTATGAAAAGGCACCGTTGTTTTAACCAAAGCCAACTGCCAACTATCCCCGAGTAACCGTGAATACGGAGTACTCAATGATCATTATATCTTTCAAGGTTGTTCGCCAACCACACCGGTACCGTGGGAAATCCACATTGTCATTTTTCGAAGTCCCACCAAACGCTCGTGAAAGCCATGTTCGAACTGCATTGGAGAATGGTCTGCGAGGAGTCGTTAGTGGATGTTCATCCTGAGTCTGTTCATGGAATATTTTCCATAATCTGAGCCTTACCTATTATCATATTCCCCATCAACGCCAGAGAAAGCAAACCCGTCGAATCATCCCTAAGCAGGACTTGGAGGTGGGTTGGGTGGGAAAGGTCGTGGTGAAGGGGGGTCTTGCACAGAGTGGTCACTGGCAGGGATACCTCCGACAAATGTGTACGTCCTGATTGGAGGTAATAAAGTAGCCTGGGAGGTGGAGATGGAGAGGCCTTTGGGAGACATTTTGGCGTGACGAGACGAATTATAATGGGATCGGTGAGGGCTCAGAGTATACTAAGTAGATATATCGAACCTCAGGTACCGGCAATGAAGAACTGTCTGATAGTGAAAGAAACCAATATCCAGGACAGGCTCGAGTGATCTATTTAAGTTCCCAAGCTCCTGAGTAGCTGGCATGGCTCCTCAAGTCGCGCCATTGACAAGTTGTACACCGCCACCTGTTGAGCATCCCAATCCAGGACAGCCATCGACCGTAGCCGTTGCTGTCGACCTTGGGGACGGCTATCCGTGAAGATCTGGCAATATCTCGGCTGGTCTGCAAGGGCCCGCTGAAAGACTTGATGTATAAACCGTTAGACGTACCCGTCCGCTGCCGTATTACTTATTTAGCTGCCGGATGCGAGCATCGGCCGGGAAATAAGACGAAGATCCACTTAGCAGACATCCGTGAGGAATTGCTATAATGTCCCGCGGCTGTAGATCGGTTGCTCTTTGCTCCATTTGCGGAGAGGATTACGGTGAAGTTTCACCAACGCCTGAGCCTTCGGCTTCATGCAGTTTGATCAAGTCGGTTTCACGGGGTATGTTCTAGATGGCTCGTCGGTTTCTGCTTTCCGTTTTGTTTTGTTGGGAAGCTGTGGTATTCGAGGTATATCTTCCCTTGCCAAATGTCCGTGGACACCCGATGTCTCCCGCGTGAGCAGGACTTGATACATGTCAACTTAGAAATCCACAAGTTTGTCACTTCCCGAACTCAGTACTTTAGTATACCCCCACAATGACCATTGTAAGCAAAGCTGCAAGCTGTGATATGCAAGCCATCGAAGCTTCTAGCGGCCGGAAGAGGCAACATGAGGAAAAGGAAGGCAATGTAGAGCACAAGCAAATAAGCCCAAATACCAATCCACGTGGAGGGCTATAGATGGTAAGAAGACCTGTAGACAGTCTCTTGCCTAATCCAGGGGGCAATCTTGTACTATGATACAACTATATTCTCCAGTACTTTACCAAGTCACGGAGATAAAGGTAGCTCAAGTCAACCACTCGCGCCTCAGCCGAGCCTTACCGCTGCACGTTGCCGCGTCAATCACAACTTAAGAAAGTACCGTGCCGTGCTACTACATAGCTCCCAGCTAATAGAAGCTGTTCTGCAGACGCGGGTTTTGCGGAACGACTGTGTTCCGAGGAGATTACCGAATCTTCTCTTGAACGGGTCTTGACCATCTGGAATCGTTGTCTGTGTTTCTCTGCAGCGGAGACATATGTCCCTGATGGGCCGTGCTCAGGGTCTGTTGCGCCGTTCACTACATAATCATCCAGTCCTAAGGTTGTATTATGTTACGTGGCGGAATTTCTGGCCTATAGGACGGGCAGTGGGAGAGTACAAATTTCCCGTTGGTTCAGGCAATGACATTGTTTTCCAGAGAAGGATGTTGCTGGATGGGGGTGGGAAGATCGGAACTGACGCCTTGTATTCATATATCCAAGTCAATCCCCGAGTTTTGTGATGGGAGCATGCAGATGGGAAGCAGTCATAGCCACTTTCTTTTCGTTTGAGCTGGGGTAAAACATCCTGGAATTGGGTCAATGCATATGTTATCATAGTGGACCCTATTGTCGGTTTCAACGGGAATTTAAAGGCCTGGATCCGACACGAATCAGAGTATGCTGTTTCTGAATGGCAGAGACGATACTCTGACCGCTACTGAAGGACTCATATTGCAGGATTCGTGACCATCCCGTTGGGTGTGGGATTCACTTTCGATGTATGCATCGAGCCATGGCAATGTCGGGGGTTTGTGCGTGTGCTGCTTCCAATTACCACAATACTTCTCAGCTGTGGTATGCTTCCACGGCAGGTAGTTACAGCAGTCATTTTGCGTCAGCTTCATCCAGACCGACATACTTCGCAGCAGTGAAAGTCCCGGCCATTCCCGGTCCAGTGGCTTATTTGTATGTCAAGCCAAGTTGGAGTTGAAAGTATCAAGGCTCCAAACTATGGACAGAATCACATTGCAATTATCGTGTCAAATAAGTGTAAGGAAAGCAATGGTGGAATGGTGGACAATCAACATATAACTGGCGGCAGAATCACACCGCCGAGGCCGAATTCTTTGCTTTCCCGCTCAATCACCTCCGAGTGAAACTTGTAGACCACCGACACAATGGCTTTGAACCTTTCTTCCCGAGCGGCCAGGACCGCCTGCGCTGCCTCCAAGATTGCTGCTCGCCCAATTGCGACAGTCATCCCATCGCGCACATACTCAACCGAGCAAACCAACGAAGACAAGCCCCGATGGTCCTACACTCCGACACAGGCAAAGGCACCCTTCAGTCTCCACCTCAACTCCACGCGCCCTGCCTTCCATGTCAACTCCGACCCTGTGCTCTTGGACCGGTTCTACACCCGCTTGTTCGCCAACAATGGCGAGAAGCTTCTGTCCGAGGAGACCAAGTGGCTGGCCGTGACCCATAAGAGCTTCGACCAGGGACGCCGAGGATTCAACGACCGATTGGCCTTCTTCGGCAAGCGCATTGTGCAGCTGCAGGCCTCACTGGCTCTCGCGCAGTCTTCCCCCAAGGGCGGAGTGCCCGGTGAGAACAACACCGATGAGTTTGGTCGCGTGCCTTTCAGCCACCCTGCTCTCGAAGGATTGAACAGCCTGTCCGTCGAGAACAAGAACATTCTCACCGATCGTACCAAGCTCGCTGAACTCGCAAAATCGTACGAGCTCCAAACGGTCCTCAGATGGAGTCCCCGCAAGGTATTGCCCCCTCCCAAGCCCTATGTGTTCCAATCTTAATCCTCTCCAGCCCGACGACCTCCGCGCATCCGGCATTGACCTCGTTCTCTCGCATACCCTCTACGCTATCCTTGGTGCCCTCTCCCTCGAGCAGGGGAGTGTGGTTGCTGCTAAATTCGCCCGGGAGCGGATACTGACACCCCTGGGACTCAAGCACTTGAAGTAAGGACTGCGACTCGAGGCATAGATCTCGCAGCATTTGCAGGGCGTTTTGTTTGATATTTCCACTAGTGGTAGGTTGGCCTGGACGGGAACCTCTACGACTGTACATGTATTTTTAAACCGACTTGTCTTTTCTATAACTTTCTGCTTATACAGCCCAATACCACTGGAATTTAAAGACTTCAGAAGATATTATTGCAAAAGTGATCCATTGATACTAAGAATATATTGTAGAAGATGTATGTACGGTCCCTCTGACACCGCCCGAGTAACAGCGAAAGTACTCGGCCAGTTCTTATGGGACCCTCTCGAAAGATCGTAGTCTCCGCGCCTCTGTATCGCAAGGTAGTAATTAAAACACTACAGAACTCTGACAGAATGCCAGAGTATCTGTAGAAAATCACAAGGACTTTGTACTGCCTTGAACTGTCTATTGGGAGCGTTGAAGAAAAGAAAAAAAAAGAAGACGAGAAAAATTTCCGCCGCTTTTTATGGGCCAATTTATACGCTAGTCTCCTTTGGGACTGGCGTGCTATCTGGGACATGCGGGCATCACCAACAATCAACTTGGGCCCTGAGGTTCATTCATCGGTCTCACTTCTCTGCTTCATTTCTGGTCAAGAATGCTGCAGTAAAGCGCACAAGCTGGCTTTGTCGTTCCTTTCTTTTTTTGACTCCCATCCGAGACCAGATCACCAATATCGCCCGAGTCACCTATTACCCCCATTGACACGTCATGGCGTCCGCACTCTTCTTCCTCGACCTGAAGGGCAAGGTAAGCTTGTGGACATCTGGAGATTGATGGGGAGGGCATCTTGTGCCTGATCAATCGCCAATGCGTCGAGGAACATACCCCCGCTGACCATCTATAGACCCTCTTGGCTCGCAACTATCGCGGAGACATTCCCATGTCCGCAGTCGAGAAATTCCCTATCCTCCTGAGTGACGCCGAAGAAGAAAGCTCGGCAGTGCCTCCCTGTTTCTCCCATGAGGGAATCAACGTGCGTTCCGACCAAGACCCTCTCCTCCTGAGTCCCTCCTTTTGTGCGCATCGACTGACACAGGGGTGTCTGCTTCTAGTACCTTTATATCCGCCACAGCAACCTCTATATCCTCGCATTGACCAAGCGAAACACAAATGCCACCGAAATTCTACTCTTCCTCCACAAGTTGGTGGAGGTCTTCACCGAGTATTTCAAGGTGCTGGAGGAGGAGAGTATCCGGGATAACTTCGTGGTGATCTACGAATTGTTGGACGAGATGATGGATTTCGGATACCCCCAGACCACAGAGACCAAGATTCTCCAAGAGTGCGCATTTTGGACCTTTCTTTTGAAGGGTGAAACATGGCTGACACCCTTTGACCAGATACATTACCCAAGAATCACACAAGCTGGACGTCCAAGCACGACCACCCATCGCCGTCACAAATGCCGTCTCCTGGCGTAGCGAGGGGATACGCTATCGCAAGAATGAAGTCTTCCTGGATGTGGTTGAGTCCCTTAACTTGCTGGTTTCGGCAAACGGAAATGTCCTCCGTTCTGAGATTCTGGGTGCAGTTAAGATGAAGTGTTATCTCAGTGGAATGCCAGAGTTGCGATTGGGGTTGAACGACAAAGCCATGTTCGAGACTACTGGTCGTGCCACGCGAGGCAAGTCCGTCGAGATGGAGGATGTCAAATTCCACCAGTGTGTGCGACTTTCTCGTTTTGAGAACGACCGGACCATCAGTTTCATTCCCCCAGATGGTGAATTCGAGCTCATGAGTTACCGATTGAACACACAAGTCAAACCTCTGATTTGGGTGGAGTGTGTGGTTGAATCACACTCAGGATCCCGAGTCGAATATATGCTCAAGGTAAGATTTGCAGTATTTCAAAACGAAAAATGGATCTAATCCCCTCTCCAGGCCAAGGCCCAATTCAAGCGCCGCAGCACAGCCAACAACGTCGAGATTCTCGTTCCCGTCCCCGAAGACGCAGACTCCCCGCGCTTCCGCACTAATATCGGAACCGTACACTACGCCCCAGAGAAGTCAGCCATCATCTGGAAGATCAAGCAATTCGGCGGCGGCAAGGAGTTCCTCATGCGCGCTGAGCTAGGCCTACCATCAGTCAAGGGCGACGATGAGCGCGGCGGTGGTATGACCGGTGGATTCGGAGGTAGCATGGGTGGTGCTGGAAGCATGGGCAAATCCAAGCGACCCATCAACGTCAAGTTCGAGATCCCTTATTTCACAACTAGTGGTATCCAGGTGCGGTATCTGAAGATCACTGAGCCAAAGGTATGTCATTCTACTCGTCTTTGGGTCCATTACTCACATCTTTTAGCTGCAATACCCATCCCTCCCCTGGGTGAGATACATCACACAGTCCGGCGACATTGCCATGCGTATGCCGGACGTTCAATGAACACACCCGCATTGATTCTGTACAGCCCTTGTTATCTTTTGCTCCCATTTCACGCTTCCTTGAGGCCGGCCGGTCCGATAGATAATCAATTTTCTTCATTGTTCTTTTTTGCCTGGGGTATAGACGGTTTAGATTGGTATTGTGCCTGGATTGAACGGATACATGCGAGCCACCTACGTACTTGTTTCTTATACTACAGAACACGGCATTCTATCCCAGCACTGCCCCAGTTTTCCAATATCCGCTGCCTCCAGGAAACTCCTCTGTCTCTTAATTCTCAACAACACTTCATATGTGTGAGGATTGTCCAGGTAACACGTCAAAATGGTATAAATCCCCTCAATGTTGACAGAAAGGGGTATATAGCGTCTCAAGCTGAGATACTTGCGAGGATTGCGTCGCTGACCACCTTCTGGCATAGGCCCCAAATCGTAGTCCGTGGCCACTCTGTACCCAAGTTTCACTGCCAGCTTTTCAGAAAGAATGCCAGCCAATGGCTCTCCATTAATCAGGGATCGTGGCTGCCCCCAGTTCTTCTCTGCAGATGTCACCTGGTGCAGCTTGAATTGTCTGTTGTCGTCCACTACCGCAATTTCAATATTTCGCAGACTTGATGGCCCATGGGAGGGAGATGTGCTTTGACGCCCTGGGTGATGTTTTCCCAGTACAGTCACTTTGAGTGAGTTCTCCGGTATTGGATCAACGCTGACTTTCCAGTTTTGATACATGTAATAGCGGCCTAACATCTGGAGTATTGCTTCGATCCTCGTCCAGGGATCGGTACGATTCTGCACACGGTCGATTATATCGTAAATTGTGGTTGTTGGCCAAGCTATTCTGAGGATGATTGCAAGGGAATGAATCGAGGGCGGGACTGGGGATATAATATAGGGCAAAGAAAGTGCTCAAGTGGAACATGCATCAAAGATCAAACCACGCTAGGAACTTACCCTATAGTACACATTTGTGTTATGCATATCCACAATGGCCTTTGATGCACAGCCAAGAGTTTCCGTATTTTGGAAGGCCATAGAGATCAAGTGGGTTGACAGCCTACTGGGGTTCTATTTGGTCGAGCTTTTCTACCTCAAATATCGCTGTTTCTAGAAGTATGCCCAGAGTCAAGTTGATGCGGTTTCAGTCCTGGTTCAGACTCCCTGAGTAGCTCCAGCTAGGGCCGTACACCTAGTATAAGAAAAGAATTGCCCGGCAAGTGAGTTGGACATTCATTGTTTTCTAGGTAGTTGACAACAACTTTAGAAACAGTAAGGTGGCCTACTATCCTTATTTGAGCATTCAAATTTTCTGCAGCAGCTGAATGATACTTAGATTTACTCTTAGAATCAATAGCCCAAGTGAATGCTGTTCTGCCATCATTATCCTTTGCTTCAACTACCGCGACCTGTGAAGAAGCAGTTCAAGAATAGGACTGTTTGCAGACAGAACAGCCCGAACCAGAGGTGTCTGACCCGAGTGGATTCGCCGTTCGATTGCCTCGTCTCGGTCGAGTAACAGTTCAACAATAGACAAGAGGTCTTGCGTGATAGCCTACAATAGCCATCGAATCATGCCAAATATTTTTCCGGTTAGATCTTTCTCCGCCTCCTTGAAAGGTGGATCCTTTTCTTCGGTGAATTGCTCCCAGATTTCATGTATATCCGAATACGAGATGTTCATCATCGGCGCCTGGTCGATCATCATCCTGACAGTCGGCACGTTACTGCTCTTCATGGCTAGCTCAAACAGCGTCCTTCCGGAGCCATTTATCGCCTCAGCTGTCGCGCCTCGGTCGAGGAGCATTTTGACAATAGATGAATTTCCCCTCTCAACAGCCAATGATAATGGTGTTTTTCTTTTTGTGATAGGATCTGATCCCCTGCACCATGTGTAGTCCTTTGAGCAGTCTAGACATAACGTCGTACTTTTTATGGCTCCTTCAACATCAGCTCGAGCCATCAATATCCACAACTTCTCATCATCTCCTTCCCAGGCCGCTCGTGAAGCTAGTTCATAGGCAAATTCAAGCGAAGGATTGGTAGATTTCCCCAAGAAGTCGTCAAGAAGGATCTCCGAATGAAGGGCCTGCGAGTCACCAGGTGTTGCCTTCTGCGCATGTGCGAGGTGACGGGCTTGGACACATATCTTCCTCATGGGATATCGCCATTTTGTGCTGTTCGGTTTGTTAACAAATTCGAATGTTGTCGTCGAAACTCTGGTGAATATTTGCATTGTCAAGAAAATATCCTGCACGTAGAGAGCAATCAATCTACTATCACCGCCATTTTCTTGACATTCCAGAATCGCAAGCCCTAGACCACTAGGACCCACACCCATGAAGTGAACTTCAAGATGGATCCCTTTACTGCTCACTGTCGGAGGATTGGGGCTCTGGAAATTCCCGCACCTGACGATATTGTGGGAGCCAGCGAATGCAGCTGGAGAGCGAGCAAGAAGCCCATTGCCCTGCTCGGATCTCCACGCAAAGAGACTGTGGTCGTCCGAGGTCCGTAGGATCTCCTCCTGAAGTCTGATGAACGCACGCTCTCTTTCCCCGTAGATCAACGGCATATTAATACCAAAAATCCCCATCAAGGAATAAGCGCGGTCCTCAACTCTAGATGTTTGTCTCTTTGCCGCCCAGGACATCCTCTGCGCAACGCTAAACGTTTCGAGATTCTCAGTCCCATCCAGAATACCGATCGGAATGCCTGTGCAATCAGACACGATTTGTTCAAGATCTAAGTCATCATCTATCTCCCTCCAATTTTCATCGAGGAATACCACTTCCGACGGGGCAATCAGCTCCTGCAGCGTCCAACCTCGCGTGAACCATCTGCTCTCAGAAAAGCTTTTCGCAGACGGTACATCTTCAAGGTATACGTAGCAGACCACGGATTCTTGATACCAATGGTACATGGAGTTGATTGCTTCGGATAGTTCTGCGCTGCTTGTCTTGTCGATGCAGCAGGTGTCTATCCAAACAAAGTCGAAGCCTCCGTCTTTTGCTTTCGCACAGCACTTTTCGATCTTGTCATAACCTTTCTTGAGTCGAGCTTCGGGCGTGTTTATTTCTTGCAGGGAAAGTTCCTCTTTGCCCCAGGTATGCGATAGGATCGCGTAGGGTGGGATGTCGGCATCGTTGAATTCTTTTATCTCTAAGTTGCCGTTGGAGATAGTCGTACTCAGTAGACGCATTGTTGGAACTGACACTGAAGGGCGAGTATTTTCTTCCGCGTAAGTTCTTTGATAACTCAGACCCTTTGCAGGATAGTCGCGGGGTCTTTAAAGGGTCTTTAAAGGGTCGCGAAGAGTGCCCAGGTGGGGTTGACACGTCAATGCTCAGCAACCCGGGTGAAAACTGCAGATGCAGCTCGTAATAAGCTGTACCGGTTCTCACATGCAGGGGAAGAGCTTCGTGACGGTTCCGTTGACTCGAACTCGTGTCCTTTCCGTAAGGACGTTTTGTACTTTCCTTCTATATCTTGGAGTTGCTTGTAGGCACGGAGAACCCTTTCCACCTCAGGCGTCTGCAGAATGTTTTTGGCGGATCGTATCAGCCATGGCAGCTAGTGCCTGGATGTTCTGGAATTCCACCATGTTCATCTCTTCCATTAACTGGAGCATATTAGGTGCCCTTTCCAAACATTTACCGGTGGACATTGTTGATATATCAGGAAGCATAGATTGAGGAGAGAGGAATAGAAAGAGGAATAGAAAGAGGAATAGAAAGAGGAATAGAAAGAGGAATAGAAAGAGGAATAGAAAGAGGAATAGAAAGAGAAAGTAGCTTGAGAGCAACCAAAAGACTTATTCACTTAATATCATACTATGTCTTTTCACTCTACATTAAACAGGAATCAAATCAACTTCACTTCACTTTCTATAGTCTTTTCCTTTTTCTTTTCAATCATCTCATCCTTCAACCTATTTATCTTTCCTTTCAACCCCATCTCTTCTTCCTACCATTTCGTCTTCCAAACATCTCGTCTTTTCAGACCACAAAGACCATGGCAAACAGAATAACATGGGGAACTTCCCCCTTGCCACCTTTACAACCATCTGCGATTTTGGGGTGCCCGTTATTTAAGGATATCCGGTCGCCTGAACAGCCTCTATTTGTCCCATTTTACGGCCTGAGTCATCTCCGCCCTCTGCTTGCCGCCCCGGCGCCTGTAGCCAGGGGTGGAGATCGCCACTCCACCTCACCCGATTCTCGGACCTGACGCCAATTTGACGCGGCCCCAGGACCAGTCTCCCACCCTCTTTCAGACCAACATGGCCAAGCGTACCCGCGCCAAGCGTACCCGTGAGCTTCCCACTCACGGGCCCCCTCCGCTTGCAGAAGATGACAGTGTCACGGCTATTGTTAGGCGCCACAATGAGGAAATTCAACGCCAGTTGGAAGAAGCCCAGCGCCTCTTCGAGAGGAAGACAGCACTACTCTTGGGATTTGCGAAGCTGGTAGACCGCTTTGTCGCCAGTCAAAAGGACCCTCTCGATAGAGCCAATGCCGAATGGATATGTGGCTCAGTCCTCGCATATCTCTCAACTAAGACCTACGTCGATAACGACGGCGCGAGCTACGTACCACTCCATCTGCGCAGCGACCCGACTTCCGGCACCTCTGGAGAAAAATCTTCACCTCACAACCATCAGCTCCCCAATGGCACTACCCAAGAAAGGGAAAACCGTGCTTCGCAGCATCAAGCTGCCCCAGAGGCGATGCGCCTAAGTTCAAAGATTGAGAGTGATGGTCATATGCCTTCTCCCGTATATACTACCTTTCCTTGTGTGCTGTCGGAAGCAGTGAATTTCAACTCCGAACAGTACCCAATTTTGTGGACAAGAAGCAACCCATGATATTCCCACGTACATCTTCCACGCAAAGTCCAAAGGGCTCATTAACCCTGGCATCATCACGGTCAGACAAGCATACACCATCAACAAAGAGATACTGTCTCATTGCAAACCAATATATCACGGGGAACATGCTGGGTGTCAGACAGCTAACAAATGCGCTGATGTTAGGAGCACGAGATGCACATGACTCGGGCTGTGGCAAGCACAGAAAGAGAGCGAAACGGAGCGGTAAGATCACCCTTTACTATGGATCTACTTCAGAATAGCATTGCAAATTATGGGCCAACTAATATTATCTATGTGCAGCAAGACCGAGGGGTCAATGGTCACAGTGTGCCGCAAAATGGCTCCCAGGTCCGTGGACGTGGGCGTCGCCGATGCAATCGAGGACCCCGAGGAACCGAAGGAGGTCAAACCAGGGCATCCAGTGCTCTCGAGGCTGAAACGAACAGCCGTGGGGGCTTCGGCCGGGGTAGACCCCAACGTGGTGGAAATGGACATCGACATGGTGGACGGCATGGACTTGGACCACGGACTCGTGGTGAGCCGAGTCGTGGGGCATCCCGCACTGAGCCCAGTCATCTACTGAATGGCCATGGAGCCTTTGGTGGCCCCGCACTGAGTGGCCGTGGTGAGCCTCATCATGGGCCAGGGCCTGTTCACGACGAAGATGGACAAGGTCGCCGGCACGGTATACACCTTGTCAATGGTGTGAACGGCACAGGGACCAGCAACAGGACCGAAGAAAGCGAGGGCACAATCATTCGAGGGAGAACATGTGAACCACATTGAGACCGAGGCCAGATGGTGCAGGGGATCAGATCCTATCACACAGAGATGGACCCCACTATCGATGACTGTTGAGAGGGGAAATTCATCTACTGTCAAAATGCCCCTCGACCGAGGCGCGACAGCTGTTGAGATCTATCGGCAAAGAGAAAGGAACGGAGAGAACCGACTGAATTCACTGCGGGGAGAGAGAGAGAGAGAAGGGAGAAGCTAGGAAGCTGGGAACTATCTACGTATGGGGGTTGAGACGAACTCCCTACACAACCACAGCTGAGGCGATAAATGGCCCCGGAAGGACGCTGCTTGAGCTAGCCATCAAGAGCAGAAACGAGTTGACTGGATATCCCAAGATGGATATTCCTCATGACAACAAAGCCAATCAAATACAACTCAATACGGTCTACAGTAACTAATACTCATCGCTACGGCCGAGATAGTTACAGAGCTGTAGACGCTCCACACTGCGTACTTTAGGGCAACAGGGGACCCTTCACACAGTCGGGATAGATCCCATTCGCTGTACACTCGATTCGATCTTCGTAAACGAGCCTATCGGATTGCATACCTGCGTTGATCATAGACTAGACTGATCATACACACCGACAGACATGTATACTTGTAAATAGGTAACTAACTACTCGTACACATGACTCACTAGTCCCGCATCAACTCACTGCCGAATCCAGCAAGATCGGAGACCCGCAATGAGCTGTCAAAGATGCAAAGTACGAATCTGATATCAGAAGGATCCACGATCGGCTGTAACCTTGAAACCCACCGAGTTGGGCTATTGTCAGTCGGTCTTGGGCGTAGTACGAGTAGGTACGGAGTACTCCGTACGGAATGTAATCGGATGAGCTAGGGAAACTTAGCTACGAGGATACTTCAATATTAGAGAGATCAGAGCAGAATACAATATTGATTTGGTGTATTCTGAGAATTCAGATTTAACCCAAAGGCCAAAGAAAAGAAAATTCCACAAAACAGGGTATCTCAATTCTCAGAAAGATTCAGAAAAATGGAAAAAGAAGAGAAAATAAAGAAGAAAGAAGCACATGCATACACGCCTCGGCGCCATTTATTAACCAAAAATCATAAGGGTCTTTCCCCTATACACATCATGCGGTACCGTTCCCGTTGGAATCGTCCAATGACTCCGGCGGGGGAAGAGGGAAGCCGTCGCCGCCTCCACCCGCTGCTGCTTTGGAGAAGCCTTCGCGGGCGAGCATGGTGTTCAACACGGCGCAGTTGTAGGATGCTTCGCCTGGGGGCACGACAAGGAAGATATAAGTGTTATCTGTGAAGCGACCGAGGAAGATATTGAATTGCGGAGTTTTGGTATGCATGACCACGAAGCCAGCAGAGGCAGGTGTGGTGAGGGTATTTCTGGCAGCGCAGTGCTTGAAGGCCTTCATGATATTGGAGAGACGTTCATGGCGATCGTAGATGGGGTTTAATTCGCCGACTTCGGAAGTCACGGAGGTGACTGTGAGGAAAGTCGAGCGCTCAAAGAGAATGACTTCCTCTGCGTTGATCTTCTTTGCGAACGCTGTGAGGAAGCGTTCAATGACGACCAGGTTTGGGATGAGCTTGTGGACGATGCCGGCCCAGGCCTTGTACAGCGATTGATCCCAGATGCTGGAGGCGAAGGTGTCGACGTAGAAACCGGCCGAGCGGCTGCGGATGACGGCGGAGCGTTCTTCGTAGATGCGTTGGCGGTGCTCTGCTTGGATGAGATCCATCTTGTGGACGAGACAGAAGACGTAGGCGTTTGGACTGAATTCACGGAGTGCTTCGATGATCGCGTGGTATGTGTCGAGGTCACGGTCGACCTCGCGGGATTCAATGTCGAAGACGTAGATTAAGACTGCGACGTCTGAGAAGATGTTACCTCTTTGGGAAGCGAGGTACGTTTCCATGAATGCATCTTGTCTGAACGGAATTGGTCAGTGAGGGCTCTAAAGACAATGACAAGGTAGATCTCACCCTCCACAATCCCACAGATTCAATGTGAGGTTTCCCATGAACTTGACATGGCTGTGTTCCACATCAATTGTAGCGCCGAGGCGCCGTACATCCTTGGCGACATAGTTGCTGAAGATGATTGAGCGCATGGACGACTTCCCCGATCCACTTTTGCCCATCAACAGCACCTTTCTCTTCTTCTTCCGAGCATCCATCATGTTGGTGCTTGCTTGGGGTCGCCGTTAAGCTCGGATGCCCCGCTCTTGCGGGGACAACTCGGGTCGATCTGTGAGAGGCAATTCAATGCGTGCAATGCGCCGAGAGAGTAGGTAGGTCTCAATTGCTAGTTAGAAGCTCAAAGGGACATTCTCCTGTCTGAATGGGATTGAAGATGGGGGAGATAAGAAGGAAGAAGCTCCAGCCTCTAATTGCGGAGAAAGCAGCACGTGATATTGATGTCACGTGATTTGACATGGACGTCCATTCGGCCAGGGCGTGGACAAAGGAATGGTCAATTGGAGGTAATTAGCGAGAGAATAGAGGGTTAACTACTTAAGTATTCCTTAAACCCTATGTCACCAGATAGTGTATTCATGCAGACTGCGGACTTGAGAACTATGAGGATTCCGTACCTCAGAGCTCAAAAACGGGATGACGTGGGTCTCCATAATATGTGATCCGATGATCATTTCAAGTACATCTAAACATCTATAAATATTTCATTTCGAAGTAATCGTAGTATGTACAGCCCGAAAGCTTCAAATATTCATTCATTCATCCGAAAATAAGAACCGAATGGTATAACATTAAAAAAAAGTAGAGGGTATTAGAAGACAGTGCCGTCAGATCGTATCATGATGGGAGGTTCCTTGGTGTTGGGTCTGGAGACTTCTGCAATTTCGCGTCCACCCTGTGATTGTTAGAAATTGTTCAAAAGTGTTGCTTCAGAGACTTGGCTCACCTTCCAGGTTCCAGCCTCAAGCATTTGTGCAAGAGAAAGTTGTTCGTCGGACCCGCTGAGCCCCAATTGAGAGTTGACCTCGTCTAAGAGGTCATCCAAGAATCCAACAGTAACCGCGCGCCATTCGACAATTACATCGTCGTCGGCGGAGAACAGCGGAGCAACTTCGACGTTTGGTTGGCCCTTGATCTGCGCATTCTCTTTATATGCGTCGATTCCGCGCTGCATGTCGTGCGGTTTGAGACTCAACAGTCCTAAATCGACTAGGAGGCCTCCGTTGCGGTATTCTGGAAGTCCAGTCAAAAGGTCGCTGCCGGCGAAGTGAATGTGCATCAATTTGGACATAGGAACCATAATCGAGTAGCAGAGCCATTGTGTGAGCTTGTGGAAGGGGACGATGCTTTCCCACTGCTGTGCGGGTGGTGATTTCGGGAGATCTGAGCATTTCCATGCATCTCCAATGGGCACGCCGTCAATCTGTGTTCGTGAGGGTGGCCAGATAGGAGCAAATCCATCCATTAGCACAGACCACAATGTCGTGATCGGCACAATCGGAACAGACGAAGCCAACGTGGACGGATGACCCAGAAGATAATCTAGAATGGTAATTAGCACAATTTCGCAACGCAGTCTGCAAATCCCACCTAGCATATTCCCCGGTCGAGCATCCACACCGAAGAAGTCCTGATTGTTCAGCGCCTCGGAAAGCCGCACCAACAGTCCTGCGCGCCCTTCAATGCCCGCCAATGGATTCTGCTCTGAATGCTGCATCCCCTTCGCCAGGACATCTGTCGTAATCTTCTTCAACCCCGCCCCATCAACCTGACACGGTTCCGTCGGATCGCTACTGAACAGTCCTGACTTGAACATTTCCAGACTCGCCACAGCCAGGCCCTCACTCCGTGAATAGACCTTGCCAGACTCTTTCGATCGATACGACCATTTATTCCCGGCACCTGCATCCAGCAGCACCGAGACGACAAATAAGTCGATTAACCGGCGCGTTCGCTCCTGCGCATCAATGCGACTCGGCCACGACTGCAGAAGCTGATTTATGCGGGGTCTCCCGCCGATATCGAAATGTTGCCAGCGGCCATGGGGTGGAATGTCCCCGTAATCCGGGGCGTAGTCTCTCTGCGCAAGTTAGTTAGACCTTCAACTTAGAAGTGGCTTGGACTGGCGCACCTTAATGATTGAGACGACGTAGGAGGCAGTGGCCTCGAATTTGGTCATGTCGACATCGAAGTGTTGGAGGGTGTTGGCTTTCGCTTTGTTTAAAATTATGGTGGAGCGCTCGCGCACTGCATGGATGCTGCGTAGATATGCGGCTGGATCTAGTGCCGGGTCTGGTGGTCTTGCGATGGGCAATTCAGGGATTGAGGCTGGTAGTCCACTGCCTTTGTATCCTGGTGATCGCAGGGATGTATTTGAATTTCGGGCGCTATTGACGGAGACGAAGGATTCATTTTCCTCTCTTTCGGAGGCTTTGGAATTGCGCTTGAAGAGCCCCATGGCGGTTAGGGGGTGAATTAGGGAGAGAAGACTTCGATACAGATGGTTTTTATTTTTTTAAGGCGGGGCTGGACCTAAACTGTTTTTGTTCTCTAAACATTGAGAGTCTGGAGCCCTGTTTTTTTGGTTTTTTGGATTGTCATTTTCATTTTTCATTTTTCTCGTTTTGATTATTTCCCCTTATTCTGTTTTTGTTTAGTTGGTTTAGTTTAGATCGAGGGCAAAAAGGCCGAAAGGCAGAATCCACTCCTAGTACTTTGGTTTATAGAGGGCGCATGTATCCGACAATACATTGTGTTAGTAGTAACTTAGTACAAGGGAGCAAGTATAAACAATACGGACAGTGCGCTTAGTAAAAGGAATATCAACACAATAAGCAAACAATAAGCACAAAACAATCGAATCGAAACCAATTCAAAGAAATAGGGGGTAAAAAAACCCAATAAAAACCCAACACCCGGGCCGCAGGGTGGTACGTGTATAGATCGCTAGCTCGGATATCGATCAGACCTTCCCCTATTGAGTATACAGACTAGACGAATAGAGCCCGTTTACGCACATAAAATCAGTTCTGGCCCAAAGCACGGACTGGCGTACCGTTCAAAAAGGCACATCCACTTTTTAGCGACGTCAATCTTTCCCGGGTCCTTTTCGCGATCGAATCTCGGTGAGTATCCGGTTCATTGTTTGGGTCGACATAAAGCTATTGTAGCTAGCTCGGGGTGATGTGCCCTGTAGCAGTCACTACCTAGGCAACTAGGGTTTGTAGTCACTTAATAGGGTTAGGAAGAAAAACCTGGATTCTCAATTTCTCATACAGTAAAAGCTCCGGATACTTCAAGTACCGGGTCATCATCCGGTATCAGAGCTCAGCACATGCAAGTACTAGTTAACTAACTACTTGTACACAAGTGCTCAGAACTAAGAACTAAAGACCCCGACAATACATCAAGCTCAAAGTCCGTGGTTTCAGGTCCGTATGGGGCCCTTCCGGAATTACTCGAGGGCATTCTAGACTCCATTCGGAATGCCAAAGGGCAATTGGTGAACAGTGCATTTAAACCTCCGAAAGGATCCATGACGTTGGAATCCTTTTCATATGCTTGTCTCATCTCCCGGCAAAGCACGGGCCGTCGTTTCACATTAACTCGAGTATTTGTTAGTATTTCCGTACTCCATACTCCGTACTGATGAGTAGACTGTACTCGGAGTACACTCTCCTCTGTCTTCCGGACCAACCGGCTCTTAGGTAAGTAAAAAGCGGAGATCTGAATTTTCATTTCTCTTCCCGACACTGTTGGAATTGACTTTGCGTGGGGACGGAGGTCTCCGCTGACATTGGACTGGGCCTGATTAGTGTCTAGGCGTGCAGGAGCAGGGGATATGCACTGTGACAGTGCACTCGAACGACTGCACCTGGCTGACCCATCACTTAAGTACCAATTAGCAGGAACCTTTATGACGAGTATATCATACTGGTATAGCTTCGTCTTTGATCGTCAATAGTCCGGACTCTAACTACTCCGTTATGGACAAGTAGTACCCGATTATTACGGAGTACAGTGCCAATCCATCGACACGTCTGACAGAACCCACAGAACCGACAGAACCGACAGAACCACTCCATATGCACGGATCACTGTGTAGTGCTACGTTGGTATGATCATCTCAACCCCAGCCCTCATAAAGCATATTCAAATAAGATTGCCCCTGACAGTTTGGCGCCTCGACACGAAAGACGCCCCCTTTCGTATAGCACCCGCATTTGGGGCAAGATAGACATTGCCGTACCAATCCCAGGGCCGAGGGATAATAAACGCCTGCCACTATCGTACCGCGCTCCAATTTTGCGGCAGATCCTCGGATCGTTCAGTCTATCATAGGCTATTGGAGAGAGGGTAACTGAGCTTTCACCACCTCCAGATCCCATAGGTCAGGTCTTTGCCGATTAGGGCCAGGCGCTGATGATCCCTTCGGCTACTGACCCGCGCACACACGTTCGATCTAGCTTTTTGCCGCCCTGAGGGGCTGTGGCAGGTGGGGGTGGCTTGAGGACAGCAGAGATAAGATGCCTGGAGAGGACTTGAGAGCTGCTGATCTATTGGGCATTTGAAATTGTGAGACAGAGATCAACATGGCATTGGGGCTGTTCCTCAGGTATCTCTCACTAGTTACTCGTATATGAGAATACTCCCTTATTGCATGTGAACTTTGGTTGAGATATAAAGTGACATAAAGTGAGAGACAAAGTGAGAGATAGGACACAAAGCATGGCGCCTTACGCACTACAAAGGGGTATAGCGGCCATTCTCGGAGTGCATTTTGCCGTTGCTGGTAGGATCCTAAGTGTACTGTGGTTGAAAAGGCGGTGGAAAACGCGGTCGAAAGATGGTCGACAGAGGTCTAAAAGGCAGTTGGTAATTCCGGCAAAATGCATAGCATCCGATGGCCGCTATATGATGGCCACTATACAGCTTCGCAGTGGCTAGACCGCCCTAGTGCATTTTGCCATGACATAATCTGGATTCCCCCACATGCAGGGGGCAACGGTGTTCTGCATCTCACAGACGTTGGGATGGAATTGCCAATTCAGTTTGGGTAAACTTCTCCGTTACAACTCCGTGCGCAAAACTCACGATGGACGACCTCAGTGGCCTGAGCTGGTCCGACGCCAAGAGTAAACCACCTCCTATGAGCTCTGGCTACCTGTTCCCAACTGTGCCATCAAATGGCGGCTCCGGCAGGTCAACTCCGCTATCCACTCCCTCGAACCGGTCCAATTCCCCCGCGAAGCCCGCTACATCAACAGGGGATAGTTTCGCAAACTTAGTCTCCTTCAACTCCTCCGCAGCGAGTAAGAGTCTGTCCCTGGCGGAACAGCAAAAGCGCATGCAGGAAGAAAAGGCCAAGAAAGAAGCCGATAATCGCAATCGCCTGGAATCGCAGTATGGTGGCCAGAATAATCAGTTCTGGGATACCTTCGAGCAAGGGCGCACGCAAAGCCCAGCCATACCTGCGTCTCGGTCTGTGCCGCCCGCAGAAGACGATGATGATATCTTGGGCGCATTCAGCGCTGATGCGCCAGTGGATGCTTCAACCCATTTTCCAGTCCCCGCATCGGCGAGGGCCTCGCCCGCAATTGCTACCAACAGTCGCCCGGGGCCTCCCAGTGGAGGAATAGCGATGCAGGACAACACAGGAGGGTTGGATGCATTTGAGGATGATGATCCATTTGGACTCAACCAATTAAAGCCAAAGTCTGCACCAGCTCCAGCCCCGCAACAAGTCGACGATGACGATTTCCTTGGCCTACTAGGCAAGCCAGTATCGGAGATTCCTCGTCAGCAACCCAGTCCCGCCCCTGCGCCGACCATCTCGCCTGATCATGACCGAGAGCAGGATGCTTCACCCATGCCTTCGAACGAAGTCGATCGAGCCATTGCAGAGTTGGTGGATATGGGTTTCCCCGCGGACAAATCGCGCAGGGCCCTCAAAACAACCCAGTCAGGGACTGATGTTCAGGGTGCTGTTGGCTGGCTTTTGACTCAGGCCCATGCCGAATCTCGCCAGAAGACCGATGGACGCGCCAATGATCGCCCCGCAGAGCGAAGCGAAAGAAGTGACAGTCGGAATCGCGATAGGCCCTCCTGGATGAGGGAAGAATCGCATGGATCCCGTTCGCGCGAGGATAGACGGAGTCCAGCATCAGCGGATAAAGACCCTGCTCAAATGGCTGCGCAGTTCGGCAACAACTTCCTTAAGCAGGCTGGCTCACTTTGGAAGACTGGTAGCAAGAAATTCCAACAAGCGGTGAATGAGTTTAATCATGAACATGACCCCAGCCAACCTCGATGGATGAAAGAGGGAGTTCCTCAGCAGGATGAGCTTCCCTCACAACCCCAACGACCTCGCGGCGAGCAGCAGACCCAGTCCCAAGTGCAGCAAGACTTCACAAACGAAGCTCTGCTTCTTGAGTCTGGCGATGGCCGCCCTCAGAAACCAACTCGGTCTCGCGAAAATCAGCGCCCGGACCCTAGAAGCCAGCCCAGGGACCAGCAGCATCCTGGTCCTGCTCAGCCAAAGCAGCAAGGCAACTTCCTCGAGCGTCCATCTCGACCAAGCTCTCAGGATCCCAGATCCCGGGTTTCTCGATTCGCTGCAGAGGAGCAGCAGGCCCAAGCCTATGTTAGCCCGGCGAGGCGCAAGCGGCCTCAAGCCCCTCCTGCCCCTGAACCCGCAGTTGACCTGTTCGATTCTCCGGCTCCTGTAGCCAGTCGACCCAAGCCATCGGCTCCTGCACAGACCTCCACTCCGGCGCGCTCGACACCCATCCCCGTGCGCCCCAAGGCTCCAACCCGATCCATCCCACCATTGTCCCAACAGGCGCTTCAATCCACACATCGCCACCGCGGTAAAGCGGCAGATTCATACAAGCGTGGTGACTATGCAGAGGCACACCAGAGCTTCTCCACAGCTCTCGGCATGCTCCCGGAAAAGCACCCCATCACCATCATCATCCGTAGCAATCGTGCCATGACAGCTCTCAAGATCGGCGAGCCCAAGTCTGCCGTCGAAGATGCCGACATCATCCTCACTTTCATCGGACCTTCTAAAGGCGAGTCTGAAGTAATCGATCTCGGTAACGGCGAATCCCCCAAACCCATGAAAGACTTCTACGGCAAGGCCCTCATGCGCAAAGCCGAAGCACTGGAACAGCTTGAACGCTGGGGCGACGCTGCGCAAGCATGGAAAGACGCCGTCGAGTCCGGCCACGGCGGTAGCACCAGTATCCAGGGCCGGAACCGATGCGAGAAGGCCGCTGGCACTAGCAAGCCCCAACAACCTGCCCCTCGCAAGCGGCCCACTCCTGCCCCCAAGGCATCTGCCCTGTCGGCTCTCGCACCAACCTCAGCCTCAGGCTCAGACTTTGAGTCCGTGAGTCGTCTGCGACAAGCCAACCAGGCTGCTGAACGCGCAGACGAAGAGAAATTCGCACTATCAGAGAGCGTGGATGCCCGAATCGCAACTTGGCGCAACGGAAAGCAAGACAATCTGCGTGCGCTCCTCGGCAGCCTCGACTCCGTACTCTGGCCTGAGGCCGGGTGGAAGAAGATTGGCTTGTCGGAACTGGTGTTGCCGAACAAAGTCAAGATTCAGTACATGAAGGGGATTGGCAAGGTGCACCCTGACAAGGTATGTTTCTTTCAATGATGTTGTTAACATTCACTAATCCATTCAGATCTCCACGACTGCCACTACCGAACAGCGTATGATTGCTGGCTCGGTCTTTGGAACCCTGAACGAAGCATGGGATAAGTTCAGGATCGAGAATAACCTTTAACTGCTTTTTTGCCGATACCACATATTTTTCTCTCAGCTTGCATATCATTACCTTTAGATCATCATTGCGCTGAGCATCATGAGCGGCTATTGCTTTACACATAATTGCATGCCGTCTGGCTTTATTTTCCATCCCTGGTGCAGACTGCTACTCTATATTGTGTATCACCTTCTATGACAAAGGCTCTATCAGGGCAGTTCTGGGTTTGTCGGATATGTGAATACGTAGGGATCAGGGATTAGTTCAAACATGCCCTCATTATCATATTCCCAGCCCTAGAAGTTTGTGAAAACCAACCCCCCAACAATGAAAATTGTTCTCCGTAGAATGGTACTGCTCGCAGATATTACCGCAAGTATTTGAATCCATGGGAAATTGAGGTTTGATCATAACACCTGCAATGCAGACTTGGGTACTGGTCCTTTTATTAAAACAATGTATTGGTACCAATCAGCTCATGCCTCAGCATCCAGAAATAACCTCAGTCTTAATCACGGGTTCATCCTGGGCCTGCTCTTGCTTTGCCTCGGCAGTCACTTCAGATGCATCCTCAGTCTTGATACTGGGTTCAGCTTGGCCCTGCTCCTCTTGCTTTGCCTTTTCCTCGCGCTTTCGTGCCCGCTCCATCCCGGCTTCTCGCTTCAATTGCTTTTTGCTAGGCTTCGTCTCTTTGTTAGGTTGAGCCACCTTCGCAGACGGCCACTGCTCCCTGCATTTCTTCTCATCCTCTTCGCTCCACTCCCGAGGCAAGATGGCAAAGGTCAGGTACGAGGTGTGCGTTCTGAGCTCTAGCTCAGACCGATGCACCAAGCGGCCCTGCGCGTATTTGGGTAACCCAGAATCACTATCTGGGAAGGTTGATTCGGCCTTCTCGATGGGTTCATATTCCGGAAGACCCCTATTTGACCGGTTCTCGCGAACAGCCTTGGCATGTTGTTCATCGGTGCGGAGCTTCTCGACAGCTTGCTCGACTGTCTGCGGGAATATAGTTGATCCACGCTCGCCTTCGGTTTCTAGACCCACGCGCTCGCGCTTCACGTCGATCCGTCGCTGCGCAACTTCCACCATGGAAATATTAAGCCATCCCATCTGGCGCATCGTGCGGATGGTACGCTCTGCCTGTTCGAGACATGGGGAGAAAGTGCACAGATAGGCAGGTGATTCCGGGTCGAGGGCTGATTCTTGACCAGCAGGCGGGTGGCGCACTAGATGCTTCAGCGCGAGCCAGGGTGCAGGTAGATCAAGGAAAATCGCATTAGCCTTAGGCGACCTGCCCGTGTGAGGCTCGCCCAAGAGGAAACCACCCTCGTAAACATCGCGGTGCGTAACTTCGACCAGATCTTCTAGACCGTGATCTTTGATTTCCTCCTTTACTTTTCCGACGCGCTGTTCATGGAATTCGAAACTGCACACTTTTCCCAGTCGGCGCTTTTTCGTCGCCTGCTCTGTCTCGGGATATCCGTTGAATACGGCGCGCACGGATGCGTGTGTGAATGATCCACTACCAGCTCCGGCTTCGATCACGGTGCATCCCGGTCGTGCGCGCAGTCGGTGGAGAATGTAGCTGTAATCCGGGGTATACACGACCTGCGTGCGGTGCGGAAGAGAGAGGGTCCAGGCTTCGGGTGTTGGGGCGAGAATATGCAGGAAGCCACTGTCAGCGGCGACGGGCGCTCGCAGAGCTGGCTTTGAGGTCTCCTCTTCTGTCCCGGTTGGTGTTGCGGACTGGTCGAGGTCGTCGGCCTTGCGCTTGTTGGTTGGTCTGCGACCGCGCGAGCCAGTGTCTACTTTCGAAGCGACGACTTGGGATCCCCATGGCTTGCCGATCAGAGTGCTATGCGGGAATGAGCCAAAGCGGGTGTTGGTGACTTTGCCTTCGAAGTAGCCTTGGTTCTCGTCGTCATGGTCGCGGAGGATTGTTGGGACGAGCTGGTCGCGTCGCAGCTGTAGTAGGGCGAGACTGTCTGGGCCCGCTATGGGGTTTGGATTTAAAAACGGAGACGGCATTGTGAAGGTCAATGTCGAGGACTTGTATCTTGAAGGGAAAAAACGTATGGCTGATTACCTGATTGGGGTATAAGTTAGGGCACAGGGCTTGGTGCTGTCCGCAGCTCTGCCACCAATCAACAGCCAGTCCTGTTGATGAGTCGATGTAGCCCCTCCCCCTCTGCGGTTTCTTTCTTTATGCTTTCGCCCCGGTTTCTTCCCTTCGCTTCTCCCAAACGATTCCTTTCGGTCGCTTCTTTTAGGTCCATGTCTTCTCGCCAGCAGCCGCCCTGGCGGCAGCCACCCACCAGCGCAGATGCGCAACTGCCTGCTCTGAAGGTGTGGAACTCTTTGACTAAGTCCAAGACGCCTTTCGTCCCGATCGATCCTGCGGGCAAGAAGGTGGTCTGGTACGCCTGTGGACCTACTGTCTACGATGACGCGCATTTGGGACATGCCCGCAACTATGTTAGCACCGATATCATTCGCCGAATCATGCGCGACTACTTCAAATTCGATGTCAACTTCGTGATGAACATTACCGATGTGGACGATAAGGTATGGATTGGAAAGGGACTGTTGTTCCGGGGGGCAAATGGCGTGGAAAACAGTGACTGAACTCTCTACAGATCATCCTTCGCGCCAGACAACAACACTTGTTCAATGAATTCGTCACCACAAGCCCTACCGTCACACCCGAGGTTCTTGAAACAGTCAAGCTTGCATTCGCGGCATACCTAAAGAAGAACCTGCCCCTGCTCGATTCCGCGCTCGCACCCTCTCAGTACCAGAAAGAAGTCGAGAAGACATATGCGACTATCTTGAACGGCGGAGCTTTGGCCGGAAATGAGAAGGCTGGTGACGATGAGGCCAAGGTCAAGATGCACATTAAGACGGCTGCTTCGGCCGCCAAGGTTATCGCGCAGGCCGAAGTCCGCGACGAGAAGAGTGCTGACCCCGCTGCTTTTGCCGAAACATTCTACAGCCAGGCGCAGGATCTTATTCTTCCCTACTTGGACGCCTTGAAGGGCGCATCTGTTGACGCAGACGACCACAGCATCTTCACCAAATTGACTAAGAGATACGAGGAGCGGTTCCTCAATGATATGCGCGATTTGAACGTTCTCGACCCTACCGAGTTGACTCGCGTGACGGAATACGGTGACGAGATTGCGGCATTCGTCGACCGCATTGTGAAGAATAACTTTGGATATGCCACTAAGGATGGATCTGTCTACTTTGACATCAATGCTTTCGAGGCTGCAGGTCACCCCTACGCTCGCCTCGAGCCCTGGAGTCGGTCAGACAACAAGTTGGCTGCAGAGGGAGAAGGATCCCTGGCTAGCAAGACCACCGAAAAGCGCGGTAACTCCGACTTTGCTCTTTGGAAGTCTTCCAAGCCAGGTGAGCCCAGCTGGGCTAGCACCTGGGGTAGAGGTCGCCCTGGATGGCACATTGAGTGCTCGGCTATGGCATCGGCTAGAGTGGGTAAGCAGATGGATATTCACTCTGGTGGTATTGATCTTGCTTTCCCCCACCACGATAACGAGCTGGCTCAGAGTGAAGCATACTGGCACGATGGCCACAAGCATGACTCTCATGACCAGTGGGTCAACTACTTCCTCCACATGGGTCACCTTTCCATTCAAGGATCCAAGATGTCCAAGTCTTTGAAGAACTTCACCACCATTCGGGAAGCGCTTGATCGGAAGGATTGGACCCCCAGAAGCTTGCGTATCGTTTTCCTTCTGGGTGGCTGGAAGGACGGTGTTGAGATCACCGACGACCTTGTGAGCTTTGGTAGCTCCTGGGAGGAGAAGGTGAACAACTTCTTCCTGAAGGTCAAGGACCCGGCTGTCTTCCAGTCTACGGGCACCGACACCACCTTTGCTGCTGATCTGGAAGCCACCAAGAACGCCGTCAATGAGCAACTCTGCGATTCGTTCAACACTCCGGCTGTCATGCAGTCCATTTCCGAGCTTATCTCCAAGTTCAACATTGTCGACAAGACCAGCGTGCCCGGCAAAGACCTTCAGGCTGCTGCCCAGTGGGTCACCTCCATGGTGAACATCTTTGGTCTGAACGGCGCTGCCTCGGCCGACAGCTCTGAAATCGGCTGGTCCGGCATCGATGTCCCCGTTGAAGCCAAGCCTTACCTCTACCCGCTCGCCGCCATGCGTGACACTCTCCGTGAGGCGGCCCGATCCAAGGCCGGCATCTCCGCCAAGGATCTCGAAGAGGCCGTTGCTCGCTCATCCGCACCACAGGAGGCCTCCGACTCCGCCAAGCCCTATGCCGATATCTACGCCAACTTCCGCGACACTGTTGCATCCCTCGAGTCCTCCCAGTCGATCGGCAAAGATATTCTCTCCCTGTGCGATCGCGTCCGCGATATCGACCTCTTCGGCGTAGGCGTCTACCTCGAGGATCGGGAAAACCAACCCGCCCTCGTCCGCCCCGTCACCCAGGAGATGATCAAGGCCCGGGCCGAGAAGGAAGCCAAGGCTAGCCAGAAGCAAGCAGAGAAGAAGAAGCAGGAGCAGGAGGCCCTGAAGCGCGCGGAGAAAGGCAAGTTGAGTCACCTGGAGATGTTCCGCACCAACGAGTACAGTGCCTGGGATGAGGATGGTATTCCGCTTCGTGATGCTGCCGGCGAGGAGGTCACCAAGAGCAGGGGCAAGAAGCTTCGCAAGGACTGGATGAGCCAGAAAAAGGCTCACGAGGCCTGGTTGGCTACACAGGCCAAATGAAGCAAAAGAGCATTCTGATTTTATAAAATATCTTTCCTTATCTTTTTGTGCCTTTGGGATTTTGCATCGCGGGGCGTTTCTTGGCATATACACCATCTATCCAATGTGAACATCTCCTATTCGGGATAATATAAGCACTGCCTCTGAAATTTTTGGCCATAAATTTGTACAATTCTGGAACATTGAGCCTATTCCAATCTCCAACATTCACCATTTAACGAATAGTCAAGGGAATGTCCAATGTAGAACTTTAGAACAACAGGGCCAGAATACCTACAAGACAGATACATAAGTACATAACTTGAGAAGTACAGTCTCAATGCAAATCAAATGACTCGGAGGAGCCAGCCCCGGACATTCTACCCCACCATTACTATGTCATGTTTGACCTGGAGTGGGATGTCCCCCTTTTCTTCCCCAGACTTTCTACCCAGACCTCTCTAGCTGCTCTGAAATTCACTCTTGACTATAGAATTCAACATGGCAGTCCAAACAGGCCTCGATTATATGCGTTCGCGCACAGTGGTGGACTGCGACACAATGGACGAAGAGGGTACAAGACCTGGCCTATACATTTCCACTCAAATCTAACATTCGCACTATAGTCGCCAAAACATTAGGTCCTTTCCAGGATTCAACTTCCAACCAGGTAAGGATAACAGGACTTCAGGACATTGTTGGGAACTGGTGCTAACCACCCCAGGCTATTGCTTTCGGGGAGTTGTCCAAACCAGCACGAGCCGAATTGATTGCTGCTTCCATGGCTGATGCCAAAGCTCTCCATTCAAGATATTCTTCTATCGGAATGGAAGAATTGGCTGTTGAGGTCGCGGTAAGCTCGTCCGTATACTCTCACGATATACAGTACAATGCTCATAACCCCAACAGATGGTGCGGATGGCCCTTGGAATGGCACAGCATATCCGCGGACGCGTCCATGTGCAAACCAATCCTTACTACTCATACTCTACAGAAAAGACTGTTCTCAATGCCCTTCGTACGTTATGGCCATCCATGGCACATAGCAGATACTGACTTTGTCCAGGAATCGTACAGCTGTTCCAGCATGTGCAGCCCGGGTTCGATGTAGCTCGTATTTCCATCAAAATACCAAGCACATGGGAAGGAATGATGGCCTGTCGAACTCTCGAGCTGGCCGGTGTGCGCACCCTGGCCACAACCCTGTTTACAATGGCGCAGGCTGTACTTGCGGCAGAAGTCGGCTGCACCTATATTGCTCCCTACGTGAATGAATTGAAGGTCCACTTTGATGCCGAGTATGTGCCCATAAGCAAGACAACTCATATCTGACATACTAATCTTGAAATTCAGGTTCGAGGATAAGGCAAAGCTGCTACCATTGTGTGCAGCCATCCAGAAATACTACCAGTCTATCCAGTCGCCTACCAAAGTCCTTCCTGCGAGCTTGACCTCTGTTGAAGAGATATTCTTCCTTGCCGGTGTGGATCATCTCACTATTGCGCCAGCACTGCTGGCCCAGTTGACCCAGCCTTATGCTGGGAATGTCCAGTCTTTGTTCGATATAGCGCCTACGCTCCCTATCCCTGCCAAGGGTGTGTCCTTCATCAATGACTATGGAAGCTTCCAGATCACCTTTGCCCGAGACCAGGGTGGTGCTAGCCAGAGAAAGCTGACTGAGGTATGATTCTACAAGATCCAGAAGTTTCTAATGTTGAGTGGTCATGGGTTGTGCTAACTGTTACCAGGCTGTCAATACCTTCTGTGATTTCCAAGACAAATTGGAGTTGATCATGAAGAAAGCGGCCTGAATGCTTTTTCTGCATTCCTTCTAAGCAATGAGAACAGCGAATAGAGTATCAATTGAAGAACATTGTTCATGTTCCAAATAGAACCCGTTTTCTTATATAGTTGCACGTGACCTATGACATCACCCTTCCGCGGAATGGGATTTCTCCAATTCTTCTCCTTCAACTGTGGGGGACTGCGAATACGAGTACTCCTGGATTCTTTTATACCTGATCGTTGTGAACTCGTTCAATTGCACTGATTGACACCGCAGCACTGAAAATTTGCATCTGGATCATACGGCTTTCGTCGCCATGTTCCCCTCCCAGGCGGCTAATCTGAACATCGAGGCCTTGAGTGGCATCTGTGGGTAAGTGGAATTTGAATTTCTCTGCTGTCTTTAAACTCCATTTGATCTCCTGTCTGGTGATATTGCAAGGGTGTGCAAGTCATACGTTATGCATGACTGTGCGACGAGATACTTCGTCCATTGTATCTAGGCCTAGGCCGATCATTTTCTATTTTGGGCACATCTGTCAGAGCCATGCTAACCAGGCCAGATCTATTTCCATTGCCTGCTGGGTCGTTGTCTTCTCCCCTCAGATTATTGAAAACTTTCGCCGCGGATCTGCCGATGGCCTTTCACTACTCTTCCTCATCGTCTGGTTGGCCGGCGATGTATTCAACATTCTCGGCGCCGTCATGCAGGGCGTGCTGCCGACCATGATCATTCTGGCTGTCTACTATACCCTAGCAGACATAGTATTGCTAGGACAATGTTTCTACTACCGAGGCTTCAACCTCAAGGAGGAGTTGTCTCCTTCGCCCACACCCGAGCTCTTAAACTCCGATGCCGAACAAAACGGCACCGAGAGCCAAACAACACCAACAGAGCGATCAAGCTTACTGCCCAAGTCAAATGGAAATGACAATCACCATGGAAGTACATCTCAGGACCCTCGCGACGGCCCCGTCTCCGATGGAAGACGACCTTCCGCAAACTCCTACCATGATATCTTCCACTCATCCGCCCATCTATCCCCAGCAACTCCATTCATCGAGCCCCCCTCCGACACAGCCCGCAGCCGTGCCCAACGTGCCCGCCGTCGCCGCATCTCCGCCCTCCAGTCCATCCTGTTCAACCTCACCGCAGTGGCCCTGGTATGCGCCGCAGGCGTACTAGGCTGGTACGTCAGCCCAGGCTCAAAGTCTTCCCCAGACCCCGAGCCTCTCACTCTGGATCTATTCGGCCAGGTATTCGGATACTTCTGCGCAGTGCTGTATCTGGGATCGCGTCTGCCGCAGCTTTTGTTGAACTACCGTCGCAAGTCAACGGATGGAGTCTCTCTGCTCTTTTTCCTCTTTGCTTGCATAGGAAACTTGACTTATGTTTTGTCTATCCTGGCTTACTCCCCTGTTTGCTCTGGTGGTCCCGAAATCATGGGTCGCCACCACAAGTGTCGCTCTGGTGAGGCTGCGGCGCTATATGGTCGCTATGTACTAGTGAATTTGTCGTGGCTGGTTGGTAGTGCTGGTACACTCCTCCTTGATATGGCTATTTTCACGCAGTTCTTCCTTTATCGGGATACGAAGGCCGGGGACGATGAGTGAATCCCCTCTAACTGGCTCCAATCACCCGTGGATGGCAGCTTTTGTGGGTGCATACTGGGATTGCTTGACACCCCTGCCCTCTTCGGTGACGTGGTGTATGTACCTATAAAATAACGACATAGCGGTTTCCCGCATTTTGAATGAGAAGTTTCGGATTGCTCAGACCCTAGATGGCGGTATGAACCCTCGGATTTGATGCTAAATTGGGGTCCTTCCTAGTTGAGTGACTTGACTACAGACTCGCAGCCTCTTGAATACACATCATCTCTCGTAGACGCTGCTATGGCGCTATTAATCCCTTTACATCTCATTTCACGGAGTACTTGGGGTACCCGAGTTTGAAGTTGATAGATCACCTGGACATGCTCTGACTTCATTCACCTAGGATTCTGGTACTGTTCAGAGTTAGAAAACCCTATAATCAGGCACATTTAACCATACCCGAATCCCCCTCGTTGGGCATGACTGACGATAGGCCCTCGATTCATCTTCTCCGATTCACTAACTACACAAGGAACAAGAAGCAGGGATTGCAACCACGCGAGAATGTCTATGCGAACATGCAATCAACATATTGATCAACATGCCACACCTAAGGCCGCAAAGCCTTAATCTAATACCCTCCGAGGGCTCCAAGTGGGGTCGACAGTCATATCTCGTTCCTTGCATGGGATGTCGAGGCCTAACCCGACTGACGGAAACACAACTTTACCTCTGAGCCAACCAGCACATGCACAGCTAACGAACTAATGCAAACCATTCCAACATACGAACAGCCAAGAACAGCTCCAGATGTGACGGGGCCGGCGGCAAACCTTCCAACGAATAAGATCCCCATGTAACCCTGAGCTCTAAGCGCCGACAGCCTATCATTTAGTCTTTGGGTTTCTGCTGATTTTCACGGCCTTATACGGAACTGCTTGTCGTTCTGAGTCCACTCATTTTTCATCCGGTCGATCTATACCTTCCCCCCGGTCTATAGGATCCGTGGTTCTCTGCTAGCCAACTATGTATGGCAATGGAAGTTTGCCTCTGACTTGGGTGTCATCTTTTGCAGATTCCAGCCCAACTATATACACTCTTCTTCAAAAGGTCCCATGAACCTAGAGTCCTGAGTCGGAGATGGTATGTATATATACCCTCCAAACGTCGAGGACAAGCGAAAACACAGAAACCCACACACCAAGGAAAGGACCTCCGAACTCTACACTTCAGCCAAAATGTCCCTCTCAACAGAACTCACAGTGGAAAACGACAAACCAGTATCAGGCACCTGGACAAAAACCAGCCGAGTGACAGTGCGCGCTCTAGGCGCCTGTTCCGTCGTGGCAATCTACAATGCCCACGGCTTCATCCTGTCTAGTATTTCCGCTGGTGAGAACAGAGAGACACCAGCAGCTGCAAAGCTCTGCAGTGAATATACCAGGCTCAGATCATCCATTTTTGGAAACGAGCCTGCCATGCTCTGGATACTCTATGAAGAGTATAATGCCCACGAAGGTCCCAATATCAAGCCTGCCATGATGGGGATCCGGCCTACGAAGACTTCTGTGCAGATCTATGATGGGGAGTCGTTCATGCCTAAGACGAATGATGCTGGGGCTACGTTTTCGTTTGCTTTTGAGGCTGGGGCGAGGGCTGAGTTGCATTTTCAGGAGGGGAGGGGTGGGACTATTGCGTTGTTGGGGACTGGGGGGATTGTGAGATGTCCTTAGATCTACAGCCTTGGAGGGGATGATGGTTGGGAAGGGTTGTGTACTACCTAAGTATTGCCCAGGTGGAATTGGGGTTTATGAGTTGGAGACTAGCCCTGGATATGAGGTTTAATAATTTCTTACCGAGAAACATACTGTGAAGTTTGATCTGCACCTACTGTTACTTGAGTACCAATGTTGTAAATTTGCATGTCTCGGATAGAGGCAACATCATCAAGATGGTCAAATCGCTGCTGGATACTATACAGTATGTTTGGCTGGTATGTTGACTACTGAAGGCAGCAGACAATGGTCTACGGGTTTAGAGTGCCGTGGAACTTTAGAATGGAAAGTCATCAAAATATCATATTGGTCAAGTCTTACTAGATAATTGATAATAATAGATGAAACTATGCTTGACAAAATTCACCGGCCCCATGTTAAAACACCAGGCACCACTCGCTCCATGCACAGAAACCCGAAGAGGAACACGAAAACACCTCCATATGCACAGGCTGAGAGACAGAAGAAAAGAAACACAATAGGAAAAGCCTACTGACGAGGCTCGACCTTCCCCTTGCTCACATCCTCCCAGTTGGTGCTAAGAGACGTGCCCTGACTCTCCATGAAGCTCTTGACCATGGCGCGACGAGTCTCAGGATCAGCACCAGCATAAAGCTTCTTGAAGAAACCATCGACATCATCGCCGTGGTCGGAATCGGAATCCTCGGCTGTGACATAGACCTTGGGCTTTTCCTTCTGCTTCTCTTTGGCCTGCTCTTTGGCCCTCTTGGGGGTAGGGACCTGATTCCCGTCCTTGTAGGCATCGAGGGGCTTAGGATTTTTCCATTTGAAACCGCGTTCCTGCATATCTGGCGTCTCACCAGGCTTGGAGTCCCTCAGCAGCTCCTTCCACCGGGCAGGTTGCACCTTGTGCAGCTTGACTTCGAGCTTGTGGGCCTTGGTTACGTAGCTTGACTTCTCGGGGTTGATCTCACCAAAAAGAGGCATGACCATGTTGAAATTGTCGCCACCGGGGATAGGAAGCGCAACAGAGGCCTATGTCATGGTTAGTTTGGAACTTGACGGATTGATTCAAAAAAAAAGGTACTAACCTCATCTTTCAGTATCTTGACCACAACCTCAACATCACGGAAGCTGAAAGACCTTGCGTAGAAGGTGACAGTAGCCACCTCCACGGTCTGGAACCAGTCGTGACGAATGGCGTTTGGCATTTCATCATCAATATTCTTGAAATAACTTTCGACAACAGGATAATTGGGCTTTGCAGATTTGTCTTCAGGTTTACGGGTAGGCAGCAGAACGCCAGTCTGAGCTGCCCCCAGCTGAATCTTCAACTCGTCAAGAGAGGGGACGAAAGCATTTTTGGGAAAGAAGCCAACGGTCACATCCCAGCGGGGACCGCCAACAGTGTCTTTGGCCTTCATGTCTTCGAGTTTAATCGCCCAGCTGAGAATCTGAGACCGGTAGCTGTTTTGCGCATCAACGCTGGGCGGGAATTGCTCATTCTTGATTGACTGCGCCAGTTCCGTGAACAGAAAAGCGGCGTCGCCTAGGCGGCCCAGTTGAAAAAGAGAGATCGCGCGGCGGAAGTTCGCAGAGAGGACATACTCGCGAGTACCACGCTCGGCAGCAATGGAGAGGGCGGCCTCAGCATCATCCAAGGCAGCCTGGTAGTTGGGGCCGCCATCCTCGGGCTTCAGGCGGGCGTATGCGACGGAGCGAGAGATATAGTGGGCAGGGGCGCGCGGCTCCCTTACCAAAGCCTGGGTATAGAACTGGATGGCCCGAGGGTAGTTGCCCTGGTCAAAAAATTCGTCGCCATTGCGCTCCGAAAACATGAGGACAGAATCCAGCAAAGGCCGTGAGTGACGTGGACTCAAATGCGTGATGGGCCAGGGAGCAGGGAGCGGGGTAGCGGGAGGAAATTTGGAGAGAGATAAGTTTTGGAAGACAGGGCCTGACGGAGCGATGCCGGCGATTTTGTCCTCCTCGTTGTCGTAGATGGGTCGGGGACGGTTAGACCCCTCGGCGCTCGTGTATTTGAACGACATGGTGGAGCAAACACGTGATATTGATGCAATAATCGATAAGCGATAAGAAAAGCGACACGTGATGATAACGTCACCTGGAGATGGAGGAGCGGGAGAAGGAAGAAAGAAAATACGAGGTCACGTGTGAGATGGGAAAATACATACCCGAGGTTTCGCCGAAGGCCCCACCCACTCCTTCCCTTTTCGGATTTACAAAATAGAACAACAAGGAACAATAAGAGATCTCAATCATCTCACTGTGCCTAGGTGTGTGAATAAAAATCTATTTTATTGAACTGATCTCAGCATAATTAGCTTTGTCTTCATGCCATTGTCCCATTAATTGAATACCACCCACCCTGGGATCAAACAGTTCAATTTCAGTTATTTTTACTATGGTTGAATAGCAAGATAGGTAGATATTGGGACTGCCTGCTAAATCAACACCCTAGATATTCACTCCACTGGCGAAGCCCAAATTTTTCCCATTTCTAGCGTTGCCATGATCTATGCACTGCCAGCATATGCACCTGGGCTCACGCTGGACGGTCTGGTTGGATGATCTGCATCTCTAGAACAGAGATATTCATCAATCTATACAACTCTAGATTCAGCCAGGGATGTCCTCTTCCCCACACAGGCGATAATCTATTAAACTACACATTCAATAGCACCAGATGCCCAAAGATACTCGAGAAATACATCAGATTGATGGCCAAAAGCTCTGTTAGATTGGGAATTCAGAACGACTTCGTAAATTTTTAGCAAAGACTGCGCGTGACTCGGGACCGGGACTCGGACTCGCCTGCGAGAATTAATTCGCAAAGACATGTAGACTAGAAAGGCAAGCCCCACAAGCTCTGTTGCTAAAGCATCAATTGCTTATCGACGCCATCCCTGTACACTCGGTACCTACTGGACAGAGATCCTGTCCATGTACCCTTGAATTCGTTCAAATGTGTCAGCGTTGTTGTATAGGTTCACAAAGTCAGAACATTGTTCAATCGTAGAGCATACCTCTATCTCAATACCTATGGTAGTGGTGAAGGAGACACCACTCACCGGGAGAGTCCCGAGACAGGATATTGTCTCCAGGTTTGGCAGCTGCCCTGCCAATTCTCCCAGTTTTTGAAGTCGGCAAAGCTTCATGAAAAGGACGAAGAGATCTATGATACAGAAGGAAGAAGACTAGAGCTATGGAGAGAGCTGTTTTTATAGCTGCCCAAGTGAGAGCAAACAGACATGCTGATTACGAAGGAGCATAGGGCCCAAAGATCAAACTGATTTTGATACCTGATGATGCCTTATTTCAGATCTATACCGGGTATTGTAACGGCCGTTTGGCGAGAGTGAAGCTATTCAAACTAGTCAAGATGCTCGACCCGTATAGATCCCGACGTTGATGCTGCATTCTACCTCCACAATCTTACATTTACCCTTCAAGACTAATCTGAAGTTATTCGGACTACCAAAAAGGGTTCGTTTGGAAGAGTTTCAACGACGAGCTCATTTCTAGGTAAAATTTCAAAGCCAGCTAGTCAGCTACATTCAGGTTAAATAGCAGATGCAGTAATGGGATCAGCCTTGGTGATAACGACGGCGATGAGAGTAGAGAGCGAGGATAGCAGAAAAGGAAGACCTCTGGGGTGCTTCCCAAAGTGGAAAGGATCACTGTGATTTGGAAAAGAACGGTACATTATTTACTGTGGCAGGCGTAATGGTAAATCAGGTATCATACTTTTTGCCTCCCTTCGTGCTGCGTGCCCGACCTCGGCATCATCCAAGGCAGCCTGGTAGTTGGGGCCGCCATCCTCGGCCTTCAGGCGGGCGTATGCGACGGAGCGAGAGATATAGTGGCCAGGGGCTCGGGGCTCCTCTACCAGAGCCTCGGAGTAGTACTGGATAGCGCGCGGGTAGTTGCCCTCGTCAAAAGCCGCGTCGCCATTGTGCACACCACTTCCCCCGAGAATCCCGAGACAGGAGATTTTCTCCATGTATGGGAGCCGCTCTGCCAGCTTTCCCAGTTGATGGAGAGGCATTTGAAGGTTCAAGGAAAGGTCGATGTGGCGGGCGGAGCTTCGGCCCCAGCATCTATAGTGCCATCAGCATTGAACTAGGGTCAGCCATCTCATAAAGATATAGGGAGCTCTGGGAACAAACCAAAATGAGTCTCCTCACCTCATTCAACATTTCCTCATCCAGGATTGCCAAGCTGTAGATTTCAAGTATCTCAAGCTGCGGCATGCGTGGCTTGCGAAAGCAGTCGGCCACGGTTCCCCCGCCTGGCTGCCATGATTCTATGCCAATCACAACGGTCCGGAGATTGGTAAAGGCCATAGTATTCAGGTTCTTGGCTTGTCAGAGCCCATTTCCATAGGAAATCTTCATAATGCCGGTTTTGACATATCCTGCCAGACTCTGGCGCTGTGTTTCCGGAAGGCTGGCAAGGACTTCAGTTAGAGTCTTTCCGTAGTACTGTGTATTGGCCAACAGAATACGTGTCGCCTCGGCCCTCCACAGGGTATTCACAAAGCTGCATTGAAACAGGGTCCCGGGGCGTCGGTAGCCCTTAATGTCTACCGAATTTGCATCCCCCGCATCGATGGATGAAAATATGATCCCCAGAATCTCCGGTATGGCTAGAGCCCGGCTTGATGTTTTGACGTTGATGGGATTCATTGTTTGATGTTTGTTGGTAAATGGGATGAGAATGAAGTGGTTGTTAGGAATAAAGTGGAATGGAGAAAGAAAGATGAGAAGACAGAGAGAGAATCCAGAGAGAATCCAGAGAGAATCCAGAGAGAATCCAGAGAGAGAGAGAGGATTGAGGAGTGAGGAGTGAGGAGTGAGGAGAGAGAGAGAGAGGAGAAAGAATCCAAAGAGAGACAACAGACCTACCCTAGGATCTCCTGGTTCTAATAATTTAATCGAATATGAGTGTGTTTAAAGGATACGACTGAGGTCTTTAGCCATAGGCTACGCCTCTACACCCGATGGACGTTGGTTACTGCAACAACAACCACTACCAGGCTTCTCACTTCCTCCAACACCCACAGTTGCAATACTCGAGCCCAGCCACTGTCTCGGTGTGCCATGTTGCACTATGTGAGCTCAACTCACCTTCCCGGTATGCGATATTGTTTATCGAGGAGATGAGGCTGACTTTATCAATGCCCTCATAGTTCACCATTTTCGTGAGGTCAATCTGTGACGAGTCTATTGCAGCCGATATCCGAGCGAGAGTCCGCTTCTCCGACACTTTCGCCTGGAAGTTAAACTGACCTCTCATCCAGTGAGAGGAGAGTACGCCGGGGATGTACATAAAATCCCGATTTTGATCCTTGCTACGAAGATCCTCCGGATATCCCCCCAGGATACCTGGCCCGTTGAAGATCTGGCCCCACGTCTCGCGCAGACCTTCCCCGAAACTGTCCTGGTGGTTTTGACTGGGAAACATCATCTCGAACAAGCCATGCAAGCAATCAACATTCGATGCCGAGCATCCTGGTCACTGCCCATTTAAGGTATTACAACCCATCACTTGTGCATTTTTATGGTGAATTATGAGCAGAATCTACCCGTTGACCTTAATCCAATGCCTGAATACCTTACCAATGCCGCTGACGTTCATTGAGAGCCCGTTGACAGCAGCAGAACAGCCACCTGGAAGCTGCCTCAGAGCCACCACAAAGAGAATCTACAACGCGACAACCACTGAACATTCGCTTCTCACGATTTGATGCTGGTACGAAGAACCGATCTTCGTGGTCTACATGGACGGAGGCTCGAAATTAGATGGCAAGCTCCATTGAAAGTTAGTGAATGGGGCCTGAATTGACAAGCCGATCTCCAAGCCGACAATAATATCCACCCAGACCCACTACCGATCATTTACGCGGTGGTTGTCATGGACGTTGGCCTCTCTTGGTCGCCTGGCCACCATGGGTACTAAGCCCTGTATGGCGAACGCGCCGGCCATCACCAGCGTCTGACGGGGAACTTCAACTGCTGGAGATTTACAGTTTGACGAAGCTTAGTCTAGTTAAACTGAGCGAGGTCGTGAAGCTCATCCCGGTTCGTTCTCAAAACATCTCATACATTCATGGGATGGCTGACGCTGATTCAATTCGGATGGCACTTTAGATGCTGGGACCAGCTCTCCGCCATAGCTCTAGTCTTCTTCCTTCTGTATCATAGATCTCTTCGTCCTTTTTATGAAGCTTTGCCTACTTCACAAACTGGGAGAAATGGCAAGGCAGCTGCCAAACCTGGAGACAATCTCTTCTCGCGGGTGTCGGATGATCAGAGGCTCTCACACCACCGGCACAGGTCTCCTCATCGAGGTATACTCTGTCATTTAACAATGCTATGGCTTTGTGGACCTATACAACAATGCTGATACATTTGAACCAATTCAAGAGGACATGGACTGGAGTTCTATCGACAAGGTTCCAAATGTACGGCAGGGGAGACTCCCCTTCCGGTCACTATGCAGGCCTGTAGGGGTCCAGGACGTCAACTTGGGATTACACAGAGGACTACACAGAGAGCCACTACCCCGAGTGCTGCTGTCCGCCGAAGCTACCCTCAACTGAGCAACGTGCGCCAAGCCGATGTCGTGAGTCTTCTCACTGTTGGTAGCCAGGGTGCTCCCAAGGACGAGGTCCTCAATCTTGGCGAGGCTGGTGAGCAACAATTGGTTGCTGCTACGAGAAATGCTGCTACGGAGAATGCTGCTGCAAAGGGGGCTACCCAGGAGAGCGACGACGGTATAATTGCTCCGCTCCGCTCCCCGATGATGCATGAGGATACTATTCGTGAACCACATCGATTTCACCATGGGCATTAGGTTGTCTCTCCTCCAATTGAGAGATTTGGCAGATCAGCTGCCAAACCTAAAGACACTCTCCTCTTGCGGATTTCGAATGGTTAGAGGCTCTCACGCCACCGACCAAGGTGTCCTCATTGAGGTATGCTCTGCAATTTAACAATCTTCTGACTTTGGGAGCTTATACAACAATGCTGACACATTTGAATGAATTCAAGGTGGAATTGGCAGAAATTCTCAAACCAAATTTCCCGCTGGCCATCCAGAGCTACACCGAGGCTCCGGTAGAGGAGCCCCGCGCCCCTCGCCATTATATCTCTCGTTCCGTCGCGTACGCCCGCCTGAAGCCCGAGAATGGCGGTCCCAACTACCAGGCCGCCCTGGAGGATGCCGAGGTCGCTCTCTCCATCGAAGCCACTATTACAGGCAAAAGTACATACCTCAGGCCGAAATGGCGCATCAAGCGTTCTGTAGACCTACAGTCACCCAAAGCAAACAACACGTCCCTGCCTTGAAAGCTATTTGAAATGCTCATGTAGCTCCCATAAATAGCACCTTTTCTTCTAGATCTTCCCTTCTTCAATCTAAGCTTTCTTCCTTTTGCAGTATTGTATCTTCAAGACATCTGAGAGGTTCTGGGCCCTTTTGCGTACTAGCTACAGACATGCTCACCGTTTCTGAAGCTATTTTGATACCTCGCTGTCGATTCAGCTCACTCTTTAACCACTCCGGCGCGCTTCACCGGACGAAACTCGACGTGCAACGCGTCACCCCACCTTTCCACACTCCTGACGATCTGACGCCTCCATTGCCACAGTAATCATGCCGACGCCTGAAGCATTAACGATCTCCGATTTGGTTCCCACCCTCAAGGGTACATCGAACTTCAAAGCCTGGTACACAAACATGGAGGTTTTTATGGTTGCCAGGGAGCCCAAACTGTGGCAGATCTTTACGGGAAAGCTCTCTCGCCCTGCTGACATCAACGTCTCAAATGCTACTGCGGCTGCTGCTGCCATGAAGGAAATCCAGGATAGCATCAATGAGAAGGTTGCTATACGCAACGCGACGACTCTTCTCGAGGATAAACCTATTGAAATTGTCACTGCTCCGACTATTACCATTGATATAGCCGTCAAGATACGTGATCTCAACCAAGAGGAGTGGGATTCCTACGACCGAGCGATCATTGCTTACGTTCGAGCCACCATTGCCCCCGACATAGCCGTCCTCATTGCCGAAGGCGCCAGATCCGCCACCATTCACACCCAATTGAAGGAAGCTTGGGGGACGATCTCCAAGCAAGAAGCATTCCATAAGTACAACGTGTTCATGAATCTTGTTTACAAAGGCTCAAAGCCTGAGGATTTTGTCAAGAAGTGGCGACAACACCTGAAGGGTGTTCTGGATACTTTCCCAAGCGGCGAAACATTGAGCTGGATAATCCCTTACCATCAATTCATGCGAGCGGCCTCCTATACTAAGGAATGCCACCCGTTCCTCAACAACGTCAAGCTGGATACAGAGAAATCGCTCCCACAGAATCTCGAGAGCCTCACTACAGCCTTTATTTCTTTTGAGGAGCGTCGACTCACTCTGAAAGGCGGGCAAAATCATTGCTGGTCCTGATCAACAACCTGCTGCTAATTCACGAACCTTCACCAACGCCTACCGTCCCTGGATCTCCACATTACTCTCAGAAGCATTTTGACTACTATCCTCCAGCAATTTGAAATAGCTTTACTTTGCTTTCATGGTTTTCAGTTTTCTCTTGGTTTTCATTTTCACCTAGTATCTGACAGTGTATCACATCGTTTCCCCCTTCGTTCTTCGTTTCCCCTTACACCGATTTGTGTTCGAATCAAGCCTCCAGTCCACCAGGCTTGCTACCTAAACCTTGCCAGAAACTGTCAGGATATGAGCAATAACATGGTGCAGTCTCATGACCTCGGGAAGAGAGGCTTTTCATATCACTCTATGTAATTTCTTCCATCATTCATGTCCATATGGAATAACCCTGTTCTGCTCAACCCATAGCCGCTCCTCCGCACTCTTCCACGGCGGCGGGACAAGACCGTTGATTTTCCACAGTCGACGATCCGTCTCCACGACGTAGTATTCCCAGTTATACCCTCTATCGGCAATATGTGGCTTGAGCACTGTATCAACCGACGAGGTAAATCTGGCGTAGGCGTCATCACTTTCGGGCATTTTGATTGCGATATTTGTGATCACGACTCGAATGAATGGCTTGTTTTGTAGCTCGCCCCCGACTAGGATGTCTTCTTTTGGCAGGGGAATGAAGTTGACCACAACGTAGAAGGCAGGGAGACCGACTTTGGTGTAGATCTTTGTGATATCTTGGGCAAAGGAGGCTTTGGATGCCTGGTCCTCGTATGTGCCGACTGGGTGATAGATTTGCCAAAGAGGCATGGTTGAAATGGGTTTTAGTTGGAAGTAGATGTGGGTTTGTATCTTTTGTTTGGTATTTAAACCCTTTTAATGGCAATGTGAGTGCTTGAGGATGAGTGACTGGTTCTGGGTCGTTCCCTCTGTTATATAGATCTGATGCCGTCATATGCATTCTGTGGGATCGGCATGTTTCGGCTCCTGGGGTGTACAAGCGAGGGATCTGATTTCTGGATGATTTGATCAAAGGACTCGGGACAACAGGATACAATCTACTCCGTAGTGCCATTGAAGTTGGACGTACACCTGAGAACCGCCATACTTAGTATCTCACGAGGGTCGAACGGTGCGAGTTGGCTGCATCGTAAGCCTGAGACTTGGCTGGGGGTAATATTCATTCACTATTTCGCTCCTTGTTGGTATTTCTACTTCCTCGGTGATCACAAATCGATGCATCTATAGATCGAGCGGGTTACTCAAATGAACACCCCGAATATATATAGTCATTTTGGTCCCTACTTGGATTCCAGGCTTCAAGCGGTTCGTTGTGGTTAGCACTTGAATATCTGTTGAATAGAACAGTTATATTTCTTCTACTTAACTGGTATAACGCTAGAAGAAAGGCATATTTAAGAGCTTAAGTACTTAAGTAGGAACCCAAGTCGGGGGATGGCCTCGTATTCGTATTCGACAATTTCTGATTATTCAACAACCCGAGCTGATAGAATAATCCACCTCTGCAGTTCTCCGATCTGATCCAGCTTCTTCCACCTCTCTTTACCCGTTACATCATTCTCAAGGTATCGCAGACATGGCAGCAGCAACGAGTGGTCGTAAACGAGGTCGCCCCCGTACTGTGACCAACGACCAAGAGGTGCCAGAGGTGGGTCAAGCAACACCGCTCCTCGGGGGCTAAGCTTACACTCCGACAGAGACGCCGCCAACAGCTCCGCCTGGCACAACAAGCATATCGCAAGCGAAAGGAAACAACTATCGGTAACCTGCAGAGCCGTGTACAAGAGCTGGAGACCGGCGTCGAGAACCTCAGCAATGCTTTCTTATCCTTTAGTAATCTTTTTTTGGAACAACAACTGCTATCACAATACCCCCATATTGCATCGGCTTTGCAGGACATAACGCACCAGTGTGTTGCGCTTGCGAAAGCGGCAACTGACGAACCAAGTGAGGCTCTCGTCCATGTCAAAGAGTCTCCTCAACCTGTCGCCAAACTGGACCATACTTCGCCCCCAGGCCTGGTACTGGACCACACGAATTCAGAGAGTTCTACCGACGTGGAAGATATAGTCCGTTCGGTCCCCAAATGGGTTGAAGGCACATCATATCAGGATCGCTCGTTCCTCCCCTTCGGAGTCGTCATGACATCCCCAACCACGCAGTTTCCCTACTTGACACCGCCGTTGTCGAGTTCTCCGATGCAAGACTTGATACCAAACACTACAGTTGAAGATGAGCGATGGACCATCGCCCAGCGTATAGTCAAAACGTGCTGCCGACACGGGTACCGCCTGCTCGTGAACTCCCCAAACCACTCCAGGGTCCAGCAGATCTTCGGATCTACCCTGAATACCTCTGAACGCAACCGCTTAATCTCAATGTTCCATGCTGTTAATCATGATAAGATTGGCGATTTGGTTGATGCCAAAGCTAACGTACTTAGTGCTCTCCGAGCGAAGTTGAGCACGCTCACGGCAGATCAACCACAGCTCTCATCTAGAACATGGCAAATTGCCCTTGAATCGGTTTCTGGTGATTGGATGGACTGCACGGGCGTCCGGAAATATCTGCACGAGAAACGAATTGTATTTGAAAACTTCCCTGATTCAATGGGTCGTTTGCAGCACGATGTCTCGTCATCGCTTGATATATCAAAATTCATAAAATGTGAGCTAACCCTTTGTGATCGCCTATACATTCGCTTATAATTCCCAGTGATCTCCAATGAGCCCATATGTGTGGGTAATGGTCCAGCATTCCGCCGGCAAAGCGTTGAACACGCCATCCGCATGGCGACGATCAACCCCCCTTGGGACTTTGATGCTTTCCGCTAAAGATGATACACATATATACCCGTAATGCTATAATGAGATATGAAACGATTTTCCTTGGTCGATGTGCGCTTTGCGGGAATTTCCACAGTGCTTCGATTCACCTGTCATTCGCAACTTCAGACGGTCACTGGCCTCTCCCAACAAAGTTTCCAAGGTTATTCTCGGCAGAACCCCGGGGCTATGGAATACATTCTTATCAAAGACATGCCGGGTTGCGATCACACCAGCCACTAGCGCTGGGTAAAACAGCGCCAAACTTCGGACCTCCGACGGACTTGTAGTTAGGCATGGCAAATATGCAAAGCAACACTGCACGATCGCCTGCAGCCCAGTGGAGTGTACAGATTTCTCCATCGAAGCGCCCGGGATCAATTCATCGATATCGCAATCGTTGCCACAGGCCTCTGTTCTTTCGGAAATATGCCCACCAAGCCCATCAAGCCATCGTTTCTGGAGCAGGGATTGATCGCGCGAAAACTCCACAGTGTGCGCCTTGAGCACAATATCCCTGTGACCAACTCCCAAGGATATACTTGATTGATGGGATGAAAGCAAATTATCCGACGGCCTCCGATAGTAGGACTCCGGACTTTCAGCCTTGGAGAAATCTTTCGTCTTGGTGGCTTCCATCGGTTAATGCAGCACTGGCCTCCGGATGGCCCCGAAACGGGTTGGCTATCTAATTTAGCGCCGCGATAGATGGAAGCTTAGCGTTGAGCTTCGCAAGTGGCTTCGCAAGTGGCTCGGATTAGCGTGAAATCCAGCCAATGCCTGCAACAGCAGCCAAACTTGGGATAGGGTGCTTATATGGACACGCCACTGGCTTGGAATGTGCGTCGAAACTTCATTGTCGCCGTTTATTGCTCTTTGAATGCGATATCAATATCTGCTTTCATTGGCGATGATTCACTATTCGTCTTATCTATCGCAAGAGAAGCAATCGAACCAACTTGAGGTCTTTCAATCGGGCTACTTACTTCCATTTGGGTGTTCATGCAAGATATTTAAGGATGTCCATCCCTTGGATATGTGCATCATGAAACATCTCTGCACTACCGAGCACTCAAGGACTGCAGCAAGTCTTCTTTGTCGATCCTTTTTGGGATCTTTCAACAGCGATGGCCCCTCAATCGAGAGATGACCCGTCCTTTGAGGATCGGACTGTGGATGCATTCGATGTGGAAAAGCGGCAGACCGTTGTCACAGTCAGTGATGAGGATCTATCCGAAGTGATGGAAACGCTTCGTGAAACCATCAGAGAGCATGAGTTGGATCCCAATTTCCCGCCTGAGATTCTCAACTCTGCCCGCGCCACTCTGCGAGAATCCCCTGATAAACTTCAAACAAGTCATCTTCAGGCCCTGGTCGCTCAAATTCAAGCCGAGCGCGATCTATTGCTCAACGACTCCCCATACGCCGAGGTCCGTGCCGTTGTCGATAATACCGATGACCCCTCTACGCCAGTCAACACTTTTCGTGCTTGGTTCCTGGGGATCTTGTTCACCATTCTGGGTACTGGAATCGATCAGTTCTTCTCTCTGCGCTATCCGGGGATTTATCTCTATACTGTTGTTGCCCAGTTGCTTGCATACCCCTGTGGTGTGTTTCTCGCTCGAGTCCTGCCCACTACCACTTTCACTATCATGGGGAAGAGTTGCAGTTTCAACCCGGGTCCTTTCAACCAGAAGGAGCATATGCTCATTACAATCATGTCAAATGTTGCATACGGTGGGCTCAATGGAACTGCATACGTGACTTCCATCTTCCAGGTATTGAAGCTCGATATCTTCTATGGAATGAAGGAACTCGCCGACAGTGCTGGTTTCCAGATTTTACTCACACTCTCCACCCAATTGATTGGCTACGGCTGTGCAGGCATTGCTCGACGCTTCTTGGTATATCCTCCTGCCATGATGTGGCCCAAGAATCTCGCTCAGATTGCTTTGAACCGAGCCTTACACAATGATGGCAATTCGGGTTCCGTGAACGGGTGGTCAATCTCTCGCTATCGGTTCTTCCTCTATTGCTTTGGTGGAATGTTTTTTTACTTCTGGTTCCCGGACTATATCTTCCAGGCCATGTCATACTTCAATTGGATGACTTGGATTGCTCCACAGAACGTCAAACTTGCTATTATAACCGGATCCATTGGGGGCATGGGCTTTAACCCTTTGCCTACCTTTGATTGGAATATTGTGTCGTATATCTTCGATCCCATTGTCACTCCGTTTTTCTCTTTATTGAACAACGTTCTCGGTATGGCTGCGATTGGCCTCTTGGTCATTCTGCCCGTTTACTTCTCCAATGCGTGGAATACTGCCTATCTGCCAATCAACAGCAACGATATCTTCGACAACACTGGAAGTTCCTACAACGTCAGTCGAATCCTTACACCGGAGTTCACCCTCGACGTCGAAGCCTACGAGGCCTACAGCCCAGCATATCTTGGAGCTGCCAATGCCGTTCTCTACTCGGCCTTCTTTGCCATCTACCTTGCGACGATTGTATATGCCGCACTCTACCACAAAAATGAGATCATCAGCGGCTTCCGTGCAATCCTCAAATGGAAAAATGCCCGAGAAGAATACAATGATGTCCACAACCGTCTCATGCGCCAGTACAAAGAAGCCCCAGAGTGGTGGTACTTAGCTATCCTTGCTGTTGCCTTCATCATGGGTTGCGTATGCTGCGCGGTTTACGATACCGGGATGCCAATCTGGGGAATTGTCGTTGGCTTACTGCTTTGCGTCCTCTTACAGGTTCCCATTGGAATCATCATGGCTGTCACTAACATTGAGGTCACCAACAATGTTATTGCCGAGTTTATCGGCGGTTATGCCGTGCCAAATAACCCAGTAGCCAACATGATCTTCAAGTCATATGGCTACATTGCTTCGGCTCAATCGGTGCAATTCGTGGCTGATCTCAAATTGGGGCACTACATGAAAGTCCCTCCCCGTACCATGTTCTTTGCACAGACAATTGCCACCATCGTTGCTGGATTTGTATCCATCGGAGTCAATGCCTGGCAACTTTCCAACATTTCAGATGTCTGCACTGCCCACCAATCTGCCAGCTTCACTTGCCCTGGTAAGATTCCACCTCGAATACCATATATCCAATCCTAACCAATCCAGACACACACACCTTCTTCACCGCATCCGTCATCTGGGGCGTCATCGGCCCAGCCCGCATCTACGGCGACAATGGGATCTACCACCCCCTAGAATGGGGCTTCTTGGTCGGAGCCTTACTCCCCATCCCATTCTATTTCCTCGCGAAACGCTATCCAAACTCCTGGGTCCGTTATGTCCATATCCCAATCGTGCTGAATGGCGCGCTCAATTGGGCTCCGTATAATTTCACATATGCTTGGCCAGCTATGGTGGTCGGATTCGGTGTCAATTACTATGTGAGACGCCATTATGAGATGTGGTGGCAGAAGTATGCGTATGTTCTGACGTCCTCTTTCTCTTGTGGTATTGGGATTGCGGGATTGGTCATTTTCTTTGCGGTTCAGTTCAAGGCTGTTGATATTAATTGGTGGGGGAATACGGTGTCTTATAATGGGTGTGATAATGATGGGTGTGCTTTGTTGCCCATTCCTGAGATTGGGCATTTCTAGTTGGATGTACTGTATCTTTAGATACTTAAGTACACCTCAGTTCAATATACACTACTATATCCAACATCCAATCTATCAGCTACTTAATTAAGTATTCAACTAAACAAATCTATACACTTAAGTCGCATTGCTTAAACAAGTCACAATACCCGAGTTCACGCCCTTTGGACGGCATGTGGAGCTATAACCGTGACTCAGACTTCAGACCCCTCACCTCAACGATAGACCTTCTAAAGTTATACTTAGGTACCAACTGAGTCATTGAACTGTGGTTTAAATTGAGACTTCCCACCGTTGGAGCCTGAAGTATAAAAAACATCATATATTTGATTCTCCGTTATAGCCATGAGCGCACCTCAATTTGGCAAGCCAATGCTCAAGCATTGGATGTTCAATCCAGACTACAAAAACCTCAATCATGGATCATTCGGTGCTCATCCAATCCCAGTCCGAGATGCACAGCGTGCCTACATGGATCTCGCCGACCAACAACCAGACCCCTACATCCGTCGCCATCATTCCGAGCACCTAACCAAAGCCCGCGAAGCCGTCGCCAAGCTTCTCAACGCCCAGCGGAGCGAGTGCGTCTTTGTCAAGAATGCAACAACAGGTGTTGCAACAGTGCTATACAATCTTGCCTTCCAGCCTGGAGAAGCACTTATCTATTTTGAACCTGTGTACGGCGCTGTTGAGAAAGGCGTCGTCTCCTTGCAGGAGCATAGTCCTTTACAGGCGCGAAAGGTCTCTTTCCAATTCCCTATTACGGAGGATGAGCTGGAGCGGCGGTTCCGGGAGGTTATTCGTCGGACGAGGGATGAGGGCCTTAAGGTCCGGGCTAGTGTTTTTGATGGCATTGTCAGTAACCCTGGTGTGCGATTCCCATTTGAGCGGATTACTGCTGTTTGTCGGGAAGAGGGGATTCTGAGTGTCATTGATGCTGCTCATGGTATCGGGCAGATTCATCTTGATATGCAGGAGTTGCAGCCTGATTTCTTCGTTTCGAATTGTCACAAGTATGTCTTCCCTTTGATCTTACACTATTTCCCGGGAAAGAGTGAGATCGATAACTGCACATTTTGTTTACTAATTCCCATCCAGATGGCTCTATACACCACGCAGCTGTGCAGTTCTATACACACCACACCGCAACCAGCATTATCTCCGCACCACATTACCAACATCATGGGGATTCATCCCAAACCCAGACTCACCCGAGACAATCGCATCAGTTCTATCCGACCCGAACTCCCCGACCACAAAAACACCCTATGAAACCCTCTTCGAATTCGTCGCAACCAGCGATGACTCCGCCTACATCTGCGTCCCTGCCGCGCTAGAATTCCGCGAAAAAGTCTGCGGTGGCGAAAAGGCACTCATGGAATATTGCCAGCGTCTCGCGAATGAAGCCGCAGATGCAGTGGCTGAAATTCTGGGTACGGAGGTTATGCAAGAGCCTGGTTTGAATGGGCAGGAGAGTAATCTGCGCAGGTGTGCTATGACGAATGTTCGATTGCCTATTGCTGTTGCTACGGATGGGTCTTTGGGTGACTCAACTGTGTTGTCTAAGGATGAGGCTCCTAATGCGTTTGCTTGGATTCAAAGCAAGCTTATTGAGGAGTTCAATACTTTCTTGCCGGTGTTTCAGCATGGGCCTTGGCTTTGGACTCGGTTGAGTGGTCAGACTTATTTGGAGAAAAGTGATTTCGAGGCTGTTGGTCATGTCCTGCTTGGACTTTGTGAGCGGGTTGCTAAGAAAGAGTTTAAAGCGTGATACATGTCAGAGGATATTGAGGTTGTGAATAGTCCGAGTATATAGCCAATACATCTTGTTTTCTGAGATCTCTGGCTCTTCTTGAAGTCACACAAGGAAAAGAATGAAAGTTACTACTAGATGTATGTAGCACGCCATCAGGGCTTGCAATAACTCCATATCACCTCAGAAGCGGGGGAAAGAGACCCCATTTATAGATAAATTCATCCCCAAGGTCCCTGGCCTTGATTTAATTTATTCGAAACAATAACCATGTCCGTCGCAAAAGAATTCGAAACAGCCAATGCCAAGTATGCAGCCTCATTCACCAAAGGCGACCTACAACTCCCTCCACAGCGGTACGTTCAAGTCTCGCCAACCCAAGCACCCTAACTTCGAAATACCTGATCGATCTAACAATCGTACAGAAAAGTAACCGTTGTGGCATGCATGGATGCCCGTCTCGGTACACCTCAAACCCCCACTGTTACTACAAATACTAACCCCATAGATCCCGCACGAGCCCTGGGCCTCGAAGAAGGCGACGCCCACGTCATCCGCAACGCTGGAGGCAGGGTATCCGATGCCCTGCGCAGCATCATAATCTCACAGCAGCTACTCGGGACTCGGGAGATCATCATCGTTCACCATGTGAGTACCTGGTATCTAGGTATCTAGCTGTGACTGTTTCTTGTTCTGACATTTGCAGACGAATTGCGGAATGCTTACTTTCACGGACGAGGTGCTTCGGGAGAAAGTGCGGAAGGAGTTGGGGCAGAATGTGGACCATCTTGCGTTTTTGCCTTTTGGGGATTTGGAGGAGAGTGTTAGGGATGATGTTAGGTTTGTGAAGGATAGTCCGCTTGTTTTGGATGTTCCTGTTACTGGGTATGTTTATGAGGTTGAGACTGGGAAGATTGTTAAGATTGATTGAAAATGGGTAACTTGGCTGGAGTAATTGGGGTATTGGAGCATACTGAAGCTATAAGCTAGGCAATTGGGATGGTTAAGGATTTCAATTTTGAATTTCCATGCAGAGCACGGTGTTTGTTTTTGATTCTATGAATCGTGTCAGGTTGCGAAGCTGAAGCATGTGGGAACAAGGTACATCAGGTACAAGCCGGAACATGTTCATCATTTTTAGAGAACCGACTCTCCCTGTCCTAGCGCGTCTGAGAAACCCACTGTGAATGTGCTATGTGCGATGGCAATCTCAGAAGAAGCCCATCCAAGTCAGTAATATACTGGCCAGCCCTATGTCACAAAGGTCTCAATGATCGAAGGTTTCAAATGATGGAAGAAAAAAAGGGGGTATGAGGCAGAATGGAGGAAATCATAAAAGGCAAGCATCAACTCCGCCTCATCGCTAAACCTAACAAATCAATAAACTGTACGGGAATGTACAGGGAAAAGCAAGGCTGCGTGCATATCGTCATAACATGTCGTAGTGTTCAGGCGCTACTGCCAAATCGGTTGCTGAACCAGCTGCTGATAGACCCACTACCTTCACCTCGACTAGGGCGTCGGGTGGCTGTTGTTCCCCCCGTCTCAGGGTCAGAGGAGATTTCAGGTGGTGTGAAGTGGCGTGTGAATCCATGTTGCATAGAGGATACAGATGAACGACCATTGCGTGGGGTGCGTGGAGCATTGGCAGAACTGCGGCGGCGGGATGACTCAGGGCTATCCGGAATGACAACCGGGTTATCACAAGTGCTGCCTTCGCTTCTGGAAGGGATGTTTTCAGCAGGGTGTTCGGACTGAGAGTAAAGTATCTGGTAGTGTATACTCACCTGGTGTTTTCACTGACACCGCGACGGCAGTGAGGACAGGTGTCGTGTTGTTTCAACCATGCCTCGATACAGTCAAAATGGAACCAATGGGTACAGGGCAGCACGGTGACTTCCGTGTCAAGTGCAACATTTTCCATACAGATTGAACATTCTGCATTACCTTCAGGTCCGATCATCTCTTGGTCAACTTTCTTTCGTGGTAAAGCGCGAATCGCCGATCTAGATGCAGGTGGTGCGGCAGTTCCCGTCCCTCCATGGGTCTCCATCAGTTGCGATAGGAGACGGTCATATTCCGCCTGAGAGTAAGCAGCATCTGCATTTCGGAGTTGGGGTGGCATGTTCAAAAGAGCCGATATTAGTTGAAATGGGCTACCTGGGCCACCTGGGCCAACATGAATATTCTCGGCTCCCCTCTGTGCATGACCAGCATTTATGAGGCTAGATAGTGTTAGGTTATTTGCCCAGCAGAATGGCGATACAACTCTTCAGATACTTACTTATGCATGTTCCTGAGATGGTTTATCCTTGCATTATCAGCCTCACGAGGCATGCCCGGGTGGTGACCCGTGAGGTGATCATCATGGAGCCAGTCGGGATCAGTCGATGACAGAAAAGGGTTCTCTCCCATTCCCCGCATTCTGTGTGGTCGCTCCTGAGGATCTGCCATGGATCCCAGGATTGAATGAATGTTTTGTAGCAGCATCATACCAAGAGGATCGGCGGTAGTGTTCTGCTGGTCATTTGAGCGCGAATTGATTGTTGCACTGCTGAATTGAAAGCGTCCGTCAGGAGATCGATACGTTCTGAAAGAGCTGGGAGGAGAAGCCCTGAAGCCCATGAACCCTGTATTGTCTTCTTCTTCCCATGGGCTGTTGTCTCCCCATGGATCTGGGCGAGAGCGTGCAGGCTCGGGGGTTTCGGGTTCTGGTGGAATCTCGATCTGTGCCAACGTCAGACCGACGATAACGGATAAGGGAGGACTCATACTATTTCGGTGAAGTCAGAGTGACAGTTGGGACATAATAAATCAGGGCCTTTTGGCGACACAACGTCACAGGCATAGCAGTGAATTCGATTGCCATCCATCGCGCAGTGTTGTACAAGGCAAAAGCGACGATGTCTGGCTTAAATCGAGATAAGCGCTTATCTGCGGGGACTTGGGCCGCACCACTTCAGCCTCTCAGAGAGGATCAGAGAGAGAGAGAGGGAGAGAGAGAGAGTAAAAGTGAACTTTTGTGAAGGTGAGAGTGATAGTTAGAACGAGAAGAGAGAAGAGAAGAAGAGAGAACGAGGAAGAGAGGTCAGATAGAAGAGAAAGCGGCTCCAACTCATATGACGTTATCGGCAATCGCCTTGCCTTGAGCTACGAAGTATGAACTGCCACGAAAGAAAAACAATAAGATCTGAGTCTGCCTTGGGGTCGTTTCAGCTCGGAGAATTAGTGTCAAATCGGAGTATAGAGGTAAGGGGGAACTACTTTGTGTCCTGATAACTCGGTATGATCCACCTAAGCTCTTAAGACCGCTCCATAGGTATACAATTGATATTTATACTCTGGATGCCTGACAAAGAAAACGCCTAGGATGCTAGAAAAAGAAATCGCCAATGGCCAATAAAACATCCCAATATACACAATACACAGGCAGTTATACCCCAGTGCTCGGCTGTGCCACAACCCCTGCAGGCGCCAATCCGAAGCATTTACCGTCTCCTGGTGCCCTTGAGAATGAGACTACCAACCACACCAGCGGCCACGGCCAAGCCACCCACAATGGCGATTCCCACCAAGCCTTCCTTGGCCACCTTATCATCAATGAGGGACCCCAGGCTCGCGGCTTGCAGGTTGGCAGGTTCTTTCTCCAGGAGCAAATCGTTGTAGCGCCGAGCCTCTCCGTAGTTCCCTAGCTTGAAGTTACCCAAGCCAAGGTAGTAGAGGCACTCGCGTCGGCGCTCCGGCGCATCACGGAAGATTTCTGAAAGTAAACGGACACCTTCTTGTTGTTCAGGTCGAAGGTTGGATTTGATCAGACCCTATCATCCCCGCAAAAGAGGGTAAAGATTAGCCTAGACATCCTAGGACGAGGCTGAAGGGGTGATTTACCCATGCGTAGTTGAACTTTGTCTGGATTCCGACGTAATCGCCTTCTTTCTCGTATTGCGATCGCAAGACTTGGAGCTCGGCGGGTTTCAAGGGACTGGGATGACATCCATGTCAGTTTCTGTAGCGGGTGTTGGAAGTGTAGCAAACAGACCTTTCCGCATCGGCGGCATCTGGAGAAGCAAAGCGAGTCAGTGTCGGGCATCAGGCACCACTCGAAACAAGCCACTTACAGGGAAGATTGGACATGGCGGCAAGAGTGTTGGCTTGAATGTTATTGACCAGGGTAAGAGGTGAAGCGATCCAAGTTCAAATCGTAAGAAATTACAAAGTATGAGGGGCAGTGTTGAAGCGAAGACACCGAGGATGGAGAAATCCACGGCAACGTCACTTTGCGGAGGAACGTTGTGGCGGTGCTGTGGCTGTTGCCGCAACAAACAAACAACCGTTCAGATGTTCCTCTTAAACAACAACCATGTTGCTCGACGAAGATCCCGGGACTGTACGTAGTGCGCTTTGTGGATGATTTGAACATTGCTCTCTAGAAATATACTGACTATTCCAGTTGATCCACCACACAATCGGCAATTTCAACATCCACCCGGATAAACAAGCCGTTACACGCATCAATGACTCGCTTTCAACTCTCCAGCAGGCGCGTGACCTGCGCATTCGCGAGGCTGAATCGGCCATGCGAAAGCTGTCGCGTCATCTGAATTCTCTTTCGACACAACACGAGGAAGCCGTGGCAGTGCACGATTCAGGCAAACACGCGGCCGAGATTGTCGAGTTGGACACCAAGAAGTTCCGCATTGCCAAGGCCGCATCGGAATTGGAGATTGAAAGTGAACGACTGGAAAGCGAACTGGAAATGCTGAAAGAGAGGCTGGCCGATCTCGAGTCCCAGGGCTTGGAGGGCGATGAGACGACCCGGCGCGAGCGTGAGGCGGACGACGCAACAATGTATGCCGCTGTGTTCCTGCATTGCCTTCTTTCTTTTGCTAATGATCATCTAGCCTGCGCCTCAAGGTCTTCCGTTCCTTGGGTGTCGACATCGAGCCTGATGATGCAGGCAACTTCAATCGGGCGGTTATTCGAAACAGTCGCAAGGGTGATGTTCACGTCGTCAATATCGACCCTAAGTTCTCGCGCTTCTTCTACGCAAACTACTTTTGGTCAACGATGCAGGGATGATCATTTTGAATCATATGGGAGTTTACTCTGGCGTTGCTTGGGGCAGAAGCCTTGTTACGATTATTTTTGATGTTTCTATACCCTTGGATTATTTTGGTTCGTGAATCATACAGCTCTATTCATACATGTCACCCTCTCTATCTGTTTGGCCATGATATATCACTCTGGAATCCAGTCGCACTCAATTGGGTCCAGGCTGCTATTGCTGTTCACGCAGAGCTTGAACGACCTTTGCGCGGTCCGCATCTGCTAAAGGCTCCTGTAACATTCGGGATGAAATATCGCCCGGGAGCACACTCTCCACTGTATCGAGCAATCGCTCTTTGTCACACTGAGACTCCAAGCCCCAAGATGCAACCCATTGCTCCTCGAATTCGGCCAAACCATGCTCCACCTGGTCCATACTAGGTATATCACATCCATCCCAGGTAAGCGCAATCTGCTTGGTAACCGAGCCGAGCTCAGCAGTCCCATACCGGGTTTCCACGCCTAAAGGCCCAATGCCAAGCTCTTCTGCGCGCGAGTTCCACAAAGCCTGTTTCAAACTGCCATCCCGCTCAATCATCATCCAAAAAATGGGATATGCACTGCGCGCTAGCGTGTCGCGAACACCCTTCGTTGCCTCGCGGGGACTCACCAACACGCCGACAGTCTGTCCCGTGCGCCACCCTACAGGCGCCTGGCGCAAGGATCCTTCCAGCTCGCGGACGATGTTGGGCCCAACTTTTGTCTTGAGGGCTTTGCACTGTACTATTACGCGTAGGGCCCGCTCCCGCTCTCGCTCGGGTAAGTGCCAGGTGCCAACGAGATCGATGCCTGCATCGTCGCGTCCACCAATTCGATTGAGACTCAGCGCATAGCGTCGGAGGGTTTCCTGCACGGTGTATTCGTAATGTGTACCGACGTATACGGTGCTTGTTTCTGAGAGAGATATGTGCTTTGCATAGGAGAGAAAGTTGGTCATGTCATTGTGTTGCGAGAGCGATGATGGAGGGGAGGGTAGCTTGAAGAGCCGACGAGTGAATGGAGTCAATTCATTATAGATCCGAGAACTGGAGAATAATCGATTCAACTTAAGTGTGTGTCTCGCAGCAGAGCCTAGGAACGGCATTGAGCTGAAGGTAATGAAGAGGAAAAAAAGACCTCACCGCATTGAAGCTCTCCGCTCTCCGCTCTCCGCATTTGCTCCGCGCTCTCTCTTTCACTCACCTACTCTTACTTCACTATTATCTAGCGAGTCGCCATCATGGCAGACATCCTAACGCAGCTCCAAACCTGCTTGGATCAAGTACAGCTTCCCTGATACGCATGTGTGAAAACCCCCGCTCATATGAAACAGCTCGCAACCCAATTCTACGCAACACTCGGCTACCTCACTACATACCACGACAATGCTCCTACAACACCACCAGCCCATGTCGCAGACGCGGTACCCGCACTAGCAAAGATTACCAAGAATTCCTCCTCGCCACCCGTCCCAGCAGCCATCGCCAACAAGGCCGGTGGCGCCGCAGCCGTCGCAGGGAATGCATCACCACCAGCAGCCCATCCCCAACAGCCAGGCGCAGCACCCGCAGCGATAGGCGAAGACCCCAACCTCCCACCCGCGCCAGACTCACCACGCACATTCGCAAGCCGACAGCGGGAACTTGCGCGCGACCTGATCATCAAAGAACAGCAGATCGAATACCTTATCTCTGTACTTCCGGGAATCAGCATGTCCGAGGCAGAGCAAGAAGGCCGGATTCGAGAATTGGAAGTTGAGCTCCGTGGAGTGGAAATTGAGCGTGTGGGGAAAGTGCGCGAGCTGAGGAAGTTGAGAGCCCGATTGGAAAATGTTCTTGGGGCGGTTTCTACGGGGATTCATGGTGATGCGGATGCCCGGGATTGACCTTGCTTTTTTCTCCTTGAGGGTTGGATCTGGCGCTGTGTTTTGTGCTCTTTCATACAAAGTCATTTCAGGCGTTGTGGATATGGATGGGTTTGGCTTGTTTTCTGTTTTTCTGTTGCATGTAACTCACGAATGCCATATGATACCGATTTCGTTCTATATCTGGTTTTATGTTGGGATACGAGCTTAAGTATTCTCTAGGGCTCCCGTGGCCATATCACTGTAGCCCTGCATACTATTGATCACTATATGAAAGATCAATGGATGGGCTAGCTGTTTTTCATATTGAGTAGCCTCGAATTTATTATTCATTGGAGTACTAATCACCTGTTTGAAGTCGCAGCGAAAAATAATCCCAAAACCCGTTTTCTTTACTCAATTTGAAGTTAGCCCTAACTGTAGCCACATCAACCAGCATCAGACCCCTACTCCCTTTCTCATATCTGAACCAACCAATCCAACAGAGCTCTCTAGCACCTCCCAACACCATTCCCTCCTATCTGATTACCATGTCAGCTTATCATATATTCAAAGACAACCAAATCTCAAACATACCACCAAACCCCTATCTCAATCAGCCTCAGACCACGAACCATCAGTCCGGTTCCCATCCTGACCCTGCCCCTCCACATCCCGACATTTCGGCAGCGTAGAAGGAGCAGACGGAATAGGCGTAGGGGGCGCACCAGGCCAAGTCCAACACCACAGTCGCTTATACCCATTCACACAACCATTACCAAACCCAGAACAACAACTACCCATATAAGGAAACGCCGCTCTTTCAAGGCCGCATATTCGTTTACCAATGTTATCACCCACAGACCACCACATCAGATACCCCATTTTTGGATGGTGACCGTGGAGAGCGAAGGTCGTGTGGTTACGTATGTCGTCTTCGACGCCGCCGCAGCTGGGCCCGTCGCCGTGCCAGGTACAGGCGCCTGCGACGTTGAAGAAGGTGCAGCACCATGCGTTTGGTAGGGATGCTGCGAGGGTGAGTATTTGTAGGCGCATGCTGGTTTGGGGGATGAATTGGAGTGGTGGGTTCAAGTGGGATTGGGATTGGTTTGTATGAGTTTCTGATTGTCCCTTGTGGATTTATATATCGTCTTTGAGTGGGACTGAAAAATTCTCGCAATAGACTTTGTTGATACCTTCCGTTGTTACCAGCCTGGAACCTATGAGCTGGCGACGAAATAGCGAGAGCGGGGATTGCAAAAGGACATAGTCCGGTGAAGTCCGAATGCTCATTGATGATTTCATATGATCATGAAGATTTGACTTCAGGGCCGGGTGTATACAAATCAATTCCTCCGGGAATTGTCGATTTACCTAGTTGGACATAGGGTTTTCGAAACGTGTTACAGATCCTCAAGCAGAACCGGGTCTGTGAACGAATGTAGACAGAGTAGCGACGATTGTCAACAATGAACTAAGTCTAGACTTTGGAATGCAATATTAGCCGATGTTGATGCTTTGTGGGATTCCAGGCTGCCAATCAATCTCATGCGCTGCTCGGACTTAGGCGTGCGGTCCCCGGGGGTATCTATGAAGGTTGAGGCACTGTAAGTTTGCGGAATGGACAATACACTCTAAATGACCTTGCAGGAGATCCGAATGGCTGGAGATGGAGCGTGATCTAGATTAAGTATTCGGGGAGGGCAGATCCATACCTGAGTACCTATAGTCCATGATCGCATGATACTAATTGACTTTGTGATATAGCATCTTCCTTGTAGCGGTGTAGCCAAGCCTATTGTTAAAAGTGTAGATTCTATATGTCAAGATTAAAAATGCAAAAGCAAGCTTGAGATCTAGGAAAGCAGATATAAGGTATAATCAACGTAATTATGATGAGAGTGTTTCGCACGGTCTTTGAAAAGGCAAAGCGAAAATAATAGTTGCCCGGTGTAGCATCGCATGGGGATCATGAAAAGTTGTAAAAATAGGTAATATGAACGCCGTCTCCTTTTCCGGGTATCACGAGACAAAAGCAGTGAGCAACAGGACAGGCGGGATATCAAATAAAACGCAGGAAATGAACTGGAACCAGTTAATAGTATGGGAGAGCAAATAAGAGGAAAGCATGCAAACTGTGCTTGGTAGAGAGAGAATCACTTGAAGAGGGTGCGGTATTCGCGCATTCGAGCCTCTTGTACTTCTTTCTTGCCCAATTTTTGTCGGTTCATCGTCATGTCAGCTTCCCGTTGTTTCTTTTGGGCAAGTTCAAGGATTTTCTCCTCGATACTCTCCTTCATGATCAACTGATAGATTCTCACGGGACGAGTCTGACCGAGTCGGTGAACTCGATCAACCGCCTGAGCAACTGCGGCCGGGTTGTACTGAGGCTCCATGATGAACACTTGTGACGCTGAAGTTAGATTCAGACCCACGCCACCAGCGCCGATAGTGGCCAGCAGAATAGTGACAGAGTCATCTGTTGCAAAGCGTTCCAGTGCTCGCGTACGAGCAGTAAGTGTCATGGTGCCGTCGAGGCGGGTGAAACCACTTAGGTTGCTGTTGTTCAACGCAATCTCAATTAAGTCGAGGTGGGAAGTCCAGGCGGAGAACACAACACTTTTGATTGGTGGCTGGCCCACCAGCTCCTTGCTTTGCTCGACAGTGTCTAGCAGATAGTTTACCAGTGCGACGGTTTTGGTATGTGGGCCCTCGTAGTCCCCGAAATTCTTACCGAGCTTGCGTGTTTGGCGCTCAAGATCCTCTTGGGCCTCATGACTTGCAAGGCCAGCAGGTGTGATTGCAGAATAGTTGTTGGCAATCCAGCCATCGCAACTGGGGCATCGAAGCTCATTTTGAATTCCGGAGTCGAACGCAGGTTTATAGCCTGAAAAACAGCTTGGGCAGAAGACATCCCAACAAGGTAGGAAGAACGCTTGTGGGACTTTGGTGGCGACCTCCCCGGATGAAGTGAGTGACTCCTGCAGGGTTTCATTGCATTGACTGCACCTGGGAGTCGATGCAGCAAGCATGAGTTGGAACATGCTATATGCCTTTTTGTCGATAGCTCCGGCATTTTCATCGAGCTCCGCCTCTTCCAAGTCAATGGCATCGTTGGGCGAAAGGCCTTTGGCCCTGTCACGGTCTGAGGTGTCGAGAAGCTCTTTTCCATGAGCACTGACTTGTCGGAGGATCATCATGGCTTTCAAAACATGGTGATACATCCGGCCACCCATCTTAGTCTTGTCCTCTCCAGCAATGACCCGCATCATGACCTGTGATTCACTGCGGAAGAAGTCATGTAACTGTTTCTCCTTCTCATTGAAGTTAAGCATAACAATTTGTTCATCGCGAGGAGGCAGGTTGATCTTATCCTTCACTCGACGCAAGGTGAATGAGTCAACAATCACACGCAAGTTAGTCAAAGAGGGATTTCCGCTCTTCACCGGGCCTGAGATATGCTGACTGAACCAGGCTCGTTCGCTGTAGGGGTATATCTGCAAGAAGTTGGTCACCGAGAACAGATCATCCATTCGGTTCTGAATGGGCGTTCCAGTGACCGACCAACGACGCTCAGCATGAAGACTGAGAATAGCCCTGGTCTGTGCAGCGTTCCTTTCACGAATAGTGTGTGCCTCGTCAAGAACGATCCTAAACATGTTCATCCGCGTCAGAGGGCTGATTTTCCCGGTTTTCGCGCCACGCCCTAGAATTTCACTGTGAATGGTGCTGTATGTGGTGATGACGATGTCATGATCAGAGAGCTCATCCAAGTCGTTGGTGCGAGTCGGACCGTGGAACACACAGACAGAGAGGCTGCGCGGTTTCAGGTGGTCTCTGATCTGTGCTGACCAGTTGCTCACTGCACTCAGCGGAGCAACGATGAGTGTTGTGCGTGTGTTCCGAATACCCGGAACATCACGAACAAGGTGTGGAGAGGGGGCTAACTCCGTCCACTCATTCGCCTGATCCAGCGAGGACGTGATCAGCGAGAGGATGCTCAGGGTCTTTCCCAAGCCCATCATGTCAGCCAGCAGACCACCCAGCGCCTCCGGGGGCTTTTGATCCATGACAATTCCACTGATAATTTCTTTGTATTGTCTCTTGCCATCGGCTCGGATTGACTCTCTCCACAAAGAGTTATTATCCTTTTCTCGGGGACCAAACTTGCGCGGCTGCTCCTTGTCTGTCATAAACCAGAGCGCTTGCTTCTGGTGATGCAGGAGCGGCGTCAAGATATGTGGACTCGGCTCCATGGTTGGAATATCCGATTTGATGAGTTGATCAAACATCTTGGTCACCGCATCGTGCACTTCTTCGGCTGTTCGAGTCTCATACCTGATTGTTGGACCGAGACGTTCACGGCTGGTACTGGCAACAGCCGCAGCCGCGGCATGTTGGCGCCGCAGCTCTGCATGGGGATTGAAAGTTGGAGTTCCATTTTCAACAGAATTCGGCGTACCAAGCCAGACATTGCGGTGGGCAAGGAACCTCCCAATACCGTCTGCTCTCTGTCGCTGTCCATAGACATTGATCGTCGCATGCCAAAAGCCTGAAGTAGGGGCCCAAACGGATTCGCCAAGGTACCTTCTTCGGGTATTTAGCCGAGCAGTAACATCAACAGTGCTGATCGCGGTGTCATCAAGAAGCGGACACAGTCCCTGCGCAGTCTTGGCATCAATCTTGCCGAAGATGAAGTTGTGAGGATCAACGACATTGATCTGTGTGTCTCCCTGCCTGATATTTGCGGGCCGCCTGAGCTCCACTTTCATCGATGGCCAAGAGTTTTCATCGATGAAGAATGAGGAGTCTGTAGGCTTAGGGACGAAAGAAGCTTGGATCAAGGCACCATCTATTTTGCCATAACAAACACGCTGGGTGCTGAGATCAGTCGATCCCGTGCATTCAATCTCATCATCCTCGTCTTCTTTGGTGGTATCGGCAAGGTCTAGTAATCCATCAGAACCTTCCAGATATGATCAAACTGTAAAGTAGTTGTCTTACCTTTCGTCAGATCAACCGTGTCAAACGCAGTGCTCGGGGTGGGACCTTCCTCCCCCTCCTTCATCCATTTCCCAAGGCCATTGGAACCAGCAATTGATATCTGTGTGTTAGCTGCACTGGACTGCTCATTCGCTGTTTTGACCCGTTTCACAGGCTGTCTCTTTCGCTGCTCCGCGCCGTATACATCTGCAATGAGATTGCGCTGGTCGGGCTTGTCTTCGTCATCGCTCAATTCATGGTAACTGCGCTTGGCGTCACTTTCATTCTCGTCATCTTGAGCAGTCGAGAATTGTACTTCGAGGTTTCCCATTGACTGCGGGGCAGGGCTCGAAGCCGTTGAGTTAATGGTGATCGGTGTCCGGGGTGTTGGTTCACGGCGCTGTGTAACTGTTGCAGTGCCCGCTGGGGCCATTGATTGCTTTCCTGTGTGATCCAAAAGTAAGCCCGGGCACTCTGGTTCCGCTGAAGATGTTTGGGCCATTGGGGGCAGGGTATCCATGACGGGTAGGCTCCGCAAGGGGAATTCTGAGACTGAGTTGGGCGGCTCTGCAAGCTCGGTCGGCTCTTCAAGTTTTGTGGTGGCATCACTCTGCGGATCGTGTGAAACGCAAGCCGTATCCAAGGGAAAGGGCTCTGGAGATCTGGCCGCACATTCCATGTCGAGATGAAGATCGGTTGCAGAGTCGGCAGGAACAGGGAACGTTCCAATCTGTGTTTCAGAATCCACTTGAGGCAACAAATTGACATCGTCCTCGGGAGGGGCATGTTCATCTGTAGGGCCAGCCGCACATTCCATGTCGAGATCAAGATCGGTTGCAGAGTCGACAGGAACGGGGAACGTTCCAACCAGTATTTCGGAATCCACTTGAGGCAACAAGTCCCCATCATCCTCGGGAGGGACAGGTGCATCTGTAGGTATAACTTGCAAGCTATCCAGAGAAATGGCGGGTGTGCATATCTCGGTCGCAGCTTCAGCCTCTTCTCCGATGTTGCCTGATGTATCCATGGGAGGAAACAACGATGCAGAAAACGGCACCTCGAGTAAATCAGAAGCAAGAGGCAAGGCATGGTTAGAATGACGATCCAAATGGCCAGGAGAATCCGTGGGTGGCTCGCCGGCCTCATTGCTAAGGGAATCCATGGGTAAAGAGTGATGTGATGGGAAGGAATTGGGATCATTACCATTGCGTTGGGCTTGTCTTTTGGCGCCTTTTGGGTCCAGTAGCATCGCAGGGTTGGATGCCATGGTGTTCAGTTGCTGTCGGTGATGTCTTCTGAAGTGTGTATGGCTTTGGTAAATAGCCGTGCTGAAGAGAAAGTGATTGGATGTCAGTTGATGAGATATGCGACGGACGAGTTTGTTGTTTTGACCCACGAAGAATTTTGCGCTCAGTATCGAGTCTTTTGGGACTGGCAATAATTAAACCTATGATCGAAGATCAAAGGAAAAGAAGCACTCGCGATTGTGGTCAGGTGGTCGTAGATGAGAGGAAGTTGGTTGTAGATTGGGGGAAGATCCGCCTGACTTGATGAAGGTTTGGCTTGTGCTTCGAGATCGGATTCGAGGGAACCTTTTGGGGTCAGAGTCAAGTAAATGAATTAACGGTGAGCGAGAGGAGTTGCGCTGATGGTTCGATCAACGATTCGAGCGTCCTCCAGACGCGTCAGTCGCAAAGTCTCCGGCGGCATTGAAAGCGAGGATACGGGAGTATCACGCGATAGAGATGAGTTTCGCACCCGTCTCACTTGCTTAGCATATGTGAGATGGAAGATCACGCCGAGCTTTGGTCGCGATCCAGTCGGCGCCTCGCGATTTGCCTTATCGAGGGACGATGACGACGATTTCAATATCAAGCTCACCACCGGTATTTATTTCCAGTAGCCAAAGATCTTTTGAGGTCGTCCTCTTCTAGAGTCGACCCAAATACATCTAGGAAGTTGTGTAGTGGCGGAGAGTTGCAGTGATCTGAAGTCGGGCACCTCGGAGGATCTCGCCGATAAGACCTTATCGGCCCGCGTATCAATCTTCGACTAGATGGACTCGAAGTACAGGGGTAAAAAGTAGGTTGAAAAATGGGAGAGAGTTGAGCAGGTGAATAGCATGAATAATAGGGGATATTGATCGAGAGCTAATCAAGAGATACATTGAGACGCGTGACATATACCCCCGCTGCGCTTATTCGCCATTTAGATCACCACGCTAGATCGATGTCTCAATCCGGGGTATTTCTGCTCGGCAAGAGCCTAGGCATGATTTAGTATTTTTGTCATAGTCATAGAACTGAGGAAAAAATTACCGAGAAATTGTGCAATTTGGACAGTTTCAATCCTGTCGAGTATAACAGGTTACGCCAGGGCTCACATGATGCAGCACCCTTCAATCTTATAGAGCCAAGTGCACTTGATCCAACAACTTTATGTCAAATCAGAATCATGATCTAGATATTATGCGAAGACCTGTACGCTGTAAACTAGACTATAAAGGTATCATAGAATTAAGGCTCATCAATATGCTACATGAGGCAGATCGCTCAATCAATGCGCCTAGAACCAGGGCAATCCAACAGCCAAAGAAGATCTATATACATGGGAATCTCCCAAATCATGAGCATGTCCAGAAATGGACTCGTGGGAAATATCACAGAAAGGGGACGAAGTGAAATGGCGAGAGATTGACCAGAGGTTGGGACCGGCCATCGACAGACGGTACAGTGTTCCAACATGGTCACCATATCGCGGTAGGAAATGGTCGCAAATTAAACGAGACGGGAAAAAATTGTGATAAGGTGAACAAGAAAGAAAGGTAGAAAAGTCGGTACGAACGGACCTCAGCACCAAGTAAAGACCGGGTTCTTGCTTTTGACGGCTTCCAAGCGCTCGACAATTACTTTGCGCTGATTACCTTCCATGCCCTCGGCAACCGCATAACCGAGATCGCCTTCGAGGTCATCACTACCGAATGTATTGACTCGAGGAGCACGGTATGACAGAGAGCCTCCGTTCTTGCGGTGCTTTTGCTGGCGGGGAGGAAGTGAGGGCCATCCATCCAGAGAACCCCCAGCACCGTCCGTGGGTCGACGGCCGAGTTCAGCGTCGTTCAGAGTTGCCGGGCTACCAATCGAACCATCAGCAACGCTATCAACCTCAGCTCGACCACGGGTAAGTTCGAACCGGTTTGGGTTGGGGAGATCGCTGGGAGACGAGTTCAATCCCAATAAATCGTGCTCGGGGAGTGGTTGGGAGGAGATGGATGCGCCGATATCCATCTCTTCTTCATCAGGGTCGTAATTCGTATATTGGTTTCTTGATCGGTCTGTGGAAGGGGCACGCATGGGGATGGCAACGGGTACATCAACCAAGTCGTCCCATACACAAACTCGTGTTCGGCGGGTTAGTTCAAGTGGGCCGTGATCTGGCTGTTTCAGAGTTTCCACAACGTTCCAAGCCTGGCCTTTCATCACAGCAATCTGTCGCGCAAACATGCTTTCCTTGAAATCGTCATCTTGCGCAAAGACACTACGTAAAGCCATCTGAGTCCCGCTCCACCAAGCAGTTGATGTGAGCAAGGGAAGGAAATGGTCGCGAGTTTTCTGTGAGAAGGGCTGTCCGATCAACGAGACTGGTAGGAAAAGCCAGCCGAAGGGGAAGCTGCGCCACTGTAGAATCGGTTAGTATAAGACTTCTGTGACCCTACATATAGAGAATGGAACAAGACATACGGCATCTGGATGCTTCCATGGCCAGGATAAACTGTTATCAATAGCACCAAGTTGGACAGAGGCTGATTGCTCCGAAGAGGCCAGCGGAGTGCCCGTGCGACTGATGGCCATCATCGTCTCGTGTCGCCGGTAAGGATGAGTGGAGGGGGTGGGTGTGCCGTTTGAGTTCACGGAAACTGGACGGGCCGGAGGCATGAGCTCATCTTCATCATGCTTCGGTTGCGGCTCATTGGCCTTGGGGGGTTCTGCCACAATGGAAACTTGTTCTGTGCCCCAGTCGATTTTCACCATCCAGTTGTCGAGGCCGCGATCGGTATTCCGCATGATGTAATCCAAGATGACAAGCTTTTCTAGTTCCTCGCGGAAGGATTGTTTAAGGTTTTCAGTCCAGTAGAAACGGCGTTCAGAGCCTTCGTCGCGGGATCCCGGTGGTGAGGGTACGTAGCCGGGGTCCTCGTCATCCTCGTCATCCGATTGAGCCCCCGAAGGACGACAGGCTTCGTTCCAAGGTCTCTTCTTGCGTTTTGGTGCATCTTCGGCGCGGAATCCAGTATTGGTCTGATCAGGCCAAGGGTGTTCGCGCAAGAAGATATTGGCATCCTTGAATCCCTTCAGGAACACCTGGAAACTGCCTGCTTTGTGGGGCAAGTTCTTCTTCCCCTTCCACGCCTTTCTGCGATCCCAGAAATCATAGAAGAACGATTTTGAGGACAATCGCACAATTCCAGTGTAAGGGACCAGGTTCGTCCGTAGGCGGGCGTCTAGAACATAGGCGGCAGCCTCGGAGACATATGAGAGATTGGGAATAAGACAGGCGCGGCCGAAGAAGCAGGGGAACAAGTTGCGATGGATCCACTTGGTCCATTTGGGGTTTCGAGAGGCGTAGGGCTCCTCATCCTTGGGCTTGAAGACACCGACTACCTTCCCTTCCGTGTTTCGAGCAAAATAGCTACCGGAGCTACCCTGTGAGATCATCCGGGGATGTACTCCCATCTCAATGGCGACCCGAACGCTTTCGATGATTTCCTCGTATTCGGCGCGGGCCTGCCTTTGCTGGCCTTCAAACTCATCGGACTCAAGAGCTTCCGCGGTGATAGGTTGAACTCCAGGGGGTGCTTGGAAAACAGAATGGTAGATTTCCAGTTTTTCCTCCTCGTAGCTCTTGCCCTTGACGCGGTTGATCTTGAACTTGGAGGCAATCTCCTCTGCCCATTTTTCGAGACGCGCGTTGATCGCTTTGATGTCCACACCGGAGTTTCGACGGCCGCGAGAGTATTGGAAGCCGCTATGCCTGCGTTGGTGGCCTGGGGGTGTGTGGAGACCGGACGCCTGCATCTGGGCTCGGGAGGAGATGGGAGCGTATCGAGGAGCGGAGGTGGATGCCGTTGAAACTGCGGCGATCTCATCGTCCTCTGAATCATCATGAAGATAGCCGCGTTCTTCTTCAGCCTGGGCCAGACGGGCGTAGCCCGAGGTGGCAGGGCGGTTTTTCGGCATGGTGAGGATAGCTGGATCTATGAGACGCGAGGGTAAAGAGGCGATTCAAAGGAAGGCAGGGCTGGCAAATGAAAGGACAAGAAAGGATATCAATCCATTACAAAGAAGAGAAGAGAAAAGAAAGGACCGCGGGTGTAATGTAGAGTTGACCGAGTCAAGGCAGTGAAATATGTCACCTATGTCCAGACACCCAAGGGCAAGGGGCGTTTCGGGGGTCTGTACGAATACGATTAATTTACACAGGCGGTAGATCCTCATCCGGGCAGAGTGCACCTAAAGTATGGGCAGAATGTGGCAGAATACAGACGACGAGTGCGCGGCTGGCAGGTCCACCGGGTAAAGTACAGTATTACCATTACGCACCGCCACAGACCGGCTCCACCCCCTAATCGAAAGGGGCCCTCGATGCATCATTTACATCATTTACATGTGTTTAGACGTGGGAATTGTCCTTTGCGACGGGATTTGCTTCTTGGATCGTGGACACTAGGACCAATTGGACTATTTGACAACGGTTTCCATTTGGGATCCTCCGTACTCTGTACTCCATACTTCATACGGAGTAGTCCATGCCACAGGCGCCACGCTGTCCAATATCCAATCTGGAGGTTCTTATGCACGTCTGATCCATTGACCAGGATGAAGTACTTCGTACATCAGAGATGTACTCTGTACATGTTGATAGACATGGCAATGTTTTTAGGTGGTAGTGCAATATGCCATGGACATTCCACCCTATGGGGCAATCGTTATCCCGATTGTTATTATCGTCTTATCGTAGATCTCAATTCTGCATCTTCTTCTTACCCCTACCCTCACCATTCTGCCATAATGTCTTTAATTTGAATGACGTTCATTAATCCCTCCCTCGTCCTTTGTTGAACCCTACTACCACTTAGGCCCTTTGCCGCCGTCAACCAATTGCGCGGAACCTGCGAGCAAGAGGATCCGTCTCGATACTGATCGACTCCGACGTGTGCACCGGCTGTCTACGATCGCAATTGTTGCGCGCTTGAATTGACTTACGGCTTCCCTCCAATTCGGTCCAGGGCCGGATTTCAATCGACACCAGCCCTCTCCCCTCCACGGTGGCTTCCACCTTATATCGGGCGTCGCCCATCGACCCGGCTCTCAAACCCGGCTCTTCTGCGGACGGTGACTTCCCTTACGATTTGCCCGAGAATTCTACGCGTCAACCGTCTACTGGATCCGTTTCCTTCTCTGCTACCCTGCCTGATTTCAAGAGCGCGACCAAGTTCGGTTCGATAGATAACGACGGATATCCAGGCTCGTCTGTGAGCACATCGCTGCCAGGTTTAGCAGCTCTTGCCTCGGTTGCCTCTGCACCCACCTCTAATCTCCGGTTCGTCGAACCCCCATGACTACTTACTTTCCAATGCCTTGGAATTGGATGACATTGCGTAAATCTCAATGGAGTCAGATTTCAACCCTCCGTATCTTGGCCCCTCTTTACTGCATACGAAACAACACCCCCAATAAGCGACTAATTCCTTTTTCAATCAGATCATCAAGTGATGCCAGTATGAGCATGACGAATATGACCTATGCTTCACCGGCTGCGACTACGGGAGGACAAGGGAATGGACCTGTAAGTGTTATCGGCTTATCTCTGCAGTTATCGAGAGGTCTTGGCACCACTCGATCCGTGCACCCGCTTTTTCCCATTTCCTTATCGACTCAAATCTCTCACAATCTTATCATCTCTCCCATCTCTATTCCTCTCCTCTTTTTTTGACTCCTCGCAATGGCAACCACATTGGCTGATGACAAGCGAACGCAATTACAGCCTGTCTGTCAAAATTGCGGTACCTCCACCACCCCCCTGTGGCGCCGGGACGAGCAAGGCTCTGTCCTCTGCAATGCCTGTGGCCTCTTCCTGAAGCTACACGGCCGAGCTCGCCCGATAAGCTTGAAAACAGACGTGATCAAGAGTCGCAATCGTGTCAAGACTGGTCAAGGCCCTAAGCGCAAGGTGAGTCGCGATCAATTTTTTTTTCCTACCTCCCTCTGGAGTTCCTACCTCCCTCTGGAGGATCTGTCCGTCCGAGATAAGAACATCTGCTGACCGAGATCGTCCTACCCTAGTCCGGTGGCCCTGTGGATAGCAATGGCCTCCCATCCCGATCTGAGGCAGAGTCGCCTCCTCTAGGATCCCATGGATACCGTCGCGCGTCGCGCAAAATGTCCCCAGGTCATTCGGATCGCTCAAACTCTCCCGTCTCCCGCACCGAAACACCTGGCTTCGGTTCCTCGATGCACGCCCATAACTCCAACATCGCCCCACAGCACATGTTCGACAGCGTCACCTTGGGAGACGGCATGAGCTCATCCACCGGTCTCCCCTCCCGCCAGATGCGCCAACCCTCCCCCTCCGCAGTCGAACGCCAACTCGACTCCCCTCACACCTTCGAAAGTCTCATGGCCCTCAACACATCCCTGAAGACTCGCGTCAGTGAATTGGAATTCGTCAACGAGCTCTTCCGCGGTCGCGTGACAGAACTCGAACAAAGTGACGCCAGCGCGCGCCGCTCGGAGATGATCGTCCGCGACTCCGAAGTCCGTCTCCGTCGTTCCCTCGAAGACTCCCAGCGTCGCGAGGAGGACCTCAAACGTCGCGTCAGTGACCTCGAACGCCAGCTCCCTTCCAGCAGCGGTGACGCAGACTCAGGAGAGCCCCTCGCTAAAAAGATCCGCTTGTCTGATGTCGTGGAAACTGATGAAGTCCCCGTCAAATCTCCCAAGAGCGTTTAGTTGGCCCCTGTCGCGCTTTGGCTCTTTGATTTTTTCACTTGCCTGTATGCTAACCTGGCTTCATCTGATCTTCCTGATACCCTTCACGGCTCCGTCATTACTGGCTGGAATCTTTACCCCACAAAAGCTGAATCTTGAACGGTTTCAATTCTTATTTTCTTACGTTGGGATGTTTCGAATGTCCTCTATAATTGTTTTTTCTTGCCGTGTTGTACGAATTCTTCCACTATGCTTCTAATACTACATCCATGGATGCCTATCCTTCTCTTCTTTCGCCCCATAAGACTCTGAAGATAGATGTATCAGTAGGTATAACACTAGGGTATTGTGTGTAAATCTACTCTGATCGAACCTTGGGAATTCTACCAGGGCCCTATAACATGTGTAGATGAAGATCCGCAGCGCCATAGGGAACACTAAGACAATGGCTATGACTGTGCAACCATGGAAGCGTTCAACAGAGAAAAAATAAAATTGTGAAGACGGTTATAATAAAGTCAAGGCCAGAAATCCCACAGACTCCCGTCAGTCAAACGCAAGGTGTCAAGTCTATCAAACAATGCATGGGTATACCAAGTGGCCATAAATCCGTCATGAGATGCAATCTATACGAAATCACAGCGAAAAGAAATTCAAAGATACCTGACTAGATCAGGATGTAGTTTCGCCCTGGCGAGTAGAAGCAGAGCCCAATTACGCAAGTCTGTGATCCAGCTTCCTGTTAATGGCATTATGAACATTCCTCTCTCGGAGAATACTCCACAGACACACTCCGATACCCAGCAAACCAGAGATGAAAGTCAGGAAGTAAGCAGAGCGGTAGCAGCCCAGGCCATCTGGACATTCGCGATCACCATCTTTGCCAACGACGGAGTGTCCGTCGTAGATGTTGCCGTAGAGCAGGTTGAAGACGTTACCGCTGAAAACGGGAGCTAGTGTCATGACGCCCCAGTTCTGGGATAGACCTTTGATCCCGAAGGTGTGTGCCGTTAGGGACGGGAAGACGCCGAAGAGGAAACCGTAAGCGATTCCTGTTAAGCCTGAGACAATGACGAGGCTGTTTGGGTTGGAGATTGTGGTTCCGGCTAGTTGAGTGAGGGTGAAGACCACTGCTGAAAAGAAGAGGCACCAGAAGCGGGACATGCCCAGTTTCTTGACGAGGAGGTCGGAGCCGATACCGCTGGAAAGACGGCCTAGGAAGTTACCGAAGGAAAGGATGGAGACGTGCATGACTTGGCGGTGCTGGATGAAGACATCTGTCGCACTGTCGTCGTAGTAGAGCCATAGGGCTTTGACGCTGTTACCGATGTTGTTGATGGTCATCAAACCGATACCGGAGAGTAGGGCCATGGTCAGGAAAAGTTGCCAGAACTCAGCCTTGCGAAGCATGGCGAGGCCTCTGATATCGAGGTGGTGAGATTCATGGTCCACCTCTGCGAGGAAATCATCGTCCAGAGTATCGAAAGATGGACGTGGACGGTCAATTCTAGATACTAATGACGATCTTTCGTCGTCGCCATATGACTGACGGTTTGACGCGCTTGAATGCGATCGCCCATGTGCGGGATGTTGACCATGCTCGAATGCTGTCGACCCATGCAGGCCGGTGTCTTCAGCTTCCTCTGGGACGGAATGAAGGTCAGTGGGGTTGTGCAGCCTTCCTGATTCGGCAGCACTGTGAGGAATAGACGAGTAAGGTTCGCTAGCCAGAATGCGAAGGAATGGAATTGAGCAAAAGGACAGAACGGAGGTTCCAAGCGCTAGAAGCAGTAGGAAGCGACCGGTATCGTCTTTGAAGATCAGAGTCGAGATATTGGACCAGAACAGTGCACTCAGTCCAAAGGCAGCCAGTGGGAAGGCGGTTGCCGTGCCGCGATGATCAGGGAAGTTGGATGCCGCTAGATAAATTAGATCAATCCACCCTAGACCCTGGTCTGGATGTTCCATACCTGTCTTGATAGCTCCACCAAATGCCGAGCAGCCACCCATACCTGTAAGGAAGGTGAAGAAGCATAGGAACACAATAGGCATTGACCCTTCGCCGTTTTTATATGCTGTGAAAATAGAACAATTAGGTATGTCCCACACGAGCAGGGTTTCATCACTTACCCAGATAAATGGGGAAATACCCCAGGCCCAAGGCAATTGAACCGATCAAAGTGATCAGTTGTGGCCCACGGGCATCGGTCAACAAGCCCATCGGAATTCCCGTGGCATACATCCCGAGGTTCCCCGCAACACCCTATAGCTGGTTAATCTCCGACTTTCCCTGCACCTTGCCTATCACTCACAATCAAGTTGCTTTCCGTCGATGACAGCTTCATCTGCTGGGCGAATTGGGGCGCCCATGCGGAATATGCATACTATCACGTGTTAACTTTGGACTCGACCAACGGCAAATATCACTGACATTGGTTCCGCATGACAGGGCGACCAGCGTCCCTGCGATCACGGAGATTGTCCGGGCTGTTTTGTGTATGGGGGCGGCCATGTTGTAGGTCTGTTCGACTGGTACTCTCGAGCTGAGCACTTCTACTTTCCACCAAGCAGCCTCGACAAGAAAACGACAGAAAAAAAACGAATGTAAGAGAGTCGAGGGTACAAGACAGGAGTACAGAGTGTCGGGGAAAGGAAATGTCCGCTTATCAGTCACGTAATCTCTCTGCCGCGTCAGTATTTCTCCACGTCATGACGCTGTTTACTGTTTAGTTGCTTATATGACGAATATATATATATACTTAAGTAGAGATAAATTGACATGAAGAACTCTGTATATACTAATGAAGGAGTTGTTATCTGACTATACTGTATCCCTTAAATTGTGTCCATACTTGCATAGAAGTGTACTACGCACTTTGTACTGTGTACTTCGTATTCGTATTACGTAACCCCATGACGCCCCCGGGGCCGAAGGCGGCAGGTGCCTGCGATCTCCAATCTCCACCTCCACAAGTCACTACTCGTACTCCATACATCTTACTACTACAGGACCGAGACAGGTTACTGAACTCATCTCCCATGGGCGCTCTTCTCTCCATTCCGCTCTTGGCGGTGCCCAGTGTGGGCACGGTATGTGGACGCCCAACGCTACCTTCAGCCATCGCGCAATGAACTAACATCGCCCTCGATAGCTCATCACGGTCGCAGGATCATGTTGCGGAGCGGCAACATGCTCTGCGGTCTGCAGTGCCTGCGGAAAGTTTCAGAACAGGTACGCCATCCCACGTCGAGTGCGGAGATCCGCGCGCTAACAGGATCAGTATGGCAACGAGAATCGCCTACGCCTTCATCCTTCTAATCAACTCCATCATATCCTGGATCATGCTTACACCCTGGGCCTTGAAGAAGCTCCAGCACCTGACCCTGGACTATATGGAAATTCAATGTGACGGCAAGGAATGCCATGGCTGGGTGGCCGTCCATCGCATCAACTTCGCTCTCGGTCTCTTCCACTTGATTCTCGCCCTTCTGCTCCTCGGAGTGAAGAGTTCGAAGGATACCCGCGCCGCGATCCAGAATGGCTACTGGGGCCCCAAGGTTATCCTCTGGTTGGCCTTTGTCGTCGGGTCCTTCTTTATCCCCGAGCCCTTCTTCTTCGTCTACGGCAACTACATTGCCTTCTTCTGTGCCATGCTCTTCCTCCTCCTAGGTCTGATCCTGTTGGTGGATCTCGCGCATACATGGGCGGAGCTGTGTCTGCAGAAGATTGAGGACAGTGACTCTCGCGTCTGGCGAGGTCTGCTTATTGGCTCAACCGTCGGCATGTACTTGGCGTCCTTCGTGATGACCATCTTGATGTACATCTTCTTTGCCAACAGCGGGTGCTCCATGAACCAGGCTGCAATCACGGTATGTGTTTCTAGTGTTCCAAGACGAGGTGCTGAACTAACTCGCCGCAGATTAACTTGATCGTGTTCTTGATCATCTCCTTTGTGTCTGTTCAGCCTGCAGTGCAAGAATCGAACTCGCGTGCCGGTCTGGCCCAGGCTGCTATGGTGACTGTCTACTGTACTTATCTCACCATGTCTGCGGTCTCGATGGAGCCCGATGACAACAACTGCAACCCCCTGATCCGGTCTCGCGGAACCCGCACAGCCACCATCGTTCTCGGTGCGATCGTCACCATGCTCACCATTGCATACACGACGACGCGCGCTGCTACTCAAGGCATTGCCCTGGGCTCCAAGGGTGGACACAGCTACATTCAACTGGGCACGGACGACGAGCACGGCCTAATCACTCAGCAGCCAAACACCCGGCGCGAGATGCGGGCCGAGGCTCTCCGGGCTGCAGTTGAAAGTGGCAGTCTGCCCGCCAGTGCCCTTGACGACAGTGATGATGAGGATGAGTTTGAAGCTGTGAAGGATGACGAGCGAGCCTCCACTCAGTACAATTACTCTCTCTTCCACATCATTTTCTTCCTCGCTACCACTTGGGTGGCTACTTTGCTGGTCCAAGGCTTGACCCTGGAGACCACGGCCGATTTTGCGCCGGTCGGCCGCACCTACTGGGCCAGCTGGGTGAAGATCATCAGCTCTTGGGTCTGCTATGCCATCTACCTGTGGACCTTGATCGCGCCGGTTGTTCTGCCCGATCGCTTTGGTACCTATTGATTAGTTGATATTGAATTCGGGCGTTTCAAGCGATCAGTTTCCGTTCCGTTTCTATACCTGTAATAGCTGTGCGATTCATGTTGCAAATACTGTTTCAGTATAAGGACTTTCAATTCAGTTTTTTTCACAGATAAACGGTGCGCAGTAGAATAATCAAGGAACTTCCAAGGTTAGTACTTCGTATTTTGTAAATCGGCGCGAGTAGCCCTGGGCGGCTGGTCTTGGCACTCCTGCGCGTTGAGTGCCACGCGTGTCAACGCCAACTCTCCCGTCGACGCCATGGAATGAAAATGGCCACCATTCAGGCCATCGAGGCCCGCTCAGTACGTGAAATGAAGCCGTTGAAGATTCAAAAAACTAATCAACCTGGTCTAGGTACACCAAATCCAATCCGGTCAAGTCATCGTCGACTTGTGCTCTGTCGCGAAAGAGCTCGTCGAGAACAGTCTCGATGCTGGCGCATCCACGATCGGTCCGTGAAAATACCCCATATCCTTTGGCTCCAAATCTAACATGCATCCAACTCCCAGAGGTCCGATTCAAGAACAACGGGCTGGACTTGATCGAAATCCAAGACAACGGCAGTGGTATATCACCCGAGAATTACGAAAATGTCGGTACGTTCTCTTTGCCCTGTGAGCTGATTGCGGGCCTGATTTCCTTTGCTAGCTTTGAAACACTACACGTCGAAGTTATCGACATATGATGATCTCACAAGTCTCCATACTTTTGGTTTCCGCGGCGAGGCTATATCATCGCTCTGCGCCTTATCCGACTTCCACATCGTCACTGCGCAAGCGAAACAAGTCCCTCGTGCGAATCGTCTCGATTTCGAACAATCCGGGAAACTCAAGAAGACGCAGATAGTCGCTGGACAAAAAGGGACAACGGCGTCGGTCGAGGGCATCTTCAAACGACTGCCAGTGCGTCGACGAGAGTTGGAGAAGAACATCAAGCGGGAGTACGGAAAAGTATTGAATCTGCTTCATGCATACGCCAGCATTAGTACCGGGGTCAAATTCAGCGTGAGGAACACCGTTGGCAAGACGAAGAACGTGGTGGTCTTCTCTACAAATGGGAACAAGACCACCAAGGAGAATATTGCCAATGTCTATGGTGCGAAGACGCTCTCTGCGTTGATCTCGCTAGATCTTGACCTCGAGTTTGAACCCACTGCGGCGACTAAACGGGCTGGGGATGATACTACGAACAGGATCCAGGTCCGAGGTCTTATCTCGCGCCCTGTCTTTGGCGAGGGACGCCAAACGCCGGATCGTCAGATGTTCTTCGTCAACTCGCGGCCTTGTGGTCTGCCGCAGATTGCTAAGGCTTTCAACGAGGTCTACAAGTCATTCAATGTCTCACAGTCGCCGTTCATCTTTGCAGATTTCCAAATGGATACTAACGCTTACGACGTGAATGTTTCGCCTGATAAGCGTCAGATCCTTCTCCACGATGCTGGAGCGATGATTGAGTCTCTCAAAGCTTCCCTCACAGAACTATTCGAAGATACCGATCAGACTGTGCCGCAGTCATCAGTCAATTCTAAACCCTTGGCAAAGCAACAGTCATTGTCCTCGCTACCTGGCTTCGTCACCGCCCGAGAACTAGGCCAAAGCAGTGACAACGGCAGCCCTGGTCGAGATCTGGCTCGTGAACGTTCAACAGAGCCCTCAGAGGCAAGTCAACAGAGCACAATATCCAGGTTTAAAAGATCCCAAGATACAGAGAGTCCATCACAAGCCACGGCATCTCCATCTCGATCTCTAAGGACCCCTCGTGCTTCAGCGAACTCAGCGATACCTAGCTCGGCTGCCAGCCAAATCGAAACGCCCACAGCCGACATTCCACACGACCATATAAACCCGGAAGACTCCATGAATGAAGATGCTCAATCAACTTCCACCTTGCACGAACCATCATCCCAGCCGTCGGGGTTGGGTGATACACCATCCCGCATCCGCCAGGCCTCAGAAGAGACTCCTAATGTAGTTCAGAACGCATTCAACAGAATGCGGCCGCGTCGGGAACCAGCGGAGCTGGCTACCATTACCATTGGGGATCGAACTATCACTTCTATGGTTGGTAGTGGGCTTCCGCGAAAGCGGGCACAAGAGGATCCCCCTTTCATGAAGGACCCGCCTCGGCGACCGAGACGAATCCACACGCCTTCTCGTCCCAATATCTTTGGGGATCATATGAAGTCGTTTGCTGCGCCGGGGTCGCAAATCGATGACGAGGCAGAGGAGGGTTCTGCGACTGACGCCGATGAGGATGTGGAAGAGGAACACGTTGTTTCCAGCGATGATGAGAATATGGAAGATGAGGAGGCGGAAGAGGCTGAGATGGTGGCCGAGGACGCTCAGATCGAGGCTGAGGCTGAGATGGCTGAGCTTGAAAGGAATGGGGATGTTGATGCTGACGAAGTACATCCTGAATATGAAGGATCCCATGCATCTGAGTATGCTCCTGAGGAAGATGCCTCTTCGCAGGAAACCAAAGAGCCTGAAAATAATGCACGCGCAAATGATACCAATCAAGATGAAAATCTTGACGAGATCAAGAAGAAAGCACAGGAAGAAGCCACGGTTCAACGGCTCATCCACCAAGCCGAGGAAACAGCCTTGCTTCCCGGAGAGAACAATGTGAAACGTGCGAACAAAATGAACAAGGGCGCTGCTCACCGCGATGCCACTGTCCAACTCGTCAGCACGGTAGACGGTTCTATGTCACGAATACAATCTCAGCACACTATATTGCAGAAGACTTTGGAGGCGCGTACCCGGCACGCAGAAGCGATACCCGAAGATGGCGAGAAATCCGCCGAGGACAAACTCTCACTCACGGTGAGCAAAGATGATTTCGCCCAGATGCGCATTGTCGGGCAATTCAATCTCGGATTCGTCATCGCAGTCCGTCCAGGAGCAGGCCACGATGAACTATTCATCATTGATCAGCACGCTTCAGACGAAAAGTTCAATTTCGAACGGCTGCAAGCTGAGACCGTTGTTCAAAACCAGCGTCTTGTCCGTCCACAACGCCTCGATCTCACCGCAGTTGAAGAAGAAGTTGTTCTTGAGAATCGTGAAGCGCTCGAAAAGAATGGTTTTGTGGTCACTGTGGATGAAAGTGGTGATGAGCCTATTGGTCGTCGATGCCAGCTTGTTTCTTTGCCACTTAGTAAGGAGGTCGTCTTTGGTGTACGCGACCTGGAGGAATTAATTGTTTTGTTATCTGAATCTGTTTCGACGAATGAGCTCTCTGTGCCACGGCCAGGCAAAGTCCGCAAAATGTTCGCCATGCGAGCCTGTCGCTCCAGCATCATGATCGGTAAGACATTAACGACTCGTCAGATGCAACGCGTCGTGCAGAACATGGGAACTATAGACAAGCCATGGAACTGTCCTCATGGGCGGCCTACAATGCGGCACTTGATGAGTCTGGGTCAGTGGGATGAGTACGACGAGTTTGAGAACGAGGGTTTGGATCCCTGGCGGGAATACCTGACTCAAGCAAGCGATGAAGAATAGTCCATAAAAGATACCCAATGTGATATAACTACTTAAGTATATTCATAACAATCCAAATCCATCACCACCATCGGAACCATCCTTTAGGCTCTACCTTCTTCCCAAGATCATGACCATTCCGATCATCCTCAACCCCATCCCCATTCCCATCCCCATTCCTATTCCCATTCCTATTCTCATTCCTCTCAACATCATCCCCACCCTTCTCAACACCATCCATCATATCCTCCAAAGCCAACAAATCCCTCTCAATCATCTCCGCCCAATTCTGCACATCCCCAATCTCCTTCAGTCCCTCCCGCGTCTCATCCGCCAACCCAACCCACTGCTGATTCTGCCGCGCCAGTCTCGCCGTATTCTCCGCTAACTCGGCTTCCTGCCGCTCCAGTGCTGCAGCGTTCGATTGGATGTTCGCTGCGCGGTCGCGCAGTGGAGCTTCAAGGTTCGTGCCCACTGAGTGGAGCGTTGCTGTGAAGGCGGCCAGCGCTTCTTTTTGTTGGTCTTCTGTTGGGTTGGATTGTTCGCTCATGATTTGCGACTGCAATTTCCAAGGTTATATATTTGAGGGTTTGGGTCTGGGGATTTTGGTTGTTGGGTTTGTTTTCAACCCCACTTCTTAATTCCATGTGCTGGCTTCCCCGCCTTGGATTGGGTCTGATCGCGTTGTAAAGTTGAACTTCCAGGTTTGGATGGTGGACTTTATTGCTTGGCTAGATCTTGTTTTTGCGTTGGATTGATGCAAGATCTTCAGGAATAATCGGATTACGTTGGGTTGAATCCCTCTCTGTGCGGGGTCGATGGATATATATTCGAAACAGATAACACCTAGAACCATAATTTTAAAGGCCACACCTCTGTGTTCCTAAGGCCTAGTCAAATGCCCAGGTCGAACTAAGAAATGCGCCCAGACAGAAGTGGAGAAGACCCGCTACTCTGTCCCAACCCACGGTCTGTTGGAGTCGAAACCTTGGAGCCGAGACTGATTTAAGGTGTGTCATGTGACCGTGGAGTGGGGATGCCCCACTTTGCCAAGATACTACACTACAGCACAGGAAGACAGAAGACAGAAGACATATTTATTGCAAGCGATGCCAGAGGATACACATAAAGTCAGATCTAGGTACTTGCAATGTTTGTACAAGAGACGCGAAAGCAAAAAGACAAAACAAAAAACAAAAAACAAAAGCGCACAAGAGATACTATTGTTTCAACTCGCATTACAGACCCGACCAAGTGAAAGTGCCCACAAGATCAAGCCAGTCGCAGAGGAAATCTTCGATATTGAAGAATTGATTTGCCGTGTCCCCAGTGAAGGAATCAAAGGCGGCAGCAGCAGCTCAATCCGAACCAACGCCCACCAGAAAAAGGGTTTCAAACTCTTAGTCCACAGCCAAGACCCATCGGAACCGTAGATGACCCACCGCGCCCTTGGAACTCGCTCCCATGCTGATACTAAGATCATCACAGCCTCGTTGTTGTTCCGCACCGCCTACCGTATCGCCACAAGCGCCGCGTATGGAACCGTTAGTGACCAGACGTGGAACGCGGAGGGCACTCTTGCCTCGTCAGAGATATCGACTGCGGAATAGAGAGTGAAGGGATCTTCATGTGCAAAGAGAGGGATGGGGGCAAGTACAATGGGAAGGAAAGGAAAGGGAAAGGGAAGGGGAGGAGGAGGAGGATGGGAGGAGGGAAGGAAGAGGATGGGAGGGGGAAGGGAAGAGGATGGGAGAACAGGGATACAAAGTAATAGGGTTGAAGACACAGTTAGATTAGAGACAGAATGTGGACGCCGGTTGAGGGGAGAAAGAAAGAAGAAGAGGGAGAAGGGGAGAGAGCAGGTATTTATAGACAGGGAAGTCCTCCAAGATCAGAAAAGCTGATCTCGATTGTGAATGTAAGTGAGGGTATCCCACGAGAACAAGCTACATAGATCTGGCAGTGACTCTCTAGCAATCCGAGGTACTTCAGCCTCATTTGAGTGACAGGCGCCTCTCCCGTCTCTAATCCTGATCGAGCAGATCAATAGAAGATACTAGCCAATCAGAGTAGGATCCTGTAAAACACTAAGCCTAATGTGGAAGAACAATAGGGAGAATGAAGCTAAAGAACAATGGGTGGTCTCAATAGGGCCTATTGATCCGTGGTTTATTGATCTCTATTGACTACCCTTTCTGGAATTATCTTGAATTTATTCTCCCATTTATTAGTTTGCACCGTTTGAGACCGATTATCATGTGTCCCCAGACATACTACAATTTACACAGTATTCACGGACTTCTAGTAGCAGCACATTGGTAGTAACCTTGGGTGTCCTAGGCTGAGAGCGGCATCGGCTACAGATTTTATACACGTCAATGATGCCTCCAGACTAGCTCATCAGGCCTCCATACAGAATCCCAATTGCTGTAAGTCTCAAAGTATTCATACGTCATTGAGGCTCGGCGTGCATACCACCAGCCCAATTAGGCTTCTTGTTGCGCCTCAGATCAGCGACGTCAAAATAAAAAGCCCATCGAGTCCTCTCTCCAAAGCCAGAAATCTTGTTCATTTTGCACTGACCAGAATCTAGCCATGGGCTTGACCGATTCCATAATCCACTTCCTTTATGGCCTTCCACCCCCGACCACTGGAAGACGCAAAGATGATATGCAGGTGCTGGCAGTCGGGATCTCAAGAAGTGGAACCGATAGCCTCCGTGAAGCCCTACACATGCTAGGCTTGAGCCATACGCACCATGGCTTTGATACTATTCTTCCCCCTTCGTCGTTGGAAGCGATATACAAGCTCCTTCAAAAGAAATACACCACGGACTCGGATGCCTCGGAAAAGCTGACAGCCGAAGACTTTGACACCGTCTTGCTGAACAGCGTCGGCGTCAGCGATCTCTTTGCAGCAGAATTCGCCCTCGAACTCATCGAAGCCTACCCCAATGCGAAAATCATACTGAACGTCCGCCGAGATCTTGATGCATGGCAAACCAGCATGCAAAATACAATGGGATATTTCGATAGGAACCCCATGGATTGGGACTGGTGCAAATCCTGGTTCAGTGCTGAGCTGTTTTGGATTCGTCAGACCATGTCGAGGACCATGATGCCCAGATTCTTCCGGGAGAGCCTTGAATCGAATGGTAAGTGGGTTTACAAGCAGCATGTTGCGATGATCCGGGGACTGGGTCTGCCAAAGGACCGACTTCTTGAATGGTCTGTTGAAGATGGCTGGGAGCCTTTGTGCAACTTCCTGGACAAGCCAGTTCCTGTGATTGACTTTCCGAATGGGAATCCACCCAAAGCATGGGCTGAGCGAATTGGCAAGACGATGAAGAGTCATCATGACCGTGCAATCAGGAACATGTTTTTGTTTGGCGCTTTGCCTGTTGTGGCTGGCTGTGCGGCTCTGGGTGCATCTTGGGCAGGATATTTCTGATATTGCATATCTTCGACTTCTTGTGATCCCTTGCTGCCATTGTTACACATTGGATCTCTGATACGCGGGATTCCGCAGAGCAAATCTTCAATATTATATGCTAGGAGTGCGTTCTTAAAACGCCACCTAGGTAATGTGGTACCTACTGTGACGTTTTCTGATTCGACAGATCAGGTATGCATTCATGATCACAGATGATCGTCACTTTTATCTTTGGATTCTATATCGCTATGATGTCAAGTCGGTGGGATAATGCACGTTGAGGAACCAAAGTCAATATTTAAGCTTGAAATCCAGACAAGCCTCAAAATGTATGTTTCAAATCAACCTTCGACGACCCCAGAAACTTGAGATATCCACAACCGAGGTTGCTGTCTGCCGATCTCCCCAAAGTGGACATGATCTGCACACTCGGCGTATCGGGTACGAGACCCTGTACCTTTTTTGGGACAAGCGCCACTGGATCCGATGAATTGAGCTCTCCGATTGGCTGGATGCTCGGCCTGTTTTTGAACCTCGTCTCAAAGTGTTGGCTACGCGTAGGCCAACCCTCACTGCACATCTCGAGGAGGCTTGTTTTACCGTTGAACTGGAAATTCCACACTGGAATACAAAAACTTCCGAAGTGGAGAGACTCCCGTTCCAAGTTGAACACCAAAACTCCGACTGCTTCGTCGACGATGCATCTCATCCCATGTGAAAAGTGGGTCGATCGACATCGAAATCACAAACCCCCGAACTCCTGATAAATGAGCGACCTTGTTTCAACCTGGCCTCTGACTTTTGCGACCCTGCAGCATATAATATGAAAAGCGCTCGCACCAAGCAGCCCACCACCTTTCATGAAACGTGAAACAGTCGCCATGTCAAAACCACAATTCTCAACTTCCTCGGATATGAGCGAGGCTCAACCTCCGACCACCAAGCCGACAGTATGGAATCGCTTTGCAACACATATGAAAAGATTCTGGTGGGCGTATTTGATCGCGTTCTGCGTAATTGTTCTGGTCACCGTTCTTCCAATGTAAGATCTCCGGAATTTCCCCCTGGATGCAGCCGCTTATTCTCCCAGCCTTTATGTTGGTGTCCCCCATTTTGCAGAGAACTATATCAATAATTCTGCGTACGGCTATGATGGCCTGGAAATTACGAATCCCCGACCAACTGCCTTCCACGTGAGGCAAAAGAAGTCCCTCCCACAAGGGGGCGCGGTGACCGGAAGTGGTCATTTGGATGCTTTCAATGCCACTTGCCGCCTGAAGGAAACCAATGAGGCCTTTGGATCACTCTCAGTACCTCAGATTGCATTCGGAAATGGCGCGTTCCTAAACATAGACCAGGACGTGGAGCTATCCTGCGTTGACTGCATGTCGGAAATTGCCAAGAATGCAGCATCGAACAAGAGCTCTTCGCTCGTCATGGAAGGTGCCTCAGACTTACACCTTGGGCGCATTCCCACTGCCCATGTGAATATCCAGAAGAACATGCACGTAGGCAGTAAGTTTGTACTGATCCATTATGTTGATGAAAATTGCTAATAATCCGGCTCAGGCTATAATGTGACAGGTGAGAGCGAGAATAATAAGCAAACAGAAAACCGTTTCTAACTTTTCTGCAGAATATCTGAATGGCGATGGCTCATTCAATATCAGCAGTATAGACCTACTGGATCCTCCCGTCGATGGCTACAACTTCAATGCCACGATTACCGTGAAGAATCCCGGCGTCTTCAGCATCGAACTGGTATGAGCCCCCATTTACCATAAATCCTCCGGTAACTAAAACATGACCAGGGCCAAGCCTCATTCAATCTCACAATGGATGGCAAAGATCTGGGCTACGTGGTTCTGCCGCATCTCTTTTTGGAGCGCGAACCAAAAGAAACCATAGTTCTTGGCTCGATTGACAAAGGAATGTTGATTCACGAGGCCATTGCAGGCAGCGATGATTTTGGGACCGTGACGGTTGGAATCCATGGACACAGCTGTTCTTACAATGGAGTCGATATTCCATACTTCACGGCAGCCATCAAGGCTATCTCTGCACCTTCGAAGCTGGATTTGCTGAAATATGCATCAAAATTGTTTACGTGAGACAGACTTAGATCAATGATATACGAAATACAAATTTTTAGAGGATGCAACCTTGTTTCCCAGTCGGGTTATAGGAGCAGGTTCATGATAGCACTGCTCTTTTTATTATCTCAGAGTCTACCTATATCAAACCCTTTTAGAGTTCAGGTAGTAATCTACGCCGAGAGTCTACTTAGGCGATGACTACGGCTCTAGAGGTGGTCACGTGTAATTCGTTCTCTTTGTTGCGCCGACCCTTGGTCAATGTCATTGTTCTCTAATGTGAACAAACGGACTCCTTCGAAGGATGAAAGGGAGAAACAATGAGCTTTACCTATTTTTTAATCATGGTGTTGTAGGAGCTTTGTTCTCATAGTTTTATCCAAAGAGATGCAAGACACAACATAGGGTATAAGTATCCTCGATTGCCCTGACACAAACTACATCTTCATCAGAATTCAAGCATCTAAAACTATTCACATCAACTTCAAGCCATTTCCACACCCCTCTTTTGTCAAACACACTGACCACGATCACCAACCTTCATCATGCCCACCAATGCAGCCGAAACCGAGCTAAAGCAGCGCCTCAGAAAATTCGTCGACGATGTGGTGGAGACCGTCGAGAACTTCATGAATGAGAAGGAGCGATACAGGGACAAGTGGCACATTGCGGACCTAGTTGAGGTCACTTCCCAACTATCCTATATTGAACAAGCCAGTATCGAAATGAGTAAGGACATGAAAAATAGAAATCCCTGTCAAACTATCCGCGAGAGAGGGGGTTATTTCGGCACAAAGAAAAGCAATTCAATCTTCCTGAACATGACGGACGGACTGCGAGACGAACTAATTGCTATGAAGAACCAGTGGAAGAAGAACCCGACCCCCCAGAGGAGGGTAGCCGACCACCTCGCATCAGTCCGTCGCATGATGCAATTGATTTTGAAAATCTTTGACATGGACCTCGTGAACTCAGAAGATTCTGCGGGATCGACTAACCGAAGGGCCCCTGAAAGCCATCTGTCTCGCGAGGGGCCCTCCAGCTCTAGGCCCAGCCAGATGCCTTACAGGCCTCAACAGGACGATCACCAGCCGTATCGACGGGACAGGTCTAGCACGATTCCTCACCCCACCGGGACGAGACAACGGGATGATAGGGCTGGCTTCACCCCCAGACAGGCACCTCAAGGCCCCCCACCGAAGTATTCTACAGATAGGGACACCTATAGGTCCAGACCAGCCCCTCAAGGCCCCCCAGAGATGGGAAACGAGGGATATTCTAATGACATGGCTGCCTTCACACCCAGACAGCCACAGCAATCTCAAGCCCCCCGGTCGCGGTATAATGGAGAGCCCTCCAGTTACAGACAGCCTGATCCTTACGGGGGGAAGTATGACAATGATAGGGATGCCCCCAGGTACAGACAACCCGAGCCCTACCGGGGGACGTATGACAATGATAGGGATGCCTCCAGGTACAGACACAGCCCTGAACCCTACGACGCGAAGTATGACAGCGATAGGTATAACTCGACCCACAGATACAATCCTGAGCCCTACAGGGGGAGGTACGAAGCCGATAGGGCTGCCTTCACACCCAGACAGCCACAGCAACCTCAAGCCCCCCGGTCGCGGTATAATGGAGAGCCTTCCAGTTACAGACAGCCTGATCCTTACGGTGGGAAGTATGAAGCCGATAGGGATGCCCCCAGGTACAAGCACAACCCCGAGCCCTACGGGGGAGATTGCGAAACTGATAGGGATGCCTCCAGGTACGGATACAACCCTGAGCCCTACCGGGGAACGCATGAAGCCGATAGGAATGCCCCCAGGCACATGCACAACCACGAGCCCTACCGGGGGACGCATGAAGCCGATAGGAATGCCCCCAGGCACAGGCACAACCCCGAGCCCTACCGGGCGAAGTATGAAGCCGAAGAGGATATCTCCAGGTACAGACCCAGCCCTAGCCCTGAATTCCCTGACGAGACGCATGAAACTCATGATACATCCAGGTCCAAACAGACCTCCAAAGACCAATGGGTGACGCCCAAGTCTAACATGAATGCCTTTGAGGCCAGGCAGATTCCCGGATCGTACGGCAACATGCCTCAGACTAACAAGGAGACTTCCAGGTACGAAGACATCCCCAAACCCCTTAAGATCCATAAAGCTGATATGGATACCTTAGAGTCTGGAGAGGCCACTGAAGACTGCGGCATTTCGCCGCAAACTGATATGGCAGTCTCTAAGCACGAACAGACCACTGAGGTCTGTGGGGAGATGGATGAATTTGATATGGATACCTCCGGGTACGAACAGACCACCGAAGTCTCCGATGAGACGCATAAAGCTGATGTGGACACCCCAGAGCCCACAAAGGCCCTAGAAGTCTACAAAGAGGCACCTAAAGCCGATAAGAATACCCCCAAGCCTCGCTCTGACCGCGATCATTGGCCAAGTGCGTACGGAGTACCAATGTAGATTGTTGAGATTGATTGAATTTTTCCTTCGAAGCTTATGATCATTTGTTTAAGAGGCGCGCCCTGCTAAGATGGGAGTATCTAGTTCGTTCTATCTTTAAAATCAAGTTTCTCTTGTTCTATCCATCTCAAGTCTGTAGCTGTGTCTATAGTGAATGTTCTTCTTGCTGGGAAGACGGACTGTTTTCACCGAGCGAAGAATCATTTGTAACTTCTCCCTGAACATCTCCCACAATTTCCAACTCACTGTGAGCCAGACCATCCTCAAGTCTACCACGTCTCAAGAGAACCTTGACCATTGCACCATGTCCCTCACCCGCAGCCTTGTATACCTCGTCTAAAATTGAATGTCTTTCGGTGGTGGTCATGTTTCCGGACTCGAGAAGAATCTGGAACAGGGCTGCATATTGCTTCTTTTTGGAAGACCATGATAATAGATTTTGGATGTCTTTGTCTGTCGTATTGAGATTGATGGATGATCTTCGGTCTAGAAGTCTGACCAGTAAACCATCAATGTTCTCAGGAAGATCAAAAGCGTGGATGACATGATACAGCCATGACGAACTTGCATATTCAAAGAAGCAGAAATGGCCCTCGGAATCATTTTTATGTGGTTTTGTTGTGGAAACGATCTTTCCGATATCAAAATCAGATGCTTTTCGGGATCTGAGAAGCTTGATTGCCATACTCCGAACAGAATTTGAGGATTTAAAGGTCGATGATATTACCTCCGATGGCAGGGAGCCTGCCCTTATTTGTGGGATGACAGTTGTTGACAGCTGGGTCTCGAAGACGTTGTAGTTGAGATACGTCAGCACAATACCGGCCATCATTTGATGAGAGTCGTCGATATTGACTATCTTCTCTGTCGAGCTTTTGAATTCTCCCAGCAGAAATTGTTTAACACTGTGATGCACCAAGTGCAATGTTGATTCTTCTTCATCAACAGTGACCAGACTGCCACAACAGGCTAACGTGCCATACATGTTGTTGAGAAGCCTGGACGGGTTCCAAACCAAGTCGCCAGGAACAACACATAATGCCTCCCTGAGTTCGTCTGTTGTGAGGGGTCGCTTGGCAGCAGTCAACAGAGACAATATCTTTTTCTGATAATGGTTCGCGGAATCGGCTCTCAAGGCACGAGAAAATGTCTCCGAGAGGTCCTTTGGTAGGTCAAAAAGGGCATCTCGAATTTCCTGGTCGCTATTCAAAGTGCAAAGTGATTCGATTTGAAGAGCCACCCAAAGGAACATCCCCTGCGATCCCTCCAAGAGAGCATCTTGGATCTCACAAATCAAAACAGGATCACCAAGCGAAAGCCGCCCAGATTCAATTCGGCTTTCGAGCTCATCCTCGATGAACGACTCAATATCGAGAGAATTGTTTGGAATGGCAGAGACGTTTGTGGCGGCGAACTTGGAGAACACTTCTTGGGAGTGCATCTCTTTTGCCTCATCGCGAAGGGAGAGGCAAATGAGAATTGTATATGTGTCACTTTGCAGTGATTGGAGCGTTGCTACCACCATATCCCTTTCGACACTGTCGAGCTCGTCTAAACCATCAATGACCAAGAACGATCGATGTGTTTTTGGAAAAGACGAAAGGCAAATCATGACCAGCCCGGTCAGTCTCTCACAAGGATCTACCTGTTCGGACTTATCGAGGTACTCCGCAGCAGCAGTGAAGTCTGAAATCCCTTGCAAAAATTGTCGAGCCAGGGACCCGATTATAGTCCGCGCTTTCAGGCTTTCAGTAATGTCGTGTCGACAGAAGAAGTATGCGACCGTTTCTTCGTTATCGATGTGAAGATCATCCACAATGTTGGCAAGCAAAACCGACTTCCCAGACCCCAGCCTGGCGGTGTAGATCAGAGTAGAAGAAAGCGGCATGGCCTTCCAATTCAGATACTGAGTGCTCTTGCGGAACAAGACAGTAGTTCCGGCCTTTCGAATCTGCTTCCAAGACACCGTACAGTCATATTGTGAGCAGAAATCAAGCACTCGTTGTTTTGTTTGAAGAGATTGGTGATATGAGCTTGACTTTTGAAAGATGTTTGACACTGCCCGAAATCGTGCATTCAGATTAGCTTCGTCTTCGAGCCTTTTCGCCATCAGAAAGCTGACTTCGCTTTGTATGGTCTTCCCCCAAGACTCCAACTCCGACTGGTATGTCTTGAGATCAGGCTCACTGAACGCAGCAGTTAACTTTCCAAATGCTGATTTCCGCGCGAAAGACACCATATCATGACAAACTCGGACAATCAATATGAAATATTCACAAAGCGACGATTGTAAGTCTTTCGAGCGAGCGTAGAGGAGAGCCATCTTCTCATAACGTGGAGCCAAACGGCCAGCAGCCATGAAAACGCTAGAAAGTTTCTCCATATACGATGAGAAGTCAATAATCAACACCAGAGACATTCGCACAATTGCCCACACCCCACACGCAAGGACATTTTGCGACCCGCCAACTATGATATCGCCCATTGCGGCAAATTGCTGAGTGGCGAGGAGGATGTTAGTCAATCGCGGCCCCAAACACCGGCGTCGCTTCTCTGACGCCCGATCAATCTCTGCAGTAAGCTGCATGACATCTTGAATGCCAGGAGGAGATCCAATTGATTTCGATCTCCAAGCGCGGAAGTTTGCTTTGTGTTCATTTGATAGCTCGGCTTCAAATTCAGAGACGACCTGTGCTAGACGGACCTCGGGCTTGAGATGAGGTGCCAACCTTAGATGCGACATGTCTTTTGGTTGGTTCAATTGCCTGCGCTGTGTTTGGATCGGAAGGAGTGCGTTGGTTAGCGCGCTGCATCATGCGGGGTAATTTGGCCTGAGTGTCGTCCACTCTTTGTGTATGGAAGGAGAACCACCCGAAACAAGAGCTTGGTGTCATACAGGCACCATGATGGTAATATCGCTCTATAACCGAGGGCTTCAAAAAGGACAACTTCTTAGGCACATTCCCCAAAGCCGGCGCTAAATTAGGCCTGGCCACACATTCGGACTCCATGGTGTAACAAGGTACACATGAATGGATGATTGAGACTGTTCAAGAAGTGATATCAAAAAAGTGTGAAAAGCTTTAAACAAATCGCAGCAATGGATGCCAGTTAAGGGCAGTGAGGCGAGTGATGCCTTAGGGTTCAGGCATACAGCCTCCTGTACGACGTCAGGTCGTCCGCGATTTCCGAGACTTGACCACATCACACTCTTTTGCGTCTTTCTTCAGAAAACATTCCATGCCTCCAAGGTCAACGCTACGTAGTGATGAATCACTATTTGCGTGCGACTTTCCGGGCTGTAGCTCGCGATATCGACGGAAGGAGCATCTCAAGAGACATCAAGCCAACCACGAAAGACAAGGCAATGTGCCTTGTCCTCATTGCGATCAAAAATTGACGAGAAAGAAAGTGATTGGTCTTGATCTTTCCTTTGCTGTACTCATCTCCCTCAGCCATACTAATACCACACAGGGATCTCTTACGCCGGCATATCCGCAACTACCATCCTCAATCCCAGCTCCCCGCATCTCGATCCCTGAAGGCATGCTCAGCATGTCGTCAGCGGAAAGAGATTTGCAAAGGGGGCTCACCTTGCAAGGCGTGTGAGCAGCGGGAGATCGATTGCTCACTCGTTGAGCAATCTTCGCCGGCAGGCCACCCGGGTCGCAATCAGTCGGGCCCAGAAATTCCTGAAAGCCTGTCAATGCATGACTACGTGAAAAGTTACTTTGATCACTTCCACCCGGAATGGCCATTTCTCCATGAGTCAACCTTTGATCCCGCGAAAGAACCAGGTGTATTGGTTCAATCTGTTATCATGCTGGGAATGTGGGCCCAGGGTAGCAGAAGCTCCAAAAATGCGGCAATTGCCCTGCATAGCCGGTTGGCCTCAGCCATCCAAAGCCAACGTGTCAGTATTCATTGGTCTTCGATCGAGCTCATGATATTCACCAATCCATATAGAGCCAATGGGACCATTCGAGTGCGGAGCCAGATCAGATAATTGGCATCAAATGGCCTATTGCTACGTATCAAAGTGTGCTACTGCAGGTCATCTTTTCTATCTTTACCACCAGAGATTCCGGTGGCGTTGACTTCGGACTTCGACACCGCATCCCTGCTGAGAATTACAGCCTTCTTACCGCTTTGGTACAAAGTTGTCGCAATTTGGGTATTTTCTCATATCCAGAAATGTTGACCCAATACCCCGCTGGCACCCCAATCACAATGATTTGGGTAGGTGTGGAAGAGACGAAGCGATTCGCATTGGCGTTGTACAAGGTGACGCATATTTGCACCACAGTGGACAGACAGGCAAACGCCAGCGTGAAGCTAATGACTGTCGCAGACCTTGCTTTCAGTATGCCCTATAGCGATGAGACTTGGAATCTCTCGAAGGAAACCGAGGGTCAAACTCTTTCCAAGGCCACAGCACAAGCCAGTCAGAAAAGGGACGGAGACAATGAGAAATGGATCAATAGCTCTTTTACGACGCTTAGTGATCCCGAAGTCAGCTTCGATTGGATCTAGCTGTCTTTTACCGAATTTTCGCACAAAGAAATTCTTCCTCGACGCCGCAACATCCTTAATTCTTCAGATGTCTGGAAATATCTTCAAAACTCATCTGTATTCAAAAAAGCTGAAATTTGGGCAATCAAACTTGGATCTATATCATCATCTTTGAGCGAAATCAAGCAGTGTTCAGCGAGCGCTGGATTCTGGATCTTCTCCAAAGTCCAATGTCGCCGCAAAACTGGCCTTCTTCTCTTGCTGCATTCGCTGAATCAATGGGCTTGACTGCCGGATTCTGTGGCCGTAATACAAGAAAACGAAAGGGATCAAAATACAGACTGCCTCCGCCATCCCTAAAAGAAAACCACCCCAATTCAGCCCCAGCGAGGCGTACATGGAAGGGCCCGCGAGTGGCAAAACGGCACCCATGATGCTCCTCACAACTGTGTTTCCTGCCAAAGCCGAGGCAGCGTATTGCCCATAAGAATGAGCAAGATAGTTGCTGGAATAAATGAACAAAGCGGCATTTCCAGCTCCGAACGGAATTCCCGCCAAAATTGGCACGATCCAGTGCACGTTCGGTGTCGAAGTCCAAGCGAACCAAATTTGGCCCACGGCTAGAAGAATAGCCCCGATTGTTATCGGCTTCACGGTGGCTTCTGGTGGCACAACTCCTGTTTCGGGATCCTTTGGATGTGAATGGATCCAAAAACGCAAAACAGGCTCCAAACATATGGTAGCCAATGTACCACATCCGATTCCAAGATATGAAAGGCCACCAATGCCTGGAGACCAGCCTCGGTTGACTTGGAAGGCAATTGGGTACGAGACGAAACAGAGGTAGAGGATACCATATGAGATGGCCACGTATGAGTCCCAGAAGATACTTCATTCAAATGTCAGCTGCTGTTGCACCCACGGTAGAGGTCGTTTTGGAAGGGATTCGCGCACTTACCAAATAGGCTCCGTTAATAACATTACAAGTGGGCGGCTGATGTTAATACGACAGAAAGTGAGGAAAGGCAGATTATTATCATAAGAACTCCACCATTTCGAGTCATTGGTATCATCCCTCTTCTTCTGTGCTCGCTTGCGAAGCAGGATGGGGGTATATGTCTCTTTGACTAAGGCCAATAAGCCAAATGACAACCCGCCCAATATCATGATGATCCAGTTCGTCCATCGCCAACCAAGATATTGATAGACAAAACCGCCGATGATCGATCCGAGAACTGGTCCATTGGATGGACCAATAGCCCAGAAACCGAACGCCATAGGCCGGTGATGATCTGAAACAATATCACTGACCGATCCAGGCGAATTGGACATCATGGCGCTGCCGAAAAAGGCGCTGAAAAACCGACATATCAAGATTGCCTCAATGTTCCGGGCCAATGCAACGGGCAAAGTCAAGATTGTGAACAGACCCACGGAGGCGAAATACACGGGACGACGACCGTACATTTCACTCAAAGGAGCTAGCAGCAAACTTCCCGCTGCCATTCCCAAAAGATATGTGGTGATTCCCAGAAGCCCGATCATCTTTGTGATGCCGAATTCTTCTTCCAGGCCGGGAATCGTCACTGAATAACAGGTACTGGCGAGAGCGATGACTGTGGCTCCAAATCCCATTGATCCCACCACAAGTGCCTTGTACGTGAGTGACCAATTCCGAGGGTTTTCGGGGTCTCCATCGACCCAGTTCACTTCATACTCTGGTAATTGCGTCTCGTCGCCGACGGGTGCGATATTCGTTGCGATGATCGAAGTGGAATATTGTTCGGCGTTTGCAGTGAAGCTTCGCGTCAGGGTGACATCGAGGGAGTCTCCATGGCGACAGACGGGGGATGCCCTTCGCGGAGAAGTCATTTCTGTTTGTGAATAAGGCGGGCTATTTCATTGCTGACATGCCAGGGGGTCAACGTTTCGAAGAAGAGGTACTTAAGAGACATGACGGTTAGAGCGGCATCTAATCCGCACTTCTGGGGGGATGCATGAGTGATAGATATTTTCATCTCTCGTGTTTACAAAGTCGGATACTTCCAGTGGGATGCCGGGCGGGATGCCGAGCGGGATACCGGGATATCCAGCGGGATGCCGAACTGACATATCAGACCCACATTGATCTAACTTACCAATGTGTCAGAATCTGCAAATTGCCAGGTACGTGGAATAATTCGAGAATACTAAGCGGCTACTAATATGCAACTCGCTGATTCTTCACTTCACTAAGCAGGTGTATGTGGATCCTTGAGAAACTGGCCGAAGGACAATCGCGATGTACTTAAACGGCTCAGCGATCCAAGCAGAAACGCTCATCACATATAAATCCTCTCAAACAAAATCAATCACTCCATTAATTTCCCTACCATTCCGATTTCATCGCAATCATGAGTTCATCACCGAAAACCAGCCTCACCTTTACTCATATCACGACGGCCACAGCCATCCTGAGCATCGATGGAATCAACTTCCTGACCGATCCCTACTTCGGCGATGAAGGGAGCTTCCCAAGCGACCTTGACTGGTCCAAGGCCCGACTCATGGAGGACTTTGGACTGGAAGAAGCCCCGTTGAGTGTGGAACTCTCGATTTCCAAGCCTGGAGCCATGAAGCTTCACGATCTGCCTCCCATCGACGCTGTTCTTCTCAGCCATGAAGATCACTTGGACAACCTCGATTCCGAAGGACGCAAGCTTTTGGACGGTCGTCGCGTCTTCACCACCATGGACGGTGCGAAGAACTTGCAGCCCCGCCCAGCCGTTGTCGGCCTGAAGCCCTGGGAGACAGTCACATCTGTCATCGGGGGCAGAGAGTTCCGCATCACAGGTACCCCCTGCAAGCACTTCCCAATTGGCGAGGTCACTGGCTTCATCCTTGAGTGTAATGCGTTCGGCATCCACGAAGAAAGCGGCAAACCAAACGCCATTTACTTCTCTGGTGATACCGTGTACATCGACGAGTTGAAGAAGATCAAGGACCGCGTGCACGTCACAGCTGCAGTCTTGAACTTGGGCAACGCTACTTTTGACTTCCCCATCGGCCCAATCCAAATTACTATGGATGGCAAGCAGGCTGTGCAGCTTATGGAGGATCTTGGTGCAGACATCATGGTCCCTATGCACTTCGAGGATTGGGGCCATTTCACAGAGCATGGTCAGGATTTGGTCAAGATCTTCCAAGAGGCAGGCATAATGCACAAGATCTGCTGGACAGCACCCGGGGTCACCAGAACTGTCTACTAGATCCAACGACAGAGTCTGTTTCCAACTCTCTGCGATGTAAATATCTAAAGTGCAGTTTCCTAGAATTTCAGGAAGTTTACATCGAATCAAAACCTCTTCGATGCTATAGAATTACATCGCCTAATTGCTGTACTGGCTTACATTCATAACCCTGAGCATTCAACTTTGTAGCCTTGCAGCAGCACTATGGGTAAACATCCAAAAAGGGCTCTATTGTTATCACAACTTGGACAAAAGAATGTCTTCATAGTGGTACTAAGTACTTGACAGACGATCAAGGTCATCTCTGATCATCAAGCAAGCAGCCGTTCCTCAATCGGTAATTACTACTGGGCTCATTCTAGTTGTAGCAAGGAGAGGTTTGGGAGTTCACCGTTAGGAGCAACATCAATTTAAGAAACAGACTCAACCCCCCTAATCCGAACCCAACGTGATGTCCAATCCACTGATAGGGTCCCTAATTATCGTATAACGCTTCTCCTGCCTGCTTCCATTCAACGCCAATCTGACTTCGTGGAGTAGGTCAGCTCCGAAAGCGGGATGTTCATGAGTTTCCTTCCTGAATTTGTAATTGCCGGTGCGTAGATATCCCTCGACCGAGGCTGCTGCTAGAACCCGGCGCACCGGATGGCCTTGTGGTAAAAGTGTTGCTGAAATAATATGTTGACTTGTGAGGCAATGGGTATTGGAATCAGCAATGTGATAAGTGCGGCTGTTTCGAGGATCGGGGTTGGCAACAAGTATATCCTTGATGTATTGAGCCATTTCAGTGTCCATCCCAGTGATATTGCACATATAGGCAAGTCTGATAAGCTCTATCACAGCCGAGATCTGGTCCCCTGGGATTTTCGAGTCAAAATGGATTTTGTGCATGTAGAACCATTGCATGAGTGCTTCAAAACTCTGCACTGAGACCACCCCTTCCACTGATTCCATAGTTACTGACTGTTGTTCTTTCTCTGCGAAATTGCCTTCCAACATTGCTCTGAAGTAGGCAGATTCCTTGCAAAGGAGATCCTTTGAAACTTCGAATTCGTGGTCGCTAGACCCAATTCGAATTCGAACATTTGTACCATGATACAACGGAAGACGGCTAATGGAGAGGAGCGTTGGCCACCGAGATTTCATAACGACTGCAACAGGGTTCTTACCTCGCTGCAAACTCCTTGGAGCTTAATTTCGATCCGTTCGCCATTGGTTTGATTCAAGATTCAACAAACGCGGAGGAGGATTGAAGTGGCAACGGCGTGGTTCAGCGATAACGTAGTAAGGGGTGACCCCAGATGCTATTCAGAAGTAACCGTGATATTGACGATGTTCTTCCAACTTGAATCAAGAATAGGTGCAGAACACGAGAATATTCAATATGGAGATTAGTGGAAGAAGAAGAAAAAGAAGGAAGAGCTATGCATGGGGGCATCCCACTATATAGTAGTGGACTCTCATAGCAAACAACACGAAGAGACATGTGGCAAGCAGTTCTACACGCGTTTGTGTACGTTTGACAGCAAGCTGGTTTGACAGGGATACCACTTTAGCAAGCAGAGAGCGTTTAGCACGCAGAGAGAGATGTTGGAGAGATGGTACTCTCAATGCTTACATACATAGAGTGCTCCCTGCCTGATCTAGGTCTATATCATTGTTCTCTTGATCAATAGGGACCCAGTTATATCACCTCTTGATTGGATTTTTGCCTAGCATCACAATTATGATTTTACATTCAGTAAATCTTCCTTCGGCATAAGTTAAAGGCCATGAGTTAATAAGCATAAATCACGGATAAAGCTGAAGTTCAGAAAAACACTTGGAGATATATGGGGCAGTCATATGATCGTACGGAGATGTCGGGGTTTCCTTTAGTGGACGTGGTTCGGGGACCATTTGGTGTGCAGCTTGGGCCCTGGGGGCTACCGATGGACCCCGGGAGTGGATATTTTCGCGGCCGGTATCCCGCGGGACGGTATCCCACCTGTGGATGTCCAGATTTTCAATCACCGAGATCATTTGACTGTCATGAATGATCAATCATGTCTCATCCCGAGGTCCCGGAGTTGTCGCACGGAAAATATAAGCTAGCTTCATGTCCCAGATAGCCCATCTCAGGATTTTTCGACACAAGTCCACCCAGATTACACCATGCAGTGAGTTCTCCCATGCTGATTTAGCCGAGTATCTGTTCTTAACATTATTTAGGATCCAGTCAGACCCTCATGCTTTCGTTGATGAAGAAGACTATTACAAACTTGGCTCACATGTTAGACCAGTGACCACTTCATCGCCTACCACGCAGCTATGGTTTAATCGCGGTCTGATATGGGCATACTCCTTCAACCATGCTGAAGCTGAGCGATGCTTCGAGCGTGCTGCCAAAAGTGACCCTAACTGCGCCATGGCATTATGGGGAATCGCGTATGCAGCAGGGCCGAACTACAATAAGGCCTGGCAGTATTTTGACCCGGAAGATCGACGAGCATCGATCCAAAAGGTTAATGACACTCTCGCACGAGCTCGCAGCCTAGCAAGCCAAGCCACAGAAGTCGAGCAAGCATTGATCAAAGCGGTTGGTGCCCGATTCCCAACTGCCGACGCCATCCCGGATGACTTGAGTCCCTTCGACCACGCGTACGCAGATGCCATGCGCGATGTATATCACCGATTCAACACCGATGTGGATGTTGCAGCACTCTTCGCCGAGGCACTCATGTGCATCACCCCACGTGGTTTATGGGACTTGGATACAGGTAAACCGACCGGCAACCACACCGTCGAGGCTCGGAATGTGATCGAGCTAGGGCTAAAACAGTGTTCGGGCCGCGATCACCCTGCCCTGTGTCACTTGCACATTCACATGTTGGAGATGTCACCATTCCCAGAACTAGCTTTACCTGCTGCGGATCGATTGCGTGGTATGGTTCCTCATGCTTCGCATATGTTGCATATGCCAACGCATATTGATGCTGCGGTGGGTGACTATCGCCGCGGTGTTGATTCAAATCATGAGGCAATGCTTGCGGACGACATCTATTTTGCCAACGAGACTGATACGATTCGGTATACGCAATACCGAGTGCATTATATCTGTGCAAAAATGTATTCCGCTATGATGTCGGGCCGTTTTCAAGACGCTATGTCTGCCGCCGAAAAGCTCGAACAAGTCATTGATTCCAGGGTACTTTCCGTCAAAAGTCCCCCAATGGCCGACGCTATCGAGAGCTTCGTGGCCAGCAAAGCACACGTCCTAGTCCGCTTCGGTCGCTGGGAGGAGATCCTTGAACTGAAGCTCCCCACCGATCGCGTTACATACTCGGTGACCACGGCAGTCATTCTCTACACCCGCGGACTGGCATTGAGCGCCTTGGGACGTGTTGAAGAAGCCGAGATTACCAAAATGGACTTCGAAAAGGCACGCCAGGCAGTGCCCAGCAGCTGACTCAACAGCATTCCATGCAAAGAGGAAGATGTCCTCGGGGTCGCCTCAGCCATGCTTGCAGGTGAGTTGGAGTACCGCAAAGGCAACTTTGAAGAGTCATTCTCGCTTCTTCGGGAAGCCATCGCCCGCGAGGATGGACTTCAATACTCCGACCCACCTCCCTGGATGCAGCCCGTTCGTCACGCCCTCGGCGGCCTGCTCCTTGAACAGGGGCGCGTCGAAGAGGCAGAGTCATTATTCAAGGAAGATTTAGGATTTGCTTTGGATTACCCGCGCCGAAGGGCAAAGCTCAACAATGTTTGGGGGCTGCATGGCTTGCATGAGTGCTTTAAACGTCTTGGAAAGACTGTCGAAGCGGCTTTCATTCAACCTGCCTACGACATCGCCCTGGCTTCTGCTGATGTCCCCGTGAAGGCATCTTGCTTCTGTAGAGTGTCGGCTGTGAGAGGGGATACTTGCTGTTCAAAGGTTCAAGAATAGCCATATTCAGTGGACATACTTATGATTGAATTGGAACTACGAAGGGGCAGGGCGGCCGGGTCGGATGATGCCCTCACATGCCGAGTTTCTGTCTGATGTTTGCCTCCTGGATTCTGGCAGGCGGGAAACAGTGATCTGAGCTACCAATACGTTGACTATGCCAGATGAAGTACTTGTTTTTGAAAAAAGAGAGAGAAAAGAAAAAAAGACAGTGCCTAGGCCACGATTTACCCGGATCTTCCGAGTCTCCACCCTCCTTTCAAAGTTATTGCCAACCCAACTGTTGACTCACCCCATGAAGGTCTGGAGGTACTTATGGGCGGGCGCCTTACCATTAACTAGACCACCTAGGCTCTTGGCAGGAATTCAATGTGGGTCTGTATTAGTAAATCTCCATTTCACAGTACAATTTACAGTATAATGTATGGTGTGTCTTCGTAGAATCAAGGGTAAGGCAAACAATAGCTTCATCCAACTTGACCGCTCTGCCCTTTTGTATGTTATTGACGGATGAAGTCTAGTGGCATTCTGTCAGCCTCCGCCGGCACCCCTTGATCATCGAGCCGGAGCGTTTCCATGCGGGCCGCAGTCCTCACGCTCGAAAACACGATCGTTGCACGCCCAGACTGATCGGTCGATGGGGTATCTGTCGCCACTCTTGCCATTCCCGAGTTGACACAGGAACAATAACTGCTCGCGAAACAGATAGAACAGCTAACAAACAGGACCATCTAGCAATGTCAACTGATCGTCTCCTTAGAACCCTTTAAAATTGGAAGAGCAAGGATGCGAGCACTTCGGAAATTCCGAGGACTGGAAGGCAAACTTCTGAAGTTGAATAGACGAATGGTACACAAATGAGACCTCGGGATGCGCCCCCACTTGCCCGCATTTGGCAGAGAAGTCCAGGGACCCTTGAAACCCCGCGGGGAATTAAACTTCACGCTACGCCTCTCCCGTCCCGTGGCTGAAGCTTACTGGCCCACGGCGTTTTTCTATACCGAAGGTCCATGTGCTCTCGGTGCAAAAGACAGCGAGATATGCCAACCCCGGTTTTTCAAAAGCCCATGGGGCCCCGGATTTCATCGTTTTCCCTAACAAAATGGGCTTGCGCGGGAAATATCTACACTGGGCTGTGACGGCTGCAAGCTGTCAGGCCTTTCTTCTTCTGGGCTATGATCAAGGAGTCATGAGCGGCCTTATCGGCGCCAATAACCAGTTCGGCCAGACTTTTAATAACCCCGACAGTACGATGCAGGGGCTTCTCACTTCAATCTACGATATCGGGTGCGCGGTCGGGTGTCTTCTCAGTCTTGTCATCGGCCACCGATTCGGTCGTCGCAAGATGATCATCGCCGGCGGCTCGATTATGATCATAGGAACAATCATCCTTGGCAGCTCTTATTCCGTGGCCCAATTCCTCGTCGGCCGAATCGTCACCGGCATCGGCAATGGTATCAACAGTAGCACTGTCCCCGCCTATCAGTCCGAGCTGGCTCGACCCGAAGCGCGTGGCATGTTGCTCTCTGCACAGGGCACGGTGACTATCCTCGGTCTCTGCATTGCGTATTGGCTGGATTATGGACTGAGTTTCGTGGATACACCAGTCCAGTGGCGCTTCCCGATCAGCTTCCAGGCCTTCTTTGCTGTATGTCTGGTCTTGCAGATGATTCCATTGCCTGACTCGCCACGCTGGCTCTGCGAACAAGATCGCAGTGATGAAGCGGGCTCTGTTTTGGCTCGTCTTCAGTTAAAGCAGCCGGCGACTGAGTCGAATCCTGAAGTTGTTCAACTCCGTCGCCAGATTGAAACCTCTATTGAGATTGAATCTGCTGGCGGTCCATTCAAATATAAAGAATTGTGGTCTGGTGGCTCGATGGGTAACCTCCGTCGCATGATCTTGGCTGCTGTTGTTAACATTCAACAACAATTCACTGGTAAGGATTTCATGATCTCTTTTCCCGGTATTTTACTGACCACGTCTAGGCTCTAATATGATTAATTATTATGCCCCCGTTGTCTACCAGGTATGCATCCACCTACTTTTGAAAGGTACGACGCTAATTAAATACCAACATAGAATGCCATGCACCTGTCTCGCAACCTTTCTTTAGTCCTAGGAGGCTGCACCTCCCTCGCATACCTCGTCGGCTCCATCATCCCACTATGGAGCATGGACAAGTTCGGCCGACGAGTATCTCTCATGGTATCTGCTGCTGGCCTTTGCTTCTGCTTCGTGATGACCTCGATTCTACTCTCGATCGGCACTGCCAAATGTGCATATGCCGCTACCGTTTTCGTGTTCATATTCCAACTCTTCCTGGGTATTGGCTATCTCCCAGTCCCATGGTAGGTTCCACACATTCTCTCCAAGCCCATTCTATTCATGTCACTCACAACATTCCAGGTTCTATCCTTCTGAGATTTCGACAACACGCATTCGAGCACGCGCACAAGCATTTGGTGGATTTGTGAATTGGATTTGTGTTTGTGAGTTCAAATTCATGAACCTGGAAAAGAAATTGATGCTAATACCAAAATAGTTATTGTTGTTCAAATCACGCCAACTGCTATTGATAACATTGGCTGGAGGACGTTCATCATCTTCGCCTGCTTCTGCTTTGCTTGGGTATGTCATGAAACAAAATCAACATAAGATGTCTCAGATTACTGACCCAACCTAGATACCCATGGTGTTTTTCTTTTTCCCTGAGACTAAGGGCCTGGAGCTTGAAGATGTGGATCACCTCTTTGAGAATGGTGGAATCACCGGGGGTGTTTGGAAGTCTAGGGGGTACCCTGTTCACCCTGGGCATCATCGGGCTATGAACGAGGAGAGAATCGAAAAGCCTATTCCCGAGGCTGTCCATGTCGAGGTATAGACTTGTGATTTATAGGGCTTATCCCAATCTTTAGATGCTTCTGTCTGTATCACTACCCTTAATAGATGAATATAGCCAAGGAAACTCAAGTACAATGTGGATTCCCCAAGTAATAAAATTGGAAAAATAGGGGACTCATCCTACCTAGCATCACGTAGTCATGAAGCCCTTCCACTCCCCCATCTTCTCAAATTGCCACTTCCAGCTTCCAGCCTCGAGCTTCCACCTTCAACTTTCGCTTCTAACTCCCACTTCCAACTCCCACTTTCAGCTCCCACTTCAAAATCTCACTTCGAATCCTCATACCTCCAACTTTGAAAGTCCCAACATGGCATCCTCTGGCCTTTATGACCCAAATCTGTTCGCAAATGATGACCCTGGCGATCAAGGACTCACCCTAGAGACCCAAATCGACGCGAATGAAGCTCCTCAAGCCCCCGAGCCTACGTTTATCCTCCCAACTCCGCCGGACGGTCAAGCATTCCACACCGAAAAAGAAGCCCTCGATGCCATCAAGGAACTTGCACTACTCCATGGCTATGCAGTCTCTACCCTTCGAACCAATCGCTCCAAGAAAGGGATCAAGAACAAGATTCAGCTATGCTGTACACGAGGCCGTCAATACCTTCAACGATGCTCTTCCACGCATGTACAACAGACTACGCCACAAGCAATCAACTGCCCTTTCTCTCTGCTTTTGAGGCTCAATACTGATGCTGGGACTTGGCATCTTGAGGTCAGAAACAACGCTCACAACCATCCACCAGCTTTTGCTCCGAAGAATGCTGTTGCTCCGAAAAAGACTGTTGCTGCTGCTTCAAAGAAGGAGGCGAAATTCGACCGTCGGGGGTCAGCGTCGGGGGTGAGCGGCCCAGAGTAGAAGGCTTTGGAAAGGTGAATTTCCCCCATATTCGAGCCCATTACTTTAAACTGACATTCTGAAATCAGCAGATGGGAACCCCCTCATGCCTCAGCCGCCCCAATGTTGTCCTTGTCCTCGCTGATAATATGGGCTGGGGCGAGCTTGGATGCTACGGCGGCGGAGCAATGAAGCGGGCTATGGAGGAGAGCGACGAGGATGCTATGCAGTCAATAGCTTACTCAATACATGGGCTCATTCAATGCATAGGCTTATTTAATGTACGAGGATAATATTCAGTATCAAATTGGCAGTCGAATGGTGTAGTACTGTATGCAAAAATAACACCGACAGAGAAAATGGCGCTGGTTCAAAAGGGGTAGGTGGTGGGATCAGTCCCCTAAAAATACATATTGAAATGAAAGGCGCTACAGTATACCTTCACCCGAAGTTGTACTAGACAAGATGTCAAATCTAAACATGTCTGCCCCGAGCATGTCCACGAATATGTCTCTTAATCTTCTGCTTCGCATCCGCCTCATCCTGGCCCCAGCCAGTTGGCGGGTTATTCCCAGGCAACTTGTCAAGAACACCATCAATCTGCTCAGGCACAAGATTGGGAATATTGCATGAAGTCGAGACATCTTTCAAGAAGCCGGCATCAGCGCACTTTTCTATACCCGATTGCTGAGCATCACAGTTATCGATAATCTTCTGCAAAACATCCTCGTCCCATCCAGAGATCTATATTTGAATTAGTCAAGTCCAGAAATATTACGCTGCATATACTCACAAAGTCACCATGAAGCGAATACCCCGTCCGATCACCATTGCTAAGAATGAAAGGCTGCGAACCAGTTCCCTCTGTCCACATATCTGCGAAAAGAGGCGTGTTCCAGTACACCTCATAGAAGATATGAGGGACATGGATCCATCCAGGTGGACAATTTGCCTTGCCACCAGTAGTACCCTTACTACTGGGGAAGACCATATTGTTCTTATAATCATGCAAGCCAACCTTGGGGTTATAGCAGGATGGGAAATGGATATCAGCGCGCAAAGGGGATGCATATCCATCACAGTTCATGTGCGGGAAGCCAGCGCCAGCACCGGCATTATTAGGGTCTTGGATACCGACGCCATGAAGGCCATCTGAGTCTTCGGGGTAGGAAGGGATATCGTAATTTGAGCGCGGACAAGTGAACTGGATAGGCTGGATTGGGCCTTGGTTTGTATCGAGGACATTGGCTGCGCCGCCTGGGGGAGGGGTGCGCAGGGAGCTGTTGCCGACGAACATGCGTAGACCGGTTGGGAAGGGCTTGATTTCGTCGTCTGTTGCTTCGAAGAAGTAGTAGACGTTCATGTAGAACATTGGGACTGAGAAAAAGGATCCGTTGTTGGCTTGGAAGTAGAGGGATGGGGTCCAGTAGTTGCTTTTGTCTGCGTCGACGATGGATGAGGTGCAGTTGGAGTCCATGAGGGCGTCGTCTGTCATGCTCAAGTTGAAGTTGCTTCCTCCTTGGATGGCGTGGGAGTGTGTAGCTGGTCGTCCTGGGTCCATGATTGGGTCCATGCGGCCCATTGTCAGGGCGCCATTGCCGTAGAAGTGGTTCACGGCGAAGGTGCGAGCATCTTTAGCGGATGCGGATGCAAAGAAGGCCGTAGAGGCGAGGGCGAACACGGCTTTGAATTGCATGTTTGCAAAATATTGGAAGGATGAAAGTATCGAAAACAAGTTGCTGTCTAAGGATGCAGCCAGGAGATATGTTTGAATAGAAACGAAATGAACGGCAGGTCGAGTGCCAGACTCGAGGTAAAAGAATGGACTGGGATATTGAATAGGACGAAAATAGGATCAGAGAGCATTGTTAAATAGGACAAAAGGGGGCTCGTTCTCAAAGAATGGCTTTGAGATCAATGAGATGAAACTCGGGAAGTTTCTTCCATTGACAGTTCTGATGCAGCAGATTCAGGGTCCAAGCCAAGGACTCCACATTCTGTCAATGGCTCTTTATTAGGCGCTTTGTCTCTTCTGGCGCCAGCCAAGGGTCGGATGTGACTTGCCCAGGCACGAACACCTTGGTGTGTGGGTGCCTAGCGCCATGAAATGAGATGAAGTGCCAAGGGCGTTTCAGAAATAGATGACTTTAGGGCAGTGGAGCCCTTTGGCCTATCTACATTTTCCTAAAAGGGAAGATGGAAAAAAATTATCATTTGCAGGGATTTTATGAATCCTGAAAAATAGACCGAAACGAATCGCTGCGCAAAGCTCTCATCCATGCATAAGTTCGCTTCCAAACAGAATGAATAGACCAAAATAAAATAATATATTAGTAAAGACATGTCGAAGTAACTCCGTCCCACTCGGGGTAAAAAAAAAACAAAGTACAATGGTGTCAGATCACAGAACACCGGAGAGGACGGCTTCGGTAGCTATGGGTCTGTGTTAGCGGTTTCCATTTGATTGGGCTCGAGAATGACTTACCAGAATTGATGTAAGGCCGCTTAGCGTCCAAGTTAACTTCGAAGCGTCTTTCCAGCTCCTGCTTGACTGTCTTCTTGGAAACCTTCATCAAGTCTGCAGTGGCGAGAATGTTGCGAATCTCCTGCAAAATCTCATCATCGGGGGGCAGATGGCTGAGATCTTGCGAGTCGAAGTTGCTCATCATTTCGGAGGCAGCGACTGAGTAACGAGGACCGCCACCACCGAGGGGAAGGTCCATTTGAGAAACGGGACGTGAGCCAGTGTGGTATCCATACTCAGACTGGGGGAAAGGTGGCAATCTGGTGTTGTAGGAGTGTGCAGAGAACTCGGAACGGTCATCGCGATGATCGTCACGAGAGGTCTGAGACTCCCAGAGCTCTGCTTGGTAGTCTTCCCAGATCTTCTTGGGGATAGAGTTGGGATCGTATTTTCCTTCGTCGGAGATAACGACCTGTCGACCCTTCTCTCCGGTGATGACACGGGTGTTACCCCAGGAGAAGTCATCCATGTGCCAGAAGGAGTACAGCGGCAGAGCAAGAGAGAAGATGGGAATGGCCAAAAGGTAAATCAACATCCATCCAATCATCTCCCACTTGCGTCGGAGGATGAAAATCAAGGCTTGGAGACCGTAGATGACACCGAGCAGAATGAAAGATGTGATTGGGAGCACATCTGGCTCACTCACACACCAGTAGATCAAGTAGGCAATGTAGGCGACGGTAACGGGTTGAATGACAGTCATGAGAAGATCAATCAGGACGATGAATCGCATACTGAAACAACAGAAACCACACAACTGTTCCAAGGGAATCAACTCCATCAGGTTGTGGACTGTGGAATTGATCCATCGGCGACGCTGGGAAAGGAAGACTGCAAAGCTCTCGGGGGCGACTGTCCAGGCATGGCATCGGAAGATGTACTTTGTCTTGAACTTGGGGTGGAATTTGATGAGGAGGGTTGTCAAGTAACGATCTTCACCAAGGTGCAGCAAGTTTTTCATGTGCAAAGTATCAACCCGAATTTCGGAATAGGCGTCGACCACGGCCTTGCTGACGAATAGCGGCGTTCCGTGCTCTGCTGTGCGAATGCGATACATGGTGAAACAACCAGGCAAACAGGTGACGGATCCGAACAAACTCTCGAAAGCTTTGGTCAAGTTGTGGGAGATGTAGTATTCGTAAACCTGGATCATGGTTACAATAGAAGTCTTGGCGTTGGACAAAGATGTCTCTCCACAAGCACCAATCAGGCGGGTATCAGAAAGGAATGCAGACACGAATCGCGTGGCTGCATCGGGGGCAACCATTGTATCGGCGTCGACCTGTAAGATGTATTCATAGAATTGTGGATTGACGCCAATGATGTTCCGGATATGGTGGTGCATTTCAAGCTCCATAGGGCTCATGGGCAGGTTGTAGTGTACGCGGTTGAGGAAGCGCATGAGAACCATCTGAGAGTCACGCTTACCACGGTTACCAGGACGAGAGACCTCGGAGGGCTTTCCAACCTTGACGACAACCAAGAAGGGGACAATGTGGCCCTGGACCTCGTAAAGACCAGAGTAGAGCTTGGCCATGTTGTGCTGCTTCATTCCCTCGCCCAAACTTTCAAAGCTCAGAGGCTCGGGGTCCACGGATTCAGGGACTCCCAGAATGTCGAGAACGATGCGAGGAGTAGGGCGATCGTTGCCTTGACCAATAATCATACCGTCACAAATGACAAGCAGAAGTTTGCGCTTGTCATCGTAGCGCATGCGGGCCATGGAGTCCATAGCACGACGCAACGACTCCTCATCTTCGGTATACACAGGCACCTGGCAAATGATGAACTTGTCCAGATTTTCGGGAAGATTCTTCCTTCCGAACTGCAGAGCAGCCAGGAATTTGAAACCAATGATGGCAACAAGCATGATGGAAATAGCAAGAATGAAGTAACGGGCAAACTGACAGCGAACTGAGTCTCGAGTATCAACCTTGCCGATGAAGAACAGATTATCAAGACAGAGTTGCATGCGAGATCTCTCAGCGGCGGTCAAGCTCAGGTCATCCCAATACTTGGTGACATCGTATCCAGCTTTTCCTTGGAAGATATCCACAACCTTCGAGTCCATGTAATCGGTTTTGACGTTGCTGGTGCCATTCTTTCCTGCTGGCCAGCGAGGAACTCGGGGTCCAGCAATATAATAGGTCATGTCGTAAATTTTGCCATTAATACTGACAACCTTCTTGGAATCGTCGGTCGCAAGCTTCTTCATCGCCTTCATGGTGTAACCAATATAACCCTTCTTGTAATTGGAGCGCATCATGACCATTTGCTCGTAGAACCAATCGGCACGAGAGTCATTGGTCCAAGAGCGGAAATCGTGGTACTTGGCGTTGACATCGAATGTACTGGATGAAGTTGTAGTTGCCGAGTCGTTGAGGTTGGACCGATAATCCAAGGGGACACTGGGATCGACGGTACCAGTGGTACCTTGGCAAAGAGCGGAAACCTGGACAGGGAAGAGGTTGGTGGCGTCCATTCCAGCATAATTCTTCAATTGCTTCTGCGGAACAATGGAGGGGTAGTGAGTAGGCATGAAGTCCCCAAGGTTGAAAACCACACCACGGATAGCGACATATGAATTTGCGTTGCCCTTGCCGTTATTGCCGCTGAGTTCAGCGGTATTGTACACGTCTTGCGTCGGACAAACCACTCCAGGGAAACCAACAATCATGAACACTGCAACACCGCAGGCGAACCAAATGATCATGTTGATAGCCAGCTTCTCACGCCAAGCAACTCGGACATCCTTGCGCTTCATGCGACCGACAAAGCGAATGACAAAGTCGGGAATGAAGAAAGTGAGGAGGTAGACGAGGAACATCCAGCGCCGACGGCTGCCAGAGACCTTGGCCTCGTCAACCTCTTCCATCTTCTTTTCATTGCCCTTCTCAAGCATCTGCTCTTTCGTGTCCATGTTCTTGAACATATCGCCCGAGTTGAAGGCGGAGCCACCAGCATCAGAACGTCCATCCATTTCACGGCTACCGAAGTAGCCCTGTTTAGCCTCATCTCCGTAAATAAATGCGCCCGGGGATTGATCATTGGGACCAAGCAGGCGGTGCTTGGAGTCAGGCTCTCCACTTGGACTTTGGAAGCCGTCGCCACCGTCACCTCCAGAAGGTCCATAGGCAGGCACAACACGGTCGCCGACTTTGGCAATATCGGCCCAGCGCTGTTCACTGAGGAATACACCCGTGCTACCGACGCGCGCCTCATTGCCGGGCCAGCGCTTTTCATCGAGGACGACCTCAGACTTTTCTTTGTCGCTTCCCACAACAACGTTACCGATGTCAGCGAGCCCAAGGAACTCTCCAAATGGAAGGAAGACGCTGTAATCAGCATTCCGAAGACGCGAGCTGATTTCGGCGATGCCGAAGGTTTGAACCTGCATACGCACGCATTTACTGTCGAATTGGTTGGCAATGCGACGGTCATTGGGCTTAAGACAAATGACGAAATATGGGTTCAGGTTTGAAGAGCTGAGACATTTGTTGATTATCTCCAAGCCAGAAAGGAACTGTCCGGCGGCACCTTGTGCTGGGCCAGCAGGCATTCCACTCTTCCGTGCGCTGGCACGTTTAGAGCCCTCGGCCGGGGCTTCGTTGTCGTCGCCTTCTTCTTCCTCGGGGTGGGCGCTCGGTGCGGCGAATCGAGAGGGTGCTCCAGTCTTGCGTCTAGCCATGCTGGGCATGCGGAGGGGCTTAGAGCTGACCTGGGCCTGCATGATAGCAGTCTTTTCTTGGGGGTGGGAGATGGTCTGCAAAGCTTCCTGGTGGAACAGTTCACGCACAAAGTCGCTGCGTGTGGAACGCATGAGGTTCATCAAGTCTCCTGAGATGACTTCACCGTTCTCCTCAATTAAACCTGTGGTGGAGTAGTCAACCTCACCGGCAAAGTGCTTCACGGTGAACGCACTGCGGGCTTGAGACATGTAAGTTGATCCACCGGCTCCACCGACAGAGATGGCAGGGTTTTTGTTCTCGAAGCGTCTGCGCACACTTTCCAGGAACTGAGCATCAGATCGACCACGCTTGGTCTGGTCGTCGAGGATACTCAACAGGCCATTTCCATGCTTCAGTAGACCTCGGACAGTGTCCGTGTTGTCGAAATAACTAGTAGCAGCCACTGTGATTTCCTCGCGATCCAAGATGTCAGCCTTGTGGTCAAAGAATGACTGCAGACAGTAGTTGTAGAGCGATTCGGTGGCGGCATTGGAGAGAAGTTGGTCCAGAGTAGATCCAGTGGAGGGGGCTTGGGCGAATCCTGGGAAATCAACAATCGAAATCGTGTTCGCGACACTATCTTCCGCAGCACAAATACGCTGGTTGACTGTTTCGATCACGTATGTAACCAAGAGAGAGTAGATAGTACGTGCGAATGCGTCGGCATTCTCTCGTGCACCCTGGGGGTCAAGCATCACCGTGACTCTCTCACGGTGAATGGTCTTGGTGCGGTAACCCAAGCTTACTTCCAAAGCATCGACGCTGAGACCCAAGAAAGCAGCAACGTTCTCGAGAACATCCTTGTTCTTCACCCCAGTGACGGTCTCACCACCTTCGTGTGAGTAGCCACCACTCTCCTCTGCACCGGTAGTGGTGGATGCGCCCATGGCGAATTCCATCTGTCCAATGTGAAGAATACTAGCCAGAATTTGGCAAATCTCGGCAATCTCTCCACGAGAGAACTCCAATTTGCGGAGAGCGGTCTTGAAGTGTTGGAATCCTTCTGAGTCGTTGATTCCAATCTTCAGCTGGGTTGGATGACCGAGATAACGCCATCTTTTGTGACTGACGGCTCCTCCTGAGAGCTTGTTCCCGGTCTGGATATGGATGCTGTTCTCAAAGCCAAGATGCGACTTCTCAGCCCCGCTGGTTCCAGCCAACAGATAGTACAGGACATGGAAGCTTCGCTCTCCGGTAGGCACTGAAGAGATACGGCTTCGCTCCAAACGGTAGTCGATAATCTTACCACCGATCAGGGTGGGATTAACGGATGAGGAGCCATCATATTGCAGCTCGAGGAAGAGGCCAGCCTTGGATGCTGTGGGCGTGGTAACAGACTTTGTGGTTGTAAGGGTGTCGAACACGAAGGCGGCATATGAGAGCTTGGAGGACAGTGGGGTCGATGAAAAGGATAAGAACGATGAAAGCAGGTGTGAGCGAAGGGTGGTTTTGCCGGACCCGCTCTCTCCTCTGGGGTATATGGTCAGCATGTGTTTATCAGATTGAAGTGGGGGGTTTCAACATACAGAAATACAACGGCCTGGTTCTCCGCACGCGCACCCAGCCGAGTGAAGGCACGCTTTGCCAGGTCTTCGGCCTCGCCCGCAGCGCTGCCTGCCTTTCCTCCGTCGGGGCCCTTGGTAGCCGATGAATATGTGTTGAGAGCAATCAGGGCCTGAGAGGATAGGCGGGCTGTCGGCAAGCCAACATGGAAGCTGGTCTCGATTAGCTCGGGTCTCCGATGGATTGCAAGTCTGCGAATGTCCTACCGGCTTGCCAGATGGGCTGTGAGATGTGTATCAGACTGCAAGTGGGCGGGGAGTGAGGGTAGTGAGGCCTGGGCGTGTGCCGGGCCACTCCCACCAAATGTGTTGACCATCTTGAGATCCCCTCAGTTGGGGGAGTTGGAAACTGCAACGGCTTTGCGATGTCCACGGGTCAGCGAGGGTCGGCCTCGCAGGCGCTGTCGGAATGAACGTGGAGTCGGGGGAATGTTCTCAAAGGAATGGGTGATCCCTAGTATCCGATCGAGATGGCACGCATGGAATTGAGAATTGAGGGTGATGGTTACAGTACAGAAGTGGCTGAAGCAGAGAATCAGAAGTTCTCTCACAAAGGGAAAAAAAGCAACAAATCGATAAGGTCGGGGTTGTGTATTGCTAATACGTGAAAATTACTAGGGTCCGGCTAAGAATAGGTGAACCTCGGTCATGCCTAGCGCAGTAAGAGCATTTTTATTGGGGAGAACACAGTAAAGTGCGGACAATTGATTGGATGTGTCTCGGGTAGAATCCACCGGGAGCATGAGAGGTCTAGTCCCACTCTCTCGAGCTATGTATTTCTGTTTCTATCACTAACTAACTAAACTTATGGGCTAACTAGAGATAATATGGGATTAGGGGGAAAAGCAAACAATTAAGGAACCTCCTGATCTAGGGTACCGAGTACGTACGAGTATACCGAGAACTAAATGGTCTATTAATCTATTCAGTGTCTCTCGGTCTCAAGTTAAAGAGATTCTCCACTTACCTAAATAGTCAGCCTTTTTGACGATACTCCTAAAGGGTCTGCTGGAACATGTCACTTCAGTAGCTTTGCAATATTAGGCCCCCTTGCTAAACGCCTGCATGAACTATATTTAACTATAAAGAAAATGTGAGCTGACCAAATCGATCCATTCTATTGTCTAGGTGGATCTCAAAGCTAAAAACTAAAAAGCTAGGCCTGAAACTAGGGGGGTGTTTTGCTACATAAATGACAGTGGACATTCCCAGTACCGATAGCATAGTCCAGTCAGCGTGCACTCAGAGTGACACAGTGGATCAAGTCTCCGACAACACACAGTCCCCCTTCAGTGGCAAAATCATCTGAGAGAGAAGAGAGGGAAAAAAACCCCATCTGGGCAGTGTGAGACATAAACCCATAAATAGGCCGAATTGTATTTAGACCCATGGTATTGGTACGGTAAGGGAACCCCGATCTGACAGGGTTCGGGTCTGGTTGTCTGTCTAAATGCACATCGCTCATTGGTCCAACGGCACTCACGATAATTACCCTGACTCGCGTTGGTACCTGTTATATTTGTACATTTCGATATTGTTGTTGTTTTTTAGCGTATCTTCTCCGTACGTATGGTGTGATTCAGCTACTTAATTATTAGGACGATTACTCCGTACTCGTATATGTCGTAACTCTGAAACGTCGCCCATACACAAAGCTTAGCAGACCCCCAACTGCAGAACGGGACACTGGGGACCGATCGCCAGGATCAGCGGTATTTTTCCACTACGAACCCGCTACAAGCTGTATTTTTCAACTCCATGGATTTCTTTCTCCCCACGCCGAGCTGTTTTTGTTTTGTCCCTTCTCATCTTCCTATTATCAACAGTCACTCGCTCAATTCGAAACTAATCATCGGCACTGATCAACTCTGATTCAGTTGCTCCCTCGACACTCCCACCTCAGGCCAGTATATCGGATCAACACGACAGGGCCCTCATGTGGTTGTGATAACGATTAGGCTGGACATCGCATCTCGCCTTTTTCCCCTCCCCGATACTTTGACGACAATCTGCCGACCATGTCAAACCGTCACTCGGTCTTCTCGACTCAGTCCGCGGGCATGTCCGGCGGGCCTCGGCCACAACACGGCGCCCAGGTGTCAACAACAACATTACTGAACGCCCTCCACTCGTTTTACAATGCCGGTCAACCATACCAACTGGATTCTTCTACAAGTCTGGTTGTGAACACCTGGGTCACGGCCTCTACCACCTTGCCCGACGGCCGAAATGGTGTGACGGTCGACCGTGATCTGGCAATCCGGGCTTGGGAACATGCCCGGCGACGAGCAGAGGATGGCTGCATCTTTCTAGGGTTTGTGATATAGCATGACACCACGATCGGATGAACTAACGTACAACAGTGCTCTCCACCAGTCTACCCCATCGCTCCTCGAACCGTTCATGACAGCTATCCCAGTCGAAACCCCAGAAGTAGCTCTCAGTGCACTCGCCGTTCTGCGACCCTTCCTAACTGCAGTGACCTCCTTCAACCCATCATATTCTTTGCACTCGGCGTTGGCTGCGACTTACACCTTGTCGCTTCAGGGATCCGTTGTCGGGCTCTCATATGCACTGTCCACCTCCGGCATCAATGTGAGGAAAGGTCTCCTGGACATCCAGCCCGAAGCTGGCTTCCGCGCATTTGATGTTTTCTACTACCTTCTCACATCTGCATCCACGGCCGCAGAGCGTGAATTTTTGGATCTGAAAGCCGCATCTTCGTATTCTTTGCTCAATCGCTCAAACACTTACGATCCCCCGCACTACCTCCCGGCGGCCGACGATGCGGCCGCTGCAGAGGATTTCCGTGCCTCTCTGAAGGCCATCGGTATCAAGGGTGCTTCCCAGCGTGGACTGCTCTCGGTCCTCGCTGGTCTCCTCAAATTAGGCAATGCTGCTGGATTTGAGGCGGATCAGGACGAACTGGAGGAAGTTTGCGATGATGCTGGTGGTCTTCTGGGGATTGACCCAGAGATCCTTTTGAACAGGTGCTCGACTGATGAGCGGGAAGTTCTCATCGCAGGCATATACGAAGCCCTCGTCGATTGGGTCATTTCCAAGGCCAATGAAGCAATTGCGGCTGACGTACAGACTATGCTTGAGAACGACCCCAACAACGGAGTGGAATGGTCGAATACTGATACCGTCAGCTTGACTGTTGTGGATGTTCCTAGACCAGCTCTGGCTAAGGCTATTGCAATGCGTGGAATCTTCGACGATAGCCTTGGACTGAACGCCGAAATGAAGGATGATGGAATTCCACTCCCGGCCATCGGTGGCTCTGTCATCAGCGAGATGAACTCTGCAGTATCTCAGGTAGAGCCTGATCTAGGTATTATTACTGGTCTTGCTGGACGAGAACGCGAACACGATCTCGATAAACGCCAGGGTGTCTTGGAAAAGGTCGGCGTGGAGCTTGAAGTTGATGCATTCCTACGTCGCATCCTCTTCCCCGTGGACACGGAAGGTATCACTGTCGGCAAGCGAGGCCGATTCGATCTTCCCACCACCCTTAACAGCAGTCGGGTCTGGTACCATCTCTCTATTCACCCGACAGACGACATGCCAGAGCAGCTAGCCTCCGCAGGAGCCGCTTGGTCAGCAGGCGCAGTCTCGCGTCAGCTGCGTGACTGGCGACTCCCGGAATGGGCCAATCGCCGCCTCAAGCAACTCGATTTCACTGCCGATTTCGACGTCGAGGAATTTGTCGGCCGGTACGCACGTCTCGGATGTGTCGAAGGTCAAGATGGAGTCGAGAACTGGATTATTGAACGTGGTTGGAGCAACGGCGATGCTGTTGTCGGAGACCAACGTGTGTGGATGCGCGAAGGCGCTTGGTGGGAAGCAGAGAGTATGTTGGATCTCAAGCCAGAAGAGTCCCACATCAACCCCTTCATGTACGGTCCGGCCATGTACGAGACGGGATACACCCCTGATGGAACTCCCATGCATGAATCGACCAACCTTCTCGGCATGCCGCCGTCTGGTCCCATGGCCCCCAGCGTGATGGGTGGTGCCAAGTCCATTGCCCCCAGTGCCCCATTCACCAACGCTAATGTCGGTGACTATGGACTGGGTCGCAAGGGTGATGAAAACAAAGGTGACATTGCCTACTATGACGAGTATGGTCGCTACATTGGCGAATTCGATCCCGAATTTGGTGACCCGAAGCGCATCGAGAAGAAGACCATTACTGCTGGCCGCCGTATCTGGGCAGGTTTCGTCTGGGCCATGACGTTCTGGATTCCGTCCTTTATGCTCCAGTACATCGGGCGTATGAAGCGTCCAGACATTCGTTTTGCATGGCGCGAGAAGCTCGTCCTCGTTTTCTTGATTCTTTTCTTCAACGGAGTTGTCTGCTTCTACATCATTGCTTTTGGAGACCTCCTCTGTCCCAACAAAGACAAGGTGTGGAACACCAAAGAAGTTGGCTGGCATACAGGTGACGATGATTTCTTCGTCAGCATCCACGGGCGTGTATACGACATCAGCAAGTTCTGGCGCACGCAACACAGTGACATTACTGGTGAAGATACCAGTTCCTCCAACATGGAGCCATTTGCTGGCACAAACCTGGACGCCTATTTCCCTCCTCCCCTTAGCCGATATTGTTCAGACTTCGTCACAGACGAGAGCATGAAGTTGTCCAACAATGACACCAACGCCATCTTGTACCCTACTGCTGATCACAGCTCCGGCAAAAATGCCCTCGTGTCTACCTCCGCCCTCGGCAAGGAGACTTGGTATGAGAACAAATTTTTGCCCAAGATCAAGACATACTACAAGGGTGACTTGGTCTGGACGAAGGCTACCATCAAAAAGCAAGCTACTGACGACTCTCGTTACTGGGTCATTAAAGATCAGAAGGTGTACGACTTGACAAACTACTTCTACACCGTCAAAAAGATGAACAATCTTGCCTCCTACCAATGGCTACCATCGTCTTTGACTACTCTGTTTAAAGACAATATGGGCGAAGACGTCACTGACAAGTGGCAAGATACGGACGATTTTAAAAACGCTCAGACATGTCTCGATTACGTCTTCTACGTGGGCAAAGTTGATTTCCGTGACAGTCCACGATGCACTGTGAACAACTGGATTCTTCTCTCTTTCACCATTCTGATTTGTGCTGTCGTCTTGGTCAAGTTCCTGGCAGCCTTGCAGCTTGGCTCAAAGCGCCGTCCCACTCCCCAGGACAAGTTCGTCATCTGTATGGTTCCTGCCTACACTGAGGGTGAAAACGATCTTCGTAAGGGTCTTGATTCCCTGACTGCCTTGCAGTATGACAACAAGCGCAAGCTCATCTTTGTCATCTGTGATGGTATGATTGTCGGTGGTGGAAATGACCGTCCTACTCCCAAGATTGTATTGGACATCCTCGGAGTTGATCCCAAGATGGATCCTCCCGCATTGCCATGCAAGTCTCTCGGTGACGGAAGTGACCAACTCAACTATGGAAAAGTGTTCTCTGGTCTCTACGAATATGAGGGCAATGTTGTGCCCTACATCGTCGTTGTCAAGGTTGGCAAGGAATCTGAACAGCGCAAATCGAAGCCTGGCAACCGTGGCAAGCGAGACACCCAGGTTCTTCTTATGCAATTCTTGAACCGTGTCCACCATCGCTCGCCGATGTCGCCACTCGAGTTGGAGATGTTCCATCAAATTAACAACGTTATCGGCGTTGATCCTGAGCTATACGAGTATTGTCTCATGGTCGATGCAGATACTACCGTCAGAGAGGATTCCCTTAATCGTTTGGTCGCGGCTTGCGCCGCAGATGCGAAGATCGCCGGTATCTGTGGTGAGACCAGTCTTCAGAATGAAGAAGGCAGTTGGACGACTATGATTCAAGTTTACGAGTACTACATTTCTCATCACTTGGCAAAGGCGTTCGAGTCTCTCTTTGGCAGTGTTACCTGTCTTCCGGGTTGTTTCACCATGTATCGACTTCGGACTGCGGACAAAGGACGACCTCTCATTATTTCCGACAAGGTCATTCATGATTATGCCGATAATGATGTTGACACTCTTCACAAGAAGAACCTTCTCTCACTTGGTGAGGATCGATACCTGACCACTATCATGACCAAGCATTTCCCCGCTATGTCATACAAGTTCATTCCCGATGCCTATGCCAGCACAGCCGCCCCCGAGACCTGGAGTGTGTTGCTGTCCCAGCGACGTCGTTGGATTAACTCGACAATTCACAACTTGGTGGAATTGGCTGCTCTGGAAGATCTTTGTGGTTTCTGTTGTTTCAGTATGCGATTCGTCGTTCTCGTCGATCTGCTGGGAACCATTATTCTTCCTGCTACCTGTGTTTACCTCACCTACCTGATTTACCGTGTGGCCAGCCACACAGGGCCTTTCCCCATGATCTCAATTATCATGTTGGCTGGTGTTTATGGTCTCCAGGCAATCATCTTCATCGTCAAGCGCCAGTGGCAACACATCGGTTGGATGATCATCTATCTCCTTGCGTACCCCGTCTACAACTTCATCCTTCCCCTCTACGCGTTCTGGAAGCAGGACGATTTCACTTGGGGTAACACCCGTGTCGTCATTGGTGAGAAGGGTGACAAGCGAGTCATCGCCGTGGAAGACGAGGTTTTCGACCCGCGCAGCATTCCTCTTCAGCGCTGGGATGATTACGCCATGGCTAACAACCTCCCCGGTCGCCGAGGTGATTTTGGCGTCAGCACAGAGAAGCTCTACAATACCGGCCACTACGATGACGCAGCCATGGAAATGGATGACATGCACTCCCAATACTCATCCGTCAAACCAGCTTCCACCATCCTGACTGGCTTCCCCGGCCATGGCCGCCACCACCCATACATGCCCCCACAGTCTCCCGCGCCGTTTGTCGGCGGTAACATTCCCGGCAACCGCAACTCACACATGTCCAACTTCTCCCGCTACACAGACCTACCACAGATGGGTGCCCAGATGGGCCATTCTGCCAATGCCTCCCGGCACATGTCCATGGGTGGTGTCAGCGCGTACCAGGACAACCCAGGCCATGCAAGCAGACACAGCATCGGCCTGATGCAGAGCAGCGAGAATCTCCTCGCCAACAACCGCTCTCGCAGTCCTCTGGCTCAATACCCTGCCCGCCCCGCGAGCACAGCCCTCGACTTCCGTGTCGGTGCTGGACCAGACGAACTTGCCATCACCGAAGCCATCCGCGGCTGTCTTGCCGAGGTCGATCTCGACACTGTCACCAAGAAGCAGGGTAAGTTACATCCTCATCCTCCTATTGACCATCCACTAACATAATCCACAGTCCGCGTCCTCGTCGAACAACGCCTGCAAACCACCCTCGCGGGCGAAAAACGAGTCTTCCTCGACCGCCAGATCGATCAGGAATTGGCCAACATGTGATCACCATATCTCTTGTAATATGCACTCTGCATTTTTTCACGCATTCAGCACTTGTTATTATTGTTTCTTTTGACTTTGATTCGGGGTCTCGGCATCTCTGGCGTTATATGGTTTGGGTCTTGAGCACAGCATTCAGCGATGCGATTTTGGAAATATCGGCTCTTTACTCTGCACTTAATGAGATCTATTCTTTAGCGTGTCTGGGATGTATTTTCTACGTTGGGTTTAGGTCTCGATCAAAATATATCTATCTTGCGTGAGTCTTGAGCGCGATACTTAAGTATATTTATCTTCGTACGGAGTACACCTGTAGACATCTTAGGCTGATGGGTGTTTCCGGGACTATTTCTAACCTACTTAAGTATGGAGTTCAAGTAGATCTATTGATTCAACAGTCGATCAAAACCCCCGGACCAGGAGCTGAGTCCTCAAATCAGGTCCCTATGCACCATATCCTTATACTCTTCCAATTTCTTCGCCATCCCCTTGTCAGCCACATTCAAATGACCATGATAATAATCCTTTGCAGCATCCATAATAGCCTTGACCTTGTCCGTCGGAACCTTCTCCTTGCGATCATACGTGTACAGGCCATTCACCTCCTGCTCAATATCACACCTAAATAGAAGAGTCAGCAGATACTTAAAAGTATACCCCATTTTCATAAGGCAACCAAAAAGAACAATGCATACAGCTGAGTCCACACAAGCCCACAAATATGTCCCGGCTTAACAACAGCCATAACAAGCTTTTCCAACCGCACCAAAAAGTCTGCCGGATCACTCGCTGTTGTATATCCCCAATCCCGCTCACCAGCGGCAGCGGAATCCTTCGGCGGGGCGATATTAACACCGCCAAATTCACTGCAGATCACTGGCGCGCCAGGGATATGGTGGGAACCTTCGTCCAAAACCACGTTTCCAAAGCAGATTGGCTTGGGGAACATGCTGCGTTCGCCGTTTTCGCCTTTCGGGCCCAGAATTCCTGGAAGGCTGGCACATGTCGTTGCTAGCTCGGCTGAGTCGCTGTAGTCGTGGAAGGTGGTGAGATCGGTCTTTATGTGTTGCCAGCCGCAATTGTCGTTAACTGGTCTGCTTGAGTCGAGGGTCCTGATAGCACTGTTAGTAATTTTTTATAGATTGTGAAGATGAATGCGTACTTGGTCAAGTAGTATAGCGCACGGAGGTGGTTGCGCTGCTCGATATTGTCCTCCAGTGCTGGAACAGCCCAGGACTCATTGATGGGTGTCCATGTCACGACCGATGCATGGTTGATATCTCTCTTGACAGCCTCGGTCCATTCCGCCGTGAATCGCTGGATATATTGATCACCAAACTCATAGGCATTGGCCATCTCACCCCAGACCAGGAACCCCAGTCTATCAGCCCAGTAGTAGAACCGGGAGTCTTCGACCTTCTGATGCTTCCGACAGCCATTGAATCCAACCTTCTTGGCCAATTCGATATCCGTCTTCAGAGACTCAGACGAAGGAGGCGTAAGACCCGTCTCAGGCCAATATCCCTGGTCCAGGAACAACATTTGGAAATACGGCTTTCCATTCAGTCGGAATGTCCCATCCCCAGTTTGCCACGAAAGACTGCGCATCCCAACCGTCGTTTGAACCTCATCAACCAAAGCCCCAGTCCCATCAAATAACCGAAGTGTCAAATCGTATAAAACAGGATGCTCTGGCGCCCACAACGCAACACCCCCATGCCGGACATCAAAGACGCCCTTCAACTCATCCACCACAGAACCACTAGCCCTCATCCCCAGCTCAAGAGCAACAAACTCTTTATCCTGAGGAATCTCACCCTCAACACTCCCAATCTTCACTCCCCCAAGCCCAGCCTCAATCTCCACCTTCGCAACACCAACCCTCCCAGTAACAGCAACCCTAGCCCTCAAAACCCCATTCTCAATATCATCACCCCTCAACACAGTCCCTCCACTACCACACAGAATCCGCATCCTGGGAACACTCTCCAACCAAACCGGAAGCCAAACACCCCCACTAGGGGTATAGAAAATACTTTCCGGCACAGGACCCCAGAACTGCTTCCCCCGCGGCTGGGTCATGTCATAAGGCGAGTCTCGGACACGAATAGTCAATCGAGCATCACGGTCCACATCTGAAATGTCAATGTCAAAGGGGACATGACCACCGACATGGCCACCGACGCGAATACCATCGATCCAGATGGTACATTCGTAATCGACTGCGCCGAAGCGGAGGAGCAGTTTATTTCCAGCTGCTTTTTCGGAGGAGGAGCGGATGTCGGTGATTTGACGCTCGTACCAGAGGACTTCGTGGGCTTCGATTAGGTTTATACCTGATGCTGGGGTTTGGAAGGCGTAGGGGACGTTTATTTGGTGGGTTTTGGGGATGGATTTGTGCCATTGGGAGGTTAGGCCTTCGTCTTTGTCGTCGAAGGTGAAGGCCCAGGGGCCGTTGAGGGAGGCCCAGTTTAGAGAAGGGCGTTGGAAGTCCGGGCGGGGGTAGTCCATGTCCATTGTATAGTTGTTAGGCTTGTAGCTGTAGTTGTAGTTGTTGTAGCTGGTGTAGTAGTGGTTGATACAGCTATAAGTATGTACTTAAGTAGTGAGGGGTTTGGACAGTTCCCCGCGTTAACGTCATGTAGATCACTAAGGGACTTGTACTCATAGGAGAATTCTAATGGCGAAATCTGATTGATGATTGGGGATATCAAAAGACTAAAAACAGCACAAAAAAGAACCCAGTTGTCGGAACTCCATCTGAATTCGATCACAAACCTGGTATCACGAATTCAGACCATCCAACCCTTCTCCTCCAAAAAAAAAAAAAAAAAAAAACGCCATGAGGGGCAGTCCCGAGACAACCAACCCCAACACAACAGCAAGGCGTCCACGCTTTCAATAGAGAAAC